CTTCCTAGGCCTCTTCTTCCTAGGCCTCTTCTTCCTAGGATTCCTCTTCTCCTTAGGCCTCTTCTTCCTAGGCTTCTTCTTTCTAGGCCTCTTCTCCTTCGGCCTCCTCTTCTCCTTAGGTCTTTTCTTCCTAGGCTTCTTCTTTCTAGGCCTTCTCTTCTCTTTAGGCCTTTTCTTCTTCTTAGGCCTTTTCTTCCTAGGCCTCTTCTTCCTAGGCCTCCTCTTCTCCTTAGGCTTCCTTCTCTCTTTAGGCTTCCTCTTCTCCCTAGGCTTCTTCTTCTTTTTAGGCCTTCTCTTTCTAGGCCTTCTCTTCTCTTTAGACCTCCTCTTCTCCCTAGGCCTCTTCTTCTCCCTAGGCCTCCTCTTCTTCCTAGGCCTCTTCTTTCTAGGCTTCCTTTTCTTCCTAGGCCTCCTCTTCCTAGGCTTTCTCTTCTTCCTAGGCCTTCTCTTCTTCCTAGGCCTTCTCTTCTCTTTAGGCCGCTTCTTCTTCCTAGGTCTCTTCTTCCTAGGCCTTTTCTTCCTATTCCTTTTCTTCTTAGGCCTGCTCTTCTCCCTAGGCCTCTTCTTCCTAGACCTCCTCTTCCTAGGCCTCCTCTTCTCCCTAGGCTTCCTCTTCTTCCTAGGCCTCCTCTTCTTAATTTTAGATAAGGTAGCCTATAGGAATAGGTAGGTAGGTAGGTAGGTAGGTAGGTAGGAAGTTAGGAAGGTAGGTTTTATAGGGTAGTAGAGAGGTAGAAGTAGTAGTATAAAGATAAAGCCAAAGAAAGCCGGGGGTGAAGTGTGGCGGCTGGCCACTTTGGGCCTCCGTATCAAAGTGGGAAGTGGGGACCTCATGGCGGATTCGAGAAGCTTCAGCGAAGCAGTACAATCTGACTACATAGCTACCTGATATTTCACCGTACCGTGTACACCAACAAGTCAACGACCACCTGCTGCATCACCATCACAACAACATTGAAACTAACAAAGACGATGCCGGTCGACTACAGCAAGTGGGACGCTCTCGAGCTCAGCGACGACAGCGACATCGAAGTCCACCCCAACGTCGACAAGCGATCGTTCATTCGAGCCAAACAGAACCAGATCCACCAACAGCGAATCGACCGAAAGTTTCGAATAACGACGTTGAAATACGAGCGTGTGGTGAATGATGGCCTGTTATTGCGCATCGACGCGCTGCTCAAAGCCCTCAACAGCCACACCGCCGAGGTCCAGGACAAGAAGGATGCTGAAGGCATCGACGAGGTCGTATTCGACTGCTTGATGGAGCTCACTAGCGACACAAGTCTCGGCCCGGATCAGCCCTCAAATCCACCTCCGGGCGTGCATTCGAAAGAGCAGCAGCCAACCTACAGCAAGATGATGGGCGCTCTGGTGGATCAAGTCAAGTCGGAGATTGACAAGACAGGTGCAGTGGGACCTGCGAGATATACGGCGTTTATCAAAGAAGTCGAGAGTCACAACAAGAAGGTTCAAGGACTGCAGAAGGATCTGAACGTCGAGCTCGCAAAGCTGGAGAAGGAAGAAGGTAGCAAAATCACGAGTGAATCAATACACACCGGATTCGACACTTCCCACGTCGCCAAGGCACAACCCGCTGAGCCACAAGCAACAGTCACGAAGACATCCAAGCAACCACAACTCCTGAATCCAGGGAGAGTACAACAGATTGGAGGTCCATCCTCGGGCTACGAAGCAGGCGTAGAAGACGATGCTCTGAATCCTGCGCCAGGTGAGGATGAGGACGACATTGAGGAGGCAGCACCCATTGCGAAGAAATTCGGCTCGATCGCGTACGGTGATTACAAAACCAGCTTGAACTTTATTGGCTCAAACCCCGGCATCATGTCAGACAAGCACACCGATGGCCTCTTGGTAGAAGCATTCACAGCACAGCAAAACGCAAAATCGAAAAAGGAGGAAGACTATGCTCGGCAATGTGTGCACCAAGCACTCCTTCTGCAGTACTGTCGTCAGCTAGGCAAAGATGGCGTGGGTCTTTTCTTCCAGCGCGTACAAACGCCCAATCACCAAGCGCGGAAGCTCTTTCTAGATGATGTCAACTCCACTTATGCACGTATTCGCTCGCGAACCGCTGAGTTGGCGAAACAGCAGGCAGAGGAAGACAATGGCGACAAGGAGCAGATTCAGCTGCATGCTGTGGACCCGAACACCACGATCAACATTGTCACGCCACCTCCCCTTGACCAATGCCAGAGTGAAGATGAGAAGACGGCGCGAAGTATCTTTGACACCTTTCCACCTGGTCTACAGAGAGCGCTGGAGACGGGTAGTCTGGACAAGGTCAATGAAGTGCTTGGGAAGATGAGTGTTCAGGAAGCTGAAGAGGTTGTGGAGCAGCTGGGTAACGGTGGCATGTTGAGCTTAGAAGAGGGCGTGTACGACGCCACTACTGATGAAGGGAAGAAAGCCATCGAAGAACTTGAGAAAAAGCATAGAACTTCCGCGCAAGAGGAGAAGCAGGAAAGGGTCGTGGAGGTCGATGACATGGATTGAGTGATTTCACAGTCCTCGCTTTCTACAGCTGTGACTCCTTTAATGAGCCATGTAGGTGTTAAGCATGGAAAAATGCTGCCAGGCGTAGCTATCACTGCATCGACATAAATATTGCTAGCTAGTACGTGTGATGGTCATTATCACACCACAAACACCACCCAAAAGTTTACTCCGCAGCCAGCTCATTCAACCTTTCACTTTTGTGCGAGATAGACTCTTTTGAGAGGCTGAATTACAAGACCATCTGGAGGTATCGATAGAGAGATATATATATATAAATATATATTGATCTCATTCCATTGATGATTGTTCCTCCTCTTTTTGATTTTTCAAGCCACGAACGAGGCAAAGAAATGAAAAACGACAAAAAGATCCTGCAGGCCCTAAGTATACAGGAATTTTTCTTTTTCTTCTTATTCGTGAACTCGTAGTACTTTGAGCAGTGAAGAATGCCATAAATGAATGAGGTTGAATTTCTTATATAAAGATTATCTGATGAAATTTTGTTTGGAGACATCTCCAAATCGTTCGTAAAAGAGGAATAACTCCCGCATAGCTTCATTTCGCTTCGTTTCGTTTCGTTTCGTAGAAAACCACTGGACACAAAAAAAGGAAAAGAGAAAAGAAAAAAGAAAAGAAGGAAAAGAAAAACAAGAAGGAAAAGAAAAGGATGCAAAAGGCTGGACCCCGCTCGCTCTCTTCCCTTCCCAAAACACCGCCACGTTTTGCTTTCAACTCTCTCTCAGTCCTTGGAAAACAAAAAAGAGAAACCAATCCCGTGTCCCCATCCCCATCTTCCTCTCCGCCCTCCCCTCCAACAAAACTCATCAATTAATCTCAATCAACCCCGGTCCAAAAAGGGTGTTGTTCGCCACAGCTCCCACATCCACAAAATCCTTTCCCTTGGTAACAGCAGCAATCGTCAATCCATTCATCAAATTATCCGCTCCGGGGAAATTTGCCGAGAATTGGATCGTGATGCTGCTGTGATCATCATTATTGATCTTCTTCGCGTCTTCGATGGGGACGGAAATGGGAGCGTTGAGTTGGTTGATATACGTGAGGAAAAGATTGTCCTGCTGCTGGTGGGGTGCGGTTGTAGAATTATCGTGGGAAGAAACGAAATCAGAGAATTCCATCTTCTGCAAAAAAGTCTTCAAGCGAAACATGACTTTCTGATTCATCGGGGTCGTAGGTGGATTCACAACCGTCAAGAGATCAAAGATAGTCAAACCGCCTCGCTGCAAAATATCCAGAGAAGATGAACACGAGCCCGGAACGACGAAATTCTGGACAATGGCCGAAAAGGCAAAGTCGCGGGCGGATGCGGTGAGAAAAGGGAGGGCAGAAGGGTTTTTGCCCAAAATGTCGCGATAGAAGCCATTTTGTTCGCCTTCTTGGCCGATGACGGAGCCCACGCCGCGGATGAGGGCGTTGTCGTTGGCGTTGGCGAAGAGGGTTTGGATGTCGGGGAGAGTGCCGAGGACGACGTCGGTGAAAGTGGAGGCGAGGGAGATGGATTGATTGAAGTTGGAGACGGGGAAATTGTATTGGCAGGGCTGGATCATTTGGCCCGTGAATTTCTGGAACGCGCCATTGGCGTTCAGCTCGTGGAGCTCTTCTTGGGCGATGACGATCTTGAGGATGCTGAGAATTTTGGCCTTGTCCTGACCGAGAAGATCGCCCTCGCGGAAACCGGAAGCACCAGTGGTGACGTTGTTGAACAACTCCGTGAAGAAAGCCACTTCGAACAGCTCGTTAAACGCGATGAATCCAAGGGAAGTGAGTGAATCTGGCTGAGGTGTGGCTGGGGCTGGAGCGTTGGGAGCAGCCTTGGGAAGTGTGCCACGGGCGTCTTGCTGGATCTGGTTGAGCTGGTCTGAAGGGTTTGCGATGTTGGGGAAGCCGTTGGCGAGCGGGAACTTGAAGACGCTATCGCTGCCGCCCCATTGAGCCGCAGGCGGTGCGTTGCTGTCGCTGCTGCTCTGATCTCGCTGGTGAGGCATGGAGCTGCCAACAGTGGCAAGGCCCAGGAGCGCTGCGGTTGAAAGGGTGTTGGAATACATTTGGGTGATGCTCTTAATCAATGATTGACAAGATACAAAGGAAATACAAAGGAGACAAGGAAAAGGGATTCACGAGTGTCTTGGTGCTACTTGATAGTATGCTTGATGTGCTTGGTGAGAAGCTTACAGGACTGGACATCGTGTGGTGTTTATATGGTCAGGCAGTTCTCCAGTGAGCACGTGTGAGATGTGGCCGCAGTGTGCTGACCACCTGTTCTTCAGCTCAGTATGTTGGTCTCCCTAACTCCAGTTGCTTGTGCTTGGTACCAACATAGTGCTCAGTGGTGAACGTGTTCTGGGCTGAGTTTCACGCGTCTGACATGCAGTGACACCATGACACCAACGAACGCAGTTCCTACCAGTCCACGTACCGTTATAGATGCTGCACATGATCTACGACTTGCTTTGCACCCTCTCGCTGTGGCTCAAGATAGGTTCTTGATGTTGTGTCTTGCTCATATTAGCTGTCTGTGTACGTGGTGTGGGCTCAGCTCAAGATAGGTTCTTGATGTCGTGTCTTGCTCATATTAGCTGTCTGTGTACGTGGTGTGGGCTCAGACTCCTATCTTAGGTAGACGGGATTGGTTTGGTCAGCAAAGACCGCTCTTGAGTTTTCAGTCAGCGAGTGAGCAATACCTCCACTGACCAACTAAACACATTGTGGTATATGCTGACTGTGTGCTAATCCGCGGTAGTAGGCATTCTGGGCCCTGACTAGCATACCACGACAGCCAGTGTCGTCTGGTCGCGTCTGTAGCAGAATGCCTGAACCTGTGGTAAGGGCTGTAACAACGCGCCAATCTCACTATGTCGGTCTCAGCAAGAGGTTCGAGACTCTCAACAAGTACTTCGTGCAAGGTGTCGAAAGCGAGCTTGTAGTGACTAGGTGGCCTGTGAGATATCGTGTCTGCAGCTCTGCCAAGATTGTCTCCATTTCTGATATAGCCCCGCTTTGTAACATTTTCCAGCACACAGAGTGCGAGTCCCTCGTGACCTGCGAGCGACAATCTCGTCCTCAGCAATGACTTGTCTGTTCTTATTGTTGGGTCTAATCAGACCGAATCCACCAACGCCTCGCTAAAGTCAACCTCTCGGAATCTCCCTCGATATGTCCCGTGGCTCATATCCTCACTTCCGTGTATAGTCCTTGAGAATTCCCACCATATGCTGGTTTGTCGTTTTGCCGCCTCTCCTGTTGGGTCTCTTTCGGTCTTTCTTCTTCATGTGATCTCTCCTCAGCTCCTTCACCTGACTGGTTGGCGTGATGCTAGCCTTTTCCAACTCATTGCGAACCTCCCCCTCTGTCGTCGGCAACTTCGTCTTTAACCAGAAGTCTCGAAATTCGAGGGCAATTTCGACGTGACAGGCTGGGGAGTCGGGCCAGATCATCTTAGCTGTATTGTCCTTCTTGTTCCGGGTTGCGAGGAGGAAGTGTTCACGTTCGAGCTGATCGATGGCCTTTTGGCAATCTGGCCAGCCATCTTTGAGATCTTTCACGGGAATTCCTTGAGCCGTCTGCTGGCGAGCAAGGTAGTTCTTCAGCTCCTCGGCATTTGTGACCGGGTGCTTGGGACGATAGCGAAAGGATTCTTTGCCGTTGGCGCTGCTTTTCTTAGGGATGTATTCTACACGGTCGCTGTCCTGGAGGGCACGTTTGATGAGCGGAATCCTACGTTGTGCGTCAATCGGCAAGGAAAGGTAATTAATGAGGTCGTCGAATGCGATCGCCTCGAGCTTGTTCTGCTTCAGCTTGTCGATCGCGTAGTGCACTTGAGTCAAGAGCTCCTGGCCCGACGCTTGAGGTACGCCTGGCGCTGCAGCCGCGCTGAAAGCCTCTTCGTGAGTGCGCTTTGGGGTGTCTGCCGAGGCAGCAGGCGCGGCGGGTTTGGGAGTCGATGTGCGCGTAGGGACGGTCGAGGATCCAGCGGGACGGGCGGAAGCGATGTTTCGACTCGCAGTATCGGCCAGCTCTTGCTTGTAGGAGGCAAACTTGGAGGAGAGAGACATGGTGGAGTGAGGATTCGATAGCGTGGGAGATGTGTTCCTGGCGGGAGTGTGTCGATGGGATATCCGGAGCAGTCAGCGAAGAGGTCCGGGCCTGTGCAAAAGGGGAGTGGAGAGATCGTGCTGGTGCGCGAGAGTGTGAATAATATGAAGTGAAGGAGGAGGAGGAGTGAAGAGAAGAAGAGAAGGTGAGTGGGTGCTCCAAGAAAGAGTGCCCAGGCTGGTGTGAATCAATCGCATGTCACATGTTACAGCGCATGACTCGCGTGACAACGCCAGCAAGGGTTGTTCCGCTTGCGGCACGGCTCTCTCTCGAAGCAGATGCAGCTTCACAACAACGGAACGCCAATAACTTCAGTGTCTGCGTCAACACGCGTCGTCTCTCTCTCTTCCTTTCAACACACCCACACACCACCACCCTCTCGCTCTCATCTGTCCCGGAGTCATTACATCGCCACACGCCATGGTTTGAGCTTCATATTTCACCCATCTCGACCAAGACGATGCGCACCCGGGCGCAGGCACACGACCCGGCCACGCTGGACGTGTCCTACGTCGCGACCACTTTCGGCGTCGCAGAGCACGATGTCCAGCAACTTCTGGACGCACCCACCGCCGAACTGGTCGAAGACTTTCTGCTTTCGCTGACCGACAAGGGCCAAGAGTTTGATGCGCTCCGGGCGGAGAAGCTGAAGGTTGACGTAGAACTGGACAACACTGTTCGCACTTCAGATGCCAAGGTAAAGGCTCAAAAATCAGCTGTCGCGAAAGCCCACAAGGAAGTGGAGGATCTGCGGACGAAGCTTGACCAGAGCGAGGCTGCCCGCGAAGCTCTTGCGGCCGAGCTTACACAGTTGAAGTCATCGTCGTCGGGCTCAAGTGCTGAGGCTCAGGCGCTGAGGCAGAGAATCGATACTATCGAGGCATCTAACCGCGATGCTCTGGCTCTAGTCGAGAGCAAGTCTACCGAGAAGGATCGCGTGGCGGCGGATCTTTCTGAACAGCACGCAAAGCTGTTGGGTTTACGGCGCGAAATCAACCAGCTGGAGGAAAAAAATTCTGCTCTGGAGAACGCAGCAGCATCGCAGAAGTTCAAGGAGCAGTCACTTCAGCAAGAGATTGACCTTCTCAAGAAGAGCAATGAGTGGCATGCCAACGAGCTTCAGACACGCAGCCAGGAGCACGCCAAGTTCCGGAAAGAGCGTAATGCTCGGATCTCCACCTTGGAGCGTGACCTCGAGGACAGTAGTGCCACCGTTGACGCCCTCAAACGAACCGAAGCGACCTTGCGACAGCGACTGGACGAGTTGCAGGGCAAAGCGGACGAAGCCTTTGCACGAATTGCGAGCTTGCAAGAGGAGTATGCACGCAAAGAGCAAGACTTCAGAGCAGAGTTGAGTGGCAGCAAGCGATTGGCAGAGCTCCAGGCACAAAATGCCGCTACTCACAAGAAGCGATTGCATGAAGTGCAAGTACAGGTGGACCAGATCAAAGAAGATGCTGCCGAAGAAATTGGCAGGTTACAGGCTGAGATTGAAACCGAGAGAGGAGACAAGGAGATTGCCGAGTCAAAGGTTGCTGAGCTAGAGCTCACTGTGGAGCGTCTTGAGCAGCAGCCGCGCATGTCAAGGCCCGGTACTCCACTGCGGAATGGGGAGCCACAAACGCCTGGCCGCACTGGTTCACCATCAGCCATGCCCGGCTCCATGCGCAAGGTGGTCAACGGCCTGAGCTTCACCCAGCTATATAGCAGGTACACGGAAGCACAAGAAGATCTCGAAAGCGAGCGAAGACGAACGAACAAGCTCTCCACGGCACTCGACGAGCTTGTTAACGAACTGGAAACACGGAAGCCTGAGCTCGAGGATCTCAAGGAGGAGCAGGAGCGTCTGGAGAACGAAGTTCTCGATTTCTCTCGGCTCCTGGACGAAGCGAACGCCGGTAAGGATGGGGCCATCAGAGAGCTCGAGCGATGGCAAGGAGAGGCCAATAGCGCAGCTCGCGAAAGTCAAATTCTCCGGCAGCAATTACGTGACCTTTCAGCACAGGTCAAGATATTGTTGGTTGAGATCCAAAGCCGCGATCAGGGCTTGGGAGAGCTTTCAGCTGACGAGCGGCTGGAATTGGAGCGTGCCGCTCGTGGCGAGCTTGATGATGGCACCTTGGACGAACTCAGTAGCACTGGGCGCCTCATTTCAGAGCGTCTAGTCATCTTCCGTCAAGTCGCTGACTTGCAGACACAAAATGAGAAGCTGCTGAGGTTGACTCGGGAGCTGGGTGACCAGATGGAGGGCAATGAAGCAAAGGAGAAGGCACGCCAATCGGAGGCGGATGCGCAGGAAGTTGAAGTCCTACGGCAGCAGATCGAACGTTATAAGGATGAGCTTACTTCTACGACATCGCAGATCGACAGCTACATGAAGGAGCGCGACATGTTCCGGAGAATGCTGCAACACCGTGGCCAATTGGCTCCAGATGCCGATATGCAGTCCCTCTTCGGTCAGAGTGTAGGTCCTGGCACGCCCTCACGCAATAGCCAGGGTCCGCCAGCAACGCCTCGCAGTAAGGATGAGGACGACCTTCGCAAGCTTCTCAAAGAGCATCAAACATACTTCGACCAATTCCGCAACGAATCTACGACCGACCGCCGAATGCTGAAGGAGCAGGCCGATGCTTTGACCCGCGAGAAAAGCACACTGCAAGCAGACCTCGCTCGTGCGCAGTCTCAGCTGACATTAGCATCCGAGCGTTACGAGATGCTTCAATCGAACTTCAGCGCTTTGCGCAACGAGAACGGCGAGCTGCAGAAACGATCGCAGCAGCTGGGCGAGCAGGCAGCACGACAAGACTTACGTACTCAGCAGGTTGCAGAAGAGTTGGTCGAGGCGCGTTCCATGACGGAATCACTTCGTAATGAGAATGCCAATGCAAAGGCTGAGAAGGAACTTTTCAAGCGTATTGAAACCCGCCTTCATGAGGAGAACAAGACGTTGCTGGATGATCGTTCCCGTCTAAACAAACTTGTAACAGATCTGCAGAATCTTCAGAATGAGCGCGAACTACAGGAGTCGGACAATCGCCGACGGTTGCAGTCTCGCGTCGAGGCGCTAGAGACTGAGCTCAACGATACCAAGAAGAAACTCGATTCTGAAGTGGAGGACAGCAGGAAAGCGGCATTACGTCGCGAGTATGAGGAAGGCCAGAGTCGGACACGAATCGACGATCTGGTCAAAAGCTTGGGCCACGTCCGCGAAGAGCTCGTAGCTGCGAAGACAAACCGAGACCAGTTGCAAAGCCGCGTTGATGAGCTGAAGATCGAGCTTCGCGCTGCAGAAGAAAAGGTGACCGCCTTGCAACCGCGTCCAACGCCACGCGCAGAGCCATCCTCAAGTGGAACACCTCGGAATGCCGATGAAGAGGATTTGCCTGCTGAACAACGCCTTGCTGTGCAGGTCTCGGAGCTTCGTCGCGATCTCGAACTGCAAAAGGGTGAATTGGAGAGTGCCAGAACGCAGGTCGAGCAATACCAGGCCATCGCCCAGGCCTCTGAAGAGGAGCTGAGCAATCTTAGCACGACCGCGGACCAGTACAAGGAGGACACCGATAATCTCATCGCCGAGAAGGACGCCAAGATCGCACAGCTGGAGCAACGTATCGAGGACATTGGTTCAGAGCTAGGCACTACCAACAGCGAACTGTCCGAGCTTCGAGGAAAGGCTGATGACAGTGGCCGTCAGCTCGCGGAACAGAAGGCCAACTACGAAGCTGAACTGAGCCGGCTCAAAGATGAAGTCGAGCGTCTTGAGACGAACGCGATTACCATTCAGGACGATGTCAAGACACAGGCAGAGATTGCGCAAGAGGCACAGACCAGTTACGAAGTTGAGCTTCAAAAGCATGCAGAGGCCGCGAAGTCATTAGCCAGTGTACGCAATGAGTACAACGAGCTCAAGACCAAGGTCGCTGGTGCCAGAGCGGAAGCGGAAGCCGCAAAGTCTAGCTTGGAACGTAGCGAGGAGAGCTGGGCCGAGCAGCGCGAGCATTTTGAGCGCGAATTGGAAGAGGCGAAGCGGAAGCGCCAGGACGTCGATGAGCAGAATAAACTCCTTCACCAGCAGCTGGAGTCTTTCTCCAAGGAGCTCACAGCCCTGCGGCAAGGCCGTTCCGCAGCTGCAGCAACACCAGCAGCGGATGGCGAAGGTAGCGACGTCGCTGCATCCGGTGGCAGTAATCTGCAGGAAGTCATCAACTTTTTGCGTCGAGAGAAGGAGATTGTGGACACACAGTACGAGCTGTCGTCACAGGAAGCGAAACGTTTGCAACAACAGCTCGAATATGCCAACACGCAGCTGGAGGAAACACGTCAAAAGCTGTCTGACGAGCGACGTCAGTCTGTCGAGAAGGCAAGTGCCGAGAGTAGCACTTCCAAGCTCATGCAGACAATCAACGAGCTCAACGTATACCGCGAGTCAGCCACCACGTTACGCAATGAGGCTCGGCAAGCTCGTGAGAGTCTGGAGGAGAAGAGTCTGGAGATCGAACGTCTGCTAGCGGAGACGCAACCACTCAAGGGCCGTCTCCGCGAGCTTGAGGGCGAGCTGGAAGTCAAGCAAGACGAGATTAAGCTGTTGCAAGACGACCGAGACCATTGGCGCGATCGCACCCAGAATATCATCAGCAAGTACGATCGTGTCGACCCTGCCGAGCTCGAAGAGATGAAGAAGAAGCTCGAAGAACTTCAGGCTGAGAAGGAGCGACTCGAGGCTGAACAAGTGCCCATGCAAGAGCAAATCGATGGCTTCGAGGCTCGTCTGCAGAGCGAGAAGGAGGCGGCGACAACACCACTAAACGATCGGTTGAATAAGTTTAGAGAACAAGCCAAGAGCCAAGACGCGAACCGAAGGACGAAAATCAACGAGCTCAACCTGGAGAAGAACGCTCTCATAGCTGAGAAAGATGGCATGGCAAATGAGCTTCAGCAAGTGCAGTCTCAGCTGGCGTCCGTCAGCGCCGAACTCGAGCAAGCCAAGACGGAAATCAGTCAAACACAGGCTGCGCTCGAGGAAGCCCGCATCAATGCCGCCAAATCAATATCTGATGACGCGGAGGAAGGCCAGGTCGAGGAAGACGGCACTGCATCTGGCACAGATAACAAGAATGCTGCTTTATATAACAAGATTGCTGAAGCAGAATCGCAAGCAAGTGAGCATGCCAGCCGTGCCGATGGTCTCAACGCACAGGTTCAAACTCTGCAGGCGCGCGTGCAAGAGCTTGAGAGTCAAGTCGGCGAAGTCCAGCAACAATTGGAGACTGCGCAGGCCAACTCAGGTGACGGCTCGACCATGCCAACGTCAGACAACAGCGAGGCTCTGGAGAGACTGCAGCAAGACCTAGCTATCGCCCAGCAAGAAGTTGAAGCTCTTCGGGCGAATGCCGCGGACCCGCCCACGGAGACTTTGGTCAACGCCGAGCCAATGGCTGGCGAGAAATCTGTGGCCGACCAGGTGGCTGAGGAGGTCGCGAGGCAGCGTGCGGAGCTTGAACAGCAATATGAGCTCTCCAAGTCCCAGGTTGATGAGCAGGCACAATTGAGGGTCGATGCAGTCAAGGCAGAGTTTCAGCAAAAGATCCAAGAAGAGAAGGTGAAAATCCGCGGCGACATCGAGCAAGAATTACGCGCTGAGCATGAAGCTGTGATTCGCAAGCTCACTGAGGAGCATGCTGCCACCATCGAGAAGCTACAGGCAGGGCACCAGGCAGAACTTGAGCGCTTCAACGCGGACGGCGCAGCAGCTGTCGAGAAGGCCGAGGCTTTGTCACCAGTGAAGCCGAAGACAGAAGGCCCACCTGTCGCTGCTGCGGGCGCACTCGACGTGAAGGCATTGAACCTCACGTACGAGCAGGCGACAGAACTGATTCGGTCGGACAAGCAGATCAAGGAGCTACTGACCAAGAGCGTGAAGACTCACGTGGAAAAGCAGACTGCCAAATTGAGGGAAATCATTGCTGCCAAGGACGCAGAGATCACGAAGCTGCAAGAAGAGTTGAGCAAGCTACCCGCTGCGACCAACCCTGCGGAGTCTTCTCAACCGCCATCCACCGAGGCAGACACGCTTGCACGTCAACAACTGGAGCAACAGCTTGCGACCGCCAAGAGCGAATTGGACGCTGCGAACATTGCCAAAGATGTTGCCGTGAAGCACGCTGTCGAAACGGCCGAGAAGAAGTTCAAGTTGCAGCTCAACATGCGTGATGTCGCAGTGGCAAAGGTCACAGCTGTGCAGAAGGCCGCTCAAGAGACGCCCGAAAAGCCGGTCAAGGAGGTGTGGGACATAGCGTCGAAAGCTCGCCCGCCGCCCGTTGCGAAGCCAGCGTTGCCATCAGCCACGCAGCCGGCTCCAACATCGACTTTTGGGCAGCCATCGAAGCCTCCTGTTGTTGCAGCCACTCCTACGAATCCGCAGGCTGCGTCGTCCACGCCTTCGGTTGCGCCAGCATCGCGGCCCGGCTCAGAGTCCGGTTCTTCTGCAAATGCAAAGCCAGCGAATGGCACTGGCCCAGCAGCACTGAAGAGTATCTCGAGCATACCAAGTGCAGCAGGCGCCACCAAGCTTCCTGGTCCTGGAGCTCGCGCAGGCACTGGTCCTCCAAGCCGCCAAGGTAGTGTCGGCAGCACGCCAGCGCCAAACGCGCTTCAGCAGAGAGGCGGCTTATCAAGTGGCCTACCGAGAGGAGGTGGCTCACTTCCTCGAGGAGGTGCTCGTGGCGGTTCCATTCGTGGCAACGCACGCGGAGGAAATGCTGCTAATGCAGGCCAGAAGCGCGCGCACGACGGAACGGAGCCTGCTGGAACGGACCCTAAGCGCACTCGGGGCGGAGCTGCTGGCGGAGCCTAGAATGCTTCTCCGCGAGGGTTTCGCATTACAGGCGCTGCGAATGCAAGTCCGAATCGCAGCGTGAATGGTCTCACCCAGAGCGATAGACCTTTACAGCCACCGAAATCCAAGGCCGATCTCAGGGATTTTCAGAAATCGCCGTCACTCAAAGAACATGGTGAGCGATTGGACGAGGCACCATGGAATGATTCCCGGGGCACGTCGTGAAGACAAGAGACGGGATCGCAACCGGGCCTGGATTTGACTCGGTGGGAAAGGAAAAAATAACATGCATGGCTGAGGTGAGCACCAGCCGCATCACACACTACTGGATGCATTTTCTAGAAAACCGAAAACGAGGCAGCAAATTCGTTTTCGTGGTCTGTCGTAAGGTACATGTAGCTAGCGATGTATATAATTATGCAAACATCTCTGTGCTGCATCGTGGAGTCCTGTGTGCCCTCTTCTCTTCTTCTTATCTTTCTCCGCCTGATAGTGCACCGCCGTCAGCGAACGATGAACATGAACGTATATGATGAGTCTAAGATGTTCGAATTTCCCCACGTTTTGCTTTGTCCACACCACTTCCATCAGTCTGTCAAAGTGAACAGCTCCGTCCCCAGTTCGCGCTCGAACCAATCCTTCAAGTCCTCCTCTTTCTGCTCTTGCTTCACCTCTGTGGGTTGGACCGTGCTAGTATTTCCCGTGGCCTCAGCGAGAGACTCGTTGCCCTGCAATGGGATTTGCTCATTCGCACGCAGCTCGCTCTCCCGCTCCAGTCCAGTCGGTGTGCGAGACTGCATCTTTTGTTGTTTAGGTGTCGAGAAGAATTGACTTGCATCATCTGGTGCAGAATCCGCAAACGTTCGCTTCGGTGGTGCTTCATACGTGTATGATGTGGTGTTCTGGAGAGCACCGGAGACCAGGGCCAGATCGCTGTCAAAGTTGTCTTCATTCTCTTCCAGGACGGACGTGTTCTTGTTCTCGTCGCTGTGGTCGGCGAGCAAGTTCAGCGGCGACAGTCCTCCTTCGCCGCCAAGATATTCGTCGGTGATGTCTTCGAAATCCCAGTCATTGCTCATGGTGGTATCCTGATGACCGGCGGTGGACGAAAGGTTCACGAGACCGCCGTTGTGATCTTGAGTGGCGTCCATGTCGCCATAAACATGGTTGGGCATGTCAAGCATATCATCCTCGACCTCGTGGAGCCCAATCTTCGGCTGCGTTGTAGCTTGCGTGTCAAACAGTGAAGTGTCAGAAGGAAAGTCATCTGATCCGAGTGTGTCTAGCCCAAAATCATCATCGAAATCGTGCTGTGTGTTCGACTTTTTCTGCGTAGGGGCACTGTGTTGCTTGCCTGCTCCGCTCAGAAGTGGTATGCTCTTTGTAGAGGTCTTGATACTGTTGTGAAGTCGATCGAGATTGTGGGCTTCCTTATTACCTACTTGCTTGCGGGGAGGAGGCGGCTCCAAATGAGCCTGCTTAGCCTTCGCAAGATTAAGCTGGGTCTGTCGTGGATCAGATGAAGGCTCTATCTTCTTCGGCTCTTTGATCTTCTGTGGCTTGGGCTTCTTGTCTAGACCCTCACGACAGCAGGCGCCATGCTTACACGCAGTCTTATCTTTGCAGGCGTGGTTGCACGTCCACTTGCCATTTGGCATCAGCACCGACTCAGGCTTCTCGACAGACGATTGCTTGCGCTTCGACGCCGTCTTCACTTGCGGCTTCCTCTCGTTTCCTTCATCATCAAAGTCTTCGATGTTGGCAAATCCACCCGAGGTCTCGTCGAGCTTACTATCGCCAACCTCATTGTCGATTCTCGCTTCAGTACCGGCCGCTGCTCGACGCTTGCATGTGTTGGGTGCGTTCACCAGACTCGGCAATGGCTGGCTGTCTCCATTGAGCTTGGGTGTTGGGAACATGAAGGCTGGAACTTCAGGTTTCAGCGCAGCGAACTTTTGCGTCCCAGCAATCTCGTCACACATCAAATACCCTCGAATCGTCTGGCCGTGAGCTGTAAGACTCGCAGAGAAATATATCTCCTGGCCGTTGCCAAGCTTTTTTGCACTGATCCGGGCGAAATGCGCCTTGCGACCGTCTGATGTGTCTGCTAGTAGACACACGTATACAGGCTTGCGCAGGAACATTTGCGGAACCTTCTCGTTCAGAAATCCGATGTCTGCCTTGACCTTGATGGTGACGCTTTCGCCCTTTTTGACGACAGGCTCTCCCATGCTTTTCATCGAGATGCGAAGCTGTGGAAACGCCATGGCTTTCTGCTGAGTTACAGTGCCGAATGGAGGTTGACGCGATAAGGTTCTCTCAATCCGGCCAGGCTCAGTATTGGCAAGATCTTCGATTGATTTAAGTCCAGCAGCGACTAATTTGCGGACATAGACCAAGCCTATGCCCTCGATTTGTTTCATGTGCAAGGGTGAGTCATCCCATACCTGCGCTCCGAAGCTGCGAGCTAACGTGAGTGCGTTACGGACCGAGATTGAATCTTCCAAGTAGAGTTGGCAGTCGATTATGCATCTGATGAGGCGGTGGACGTGCTGGAAGATCATGCTTTTGTTGTTGGCGTACTCGTATCGGTGCCTTATGTCTTCCGTTGACGGTTCAATGGCACCAAGAACAGACTGCAATATCAACGATACCTTGTGTGCAGTAGAATCAATATTGACAGGAATCGGAAATTTCATCGAAGGGTTCTTGTTAAGCTGCTTGTAAGACTGCTTTTCTCCAGCGCGGAAACGAATGTCCTTGAACTCAGCAGCCTGAGAAACGCAGGACAGAAGCTCCGAGATCTTGGCCTTGGGCGGCAGTGATAGGAACACTTTCATCGTGTTGAATTGAATATAATATCGTGTCATGGAATCCCCCAATTCAGTGCAGCTGAGATGTGTATCGCCTCGAACAAGATCGCTCTCCACCAATCTTGAAATACCCTGCTTGCAAATGTTTTCCAGTCGCTCGTCCAACGTACGGCCATGTGATTCTCCATCCAGTTGATAGTGTTCCGGATTGTCTTTCAGGCGCACGTACAAGAATGTGCTCATGAGCCACTTCTTCGCAGTGGAAGCACTCGTGACGGTGCCAAGACCTATCTCTGCGTTAAGGTGGTCAATCAGATGCTGGTGTAAGCTGTGTTCTACGTCAGTACACAGCACATACATGTATGATACATGTAACGTCCAATTATACGTACCAGCTCTCCAGCACCTCTGTTCCTGCAACCATTTTCTCGTAGAATGGCACACGTGCCAAACGAGTCATGATCACAGCAACAGCACTGTCGTCAAATTGTGGTCGTCCCGCACGGCCCAGCATCTGCATGGTTTCCAGATCTGAATACTCTTTGGCTCCAGCGTTGGAATTTTGGTAGCCCACGGTCCCTTTGATGATGACCATATGGCATGGCAGATTAACTCCTACCGCAAGCGTGGACGTGCAGCATATCACGCTGATTTCGCCAGTCAGATAGCCCTTCTCTACGGCGTTGCGGTCCTCAAGACTTAAACCCGCATGGTGAAACGCAACTCCAGAAGCAGCGGTTTCTGGTGAATGTCAGCTCCATGACACACACGACAACGTCGGGAAACTTGTACCGCGAAGTTCTTTGTCGCCTACTACAACTCGGCTGCGTGGAGCCGACCAGTATCTATCCCGAGACCCCTTCGAGGCCCACCAATTTGCCAACAGCTGAGCTGTGCCAAGACACGACTTTCGCGTCATGCAGAAGACCATGATGGGCTTGCGCTGCGACCACTTGATAATCACGTCAGTCAATTTGCTGTCCAGTAACTTTTCAAAGCCAAAGTCGTTTGAGTCCGATTGGTATCCGCAAACATGTTTCTGTAAGCGCACGGGGCGGAATTCTTCTCCAAATTTCTCACGGGGCGAAGGGATATCAGGATGCATGCTATCCTTGCCAAGCCACGTTGCAATGTCTTGTGAGTTGGGCACTGTGGCACTGAGTGCAACGAAACGAACGTCTGATCCTACAGACTTCATTCGAGAGACTACGGCCTCGAGTGTCGGTCCGCGGTCTTCCTTTAAGATGTGCACCTCATCGATCAAGAAGAGCTTGACCATTTGTATAAGCTTTTGATGGTCCTTCCACTTTCGCGTCGTGCTGTCCCACTTCTCTGGTGTGGTAATGATAATGCTGGCATGCTGTACATTCCGTAGCTGAGCACCATCTGTATCGCCCGTGAGTTCGGCACACTGCAGATCGAGCGTAGTAAACTTGGTCTGCCAGTCGCGTAGACGTTCAGAGCACAGTGACTTTGTTGGAGCCATATATACAATCTTGAAGCTGCCACTGCTAAAGCCATGGATGAGCCGACATACCGCGAGCTCGAGGATCGCAGTCTTTCCGCTGCCCGTGGGCGACGAGAGGACAAAGTTGTCGTTCGTCTTGAAGATTACTGGAAAGCACTTCGACTGCACGGCGTTGAAAAGCGGGAAGGTGAAGATGGAACGGAAACGGTCTGGCAGCTCTCGTGTGGCGACAAGTTGGATGCCCTGCACAATCGGTGTAGCAGTCGATACAGCTCTACGCACTTTATCAGGACCCGTGCCTGGCTGTAGCTGTGGCTGTGGTTGTGTGTTGCGGCGGGTGGGCTGCCAGGAGCGTGAATAGTCGCCCTCGGAAGTCTGATCGACAGACACCGCATACTGAGATTCATGTGGAGCGGAAGGCGTGATTCGACTGTGAGAAGGCGCAGGCGTGCGAATCTGGGGCTGGAGTGGCGGCTGTATTTCGAGTCTGCTATTGTGGTAAGGGGCTATGTGACGCCGGCCAGCATTGAAAGCAGGACTCGAGGGATGAGGAGGAGAGCGAACGGACGTTGTGCCTTCTACGCCGTACTGCGTGGGGCTGAAGGCGAACTGTGATAAGCTTGGACGAGGCCAGGTCGGTGCTTCTGGCGTGTCAAGGCTGTCATCCTGGAAGTCTGTATGAGCGCCGTACTGCGGTCTGGCTGGTGGCAGTGAGAGTCTGGCGTTTCCCTGGGCCGCCTGCCAGTGTCGGGAGTCCCGATCTGGCTGACGAAGAAGCTGTTCATCTGCATCAATTCGTCAGTGCAACACTCATGCGAAGCTACTCATACTGACACGACGGGACTTTACCAAACGCGTCCAGCTGCATAGGTTCTTCAGCATACCCCAGCATGTTGTTGTAGTCATGATATTGCTCCTGCGCCCGCTGTCGCTGATCGTCCGCGTCGTAGGCTGAGTAGACGGCGCTGGTGGCATACCGTGGCTGGCTAGATGCATCGAGAACGCGCGCACCTCGTTGCAGCCGGTCAAGCTGGTCGATGATTCCCTGATCCATCACTTCGGTGGTGGTGATGAGCGTGAGTGGTGACTGGCAGCGATCAAAAGCTACCTACCTATGTGAGCGGGAAGAAGAAAATGTGGGAGACGGTGGTGCGAAGGACAAAAATTGAACAGAGAAAGGCACGGTAGTTCCTTCCCAGGTCACTCAACGGACCTTCCATGTTACGAGAAGACATCTCGCCACTTACATACAATCGTCGCGCGCTTGGCAGTCCTCCAGAGGCATCTGCGCATCATTTCACTGCGAGTCCTGGGGCTCCTCGCGGGTATCCATCCCCAAGCGTGCTTATACCGCTAGCTGCCTGTTACAGCTCCCGTTTTGATGTTTTCCACTCTGAGCTTCTCGACCTGAACAGCCTCATGTCGCCCGAAGGCGTCCCAGGCCTGCTGGTAGAAAGTGCGCCTCGCGATGAGTCTCGTAGTGGCGACTTTGCAGCTGTCGCCGTAGCCTCAAGATCGAAATAGCCAGAGTCCTCGTCTTTTTCGTACTGCGATACGTTGATAGGAGGATTTCGCAGTGTCTTCTCGTTCACCGCCGACTGGTAGATGAATGTGGCCGCGAGAGTGATGAGCGTTCCCAACAAGAATGAGAGGTGGGTGGGAAACTCCAGCAGAAGCGCCGATACCACGATTATAATCACAGAAGAGGCATTGGTAGTGGCGGTCTTCGCCTCACTGCTGTCGCCATACCTGAGCGACAGCGCTACGAGTATGCCGCCGATGCACTGCAACAGCACCACAAGCCATACAGTCCAATTGTAGCCTGCGAAGAAACCTTTGCCAGCAAGATGCTCGCCATCTTTGAACAGAACTCCCAGAAACAGATTTGGCCATAGAGAGTAAAATGAGAGCTGCACGTTTCGGACCCAAATCGAAGGTCTCGGCCCATCCCTCGACTTCAATATCTTTTCCAAGTAGACGCATGCGCCTCCGGAAATCAACGATGCCAGGACTGCAGCCGCGAGGCCTATGGTCGCGTTTGTGCGGGGATTTGCGGCCGCCACATCCTCGTCGATGCCTTCGTACGTGGCGGAGCGCTTAGCGAGCTGTCCTGCAGCTACGTTTCCAGCGTCTCGTAGCTCCCAGATACTGCGTGGTGCATGGAAGGAGACTCCGTCGCGCAGATCTTTCATCGAAAGCGGCCCTCCTTCCTGCGAAGATATCGTGCCCAGCTGAATGATCACAACCCCGACTGCCAGCAGTCCTAGACTCGCCCACTTCTTCTTCGTCAAAGCTCTTCCAAGCAGCACTGCCCCGAATGTGGCCGTTGAGGCAATTTTGAGCTGGTAGATTACGCTGAATGTAGCAGCATCCAGGTTGCTTGCAGCGACGTACTGTAAAGTGTTCTGAAGCGAGTATAACAAAGCTGGAATTGCCAGTTTCCAACTGTCTCCCGTGAATACAACTTTTACAAGCGTGCTCGACAGCTCGCTGATGGTGGATGTGTCGGTCGCCTGTGGACTGGTCGCGATTTCGTAGAGTGCCATGGATAGGAAGAAGGAAAACTTTGCGATCTCGGCGAGGAAGACGGCGGTCGAGGCGAAGTAACGACTGCCATTCACGAGAGGCATCACGCGCGAGTAGCGTAGGAGCAAGACAAGCATTGCATTTTGAACAACCAGCTGCCCATCATCAGTATAGTGGCCTACCGCGCAAGATCACAGCACAAACCGCAGCCAGTGTAATATGCTTGGTTTGAATGCCTCCTAGGGTCGCCTGCCGGCGAGCAGCGTCCACAGCCATATCGTAGGACTGGCGGTCGTTAAGGAATTCTTGAGGGTCGATTCTCCCATCGAAGACGAGGCTGAAAAGCCGTCCACAGGTAAATATGAGTGATATTGAAAGACGCGAGCAAAGGGAGTGTCGTGTGACTTGTACAAAGGAACGGCACCTGACCAAAGAACGCTGAGAGCCGGCGTGCGGAGCAAGAGAGGTGCAAAAGCACCTCACCTCACCTACCTGACCTTTTCACAGTTTGCTTACTGGAGTCGTAGTCGAAGCCACAACCGTAGAATCGTTCTACAGGGTTCATCATTGCAGATCGATTGGCGATGCCGGCGGCCCGGCGATCAGGGATAGATGCCGCTGCCATCATGCGCTGTCAATCAACTATACTTCCACCCAAGCATAATTACCTCTACATGTATTAAGGTACAGAGCACAATTAAGTTGAGCTTGGCCAGCACGTATACGACATCACCAGATTCACCATATACGACGGACGGGATTCTGGGATTACGCAGCTCACCGCTTGCACCACACAGCGACCGATGAATCGCACAACCAGGTATCGATGTCACTCCCCGCAATGCGCGGCAACGACCATGTCCGATATGACCTAGTTTTCTCGCACCCCCCTACTTCCTAGTGCACTTGACCTCCACAGCGGCGTGACTTCGTCGATATGGCTCGGGCCAGTCTTTCGAATGGCAAAGATCAAGAATACCTGGGTAGAGAAGGTTGCTTGGTCTCCAAGACTATATTCCATCAGCATTCAGCAGAGGAGAACGACTGGAACAACGTGGCATGCTCAGGTGTTTGAGGATGCTGTTGGCCGCTCATATTCCCTGCTTACGAGATTAGCGAAATCACTAGCGGTCAGAGGACCTAAACTCCGGCCTGCTTGCTACAGACTCCCGTGCTTCACTGGTGGGATTACAGGTGGGATTACGACAGGACGCGTGGGCCGATGAACTTGTAGCCAAGACTTTGTTTGCTTTGCCTGACCGGGCACCTCACTTTTCAAACCTCCCCAGATCTAGGCGTTCGACCCTACAATCGCCACCAAGATTGTGATAATAGTCTGAATCCGTCAAGAATGTCTGGCATCGCTTTCAGAGGAGGCAACCAGGGCGAGCATCCTCCGATGCAAGGCCACAAGCCAACCACAACCAAGGCACGTCGCTTTTCAACCGCCCAAGGACCAAGTAATGATGGTAAGCAATACATCATGCCCAGTGCTTCGATTCAACGTGAAGGCTACCTATGCAATGTGGCTACGCGAGGAACAAAGTGTCGAGCATGGCGCCAAGATGACCTCCGCGAGGAACCGATAGGCTTCCAAGTGGAAAGAGGGTACTCCATGTTTTAAGATGCAGGCCTGCGCAGATGCAAATGCGGTGTTCAGGCACGAACCGATGCTACGTGCTGACACAATCACAGAGATCAATTCCGCTATTCACTTGCAATTTCGTCAAGCTCATGAAGGTCACAAGGTGCGTGCCAGCCTACTGGATCTCGGAGAGATGATATATGCTGACCGTAGTAGCCCCATGCCGGGCTCGACCCATCACGAGCCTCGACTGGTGTGATCTGGTGCACAGAGCGAGCGTATGAGCATGGTTTTGCAGACGATCCGTCCTCATGGGTATGCTGCCATGACATGATCTTGCCTTTCTGATTGACTGACATGTCTATCATCAGGCCAATCTGGGACAGGGGGCTCCCGAAGTCGATGACGAGATTGAGGGTTGTTTCAAAAGGCCACAGACTATTGATATTAGCATGACTGGACGAGAATATGGTCCGACTGCCGGTATCAAGCCTTTGCGCGAGGCCGTGGCCAAGTTGTACAATGAGCATCACCGCAAAGGAAAGGAGAGCCAGTATACCTGGGAGAATGTCTGCATCGTTCCAGGCGGACGTGCTGGCCTTATTCGCATTGCTGCAATTCTTGGCAATGCCTACCTGGGCTTCTTCATCCCGGATTACACTGCCTACAACGAGATGTTGTCGCTTGTCAGTGCAAAAGGGGGCGCTGTGATGCTCTGTGGTATGCGTGCTAACGAGCTGTGTAGTTCAAAAACTTCACTCCCCTGCCAATCCCACTGAACAAGAACGACAATTATCAAATCCACGCGGAGAAGATCGAGGATGAGATTTCGCGTGGCACGTCGGTCATTCGTGCGTTCATATTACATGTATCGAGAACGATCTATTTTTCTGTACTAATATGTTGAGCAGTCACCTCCAACCCCCGCAATCCTACGGGCAAGATGATTGCCAAGGGTGAACTGGCAGAGATTCAAGACCTCTGCCGCGATCGTGTGCGTTCCATTCCCGGGCAATGAGAACATTCGTGCTATTACTGACTCGTCGTCGATAACAACTTAAGGCGACGTTGATTATGGACGAGTTCTACAGTGGATACAATTACACCTCAGACTGCGATGGCTCTGTGGTCAGCGCAGCTGAGAATGTCGAAGACGTCGACGACGATGGCGTGTTAATCATCGACGGTCTCACCAAGCGTTTCCGTCTCCCAGGATGGCGCGTGGCTTGGATTCTCGGCCCGAAGGAATTCTGCAAAGCGCTTGGATCGTGCGGTTCCTATCTCGACGGCGGCACCAATGTTCCCTTTCAAGAAGCCGCAGTACCAATGCTCGAGCCCGACAACGTCCGCGCCGAGATGAAGGCACTCCAGTTGCACTTTCGTATGAAGCGTGACTACGTGGTGGATCGCCTCCAGAAGATGGGATTCAAGCTGTCATATACCCCCGACAGCACGTTCTATCTCTGGCTGAATCTCGAGCATCTCCCGCACTCCATCAACGATGGTTTGAACTTCTTCCAAGCCTGTCTCAGGGAAAAGGTCATCGTAGTTCCAGGTTCGTAATCGATTCTCCTTTTTTCCAGACTGGAAAGCTGCTGCTGCTTGTCTCTAGGTGGACTGCTAACTGTACACACTTGCAGGAATCTTCTTCGACCTCAACCCGGCGAGGAGACGTGATCTGTTCGACAGCCCATGTCATCACTACGTCCGGATTTCGTATGGACCCGTGCTGTCCACTCTGGTCAAGGGTATGGATGGTATTGAGAGGGTGTTGCAGAAGCATGGCGCCTACTCTGATGATGAGTCGGAATAATCGATTGCACATACATGTAGATGAGATGATGAGATGAAGATTGACATAGACGCCTGAAAGGTAAGATACTTACCTAGGTACCTTAGGTACGCATAGAGACTGGTTTTCAAGAGTGATGATTCACAGGACGCGACGTTTTCATCGGATCGGTCATTCTGTTGGCATAGCAGCGCGGTCGCGAGTCACGGGAACACGTGAATCTGGCGTTCCTTCCTCAAGTGAAGCAAGCGCTGCAGGCAGACGCGCCTCGAGGGGTCAAGCCCGTAGCAATTTCAACTGCCCACCACCAAATCCACTTTCTGGCTTTTTCTTCCACTTCTTCTTCGTCGTCGTCTTCTTCTTCTTCCTTGTCTTCGAACTCGCACTCATCACAACGACAACCACGCTCACACATCCGCAACCAACGACCACACACTGACACATCCGCAACCAACGACCACACACTGACACATCCGCGCCACCTCGATACTCACGCTGTACAGCCCAACATGCCCGACTTCTGGGATCTGCCTCGTTCAGTGCGCGACAAGATCTACCGCATGCACCTTGTGCTTCCCGGCCCCGTAACCGAGGCCAAGCACAAGTCGATGTGCCGGATGGTGAGGACGTATCACACCGATCCGGCAAAGGTCATCCCAGTACTGCTGCAAATATCCGACAGAGCCGCTCATGAAGCGGCGCATATCTACTATGGCGAAAATGTCTTCGAATCCCAAGAGCTCGACGCTCGAGTGTTCACTGAACACTTGCGGCTCAAGTATGTGCACCTTATCCGCAAGGTGACCATCGACTGGGATCCGTACGCATTATCCGCTGGGCGCAAAATCAAGTCGCTCGCCCGTCTGAAAGGTCTGCAGGAACTCAACATCAGGGTGGACGAATACATGATGGTGCACGAAGGGCTCGTCAAGCGAGACACTCGTCAATCATACGAGGAGAAGAGCACATATTCCTCGCAAGAACAGCTGGCCATCTGGCATTTCCCAGGCCTGACTGGGCTGTTGTCTCTGCAGGTTATTCCGGTTGTGAACTTCTTGCCTCGGATCAATTCTGCCAACAAGGCAGTAGGCGGAACGATTCCTGGCGGCGTCCTGCTAACCAGTGTCCTGCCAAAGTTGACTGCCCCAGCGGTGAAGATCCAGAGCAAGGAGACCGCTGTTGACGAGGAGAAGATGAAGGAGAAGGAGGAGGAGAGGGAGAAGAAGACGAAAACGAAAAAGAAGAAGAATACAAAGAAGCTCCAAAGGTGTTGCCGCTATACGCATACGCCAGAGAATCACATCACTGACTAGTGATTAGGAAAGTGAAGCCAACATACTTTGACTTCATGAATTTGGCCCCAGAAGTTCGGAATGTTGTGTATGAGATGCTGCTGTGCGTCGACGGTCCAATACATCCTTCCAAGAAGAAGCCGAGCACAGAAGGAAAAAATATTCATGAGGGCGGGGCTCAAGACAACAATTCGGCTCTCTGTCTCCTCGCTGTCAATAAGCAGATTCGAGACGAGGCCGTGGGTGTCTATTATGCTACCCCTTTCGTGTTCTACTATCCTACTCAATTTCACGCATTTGTTCAAGACTTGGGATCACTCCGCCGAAGCGTTATCAAGGACGTCACCATCCATTACGACAATACGAAGCGTGGTGGTATCAACCTCGTCGACCTCACGTTTCCACTGTTGCGAGACCTCCCTAAGCTGCGACGGCTAAGCATCGTCATGAATGCACACTTGGTTAGCAAGATACTCCCCCGAAACCATTGGGGTTCGGCTTGGAAGATGGAGGGCGCGAATCCTGGTCTCATGCCTGGTATCCATGTGCTTTTCAGTCTTCGCGGGTTGACTGAAATTAAGATTCGTGACCAGAAGCTTGACGAAGAGCACGAGCAAGCCCAGAGAGACAAAGCATACCCAAACTTCTTCGCACAGTCCCGCAGCTACCATGTCGTCAAACTCGCCGCTGCACTGGAACACCTCAACAAAGCACTTCTAGACGCACAGGAGGGTAGAGTCAATGCCGAGTTACTTCGAGACAATAATTGGCATACTCGGGATGACTTCCCTCAGATGCTGGATGAGAAAGACCCAGTCGAAGAAGACCAGGAGCAAGACAGAGAGGGCAGAGGGATAGATGACGGCGACTGTTCGGAGTCTGTGACCAGTTGTGACGAGGACGATGAGGAGGAGACTGCGGATGAAGAGAATGAGGACGATGAGGAGGACACCGCGGATGAAGACGAGGACGGGAATGATGGAGACGATGATTTTGACAACGACGACCCAATGGTTTAGCAAAACAATGTTGACGCGGATGAAGAGCTGTAAGTGCTCAAGTCGGTCGAGTGACGGTGGTCGTCAGATGCCCGGGCCGTCTCGAGAAGCGCGCAAGGTTGCAGTGCCCAAGAATGGTTCTTGACAAGCGCTGGCCAAGTCTCTAACACGAGAATCCCCTTGATTCCCAAGAGGGCAAGTACCGACGGGAGCGATTATAGACGCCATGGATTTGTTCCACAGGCCAAAAACGAACTTTGTAGTAAATAAATACGAGATTCCAACCCTCTTTTATCAACCGAACACATCCATCTCATCAACAATTACATTCTTCAACCTATGCATAATCAATAGGTAGATCTCCATCCAACCATCCATCTTCCCACAAAAAAAAATACAATGTTCAAGGTAGAGTAAGCTAGGTACCTACCTTACCTCCTTTCCCAAATTTTCCCCTTTCCACTCCAACCCATCCATCCCCAAAAAACCATCTCCCTCATCCTCCCTCTCCCATTCCCATCTCATCATCCATCCCCACCAATCCCCCCCTCCAATTCTTTTCTTGCACTTCCTAGGTGGTGCGATGATTCTTTTTGTTGTTGTTGTTCTTATTAGTGTGACAAGCCACTTATAGAAGTAAATTTCTGTAGCCCAATAAATTGAAATAATTGGCTTGAATACCTATACAAAGCATGTCTTTTTTTTTTATCTTTTCGTGGTGGTGGCATCGACGACGTTCGGGCTATTATCTGGTTCTGATGATGAGTTTGTAGATGTGGATGGAGGTCTTGATAGCTGATGAATTGGATATTCGGTTGACTGTACAGATGGCGAGAATTTCTGTGGGTTGTTGTGGTGGGTTTCATGATGAGTATGCTGCTTTGGTGGGGCGTGAATGCGTATGTTGGTTGTAGTAGGAGTAGTAGATCTGTCTCTGTTGGAGCGGTTGGGTTAATAGAAAGGGGGAAAAAGGAGTGCGGACGGAGATTTAAAGTACTGTGGGAACTTTTCATCAAAGACCACGCACGACACGGACAGTCTTTCGTACGATCACGCACTGGTTTGTTCGTTAGTGAAGTATTCTCTGAACAGGCAGGGGGACAATTCGATTTTTTTTTCGGCTAGCTCACACAAGCCCAAAAACGTGTTGTAGATACTCCCCCGAGTCGATTCATTCGTCCTAGTATCATCATCATTATTCATTCCCGGGGTATCCTTCAACACAGCATTTCTTTCCGCAACGATGAAAAACATCGTCACTGATCCTCAGAGAACTTTCAATCAATCTCCATGCGAAACCCACCCTCTACATGAGCACTAAAAGGCCTCCAATGTCGCTTCTGCTTCTCATTGCGACTCCCCACAGAATGCAAAGACGTGCGATCCGTTTCCTGCCGATCGAGTTCATTAGACAAGGACATTCTCGCATGATAACCATGACCATCTGTCGAAGCGGACAACTTCTCCCAATGCTGCAGATCCGCACTCGCCAGAACACTATCCCTCTTTTTCGTAACCAGCCGCGAATTTCCGGATTTCGCCATCAAAACACTCAATTTGGAGTGCTTTGACTTTTCCATTTCGGGTGATGATGATGATGGGAGAGGATGATGGCACAGAATCTCTTGACGCCATTGCATGACAAAAGGTAAGTAATACTCCATTTTCCTGTTCAGGGCATTCTGGTAGATTTTCAACACGCCATGTGCTGTGCAATGTGACTTGCACAGGAATTTGGTCAGTTCGGCCGCTAGAGTTTCTGCGTCGATGAGGGGATTTTCGGCTTCGAAACAGAATTCTCCAAATGCGATGCATATGAGTGTACCTGCGTCTCTGTCTAAGGGCGCATAGCAGCGTTCGCATTCTCCGAACGTACAAGTCGTATTGCCCCAAGTGTCCAATATGTGAAGACGCGCAAAGAGCGCTGTCCGTGATGGAGTGAGGATGTGTGCGAGTTGGTGATAGCTAAAGAGATTGCTGATCTTCTGACATGTGAGTGGGTAGTCTCTGACTTTGTACCACTCTTTGTAGCATTCTTCCGTGAAAAAGTTCCTGCTAATGGCGTCGTAGGATGCCGACATGGCGTGAAGGGTTGCGGGTACGCTCCTCAGCTTGTACTTTCGGAGTATGTGGAGTATATCGAACTGGTTTGCTCGACGGTGTTTGTGAAGGTCTTGGTCTTGGATGTGAGACAGTCGCGGATGGATAGAGGCTCAATTAGCGTCGAGCTCGAAGTGAATAGGTACATGTAGGGATCTGTCTGAACGCGGTCTGGACATGCTGCTTTTCCACCTTTCCTGGACGAGAGTGTGTTTAGCATTGTTGCCTGCAAAGAAGACGAGCGGATGACTGAGGTGGTGATGAGCGGGATGAGCTCCCGAAAACGCAGTGAATGAGGTGATGATGCTACACACACGTGATGAGCCGTGAGACGCGTTTGCCTGCATCATGCTGCAATGGGCCATTCTCGAGACGCTCACGGCGTCATGCAGTATTTCCATCAGCAATTCACTCGACGACCGCATCATGTGACAATGTCCTTTTGTTTTTCAGCGACGGGAACAATTCTTGGCTGGCTCACAAGCGATTCATCGCAATAGGCTCATCTCGATTATTATCTTGTATCCCAATGTCAACGTCAGCGTCAGCGTCAGCCTGCCCACGACGACGACGACGACGACGACGACGACGACGACGATATCTCTCCTATGATGCACAGCATGAATACCTACCTAACCTAGCATCTGCACAGACGACTAGCAGTAGCAAGTATCATATAATAAGGTCACGCCTCGTATCGTGAATATATTTCCAACAAAAGAACCGTCGTAATACCACGGAATACAATGATAGGTACATACACGGTAAACATAAAATACATATATATATGGCACAAGTGAAGGAAAAAAAGTTATCGGATCTTCAGGGAGATAAGAAATGACAATCTTCACCCCGAACGCGCCAGTTCATCGCAATTCTATGCATGTGCAGGGTACAGAAACTAGCGTACCAGATTTTGTGGCCAATCAGATGGGAGATCCTCCACATCGAGAGTGAGGGACCCCACATTTGGTTCTTCACATGCTATCTGTTAGGCCTTGGCCTTCGAAGCTTTACTCTATTACAATAACAAGAATTATCGATTATCGTCAGCAATTGCAGTGATAGCGCTTTGGTGAATGCGGGGGGAATTCTCTAGGATATCCTTTCTGAAACACTGTATCGGCAATGAAATTGTATTCGGGCTGGGCGCTATCTATTCTCTCATGCCTCAAAAACGCGAATATGTATATGTATGTAATTGAGAACAGTCCACACTAAAATCGAGACCGAACAACTCTCCTCAAGCGGATGACAGTCGGCTTCCCAGCGCTCTACAACAAATCCAATGGCTCCTGCAACACCCCAAAGATATCAGCACAAAATCCCTCGCAAACAAAAAAAAAATGAGGGAAGGAAAAAAAAAAAGTCAACTCACAATAGCCTCACGCTCCATCTTCGCCGCTGCAAAAGCCTCATCAATCACCGCAACTCTCTCTTTGCTTCTCGGCAACATCATGACCGGCATCGTTGGCCCAGCAAGACCGGGGAAATCTCCTCGCCAGTCTGCAATGTTCAGCGGGAGCTTGGCATCGGGACTCGGCGTGACTTCAAATGCCCATAGGATTCGCATGATTGCGACGGCGAGAGAACGTTCTGCGACGTTGTATCCGGGGCAGATTCTGTTTTGGCGCCGGTTTTTGGTTAGTTTACACTGACTGCTTTTCTTTTTGGATCTCGACCCGAGGGGAGGGTTTGGATGGAAAAGAGAAAAAGGTAAAAGAAAAAAAGGAAAATCACCTTCTCCCAGCGCCGAAGGCGAAGTGGTCTCGCTTTTGTACGTCGGACGAATTGATGCTCTGCATGGCTGTCGTTTCGTCGCCTTCGTACCTCTCCGGCCAGAACGTCTCGGGATCTTGATGTCGTTGGGGATCGTGTTGGAGTGCGTAGCCGTTGAGATTGAGACGAGAACCCTTGGGAATACGCATTCCATTGTATGTAATGTCGGCCGTCGTGACGTGCGGGTGGCCCAGACCTACTGGTGGTCTCCAACGCCAAGTTTCTTTGACGATACATCTGACCTGGAGTCGAAATTGTCAGCTAGGAAGTTGAACCAACCGTGGGTGGATGCAACTTACATAAGGGATTTTCTCATAGTCTTCCCAGTATGGTATACGGTCTCCGACAACCGCATCAATGGCATCTCGGGCTCTCTTCTGCACATCAGGAAAACTCATCATGGCCTCCACAAACGCCCAAGTAGACATTTGAGTAGTATCCGCGGCACCAATCGTCAGCATCAAAGCAAAATGTGCTCCTTCCTCCACAAACGGAAATCCCAAATTCTTCTCATCCTCCACAATCTTACACAACAACGACTCTCGCACCGCCGACCGATCTTTCATCGCTTTCATCCTCTCCAATTTATCCACCGACCAAGCTTTATCGCGTTGAAATCTCGCTCGACCCGCTCTCTCCCACGGCTTGAGAAACAAGGGCAAATAATCCAAAAACGGCATGATGTCTACCAAATACGCTCCGGGTAACGTCCCCAAAATTTGCGCCACTCCGGTCTCGTGGACATATTTTATCGCGGGATCGGACGAGTGCGGTACATCGAATCCTAACATTTGCGTGGAGAAATTGCTATAGGTATATCGCATGATGGCATTCCATAAGGCGGGGCCGGATCGTTGGGTGCTGGGATCGTGGGCGACTTCGTGGATGAATTTGAGGGTTTCGTAGTGGAGGAAGGGGAGAGCGGCGTCTGCGCGCGGGATACTGCCTACGTTTCCCCAGGTGATTTTGCGTTGGTATTTCCAGCGGGGGGTGTCGGCGTTGATGAGGAGGACGTTCCTGGGGAAAGAAATTGAAAGAGTTAGCGGAGGAAGAAAACAGAAAAAAGAAAAAGAGAAAAAGAGAAAAGGAAAGAAAAAACATACCAGCCATTACACATATGTTGACTACTAACGAGCCACGTCGGTCGATTCGCAGAAACTGCCGCGGGTTTCTCAAAAATGGCCTTCACAGCGAGATCCGACGAGACCATATACTGGGTAAAAGGGCCAACTTTGACTTTATAGAGCTCGCCATACTCTCTTGCCCATTTCTCGAACAGGAGATGCTGCTCGCCGATTTTACTTGCTGCGATGACTTCGGGAAGGTTGCCGATGAATGGTTTCCCTTTCGGTCCAGGGGGCAGTGGAAGCAGGTGTCGTTCGTGGAGCTTCTGTTGGATGTAGTTGAAGGAGAGGTAGAGGATCCAGCCGATGGCACCGAAGCTGAAGATTTGGAGACTCACAGGGAGCTCGGCGAAGGGGAGACCCATCTTCGCGAGGAGGAATCAATCAGTGATGGAGACGATATCTAGGCATGGAATTGAGAATGAATAATCATCGATAAAAACAATAATCTGCGAGAAAGTAGTAGTTGTTACTACTACTACCTAGATTGTACTTCCATGCCTTGATATATCTACCTACTCTTCGTGTATACGGCAACATGCTATAGCACTACCCCGCCTCCCCCATCTTTTTACTTTGGGGGCGGTACGATGTCAGTAGTGCGGTCGAACGAGTAATATCACTATAAATCCTCGTTTCGTACGAAGCACTACCTGGTTTTTGTTTTTTGGTTTTTGCGTTGTAAGTCGTCCAACTTTGTCGGCAATGTTCGTATCTCCCGTTCGTTTTCTCTCAACCTCGATTTTTGAGTTTCTAATACACTTTTTTTTTGATGCTCAGAGTCGGCTGTAACGGAGTTTGCGTGTCGTCCCTATAGCAGGCATATGATGAGCAAGTTGGCGGTGAACAGCAAGAGACTCAACAACACGTTTGCTTTTAGTTCACGCTTTTCCAATCAATATCGATACATGACCTGTACAGCTATTCCACTTGTACGTCAGGTCAGGGGGTCGATCCGGTGGAGGCTGACTAAGCATAAGCTAGCCGCGAAGGGATTGGAGGTCACGGGTACCTTACTGAAGTCACTGTGACCCCACTCTTCACATGCACATCATACCTTACTCCCTCCATACTAGCGTCTTCTTGCTTCCAACCATCACTTGTCACCACCCGATAGACCAAACACCAACATGGCCGACGACGAGCTGGCGACACGTGCCCCCGAGAGCGACGCTCACGAGACGACTGCGACGACGACGACGACGACCGAGACGAGCCCCATTCCTGGCGATAGCAAAGCAGATCAGGGTGCCGCGAGCTTGGGGGTATGATGTGCCAGACTGAGGACCACAGACGGAGAGAAAAAGAGCAGTGTGTGCTGAACAGACGTAGGAACACTGCACTACCGATCGCCCCACGCGTAATGCCTCCGAGCGCCATCCCGATGAGAGCATGAGCAAGAGCTGATCAAGCGTACACGCAGCATCTGGCGAGCAACCGACCGGCGTATGAGCATCATCAGGCAAGGAGACCAATGCACAACAAGAGCTGAGACGTGACCAGGAGATTGCCAAATTCAACGATGTCGACACATATATCGCAAAGCCTGCAGACTACCCTCACACGCCTTCCAAGCTGCTCCTGCTCTTGACCGGCGGCACCGGCATCCATTCCGTCAATAACCAACTTCAAGCCGACAAATTTGCCGCAGAAGGCTTCCTTGTCGCCATGCCTGACCAGTCAGCCTCTCCCTCTCACGCGCGCGTGCTCCTGCTTGGTGTCGAGCTTCATATTGACCGTCATGGTGAACAGATTCGCCGGCGATCCCGCCACCTCGGTGTCACATAATACGACAACACCTGCCGAACAGAATCCCAGCATTCTCGAGCAAGTCAAGCTTGGCATCGCCTCTGTTGCCAAGTCCTTCACCATCGACATGTGGCTAGCTCGTCACACCTCAGAAAAGGTCCTGCCGATCCTCCAGAAAGCCATAGATGGCATCAAGGAAGAATTTGCCGACGCAGTCGCACATGGGAATGGCATCTACGCCGTAGGATATTGCTTTGGGGCCAAGTACGTTCTGCTTCTGGGCTCTGAGCTATATGCAGATGTGGCAGCTGGACAACGATCGCCGGAAACGGAAGCAGAGGAAGGCATGGCGAAGAAGGGGCCTGCTATCAAGGTGGGAGCCATCGCTCACGGCACGCAAATCACAGTCGGCGAGCTCGAGAATTGCAAAGTGCCGCTGTCCATCGTCGCAGTCGAGGACGACAGCCTGTTCCCAGACGAGATCCGAGAAGCAGGTGTCAAGAAGCTGCAGGAGAAGAGCACGGAGCATGAGGTCCAGGTGTATCCTGGAGTGCCCCATGGTTTTGCTGTGTTGGGTGACTATGAAGACGCAACGATCAAGGAGAAGCAACAGGATGCGTTTCAGCAATTACTGCAGTGGCTCAAGTCACACTGAGCCGTTAGTTGCGTCAATAACTGATCATATACATGTAGCTCAGAGCATTCCATGACCAGAGAGAGAGATGTCCGCTCGCCTATCATTGAATCCCCTCCCCCTCTGCATTCCATGCGATTTTTGTTTCCATGCATATCTCAGAAAGAATCGAAGCAATTAAGATGGATATCAGAATAGTAGGTAAGGTACCTTAGATGAGATAGTTGGTCCATTGGGTCGTTGCTTGGTTTGATTACTAGGTAGTTGCTTAACTGCCTTAGTTGCTTGGGTCGATCTAAGTTGATGAGAACTAGACCTAGACCTAACTAGACCTTGAAGCTATATCCTATCTACGCGAGAGAGCGCTCGTTCTCTTGAAGTCTTGAGCTTGAGATGGAGCTTGAGATGGGATGCTTGATCGATTGGTTGCTTACCTAAGGTATTTAGTTCATCTTCCTCTTTCATCATCATCATCATCTTCCTAAAAAGAAAGAAAAACAGCACGTAGGTATAGTCTTTCTCGTATACCTACATACGTATATCGAATTGCCCCAAAAGAGTATCCACGGTGTGCCCCAAAAAAAAAGAAAAGAAAAAAATCGACGTCAATCGATGGATCGATCCATCAATTTCATCCATCCATCCATCAATCGACCAAAGAAAGATTGCCCTGAATCCAGAACACCCGGCAGAAATACATGAGTGATTCAACACTGCTGCAAGAAAAAAAAAAGTCAATTCCACAACTCCTCACTACCAGCAGCCACGCACTACTGCGTCAGATCCTGCTCTCCCTCCTTCTCCACCTCCTTCACCTCTCCCTCCTGCTTCAACTTCTCCTCCCTCTCCCTCTCCATCCTCTCCACCATCTCCCCCCTTTCCCTCTCCCCCATTTCCTTCTCCCGCTTTTCCTTTTCCTTCTCCTCCTTTTCCTTCTTCCAATCCGTCCTCGAAATCCACTCCTCCAAAGCCGTCACATCGCGCACCAAACCCCGAATCCACGCCCTCACTTCTCCTGCTTTCATCTTCACCATTTCTCTCTCTGCAATATCATGCGGCTTCAACAGAATTTCATCCGCGTACTGCAGAATCGCTCCGAGTTGGTCTGCGTTGCCCCGGAGCCCTGCGTGGGAGTGGATTGCGTGGAGGGTTAGGGGGGAGGGGGAAGGAGGAGGAAGAGATGATGATGATGAGGATGAGGATGATGAATACAATGAAGAAGAAGACGATGATAATGATGAAGAAGGAGAAGAAGAAGGCAGAGAGGCGATTCGGGTGGCAACGGATGCGAGCTTTTGGCGGAGCGTGTTGAGGTGGTGTTTCACGCTGTCGAGCTGGTTGGTTGTGGCCATTACATCGTTCATGTCGATGTAGCGGGGGTTGGTGCGTTCCCAGACGGGGGGCAAGGGTTTTCTGGAGGACTTTTTGCTTGGGGTTTTGTTGTCGTTGTTGTTCTTGTCGTTCTCGTTGTTGCTGCTGTTGTCCTTGTTGCCATCGCTGTTGTTGCTCGATGGCGTGGTGAGTTGAGACATCTTGGAGAGATTGGACTGGCTGTGGGTTTCAGAGAGACGAATTGTTGTTGTTGTTGTTGATGCTGTTGCAAGAGGACTTGTTTCTTCTGCTTCTTTCAAATGCGACCAGATAGATAGACTCTGCGATTTGAAATGAAAAGACCTGCTCGTGGGAGTAGTAGTATATATGGAGTGTCGTAGTCCACACCAAAACACAATCCATCTCATCCTATAAGCTCGCCCTCCATCCGTGGTAACGTCCGTACGCTTACAACAACCCAAGCAGCAGCGACAGCCGTACACCCAACAACCAATTGTCTATACGAGAGTTCTCGTATCGTATCAATATGTACCTTATGTGTGCTTCCACAAAAAGTCTTTTTTTCTTTCCCAATATGAAGTTTCTTCAGTGATGTGATGGAGACTTTGTACCTAAATGTATGGTAGCTTTTATGCGGGAGAGAGGCCATTGGATGGATGGATGGATGGATGCATTGATTGATTTCGGTACTCACATTCATCATCTGCTCTCTCTCTCTCTCTCCAGCCGGCGTGGTAGCTTTTGCGCGGGAGAGAGGCCAGTCGATGGATTGGTTGATTGGTCAAGGTACTCACATTCATCATCTGCTCTCTCTCTCTCTCTCACCGGCCTGCGTGGTAGCTTTTGCGCGGGAAGGGAGCCCAGTGGATTGGATTGCTTTATCGATCAAAGTCCTCATATTCATCATCTGCATCATCTGCCATGCGCTGCCCTGCCCTATCCTGCCCTCACCAGCCTGAGTGGTAGCTTTTGCGCGGGAGAGTGGATGGATTGGTGGATTGGTTTCGGTACTCACATTCATCATCTGCATCATCTGCCCTGCCCTATCCTGCCCTGCGCTGCCCTGCCCTTTCTCAACATGGAGCCATGGAGCCATGGAGCCAGGCAGCCAGTTCTGTGGATTGAATTCGCTGACCACCACAACTTCTACCACTGTACTGTCCTCTGACTTTTCTTCTTTTTCTTGGGTAAGAGGTAAGAGGTAAGAGGCAAGAGGTAAGTCGGACTACCATTACCATTACCATTACCAACACCATCTACCCGTCTGTCCGTCCGTCTGTCCATATGACGCATATGACGGGAAGAAAATAAAAATAAAATAAGAAATATTCTTCGCGTGCTGCTTCACTTCCTACCACTCTTTTTCTCCTTTCCGGTTTCCCTTTTCTGTAATGTCAGTCAGTCAGTCAGAGAGACTAATAATAAATAATTTGTTTGGATGGAGCAAACTTACGTTACCTGTACCTACCAGATATAGTACCTTAGTACCGACCACGTAGCGACCTTACCGACCGACCGACCGACCGAGCAGAAAGAAGGAACCTCTTCTCTTCTCTTCTCTTCTCTTCTCTTTCCACTCACTCACTCACTCACTCCTTTCTTTCTTTCTTTCTTTCTTCATTACGTATCGCCATGATTGGTGGTCCCACGTACTCAACTTTTTTTTGTCTTTTCTTGTTCTCTGGAACGTAGACGTGATGACATTCCCGCCCAATTCCCGCAGCGCTTCTCTCGTTTTATTTTTTGAAAGAATCTTTTTTTTTTTTTTTTTTTTTTTTTTTTTAAAAAAAAGGGTACCTTCAACAACTCGACCCAGGGTACCTTATCTTAACCTTACCTCTTACAAGACAAAGAAAATATGGACGGTATCTTACCTACCTGAGTCTCTGTCTGTCTGCCTGACCCGAGGAGAAGCGAGCGAGCGATCCATATTTTCTTTCCGAGGAAATCTTTTTTTTTCTCTCTCTTCAAATCTCGTCATAGCTTTCGCTACCTTAAAGACCGCGGTACCGTGGAGCACGAGGTGCGTGAAGAGAAAAGTGTCTGTCATCTTCTGGACCACAAAAAGTTAGCGCGCAGTGTTTTCTTTTGAGTGAGTGAGAGATGAGGATTTCACACATAGGGTATCGTGAAAAAGCAAAGTCCGCGGCTAGTGCCTCCTCCTACCTGGGACTTTGCCAGGCTGGAATTGCTCCTCCTGTACCTCCAGTAGAATCAAATGACAAACACGCAAAAGCATAATGCGCTCGTCTTCTAAATCCGCGAAATTAGCTCTGGAGAATTAGGACACCCAAAAATGGGGACTTGGGTTTGACATGATGAAAATCGCTCAAATCTGCCTGAGGCTTGGATTGTATAATACACAAGGAGGATCGTTGCCTCTTCGCTTCTTTTTTTGAAGCAGCCCCCCCTCCCACAACTGACACTCGTCGAATCTGTCTTCTGAAGCAGAGTAGTACACTTATTCGAGAAACACTATACCCGTCGCCATATTTTCGTCCAAATTTCAATGACCAAAGAAACCAGAAATCATGCTTCCAATGTCGCCAGCATCTTCAGGGTACACCCAGAACGCCAAAGCGATTATGATGTATGTGCCGAGACACATGCAACCTTCGAGGTAGTTGCTCTTGCCATCCGAGATGAGGTAGTTGACCACCAAGACACTCAGGAAGAAGACTACAGTCTCAAAGCCCTGGAAGTGTAGTGTCATATCCTCACCGATGATCCAGCCCAAAATCACCAGGAATGGGGTCACGAACAGCGCGATTTGCATCGAGGATCCGATGGCGACTCCGACAGCGAGATCCATCTTGTCCTTCCACGCGACCACGACAGCTGTGACGTGCTCTGCCGCGTTGCCGACAATGGGGAGCAGAATCAGACCAATAAATGTCTTGCTAATACCAGAAGAAGCGACGATCGAATCGATGCTGTCCACGAGGTATTCAGCGCAGACGGCGACGAGCACTGTCACCAAGATGAGGCATATCATGGCTGGAATAGGACCCAAAATCTCTGGCTCTTTCTGTTCTTCATCTCCGTCCCCGCCCTCTTGAGCTTCGGCATCGAAGAGATGTGCGTGAGTCTTCAGCTGGAAGACCAAGTATAGAACGTAGAGGATGAGGAGGATGATGGCCGTGCCACGCGACAGAACCAGGATGTTCCCGACGGAATCTGCATCGCTCTTGGAAAGAGCGGCGTACATGGTCGCGGGAATGATGAGCGACGTGGCTGCGACTGCCATGAGCGATGACATGGTCGATGCCACCGTCTCGTTGAATCTGCTCTCGCGGCGTCGAATTCCAGAGGCGACGAAGCAGCAGCCTAGCACCAGCAAGATGTTGGATAGTATCGAGCCCAGCATGCTGGCTTGAACGATCCGGATTTCGCCTTTGCGCAGCGCCACAATAGAGACCTAGGAACCATCAGTATGCGCATGGTGACAAATGTGGTACCATCGCACTCACGATCAATTCGACAGCATTTCCGAATGTCGCGTTCATCAATCCTCCCAGTGTTTGACCCAGCTTGACCGAAAGCTCCTCCGTTGCAAAGCTCAGCAATCCCGCCAATGGCACGATTGCGAAGAAGTTGATAATGAAGACTGCAGTAGGGTTCAGGTCCATGGCGCCCACAATAATACCGGCTGGGACTGCGACGAGGAGCACATTGACATAGTTGCTCGCCAGAGTCAACCACGTCAAGCGCACAAAGTCGCTCGGCAGCCTCACATACCACCGCTTGTCCTCAGACAGCGGCGCTCCTTCGCCGTTGTTCGTCGAGCGCGAGGTGTTGCCCAGTCGGCTCGAGTCAGCCACCAGAGGTGTGCGCTCATTTGTGTCTCCTCCTGTCGCATGTCCATTGGGTTTATTGTTGCTCGGCATCGCGTTGGAGAAGGTGGAGGTGGTGCGCCGAATGGCTCGTTTGATGCTGCCTGTCGGTCGAGGATCACTTCATCAGCGGACGGAGTTGGGTGCACAGCAGAAGGACGGGCTTTTGATGAACAATGAAGGGCGCAGAGTCGCGAGTGGCTGGCCAGCAGCCAAGCCGTGGCGTGAATGACACGGATGACGATGGCTTGGGGGGACACAATGATGATGCTAGTGCTGATGGTATACAATAGGCCAAGGTCGGCGCAGCGGTGGATGATGATGATGGGCAGAAGAAGGGAATGTGGATGGGGTGAGGAAGATAGGGCGACTTACTGCTCATGGTGGTGCCGGTCAAGGTATCAGAAGGACAGTAGGGAGGCGACCGTCTCCGGCTGCTTGTCGAGAGCTTGTTGGACTAGGTTGTTGTCTTGGCTTCTTGGTGTTACAGTACCAAGAGATCGGGTGTTTCGCGAGACTTTTGGGAGGGCGATGCAAATGCCGTGCCAGCGGGCAGTACCTCCTAGTACCTCTCAGGCGCTCAGTTGGACTGCAGGTCTGGCCGTGAGCTGCAATTTGCTGGATGGCTGACTAGGTAGGGGGAGAGAAATGTGACGCACGCCGTGTTCGGAAGTATGTAGATAGACGAGAGTCCGCTGGGAAGGGAATGGAAGCGATGAGAGAGGACGAGCGGGGAAGAGAAGAACAAGGAATGGGATGTGTGATGCTGGTGATGGTGATGGTGATGGTATCTCTCTTTCCAGTCCAATCCAGTCCAGTCCAATCCGGTTTGTCTGTTTGGTTGAGCTCGTCGACGGCGCGTCTGAATCAGTACTTCTTATTAGCTACTGCTACCTGACCTACCGTATAGCTACATGTATGTACTAGGAGTACCTCAAGTTACCTCCGAGAGAAAACAGGTTGACCAATGCAACAGAAGCTATCGCCCACCTGCGTCACTGCTACTCTATCCGGTTTAGCATTTAGGGGGCTGTGCTTGCAAGCGCGCGAAAAAGAAGATGCTGCCAAGCCCGTCTCTCAACCTTGACCCCTTCCACACCACGAGGCACAGTAGGAGGTAGGGTTGCATTGGCATCCAATTCACTCAGCACAGCCTCATACAGCGGTACAGCCTAGGAGGTACCTCCTACGGGAAAACGAATGTTGTTGGTTTTGAAAGGGTTCATTTCTTGGCGAACTGTACAACTGAATTCACCTCACCTTGCACCTCTCACCTGCACCTCTCACCTGCACCTTCACCTGTGCCGAAGGACATGTATGGAAGGTTAATACCTAGGTAAGGTAAGGTAAGGTAACTGTGTATGTTACTGCCCACTGATCCAAGGGCTCATCATTCCCGCCCACCCCCAAGCCCAAGCAGCCCATCACCACCTACCCATTCATCCCAACAACACCATGTGTTAAAAAAACGAAATCAGATATCTACTCCAAGAGATCCTCAGAGCCAAAACCTCTCCAACTGTGGACACCAAGAACACCCCTACAACGCCCTACCGACTCCTTCGTTCCACATCCAGATCATTCGTTTCCTCGTCGATAATCGCCCCCATCGTACCTACCTACCTACAGCCAGGTACCTACATGACTCCCCCACGTCACCGATAGCTGCCACCGCCTTCGATTTCGCGCGCGGCACCACCAGCACCAGCACCATTGGGCAGAATCACTTTCCGCGTGCCTGCGCCATACACAATCTCCATCATTTTGCGCTTCTGCACTTCGCGGCTGCCTTTGAGTTGCTGGTACGTCATCTCCAGTCCTTTAATCTGGTCATCAATCGTAATCGTACTCGAGTTGCTCGATCGCACTAGCGGGCTGACGAGTCGGCGCCGCAAAATCTCGAGGTTGGACTTGAGCTGTTCCAGGCGTTGGTTATGATCAACAAGGACGTGCTTGTTTCGCACCGTGCGTTCTCGCACCGAGTGCAGCAAATTCTTGTTCTTTTCGTATTTGCGCAGCTTGGATGCGTTGACGCCAATGACCTTGGTCCAGAGACTTCCCAGAAAGTCATTTTCCATGCGCTCTTGTTGGTCTTGCTCTCGTACGACAGTACGCTGCAGATTCAGAAACTGCTTGTCGACTGCCTCGAAGAGCTGGAACAGTGCCACCGAGTGCGTCAGCTCATTGTTGATGCTCTCCTCGAGAACACCCAAGAACTCGTAGAATGTGCGCTCCAAGGTTGCTTTTGCTCGTTGTTGATATGTGAGTCCCAGCAGCTCCTGCATGACCGTGCCGTCAGTACTCAAGCCCACGCGCGAAAGGAGATCCCGCGCATTGGACCACACGGCAGCGAGTGTGCTGGGTGGTTCGCTCGAGATCATGCTAAGTTCGCGTTGCGCCCACTCCATGACAAAAAGAATGCCATCAATGTCAGAATCGACAGAAGTGAAGAAGCTCGTCATCTCCCTTGCCAAAGCTTTGAAACTGTCGGATAAGGAGTCGAGCTGACTGACAATCTGTGGCGCAGACGTCATGTTCGTGCTTCGGACACTTTCTCCCAGATCCCAGACCGCTACACTCGTCTCTTGTAGTTGCTCGATCTGCGCATGGCCATTTTCAGAATAGTATATGCTGGGTTCGAACGACTTGGCCAGACTGGCGACCTTGATCAGATCGACCGAAGGACCATGGGTGGGAGTGGACAATAGTGTGGCCATCACCCAGTAGAGCAACATGGTTGATATCCCGTAGAATACGGTGTTGTACTTGGTTTTCGTTACATGGTGTATGGACCTTCTGATATTGCCCACCAATGCTTCAATGGGTTCCGTTCGCTGTACCACGTCGAGAGAAGTAGAAAAGCGTATATCTAGACGAACATACGATTAGTCTTCACCTCATGGGATCAATGCGATTCGATAGGATACTTACAATTATTCTGCGTGGGCGTTTCTGCCTCTGCGTATTCGGCTTCCTGCTCTGGTCTCTGCGTTTCCTCACTTGCATGCCGTACTGTGCTCTCCGCATCTCTCGACTTTTCTCTATCCGGACCAGCAAGCACTCCTGCAGGCTCTGGAGTCACTCCAGGACTACGACCTTTGACAGGCGATTCAGGAAGTGGTATGCGCCTGGCAGTCTTGTATGCGGTCACATCTCCATCGTCGGTGTCCTCGTCTGCGCTCTGGTACTGCGGACTCGCATCTTTGCTTCTATATCCGTTGCGATTCGGCGATAAGGCTTCACGGTGCTGGAACCACCCACTGCCTGCTTTGCGCCATGCTGGCGGTGAGTAGCTCCGTCGCGAGCTGGTTTCGCTGTATTCGGACTGGTGATTGCTACGGAAGCCAGAGTGTTGCGAAGGGATGTCGGGGATCGTAGGAGAGAACTCGCGCGCATCGAAGTCGTCCATGCTGGCGTTGAGGCTCGGATGGGAATCGAGATAGTGCTGTCGGGAAGTCATGTCTGCCGGGAGTATCATTCACGGTGTAGTGTGTGCGCTTCCAGTGGTGAAGCGCGCAAGAGGGTCATAGAAAGAAGAGTGAAGACGGCTACGGGGGACACCTGCGACAAGATCTGGTGCGGACTGCTCGTTTGCGCAGTGTCGCGGACGGGTGTGGGAAGGCAGGAGAGTCGCTCGACGTATGTTTCGCACGCGTGCTTTGAACGTGTTCGCGCGTGTCTCGGGTCTAGTGAGACGCAGGTACGGTGGGAGAGCGATGGAAATAATGGACTGGTGCCTGGCAATGTGATCGATCGGGGAGGCGATTGCGATGCAGGTACGGAGTGTGTATGTGTGTCTACAGAGGCGCGGTGCAGTCAAACGCTGGACAGGAAGACTCCATTCTGAGTCCCCGCGACGAGAGAGAGAGAGCGACGGGAGAGAGAGAGAGATGCGGCGTGGACGGGCCCGGGGCGAGGAGGGGTGGCTGGGCGCTGCTGCAAGGATAGGCATGGCTACGTACTCACATGGCGCGAAGACTATCGCATCTCGTGCAGCCGCAGCCAATCGCCGCACGCGCTCGGCTGCTGCCGTGTCTGCCCGATCGACATCCCACTTTGACTGGGGCCTTGGTTCGACTGCTTCTGCATGTGCTTCGCGCACAAGGAACAGAGGAGACTCAGGAGCGAGAAAGGGAGGTATGCTTTTGCTGTCCCTCTCTTCACAAGTTCACACAGACCAATGCAATGCGATTGTGCTGCCGCTCGTCCTGAGCCTCTCGCTGTGCCCCCTTTCCACGACAGCGCCCACCTCTCGGCTCTGTGCAGGCTGCAGTACCGACACATATCGCATCTGGGAAGCGGCTAGCCTCGAGCCGGGGATGTGTGCTCGTACAACCCGGATGGCAAACGTGACGACACCGCGATGGACCGGAGCCCATTGTCTGCAGACAGTCCCAACTTTCGAGGCGTGGACCGACCAGTCAAAATGATATGGCTGGGCAACGCCGCATAGCCGGGACCGTTGCGACTCGTGCTCAACAAGGCAGTGCTACGAGACTTCGTTTGTCTGCGTTTCATGTTGTTGAAGTATCGATTGTGATATAATGTGGTGACTACACAATCATCTCTTGTTGCAAGTAGTGTCACTCCGATCGATCGGAGTAGTCGCTCAAGCTCCGGCGAAGCGCAGCCCGTCATGGAACTCCCCAGCCTTCCTCTCGCTGCTTAACATTGTCATCTGATGATCTTTCATGAACGGGCCTCCTGTCATATGAGTACAATGTCTTCAGCCGATGCCTGTTTGTTGTGGAGAAGCTCGCCAGACATCACTGCAGGTGCTTGGATATAGCATTCACAAAGCAATTGAAAAATCCTACTCTTCCTGGCAGGAGCTGGACTAGGGCGCAGTATGACTGGCACATCGCCTGACAGAAAGATGGCGCACATATCACCAGCCACAATACCGGGGGTCGCAAGACCGGTGAGGCCATCGACAGGTGAAGAAGTGCCGTCCATAGCGTATCTCGGGCGTATCCGCTAGGCTAAGTCCTGTGCTAGTAGGCCTGGAGTTCTCTTCAATGCCACCAGGTGTAGACGCTGGAGTCGCCTCATCAACTAGAAGTATAGTGTCAAATATCACTGCAGTGATTCTCAGTTGACCGCGACTCCCTTCCAGTATCTCGAATGTGTGGATGTTATGACCACCGGCACGATGCTCACTCCGTACGCCAAGCGTCCACTCGTCCTTTCCAGCAGGCGGGAGAAAATTCGGCAAGGACTTGCAGAATATAGGGGCCAAGTGCCACGTGAAAGTCCTGAGGTTCCATGGAATGGCACAGATCAGCAAGGGCATTAGGTTTGTGCGCTTCACATGAGTGTGCGTGAGCATACCAATCTGGCACCCATGAAGGTAGGAGTCGATGCTGGTGAAGTGCGCCTGCACTGTAGAGTATGCTCATCAGTTGGAACGATTTATGTTGCTCTGTCAAACCATGCACTGAGTCGTATGAAGCCACATATCTGAGAGCAGTGATGTACATGTGGCAGATCTCAACAAACAGCCATTCTGGCGTGCGAGAGTAGGTCACCGACGAGGTCAAGTACGTCAGGCCATAGAAAGCGTAGACCATGTCTCTCACGTCCGTGGCATCACTGCTCTTGCCCAGGATCAGTAGCTGCGTAATGTCGGTATGCGGCAATGCTTCCCTTTGACTTGCTATCATTTGCGAGATGATAGCAAGCCGCTGACGAGCATTTCCTAGCAGAGACACCCGCTTCTTGAATTCTGGAGTTATCGGAGGCAGTTCATCTCTAATGAGTCTGACGAGATTATCCCTATAATTATATCAGCATATGGTGAGATGGCGCCTCTGTACGGACGTTCCAAGTGAGGGGACCAGGTGCCCTGGACGATATCCTGATGTCCGCTTCAGACGCGCAACGAGACGCAGACAGACACAGACTCATACCAGCTGATTCGGGTGCCACCGCATACCACTCTGGTATGCTTCGCGAGCACCACTTCAGGCAGCACCCATACACGATGGAACCACGGTCGTTCTAGGAGTCGTTCGATCGAGTCCCGGAGGTCTTTTCGGCTCAGCATGCGGTTCAGCACCCGCCTCGAACTGTTATCTGCAATCCGTTTCCGCTCGGCATACTCAAAGAGCTGCTTGCTGCGGTCGTCATGTTCGCCAAGCCATATGTAGACCTGGTGTGCTTGGTTGAAAATTAGCTTCATGATCGAGACTTGATGTCCACGCTCGGCGTCGTTCGCCTGGTCGATGCAAATCTGGTCGATCTATGCCCGCAGAAGCTGATCAGTAGTTGAGCAGTGAAATCATAGCAGCGTGGTTACGCACCCATATCAGAATGGACTTTTTAGGCTTTCTCAAGGCTCGCAACGCGGCCAAAAGATTCTTGGTCACTGGGAAACGACACCCATCCAATAGTATGCAGGCATTCCTTTCAATTGTCTGCCAGCAGTAACTAAGACAATAGTACTGTCTCTGGGGAGTTTTCGAGTCTTCCCAGCTGAGTGTGCCCACGAGGGCGCTGCTTCCAGTCCCGGGCTGGAGATTAACAAGTCGGAATGCATTGCCATCTGCCAATGTCTTGTATTCGAACTCAGGAGCGTCCGCGAAAGCAGCATCACTTTGGCGTCCTCGACGTCTTCGTTGATCCGCACCTGGATCGGGCGTGCCCGCAAACGCCCTGGCGTCGTCATGGTAATCGTAATCAGAATAGTCTCCCGCTTCGAGCGTAAGGCTTCCAAACCCCCATTCAAATCTCGGGTCTGTATTCACAGGTTCAAACTCGTCGTCTGTGTCGAGGTCTTCCTTTAGCCGCGGAGACGGCATTGTGCTCACCGGCATGGCGGCAAATTGGAAAGCGGCGCGTGATGGTCATGCCTCATCTGAGGTGCACACCCTGCGTTCTGTTCGACGAAAGTTGCTTTGAAGGAAGCAAATACAAGTAATACAGTAATCCAGCAGCTGAACAGCCATGTAGTGCACTGCCACCACAAATCTGGGAGCGTGGCTTGACCTGCATGAGCCCGTGTAACGACTTCGGGCGGCTTTGAGTATCGCACTCTGTGCTTTCAATGTCAGCTAGGTAACCAGAGCCGTGGAAACAGCAGAGTGTGGCTCTTGAGAGAGACGTGATTTGGTCACCGTCGCCCAGTTCTTCCGTCTGGCGTCCGGAGTGCGGTCCGGAGTGAAAGTCCATCAGGCTTGGCGAGGGTTTGACCTCAGGCCCACAGAGGCACGAAGTGCACACGAGATTTCGGATCCGTATCTCCCTGACCATCTCCTGACCATCTCGATGATTCTCTTCCACTCTCGTGGGTTACACCCTCTCGATTCCCCCATGATCATCCAAAATGGCAACGTGCGATACGGTCTTCGCTCGTTTCATGCGTTGTCGAAGATCCAGGCATTCACCTTTCGGCGCGCACTATCGCGAAATCAAGAGCAGCGAAGGCTTGCAGGAGAAGAGCTGCGCACTAGGACAAAACAAGACGGGAGTTGCACGGCGGAACCAGAAGCTGTAATTGTGTAGGACATCCATCGCACAGGCAGTCTGAGTGGAGGCAGTGCATGTGGACATTGACGCAGGCTTTAAATGAAATCAGAGTCATATTGGTTCTATATTTTCCTTTCTACCTTATGTTCGCGAGCATGCCGTCTAGCGAACTCACCTCATCGAGCATTGCGCACTCCGGAATGCACACTGAAAAAGCCTCCTGATAATGTCATCCTTGCTGCTCTCCTACCAGATAAGACTGAAGGCGCATGAGCTTCGTCAGGAAATCAAAACTTCTCTAATAAGAAGATCGCCACGACGGAGCTGCTTTCAGCACTTGCACAAACAAGCCTTTTCACTGGCAAGGCCAAGCTACGGAGTGAGAGTTCTACGGGTATTCAAGAGGTTCGCTAGCGCGAAAGGAAGAAGAGAATAGCCTTTGTGGCAGCCGCATTGTTGCGATGCGTTACGTCCTTCTACGTCTAGGTATTCAACATACCTAGTCTCGTAGGGATTACTTGATCATTTTTGAATCCTTCTCATAAACCCAAGACTGTTCGCGCACTGTGTCTATGGAGTATAGCTTGGTTGGAGTGTCTTTCGCTTGGTTGAGTGCAATGCGCAGGTGAGGCGGTTCTCGGTATATACATGTACGTCGCAGCGACACGAAATCCACACGAAATCTCGTTCTGTCGTTTGAGAAAAGAGACAATTGTTGCGAGGTAGAACAGTGATCGAACAACGCGATGGAAGATGTTACTGACACATGGGCAACGCTGGGGCGAAGTCATGACCCGTTGTGGCAGCGGCCCAGTCTTGATTGGGGTTTTTTTCTACGACGATGCCCCACCACAGCGGCCAGCAAGGGCCATGACGTCTGTCGGTACCTCCTGGTTGCATCCATTGGGGATAATCTTTTCCTGGGATGTACAGGCCCTTTGTATTTCTAAGACGTGTGGTCCCTGCTCGCTGTTGTTTGCTCCCCGACCTCTTCGCCCACGCCTAACGCCTTCGACACACAATACCATCATCTCTCACGCAAAGCATAGCAACCAGACGTCAAGATGGCCGCAGTCGAGAGCAAGTTTGATCCCAAGGACATGGTATGGAAGCACCAAATGCTGTGCATGCTCTTACAAGCACGCTAACTTGCTTACTGTAGGAGTTCCGCCACCTCGGTCCCACTGGTCTCAAGGTCTCCGTCCTATCTCTGGGAGGTTGGTTGACCTATGGAGGTACTCAAAAGGGCAATGTTGTCAAGGACTGTATGGAGGCTGCATGGGTGGGTGCCACGCACACAGGCAATAATTGGAGCACAAGAGCTGATACTGCGAATTAGAATGCTGGCATCAACTTCTTCGACACTGCCGAGATCTACTCCAATGGCCAATGCGAGATTGAGATGGGCCAAGCTCTCAAGGAGCTTGCCTGGCCGCGCGACGAATATGTCCTCAGCACCAAGGTGTTCTTCGGTATGTAGCCCGCATGGAGGTCACCTGGCTGAACATCCGGGACTGATTGGGCAATAGGCACCGGACGCAAGGAGCCAAACACTCGAGGGCTATCGAGAAAGCACGTTGTGGAAGGTCTCAAGAGTTCGCTTGCCCGTCTCCAACAGCCATACGTTGATATCGTGCTTGCCCACCGACCTGATGTTGGCACCCCGATGAAGGAAATCGTGGAAGGTTTCACTCAGGTCATTCGCAACCTCAACATGGCCTACTACTGGGGAACCTCAGAGTGGTCAGCCGTGCAGATCATGGAGGCCACCCAGATTGCCGAGAAGTACAACCTCATTGCGCCAATTGCCGAACAGCCACAATACAACGCCTTCCACCGACAGCGCTTCGAGGTGGAATATGCGCCACTCTACCAACAGTTCCAGTACGGTACTACAATCTGGTCTCCACTTGCATCCGGTCTGCTTACCGGCAAGTACAACGACGGCATTCCAGAAGACTCGCGTTTTGCCACGAACAAGGCCTTCTTCGAGGGTACCATCAAGAGCTTGCAAAGTGAAGAGGGCAAGGCGAAGATCAACAAGGTCCGCAAGCTCACTGAGATTGCCGAAAAGCTTGGTGGCAATGTGGCGCAGCTTTCTCTTGCCTGGTGTGTGAAGAATCCCAATGTGTCGACGGTCATTCTGGGAGCCACCAAGGTCGCGCAGATCGAGGACAACATCGGCGCGCTCAAGCTTCTGCCGAAGCTTACTCCCGATGTTATGGCAGATATAGAGGCAATTCTGGACAACAAGCCTGCAGCACCAGCTTCATTTGGCCGAGAGCGGTAGAAGAACGCAGAGAGATGACTTATGAATGACTGAATGCCGTCCATGGTTTGAGTAGATAATCAAAATGTCAGAATTGAAGCAATGCTGCTCAGGCTTCCTCGCCATCTTTGCCGTCACATGTGTCGAGAGAGGTTCACCATTTTCGCCATGACCATGTCGCCTAGGACATTAGTGTGAGCCCTTTTAATTCTCTTGTGCACCTGATGATACTGTGCTCCGCTTCGCTTGCTACCTACATGTACTCAATGTACCCAAGAGGTACCCCACAAAGGCACGAGGCGCAGGCGCACCATGTTGGAACGAGGATGATCTTTTATCCAGGAGCCGACGAACGCACCCGACCGCTTCCGGTCTACCCGAATGGCCCACCCAAGAGCCCTGGGCGTCCCGGTGACGGAGCAATATCATCTTTTCATTTTCCTCATCGTTTCCACTGTTGGCGTCCATTGAAGCAACGTGTCTCACGAGGCCATTGGAGAAATTTGGGGTGTTTTTGGCTTGAGATGCGAGCAGAATCGGCGACAGCATGGAAATCGTAAGGCCTTTTGCTCTGAGGCTTACAGCCTGTCGACGCGTCCAGCTCCCGTGTGTTGCTGCTGCTGCTTCTCGGATCGCTTCTGGAACCAGGCAACATGTCCCCAATACCAGATCTTTCAGGACGAATTCGGTGTACTGGCGAGAGGTGACCTCCAAGGCTCCCACGAAGATCCGAGGGAAATCGAAAGTGTATGCGTCTGCCGATGAAGCTGTGGCTGACTTGCAGTCTGGGTCGACCATTCTCAGTGCGGGATTCGGACTGTGTGGAACAGCAGAGACCATAATCAAGGCAATTGCCAAGAGAAAGGATCTCACTGGTCTCACTGCCGTGTCGAATAACGCTGGTACGGCAATTGGTGGTGGTCTGTCTCCTCTGATTGCTTCTGGTCAAGTCACTCGTGCGATCTGCAGTTTTCTGGGAAACAACAAGGCTCTGGAAAAGAAGTATCTCAATGGAGAGGTTTCCATCGAGCTCACACCTCAAGGAACTTTGGCGGAGAAGATCAGATGCGGTGGCGCTGGCATTCCCGCCTTCTTCACACCAACTGGCGTCAACACCCATATTCAGTCTGGTCAGATTCCTGCGACGATCAAGAATGGTGAGGTCACAGAGTACGGGAAGCCTCGCGAGACTCGTGTGTTCGATGGACGAGTATACAACATGGAAACCGCCATCAAGGGAGACGTTGCCATCCTCCGTGCGCACAAGGTCGACAAGGCTGGCAATGTCCAATTCCGATACACCACCAAGTCATTCGCCCCATTGATGGCCAAGGCCGCGACTGTATCTATTGTGGAAGCAGAAAACATTGTCGAGGTCGGTGAGCTGAAGCCCGCGGAAATCGACCTTCCAGGCATTTTCATCGACAGAATTGTTCAAGCCACCGAAGACAAGATCATTGAGGTGAAGGTGCTTCGACAAGAGACTGATGTTGAAGGCGAGGGTGCAAAGTCTGATGCACTTGCTCGTCGAAACCGCATCGCCAAGCGTGCCGCGAAGGAGCTCAAACCTGGATTCTACGTCAACCTTGGTGTTGGCATGCCCACATTGGCGCCATCTTTCCTGCCTCCGGATAACAACGTGTGGATCCAGTCCGAAAACGGCATTCTGGGTATGGGACCATACCCTACGGAGGCCGAGCTCGACGCCGATATCATCAACGCTGGCAAGGAGACTGTGACTCTCGTTCCTGGTGCCAGCTGCTTTGACAGCAGTGAGTCTTTTGGCATGATTCGAGGAGGCCACGTCGACGTGAGCATGCTTGGAGCCCTGCAAGTGGGCGCAAACGGTGACCTGGCCAACTACATGATCCCCGGCAAGGTCTTCAAGGGAATGGGAGGCGCCATGGACCTTGTCTCGAACCCTGACCAGACCAAGATTGTTGTACTTACAGACCACTGCGACAAATACGGCACGCCGAAGATTGTAGAGAGCTGCACGCTGCCATTGACCGGCGCGAGATGTGTCAGCACGATTATCACCGAGCTCGTGAGTATTGATGGTGATGTGATGAGATGTGACAACATGGCTAACATTCGCACAGTGCGTCTTCGAAGTTGATCGGAAGAAGGGAGGGTTGACCTTGACTGAACTGGCTCCAGGTGTGGGCGTCGATGAGATCAAGCAGAAGACGGGCGCCAAGTTTGCGGTCAAGGAGCCTTTGAGCAAGATGGAGTAGATTCGGTTGTCTGGAGTAGTCCTCTGTGTCGGAATTGTCGTGCTCAGTGTCATGCTCCATTCCATTCTCACATCGACATAAGGTTATTACCTGTATCCTACATGTACCTACCATACAGACGTTCTTCTGTCTGCTCTGCGTCACTAGGAGGCACCACCTACTGCCGTAGTCTTGGCATATCCGTTGGTGGATGATGCGGGTGTCGACGGCTCCGCCATCGGTCCAACGTGCCGTCGGCTACACGTTTAGCCTGGCACTCCGCCTTACTTCACATCTTCCCAACGCGTACTCTCTTCACTTGTGATACTTCACTTCCTTTTCCAGCGTCGAACAGAATCTAGTCTGCTCTCCATTGTGACAATATCCACCATGTCGAAACTATCAGACTCGCTGAAGCAATTCATAAACGCCGCTCACGCCAAACCCAACACAATCCCAGCGCCCAAGAATGTGACATCCATCTACGAACGAATAGCTTCCGAGGCTGGATCGAACAAAGTCGGTCTATCAGCGTGGCTCTGTGCATCTGTAAGTACCTAATTCAAAAAAAAGCACGACACATCTCAAAAACCACCAAAATCCGACTAAACAAAAACGCCAGACCGCCGCCACAATGACCATGAACTCTCCCGAATCCATGCTCGCCCTCTACCGCCTAGCAACCACAACAACCCCAACCCATCAAAAAAACCCCTTCCCAAACCAAGCCCTCTACACCGCCGAACTCATGCGTGAAGTCGGTCTCAAATGCATCGGCTTCAACGGCGTACCCCGCACCATCAACGTCCTCGGAGCATTCCACTCCGGCCTACCCCCAGAAATCCAATCCTCCCTCCAAGCCCGGCCTCCTCGCAGAAATCTCACAGCGAAAAATGTCGAAGCCATGTTGGCGCGAGGGGAAGCCTTGTGGGAAAGTATCTATCATCCATTTAGCGAGAAATTGAAAGCGAAACTTGCTGTGTCGCATCCGGATTTGCCTGTGCATATTATTGAGGCCGAGTATGGAGGGTTGTTTTCGGATCCTGCTTGGAGTACGACGACGACGAGTTCTACTGGCTCGTCGTCTGCGATACCGAATGTGGGACGGGTCTTGACGTCTGTGATTGCGGTGGCGTGTCTTCGAGCACAAAGTGGAGTGGGGCCACAAGTGGTCAGTCATGTTTTTGGGCTGCGGAAAGCGTTTGAGGATGGGACGGCCGAGTCGGAGGAGGAGGTGCAGGGCGGGAAATGGTTGGCGAGTAACGAGGGGAGTTTGTGGTTGTTGCAGCAGGTGGATAGCATTGTGGAGGCGTTGGGACAAGGGCAGGGAACTACGTTTGCGCCTGGGTTTGATAAGCCGTTGAAAGCTAAGCTGTGACGGAGATGAGAGTGGTTTTGGGAATGAATAAATGACGGTATTGATTGCGGAGGAGATGGGTTCATTCAATGATAGTTCCAAGGGTATCTAGTCGCTGTCGCACTCAGCCCGAGAGGAATAGCTCGCTTTTCTCTTGAGAGGCATGTCATCATCTTCATCTTCGCCACTATCGTCTTCCTCTTTGCTCCCCTCACTTGCGTCCGATTAAGGCGGGAGGACTTGGAAGACAAGCCCAGGTTTGAAAATAGGAGGCGCAGCATGTCAGCCGGGGTTCCGTAGGCGTGATTCTGCAATTGCCTCACAAAGTCTTTGAAAGACGTCGACACGATCAAGGCGCTTGCTTCCTAAGCAGACTCTCTTTCGTCTTGGGTCTTAATCCTTATGCCATTCACGACGCGGAAATCCTGGCCTGACCCGCCATACGCCGACGAGAGATCTGGAAAATCCTTACATATCTTCATGAATAGCTCGCGATGGCTCAGAATTGGTACTTCAGAATTGGGAGGGGCGAAGTCGTCTCGATATGCTTGCCAGATCTTACTCTTGGGAGTGGTGGCAAGCCTATCGGCCATGAGATTGGTCTTCAGCCAAGCGGACGTGCGCGCTGGCTCGAACGAGGGCCAGCGAGACTTCACGCCCTTGATGATGTTGGCGCCAGATACGGATCGGTGCAAAGTCGCTGATGGGTATACTTCTAGAATGAGTTTTTCGAAGTCCGCTTTTTCAGGACAAATGGACCGTTCCGCCGCAGGTATAGTACAACTGTGGCATGCACTGCGATAGGACAGCCAGATGCTGGCGGAACGAATCCGAGGCGCACTTTCGTCTGCAATATACTGCTTACGCAGCCATGTCTTACACGATTCAACCTTATCAGCGCGAAGACTGCCTCCCAGGATAAGGTCAACGCTGTCCATATCTTCCAAATCGGTGTCTTCCACTCGGCTCTCTGGGGATAGGCGTACACCCCCAAAGCAAAGGTTGGCGGGCTGGTCGATTGGTAGATTCATCCATTTCTTCATGCCATTGACGATATGGGAGATAGTTGTGGCCTGCAAGTCGAGTCATCAGAATTGAACTCCCTCCGCTGGTTCTCAAAACTTACAGGGGAAACTTTCACGTATACGGGAGGCTTGTCCCTTGCCTCGACAAGGACTGTCAGCTTGCCTTCAGTGGTACTTGAGAGTCCTGAATCTGCCTGGGGCAACCTCGGCTGAGACGTAATCGGCGTACGCTGTTTGATTGACACATCCGATGGCTTCGGCATCAGGCCTTTTATCACATAATCCTGGGCAGCGTTGCGTCCTCTGCTCGTCGTGGGAAAGGTCCTCTCGACACTATCGAGGAATTCTACGCCATTTAGTTTCTGCGACGTTCCAAATCGCTCTCGATATGCAGCAAACAAAGCCTGCTGTGGGACTTCGGAGTCAGGATCAGCAATATAATGAAATCGAAGCCACTGAGCGCTTCTCATCGGCTCTTCCAAGGCAGCCACTCCGTCCTGAGTACCAGCGCTCGCGCTGGTGGTCGCACCATGTTGAGCTTGCTGGCTGTCCGGTGCCGCAGCGTGGCAGTTTGATTTCCGTCGGAGGTTGAAATAAATAACTTTGCCATTGCGTAACGAAGATCTGGAGCCGGGGATCTCCTTGGAAACGTCGAGCAAGGGAAGAGACGCCCAGGGAGATCTGCCGAAATCGCTGCGATATGCTTCGATCAGTTGCGTAGCTGAGACTTCTGCATATTGGTACGGTTCGTAAGTTCTTCGCAACCACTCAAAAAGACTTTCTTCTTTCGGGTGGGTAGCAGGAACCAAGCTCAACATGTTGTGGCTGCCTCTGTTCTGATTGGTACTATGAGAGGATCGAGCTTCACCAATAGTGACATTCTGGCGGACGCCCTGGACCATAAAAGTACCGTCTCCTAGAGGTAGCAGCTTTGATGCAGCAAAAGTCTCCAGCACCCGATCCACAAACTCAGCGTAACCGAGTTGAGGGACACCAGGGAAAGTGTCTCTATATGTCTGCCACAACACGTTCATCGTGGTGTGCGTAGTGGCATCGACAGAAAAGTGACGTTGTAGCCACTCTGTAGCTTGACGTTGTCGCGGCACCAGCGCTGCGGCTGCAGCTGCCACCAATGGGGCTCGAGAAGGCGGGAGCTGCGCCCATGGCCGTGGTGCTAGAACATGACCTGGACCAGCTGGCCCACGAGAGCTATGCCCGTGGTGTAAGGATACAGAGCGTTTCGAAAAGTTCGGACCCTGCAGAAGATGTGAGTTAGAGTAGACGCAGGAGCCAATAGCGGAAGGCTGCGTATCTGGCGATACCGCGAATGCGCCTGTAGGAGGCAGACCTGCACCGCCTGCAAGCCGTATGCTTTCCACTGAACCCACAGCCTGACCCTCATCAGGAAGGTCAACAATGGTGTTCTTGAACCAACAACTCTTGCACGCATCTACGTGAAGTCGTTCCGCATAGGCCTCCAGGTACCTTGCTGCCACTGGTGAAGTCTTCTCAATCTTGTCGAGTATGCTGTAGAAGTCTGAAAGGGTCTCATAGCTACACTTCATTATGGCCACATCTTCAAGAGGAGGGTCTGAAAACAGTGTTTTGGGCATAGACGAGTCAGACGCCGTTCCAGCATCGCGCTTGTTCTTCCTGGATGACCATCGTGGTGATTGACTTGAACTTGAGCCCAGCTCGCCCAGGGGTTTCCGTCCGGTCTGTCTGAGCAAGGCTACGTCCTTCCATACTTTCCAAGATGCCTCGCTCAGGATGTTGGCCTTTTCCACAATCTTCAACGCCAGGTCCGCTTCGAGCTGGTCGCGAAATGGGTACCATTTGTTTTCACGGCTATGCCGGCCGCCCATGATGACTTCGTCGTCTTCCACAGCTGGCTCGAACACGTCCAGGTCGGCGTTCACGGCCCACAGCGCCACCTCATTTTGCTCTTTCTGTTGCCGACTCGTCGTTCCAGACCCCCAACTCAACCTTTCGGCGACCAGAAACAGCTTCCGCTGGTACGGAGTGGCATCGCGGTCCTTGCCACATTGAGGACAGACACCACCGCTGACCTCGCCGTTGTTCAAAGCCGCCCACGACCTGTAAGGGAGGAGGCTTAACGGATACCGCAGGCTGTGAAAATTCTTGCCAATGCCGGAGTCCACATGCGGCTTGTACTTGGGGCGTGGGAAGTGTGCAGCATGGCCACGGTCAATCCGGGAGCGTTTCGATGGGGTGGTGGTCAGGTGTTCGGAGTCGCAGGTGGCTCGTCGTCTGTGAGACATCGGGCTGTCGAGTCGGTGGTGAAGATCGGGGTCTTGCAGCCTCCTGTGCTGAGACGCTGACGCGACGCGACGCGACGGGACCACGCGCCTGCCTTAGGCCCGCGCCTTAGGAGGTACCTCCTACCTCCTACTGCGTGTGCAGTGTGCAGTGTGCACGCACTCCGGCCCCGGAAATTCCGATCCGGCACTTAACACCTTCGTTCTAGGAGGTACCTCCTGGGAGCCTATGAACTTCTATCCATCTCTGGCAATGCACGCCAAGCCATGCCAAGCGCCATGATCCTTCCTTTCCCGTCCTTTCCCCTCCAGACGGAACACCTCGTCCTCACTCTGATGATCAGACAGAACTACCGACGACCCCGCCACAGCCTCTGACACGCAGCTTCAATCTCGACTGCCGCGACCCGACAGAGCACCGCACCGCCATGGACGTTGCTCTCCATCACCAGGACCATCCGGTTTCCCCAGTTCTCCATGCATGCTGAGAGCTCGGGCTGGGTATATAATCATGCGTGTAAGTGCAATGCTATGTCTTCGATATGACCTATCCCTCCTGTGTTTCAGCACACTGCTCCGTACCATACCGATCATACCATGGCCGCTACATCTGCCAACGTTCCATTTACCGTCCAAGGCAAGACTGCCTTGATCACGGGTGCTGGAAGTGGTGCGTCCCGCGGTGACATGAGTCGTACCTGGACGAGCATCACTGTTGACTTTTGCCGACAGGAATCAACCTCTCCTTCGCGAAGCTCCTCCTCGAGCGAGGCTGTAACGTAGTCATCGCAGACCTCAGCCTCCGCCCCGAAGCAGAAAAGCTCGTGCAGCACTATCTTCCCAAAGATGCAAATACGCCCAGCTGCATCTTCGTCAAGACCGACGTGACTAGCTGGGATCAACTCGAGAACGCATTTCAGGTAGCAGACAACGAATATGGTGGAGCAGACATTGTCTGCCCAGGAGCAGGAATATTCGAGCCGCACTGGGTAGGAAGCCATCGTATTATGGCGGAACGGTGATGTGGTGCAACTCTGCTAATATTGACTTGCAGTCCAACTTCTGGATACCGCCTGGCACAGGTGCATCAAAGGACAAGCTTCACGGAGACAATGGCATCGGTCACTATGCACTGCTCGATATCAACTTGACACATCCTATACGCACCACGCAGCTTGCCATTTCTAGATGGCTGAACCCGCCAAAGGGTTCCAGAACTGGAAAAGTGTCTGCTGCAAACCCCAAGCGTATCGTACACATCAGCAGTATCGCTGGTCAACAGCCCATTGTTGGTCAGCCTCTGTACGTTGCTTCGAAGCACGCCATATCTGGTTTCATTCGAGCCTTGGCACCACTGGAGCAGAGGTTGGGTATCAGAGTTAATGGAGTTGCACCTGGCGTTATCAAAACTCCGCTGTGGACAGATCATCCAGAAAAGCTCGTTTGGCTGGACGAAAAGCAGGACGAGTGGATCGAGCCTGAGGAAGTTGCCGACGCGATGCTGCGGTGCGTTGAGAGTGACGACGTGGTCGGGGGATGGGTTCTCGAAGTTCTCAAAGGAACCACCCGCAATGTTGGATGGCAGAACGAACGCGGACCACAGGGCCCTGGATCTACCGCGAGCAATTCGGCGGCCAACGTTGCTGAGGTCTACGATTGGCTTGCTCAGCCTGGCTGGGGTGTGGCAAATTGAGAATCTCGTTCAAGCTTTGCAGAGTGCCAACCACTGAAGAAGATGTTGTCGCTACGCCAAGTCCCCTTAGACTAACTCGCTCAGCTGAATAGGATGCTTACGTGCGCTATCGAGATACCACTACAGCCATCTTTTTGCACTCTGCTCGATGTGCATAGTGATTTTCCGTGACCTCAAGATCACAACTCCCTTTCGTCCTGATGGGACCCCTTCATCTCCCGCTCAGAAGCCTGGAGAACTTGATGATGTATCCTCGCGCTCATTCACTTGGTATCGGTCAGGGACTGAGGGCGAACCGCCGAAATTCTAATTCATCCGCCCACGACAAAATGCACGAGGCCCCTTCTGTAGATATACCAAGGCATGGCCACATTGCAGGCCATCATGATTCTAGTGAGAGGAGACATTCGGGCAAGCGAAGATTTCAGTGAGCTGAGTATGGCCTCTACTCAAAACCAAAGACGCTGGCTGATGCAGCATTCATGCATACCAAGAAGATCATGAATCAGCCCTGCTGGCGAGTGCCACGTGCCAGCACCTTTCGAATTTCGCACAGCTAAAGATGCGTCGAGAGCAAAGTACGGACGGAAGGCTGAAGCTACTGAAATCTGGACATAAAACATCAACGGCACCAATCTTGATGCTGTCGCGCATGGCAGCATGATCCACCGCTGCCACGCTGGAGCACGTTCGGTCTTTCAGCCTCTCTGGCACGCTCTCGATGCTCGGCATTCGCTCCATATCCGCATTGCTTGTCGTGACCCTCTTCATGACCACCAAGATGATGCGACAAGCACTTCCTGTGGCTCTCGCAGACTCCATGGCAATCTGGTCTGCCTGTTTCGTAGCCGTCTCAAAAAAAAAGTGCGGAGACACCTCCCGATTCAAACGATCTCGGAAAATCACCTGACAACGCAAACTTCACCGCCTCCAGACCGTGTATCGTGGTCAACATGTACCTCCTCGAAGCATTCACAGTGGACGCACCATTTCAGGCTTACACCCAACATGTTCGACTGTTGCAATTGTCATACACGATATCGTGGCCGTTTGTAGGACAATAGAGATGATGCTATTGTGCTTTGCATACGCTACTACAATAGGACCCATTTTAAACTTTAAATCCATTGTGAGCTCAATTGTCTTCCATTCGAGCTATGCGACCACAAAACAGCTACGAGACCGACAATACAACTGCGAGGCTGACAATGTGCGCAATAGACGGCCGTCGATATATAATATCATTGCTTCTTTCTCCAGATTTGTTTTCTCTTTCTTTCTTTATTCCTCAGACCTTTGCCCGACCTTTCATCTCCCGCAACAACCACAGCAACAACCACAGCAACACCACCACAGCAACACCACCACCACAGCAACACCATCACAACAACACCAGCACCAGCGACAACACCAACGAAAAAAACAACGACCACAACGACAACAACACCAACGACACCAACGACGACATCAACAACGACATCAACACACCAACGACGACATCAACGACATCAACAACGACAACAAACACAACAATGACCACCCCGTTCATGCGAGAGATGAGCGGGCTTAATGCTCGCCCTCGTCAACGTGTGCTGCCAACCTTCGCCAGCCGAGGCACGCAGACGCCGCCGCCGCGTCGCGCTCAGCCTGCTGGGCCCCCTGCCGGGCCATCTGCCGGGCCGTCATCCGGGCCGCCGGGAGCGGCAGCACCTGGCGCGGCACATGCCAGTGCTCCTTTGAGCGATGGTATGTATACATACCTGTCACGACAACAGCCATACAAGATGGCAAACAGCTAACACAATGGCCTCAGAAGCCAAGCGCATCAAGGACCTGGAGAGTGCCAACGCCGACCTGTACGAGAGAGCCACCGAGCTTGAACTGAACAATGGCGAGCTTGTTGACGAACTCGCGGCCCTCAAAGAGAGGCTCACCAAGCAAGAGAAGGAGTTGACATCCCGCACCAAGTTCGCCGAGGCAAGCCTCGATCACTCCATGAAAGCACTGTCGAGCGAGTCTCTCCAGCTCAGCAAAACGCGAGCAGACCTGCTCCAGATCCAGGGGTTCAACAACGAGCTCAAAACCACTCTGCAGAAAACCCGCCTCGAATTGACCGCCTCGAAAGACCGTACGGCCCGCCTGAGCCACGAACGTGACGACGTCCGCACCAGCTTTTCATCCGCTCAGCAAGAGATTGACACCCTCAAGAAGCAGATAGAGCAGATAGAGCAGGGACACAATGGCAGAGACGCGCACGAGTTCCTGCAGGCCATCAATGAAGAGTTAGAGGACCAATTTACCGATGCTGGCACAGAATTCACACCAGAGAACGTCATCGCACACATTCGTCGAGTATCCCAGCAGGCCGCCATCAATCGCGAGGTCTCCGCGGACAGCAGTTCCTCGCAGCACAATGACCCGGCACGTCGCGGTCTTGGCCTACGCACCCGATCCATGGCGCAAGAGCTCGCTGAGGCTGCACAGGACGATGGTAGTGACGACGAGCAAGGTCCAGATAGTCTTGAGCCGCGAAAGCAGCGATCCTCCGACGACTCGAATAAGCTTCAACAAGACCACATCGCTGAGGTGGCTAGCCTAAAGATGCAAATCGCGAACCTTGAGACGCAAATCCCCATCACCAATGCTACTCACACGACTGAGGTCACTACCCTACAGGCGAAAATCGAGAAGCTTCAGATGGCGCTCCGTCGTGCTACTGCCGCTGTCAATGATGAGGTAGATCAGATGGCTGAACTACACGAGACAATCGAGAACCACGAAAAGACAATCGAGAACCACGAAAAGACAATCGAGAACCTCGAAAAGCAGCTCTCGGCTGCTGCTGCTGCTCACAAGACTGAGGTGGCTAGTCTGGACAGAAAGACAATCGAGAACCTCGAAAAGCAGCTCGGGGCTGCTGCTGCTGCTCACAAGACTGAGGTGGCTAGTCTACACGACCGAATCTTCGACCTCTCAAAGATGCTCTTTGATCTTGGCGAGGACAACAATGCCCTTCGACGACACTTTAGGCCGGAGAGTGCGATCATCACCGAGAACGAAGAGCTCCACAAGAAGCTCAAAGATGTGATCGCCCATCTGAAGGACCAGATTGGCATCAAGTCGAGGCTTCAAGATTACGAAATGCCAGACTATTTGCAGATTGTGTCCGAAGTGCTAGAGCGAGACGCTGCAGCGGCCGCGAAAGTACCTGTCGAGACTCGAAATTCTGCCTCACAGACCGAAGAGGAACCTGTCAATCCCACCGAAATCATCAAATACGTCGACAAGGTTCGCGATGCTACCATGTTCGAGTCATTCCGCCAATCACCATCCTGGCTGCAGTGGCTTCTCACCATCTGCGTCCTGTTCCTGCTCTACTTCGGCGTCTCTGGATACCAGACCGATAATATGTGGCTCGCTGCCAACAGCACCCCTGCACTCCACCGCCTTCGGTACACTCAAGCAGATCGCGCAATCCTCGGCAACTTCTGGTCTTGGCTCGAGTCTGTCGCCGGCTACGACAGTCAACGCTTTGGCTGATCCCAGCTACCACCATGACCACACATACCAGTTTCACAGAACGGCGAGACAAACCGCCGGCATGTCTTGATTGTCCCATCAACGACAGCTTCCGAATCACGAATGCACGACGAGGGCATGTGTATTGAGTGAGATTACTAGTTCTTGTTTTCTTGTTTTGCGCGATGATACCCACAGGGCTGAAGCCGTCATGGATGGATGGATGGCTTCTTTTCTGTTTTCTGTTTCTTCTTTTCTCTTTCTTTTCTCTTCTCTTCTCTTCTTGTTCAAACGTGACATGGAGAATATTGACGGAGGGAGGGAGTAAGGCAGAAAGAAAGAAAAAGAGAGAGAGAGGAGAGAGAGAGAGAGAGAGAGAGAGAGAGAGAGAGAGAGAGAGAGAGAGAGAGAGAGAGAGAGAGAGAGAGAGAGAGAGAGAGAGAGAGAGAGAGAGAGAGAGAGAGAGAGAGAGAGAGAGAGAGAGAGAGAGAGAGAGAGAGAGAGAGAGAGAGAGAGAGAGAGAGAGAGAGAGAGAGAGAGAGAGAGGGCAAGTTGGTACGTAAAACATCTTTTCTTTTCTCAAAGCAGTACTAAGCAGTAGTTAGGCTAAACAGTCATGTACAGAAAGCAATCGGTAGCCATGCCTGCTTGTCCTCATATGACTTTTTGGCTTGCAGCAAAACCAGTTTTCTTAGAGGTAGGCTCGACCTTTCTTATTCATCGTTTCCGCGTTTCGTTTTGGTGATTACTGAATGTACCTACCTCCTACCTCCTACCTCTGACCTCCTACCTGTACATAAACCTTGCTTACCCGAGGTAGGTAGGTAAGGTAGGTAGACGATGTTGCTACAGCGGACGGGACGAAAGCATGGGTCATCTCTTTTCACTTCACCTCACCTTACCATGCCTGACCTTACCTTACCTTACCTTACCTTACCCTATCTTGCCTTCTTAGCACACCCTTGTCTGAAAAAGAAAAATGTCATTCTTTTGGCCCTTTGATCATGCTCAAATTTGTCGTTTTGTCGGCATGGACAGCCGCAGTGGAAGACGGATTTCAAGCTTGGAGCATATTTATAACTTTTATTATTCGTCGGTTAATTCAACCCATCCCAACTTATTCAAGTGCGGAAGCTTCAGAATACAAGAAGAATGTGTTGTGTTGTGTTATACGAGGTGATGATGACGATGATGACGATGATGACGACGAGGTGTATCAGATAGTTTGTCGAGTCCCTATGTAAGACATGGCATTGCGAACGAGACCGCATTCTTACCTCATGTAAATAGAGGACATGACCACGACAACCTCTGTTCTTCAATTTGTTTCTGGCTTGCCCCTTTCCATATCTGCAAGCCGTTCGTGTAATGCAAAAGAAAGTTGTTTCTAAACGAGTGTTGGGTGTTGAGTTGGCCCGAAAATGACTCGCCCGTTGGTTGCGGGCGTGTATATGTGCCATCATTCTGCCCAGACTGCCAGAGTGGTTCTACCTTCAAATGCCGCTTGAACTTCCGCCCTTCGATAATGATAGGCAGTGCGTAGTACAGCGAGCTGAAATTCGTGTAGTAAAGGTTGCACGATGTCGTGCTCTAGACATACCAAGTAGTGTCTCGCAACCTATCATGAACACCGCTGATCCCCTCAGGCGCGTCACCCATGACGGAAGAGTCGCTCGAGGTATTCTCCGAGAGGGTGTTGAACAGGTACGCGCGGCCACGCTCGCAAAGAAGGTCGGCGTAGTATGCGGGCGGACATATAGAAACCGCTTTAGTGGCACGATTGAACAAGTAACAGAGGTGATGGGTGAACTGTTCCAGTGCGTCGGCAGTGAAGGAAATGTCGTCTTTGATGACGACGTAGTGCGCCGGTCGAGCGGTGCCTTGGAGGCCTTGGTGAGCCTGCAGGTAGAATTCCCGAATAACTTTTCCGACAATGCCGCGATCCACAATGGTGCCTGGCAGAGGATTCCAGGAGCCCTTGTCTCGCTGTGGGTTGTAATCCGCGTCCTCCACTCGAGTGGGATAGAAGCGTGTGTGATGACGCTTCCCAACGATGATGATGGCCATCTTGGGCCACCTGTCCTTCTTGCCATAGCGCTTTTTGAAAACATTCTCGAAAGCAGGCAGCTCCTCGCGCAAGACGGTTTGATACTGGCCCTCTGATACGCCATCACGGTAAACCACAACCTTGGTGGGGAGTTTCTGGTTTTTCCGGACCCACACGTCCAGACGCTCATTGAACATCTCCTCGAGGGGTTCAACCATCTCCTGTCTTCCCTTCTGACTTCTGATGCTGCCTGGCCACTGGAACATCTGGCTATCGACACTGGCGACAACACAAGAGACGCTAGGTGCGTCCTCTGCGCTGTCCGGAGATGGGTGGGTGACATCGATACCAACAACCATGGTATTGGCGTCAATGGGCGCCGTGACCGTATTGGCAACGCTATGCGAGATGCCACCTCCCTTCAAGTTGAATTTCAACGCCAAATTGCCAAGGTACATATCCTGGCCGTTTTCTTTCTCCAGTTTCGAGCCCACGGAGCAGATTGTCCCAACGCCGTGTACGACGTCGCCAAAGAACTTAATGCGCGCATAAAGCCAGCGATCAACATCTGGAATGATGATAAAGAGCATGTCGACCCTCTTGCCCTCGGCCCTCTCAAACGCACCCTTGAGCACTGCGTCATTTTTCGGGCGATTCATCATGGTCAGCCTATCAAGCTCGATCTGCATGGTAGGTCCACGTTCGCCCATGTTGATGCCATAGCCCATGAGCGCTGTTCCGAGCTTGCCAACAATGCTTTCGACTGGACCTCGCAAAGTATTGCGTCCCGAAAGGTTGATCACCAAGACTTGCCAGCGATTGAATTTCCCAGGCTTGGCAAATTTGGTTCCAGCAAGATTCCAGGAACCGTTGCGAGGGGTCACTGATTTCTTGCCGTAGTTGACGCTGGGAGCTTGTAAGATGCGACCAGGGACGCTGATCATATCGATCCCCACGCGAAAACCAAACGGTCCAACAGATTCATTTTGCGGGGTGGCGCCGGTAGCGGCCAGGCGCAACAGTCGAAGTCCGTTTCCAGGCGCATCCGCAACGCCAGCAATAGACATCGCGTTGAGGTTCGGAAATCTTGCTGCGAACTTCAGCATCTCCGACGTCTGGTTACCGCTCAGCAAACGACGATATGCTTGACCGGGGTTAACCCAGCACAGCTCCATTGGAAGGTATTGCGGAGCGTCACGAGTCCCAACATTGAGCAACGGCAGTTCAGGGCGCTTCAGCGTGATGCCGTGATTTTTCTTGAAGTATTCGGCAACGGTCATCTCCTGAGACTTGGTGTTCGGACTTGCTCGATCCTCAATGCTGATCCTGACCTCATGTGCATTGCCAAAACGCTTGACGTGAATTTTCTTATGTGGCTTCGCGAAGCCGACAATCGTCTTCGCCTTCTTCATGAACATTTCCTTTTGACCATCCTTCGTGTAACGTACCTCAACTTTGAGCATACGTATGAACGATTCTGCCTGATCGTTACCCGACCCGACTTCTCTGACCAAGTCGAGCAGCTGCATCGACTTGTAGAATGCGCCGCTGGTGACATTGATGTTGACCAGAAGACGGCCGATGGCTGGGCGAACCGACGAGAAGTAGCCGCGCAGAGCTTCGAGACCCTGACCAAGATCATATGACTCCATTCCCGGATGGGTACCAAACGGGTAGAAGTTCTTTCCAACATCCTTGACTTGGGCAGCCTCGTTCGGAGCTTTCGTGATGATGATGTTCAGGAGCTGAATGAGATCAGCGCGACCCTGGTACATGGCACCTGCCGAGGTGCTCTTGAGGTACTCCACCATGGCGCGTGGATTGAAAGACCCCTTGTCATGAAGGCAGAAATGGAACGTGTTCCGGGCTCGTGCTGCTTTGACAAATTCAGGAGGCTGATCGCCCTCGGAAGAAGGGCCGACGGCACCGTTCTCTGGTGGAAGTGTGACTTCCACCATCACCTTGCCTGCCATCATCTTCTCCAGATCCAGCTTCTCAGTAGTGACAATAATGCTCGAATAATCAGTAGCCCATCGCAGGTTGGCAAAGGCTGCATGTGCGACGATTGAATCAAAGACGCGTCGACGCTTGGGCTTGCTGATGTCCTTGATCTCCTTAATTTCCACTTCGTAGCGATAGAGAGGTACTTCGTTCACGTTGGCCTCAAACGCGGTGGTTAGGGAGAAGTAATTAGTTCGCAAGACGATAGCCTTGCCCTTGGAGCCGTACCCGGAGCGACCAGGGAAGTCATCGATGATCTTGCCCTTGGTTTGCACCACCAGGGCATTTTCAGCAGCAGTGATGGCTGGGTCAGGAGGCGTGACTGGTTGATTCTCCCTCCTCGAATATCAGCAAATTTTCTCAAGAGGCACTCATGTTCGTCTCACAAATAGATTCCCCCACGACCTGGAGGAGGTCTTCCACCCCCTGCACCGCCTCTACCACCTCTGAAAGGCATCTGGGTCGACTGGCCCCTGCCAGGAGGACCCCCGCCGCCGCGACCTCGGTTACCTTGAAAATCACCACGGCCACGACCCGGTTGGAAGTCTCCTCGACCACGACCAGCTTGAAAGTCGCCACGAGGAGCACTGGAATCTCCTCGTCCACGACCTCGCTGGCCGGCGCCTCTATCGCCACGGCCGCCGCCGCGACCACGTGGTTGGTTTCCGGACATGGTATTTATTTTCGTGTATGGAAGTGTAGTATTGATCTATGCGAATCGTGTCAAAGAAAGTTGCAAAGACGAGGAGAAACAAAGAAAGGGATACATACACCAGGGGTCGGAATGAATGGCTCAGTGAGTTCAACTCGGTCTCCCAAACAGGATGTTTTCGATGATCTGCAAACGACACAGGGTCGTCAAGGACAAGTGTGTTTGTGCCTGTTATTTGATTGTCGTAATGTCTGTGCTATACTACGTAAGAACGTGTCAGCGGTTGCACTGCATGTTGATTGGCGTGGCGAAGCGTGGCGATGCATTGACCGTTTGCCTGTAGCCACTCTCTGCGCAAGGAGTCTGACAGTATTTAGGTACACACAATTGGTTGATCCAACGGCAGGCGCTAAGTGAGAGCTCGCTGCAAGGTCTTGGATCGAGATGGTAATGTCAAGAGAATGAGAGGTGTTTGCACTGAAATCCAAGCTTGACAAACAGAACGAATTCCGATCCACTCGGAAGTGATTGCACGAAAGCGTCGCGTCGGGTGACAGCAGGAGCAGACGTTTGGCTGGTGATGGCGCTGGTGGGTGGTTGGATGTGATGATGGATGATAAAAGTGTGCTTGAATGGGATGTGGCGAATGTGATGGCTTCGAATGCAGCATATAGATAGGCCAATGCTTCGAAAAGCCCGATTTGAAAATGGTAGCGGTCGCACTCTTTGTTCTGTCAAAGCATGATGTTTTCTATGTTGTAGAGAGGATGAGAATGGATGGATGGATGGTGGAGAGAGGGAGGAGGAGGAGGAGGAGGAGGAGGAGGAGGAGGATGAGAGGGAAGAACAGAACAGAGAGCGGTGAGAGGAGAGAGGAGGGAGGGAAGGAGGGAGGTGTGAGAGAGGGAAGGAAAGACAGGCAGCAACAGGCATGAAAGCGTGTCAATTTCGCGACGAATGAAAGGAATTCCCCACCTGGGCGCGTCGCGGTGACCGGCTCGAGACTCCCGGGCAGGCAGGTACATATGTATCATGTAGGAGGTATGCGTACTTCCTTCCTCTTGATGAGTTGTGAAGTGGTGATGAACCATGAAGGGATGGTTCATGGTGAGAGTTAGAGTGATGCATGGTACATGGTACATGGTTCAATACCTGAGGAGATAGCACGATAGCTAGAAATCTGATGTATCATATATGATATATGTCCTCTTGGTACCAATGCCCTAGAGTATTCACATACATGTAAGTCAGGTAAACCCTAAAGACTTTTCCCCTTACAATACGTGGTACCTCCTACTTCTTCCTTGCTTCTCCTGCCCGTCGTTCATGCCATTTTGGTTTTGACAATGATGACGATGATGATGATGATGATGTTTGATGACAATGGATGCTTTCCCCGTACATGTACCTGCCTGACGTACCGTACCTGCCTTCCGCCTCCTGTCTGCTCTTGTTTGCATTGGCAGTTGCAGCCAGTGCAGCTGCCTTGGGATCGAGAAAGCGCGAAAGAGATCCACCATGTCGGTCCATGCCGTGGGGATCGCACACCGGACGCACTTGCCTGATGTCGGAGTTCGGTGGCGTCTTCCGTTTGTGTCGCCTGCAAGTCATGTGTCGCACACAATCACACACTCACCCACACAATCACAATCACACACTCACACCCACACCCACACCCACACCCACACCCACTCTCTCACTCTCACTCTCCCACTTCGACACCGCGCCCACACCACCCTCCACCACCCCGAGGCGGCGAGGCGGGGAGGCGACGCTATTCTGGCACAGACATCGGTGTGACGTGCCGAACAATGCGAATGGCCGACAGCAACGAGGCCGGACGAGGCACGAAGGCGCATGTATAGTGCCACACAGCTGTCCATGACCTCCCAACCGAACCTCGACTAACCTCATTGTTAACAACGATCCATCGCTGCCATCAACACCGCTCGAGCCATCCACTGCCACACATACGCATCACCATCCACGTCGGCTCGTCTCAGCCATTGTCCTAGGGCATGCGCCCCCGGTCCTACGCATTTTCTCGAAGCGAATTGACGTCCAGACTCCAGCCGCATCAGTAGTACATGGTCAGTCTATCGTGGAGACTCGCCAGCTGGTACAGACTCTCCCACGCGTGCATCGTAGCATCATCGCGCGTGGAGAAAGAGACACGGCGCACATGCCGCGCCATCGTCTTTGATTCGACGAGACGAACAAACTGCGCTCGACGTCGCTCTGCGAGACCCATCCCCACCATCGGTCCATTCCAAAGGCGGAGCTGAGCGGAGCTTGAACGCCTTTTTGGGCACTTGTTACATTCCTCAGTTACCTGGGTAAATCTAGTTCTCATCTGGTACCTGAAAAGTGCGCATTGCACATGTCAGACGACGACACATCTTCACGCTATGCGCTTGGTAACTATGCCATTGTTACACTCGTCGTCTTCGAGACAAGACATTCCAGCACCCGCACCAGGCTTTGGGTATAGTCAGACGCCGCTGTGATCCACGTCCATTTCAGTGTTTCCTCCCCAAGTCTTCTGTGCCAAAGCGCACTCTTCCTGATTGACGTGTCACGCCCATCTCTCAGTCTTTGGTGACTTACACTGCCCTATCCACTTACGTCGGAGACTGTCTACAGATCAGCAACCGAACGAACGCCTGTCCGCAGTGGGCGCAGGTACTCAAGAAACCACTCTGCATGTGGCAACAACGACAAGGATCGTTGGAGAAGTTCAAGCGCAACAGCCAGGAAGTCAAATTATTGATATACGCTCGCTCACTAGGAATTACCTTCAGTGATACCTTGCTCTCAAATCTCCGTTACAGACCTTGTTGCGCATTGACCAGATACTTTCTTCTAAACCTTCCAATATGGAAGAACTTCGCTCATCACGCTTTCGAGCGATTATATTCATCTCGCTGATCACTTCGTACCAGGCTCTCCACTCTCTGGCGGCTCCCTTCCCACCAGGTCAGTATCGAGTAAACGGGCCTATACATTGCACAGACTGATGCTTGTGTCCAAGACGACCCGCAACTCGTCCGCGACGCCGTTCATCTCATCACAGTCACTACCGGCACATGCTCAGAAGAAAGCACATCGTCCACGCCTGCCCAAGCATCAGATATAGCAGGACTACTTTCGAAACCAGTTCAAGGCATCGTTTACGAGATACAGGACGGCCAGTATGGTTGCCAGCCCGTACACCACCAGCATGTAACACTTTTTGACCTTTGACACGTGCAGAATTCAGGTATCAGGACCAGGCCATGCTGAACCATCTCTCCATCCAAGCACGACAACAGACGTCACAACAGACCCGACAACAGACCTGACAACAAGCCCGACGACAGATCCAACAACAGACCCAACGACAGACCCAACTACCACTGCAACATGTTCTAGCAGCTCAAGTATTGCTGCTCGTGACGCCACCATGACTGCTCCCTCTTTCTTGGGAACTCAGATGTACGATGTAGCAACCGACTCGTTCTCCACAAGTATATCAGACGCCTCTCTAACCCAACTCACGACCTCTGCGGTGCAGAGCGCTACACTCCCGGGACCCACGAGCACATCTGGAAGTATCGACACGACACTCCAAACTGCGCTTCAAACTTCAGCTCAGCCGTTCCCCACGTCGATTGGGTCAAGCGACCTCTCTATCGTGAACCCATCAACTCTGCCCAACCCATCGTCAACATCGGTTCTGGAGTCCTTGTTCGTGAGCGACATTTTTAGACCCATTGGTACTGGTTCTCCGCTTGTTCCAGATGCTGCTACCACTCATCCCGTGCCTAGAACTGGCATCCAACCACAGAGCCGGAAATTGCAGACGAATAAATTCTACTCGTCTCTGTATTTGAATGAACAGACTTCTCCGGTCTTCACCTTCCCTTATTCTGTCAACTGGGCAAAGGGCGGCGGCGAGCTACAAAGCTGGGGAATGGTGGTGTCGCACACCGAACCAGGACAGTGGGCGACATCTCCAGGCCAAGCAGGCAAAGACGCTGGACAGTGGGCTTTCTTCGGGGCACCTGTCGGTATACAATACCTCGTTCTGTCAGCCAGCGAGCTTGTGGAAAACCCAAACGACGGCAAAACACCGGGTCTTACTACACAGTCGCTAGAATGGGGATCTGTGAAGGCCAACCTGTATCCTCCGAATTGGATGACTCCTGTCATGACAGTACCACTCGTCCAGGGCTCAGCTTTCATCACGGCTGAATATCACTGGGGAAAGCCGCTCATTCAGTCCAGCGTCGGCTTCAAGAACATCACTTTCGCTGGGGCTCTCCCAAACAACCTCACTTACAAATATCAGGCGTCTTTGCGGAACGGGCATACATGGCTCATATATATCACACCTCTGGATGCTTCGTACGAGGTTAACAGATTCGATCTCGATGGCGCTGGTAGCTCTATCAATGGTCCATCCTGGTTCAATGGCTTCATCCAAGTTGCAAAGATACCACAACCGGGCAGCGCAGATCCTTTGAAGAGACGAGATACTGTCTTTACCGAGACAGATCCCGAGAAGATCTATGATGCATCCGCTGGCACATACGCGATCGGTCTAAATATCACTGGGTCGGTTAATGGGCAAAGTGGCAGTTATACTCTATCATGGACAAAAAATGGCACTCTGGATCAAGACTTGCTCATGTTCGCCCTCCCGCATCATACCGCTTCTATGAGCTACCCTGATCAAAATGGACTTACAAATTTGCAACTGAGGACAACGACGAAAGGACTTGCTACTGCCGTCAAGGGCGACTCCTGGACCATGACAGAGAAGGAATTGCCGATCAACATGGGGTTTGCCCCATGGACACCCGATCAAGGCGATGTGACGCAGTTCTCTGACTCTGCCCTCAAAGCAATCCAAAGGGCAGGAGCGGACGACATCCGTCAAGATATCCTCGGACAAACTAATGTCAGCAGTGCATACTACGACGGCAAAGCCTTGGCCAAGTTTGCTGCCACCTGCTATACTCTCCATGACATCGTGGGGAACGACACGCTCGCGCTTTCGGGTCTCCAGCCCCTCAAGCAAGCCTTTGCTAATCACATTGACAATCTACAGACCTGGCCTTTTGTCTATGATTCCAGCTGGGGCGGCGTGGTCAGCAACGCTTCCTACGTGACGGGAAACCCCCTCGAAGACTTTGGAAATCCATACTACAACGATCACCACTTCCATTACGGCTATTTCGTCTACGCTGCAGCCGTTATCGGGTACTTGGATCCCGAATGGCTCGGAAACTCCACCAACAAAGACTGGGTCAACATGCTCGTTCGCGACTACGCCAACTCCGACCTCGACGATCCTTATTTCCCCTTTTCCAGATCCTTTGACTGGTACCACGGCCATTCCTGGGCAGCCGGCCTTTTCGACTCCGGAGACGGCAAGAACCAAGAATCCTCCTCCGAAGACACCATGTCCTCCTATGCCATCAAAATGTGGGGCCAAGTCATTGGCGATGCCGCCATGCAAGCTCGCGGCAATCTCATGCTCGCCGTACAGAAACGCAGTCTCGCATCCTACTATCTCTACACCACCGACAATACCGTCGAACCCAGCTCCTTCATCGGAAACAAAGCCGCGGGAATCCTGTTCGAAAACAAAATCGATCATACCACCTACTTTGGCGCGGAACCGGAGTATATTCAAGGTATTCACATGCTTCCCTTGCTACCGCTTAGTCCATATGTTCGCACATCCACATTCGTGTGTCAAGAGTGGGATGCGTATTTTGCGAATATCACGTCTGATGGGAGCAACACGAAGAAGATTAGCACAGTACAAGGTGGTTGGAGGGGTATTCTCATGGCGAATTTTGCCATGTGCAATACAAGTACGGCTAGGGAGGCTTATGCCTTTTTTTCGGGCGACGAGATGGATCAGAGTTTTCTGGATGGTGGGGCTAGTTTGAGCTGGTATCTCACTTTTGTGGCGGCATTGGTTGATGGGGTTATACTTTGATGGAGACTGAAGGGAAAGAGAAGAAAAGAGAGAGTGAGAGAAAGAAGGCGGCGGTGGCGGTATATTATTTGCCTCTCATTCTTCGGTACATAAATATACCTATATAGTAAGTGCGACACGACTACTAACAACAACAGCGCCTGGTGGCATATGGCATACAGAATATGACGGAACTGGATGGAACGAAGTACAACAGGACATGATACCACGCTAGGAATCGGATACGATAGAAAGGGCATTCATTGTTCATGGCTTTCGACAACAGCGAGCAAACAATCCATGGTGTTGGTCGGGAAACGACAGACATTACAATCACACACATAGGTTACTTCAAACTTGAATATATATGCCTGATCCGCATCATCTTTCTTCTCCCGAGTCCCATCCAAAACGGACGACTGAGTGTTTGGTTATTTGGTTTTCTCCCTCCTGATTCCCAGGATCATGAATCCTGAAGGCTACAGGTAAATTGGTAATAAATACCCTTACATCACCCTTCAGCAGCTCAATTGTCCTCGTTGCAAAAACGGCCCAAGTGAAAAGTTTCATTCGGCTGGAAACAAAAAGATAATCACCGTAAGGTAAGGTAAGAACCGTGTACGTACGTACGTACATACGAACAAACAAAAAACACTACGATAAGGTAAGTACTTTAATCTAAATCATACAGATCAGGTAAATCGAAATCTTCCTCCCACCACAACAACATCCAAGACCAAGCCAATACCCAAAAGCAGGCAGTCATGAGCAGGGCATAATTCTTCGCCAAGTCACTGTCCTATCGCAACTTGATCTGAACTCCAGCACCGTATTTCGACTGCCACGCAAAGTAGTATATCAGTGCAGCAAGCGGCTGTCCGAACATACAAAAGGTGAACCAGAAGGTGCAATTTCCCACCAGTTTCGCATTGGGTCCATTGCCGCCATACTTTTGGATGAGGTCGGTGAGGAAGATGAGGGGCAGTTGTCCAATCATGCCGATGAATGCGACTCCAAGGATGTTGTGCGTGGGAACTCCCACTAACGCTTCGTGGAGGACGCCGGAGAAGATAAAGGTGAGCACTTGAGCGACAACGGGAGGCACTCCCCTTCCTACCATAGGTGAGTAGACATGTCGCTTCATGAAGTGGGTGACGGGTTTGTTCCATGATGTCCAATAACTTCGCACATCGCTGGAGTTCCACCAGTCTCCATAGAACTCTCGATCTCCGAATCTCATGATTTCTGCGAGGAAGTTGAGGAATGATTGGAACAGGGCGAAGAAGCCGGCGAGCCAGCAGACGAGGCTGATGGTGCTCAGCTTCATCACTCTTTCCATGATCTTGATGCCACGCAGGTTGGCAATCTCGTCAATGCTGTTGTTGAGCAGAGGGACAGCGTACTGTGCACAGGTGATCCAGATGAGAACGCCGAGGGCGGCAAACTCGAGGAAGCGTTTGACGACGAAGTCCTTTCGGACTCGTGAAGATCGAGGGTAGACTGGTTGGTAGACCAATGTGGGGGCCCACCAGAAGTAGCAGAGGTTCAAGAAGTTGATGTTACGTGGATAGGGACATTGTCTGTATAGCTCTGGCATTTCACTGACGGCGTCTGAGCGCAGGTATGATTGTCGCAGGTCGCGATTCGTGAAAGCGTATGAGCAGACTTTGAGCCAGACCACGACGGCGTGGAGCTCGGTGATGGTGCCTAAGCCGGGATTGTGGATCCAATAGTAGACGACATGTGTTGCAAATGCAAGCATGAAAGTTGCATTCAGTGCGTGACTGATGGCTATGGCTGACCATGTTGAGAAGAAGCTTTTCGACTTTCTCCTCTCCTCCTTGATGATCTGTTCCGCGCCGACCTGTCCCTCTCTCTGCATTCTCGCAGCCACGTTCTCGACATATCGCGCAGCTGCCCATTCGATCCAATAGGCGATAAACAAGTGGCAGGGCGTGAGGATGTAGAGAATGATGAACCATTTCCAGTCTCCTTCCTTGACCTTCGCTCCTCCCGAGATGGCCACAAGTGGTCCGTATTTGCTGTAGTTGTCAATCATCAGGCGCAGATTGGAGATGATGATGACCAGCGCCATAAGGTTCCTGAAGCCCAATGTAGAGGGAGAGGTGGGCGCGTCTGCACTAAAGACGGAGGGTCGAGCATCTGCGTGCACAGCAAAGGTATGCTTGTATTTCCGGGAAGCTGAACGTGGATCCTTTCTCCCGCTTCCATGCCTCTTTTCGCCTCTAAGACTCTTCTCGCCTTCAGACCTCTCCCCGCATGCATGGCTAGAGCCTCCCTTGGCTCCATGTACTGAGCCATTAACGGGCGCTGCTCCCGCAGACGGTCTGTCCGCAACATGCACCGCTGTCGATGTCGCGCTCGCCATGATGAGTCCTGGCTTTCCCTCTCTGGTGTTGTTGCCTTTCTCCCGTTCCCTCTCCCTGTTGACACTGGTCTCGGTACTCGAAGGTGGGCAGTGGTGGGAGAAGCGGAGGCGATGCAGCCGTTTCAAGGACGTTTCAGCGGGCGTATACTTCTGTTTCCTTCATCAAGCGTGTCTTGACGTTGGAGATGCATAGAAGTAGAGGTGAAGGAGAAGAGAAGGAGGAGGAGGAGGAAGAGGTGGAAGCAGCAGCAGCAGGGTTGCATAAGTCCATGTTATAATTGTGTACAAAGTAAGGTAGAGCTGCAAGCTTGGGATGACATGACATTCCCAATGCTGTTGAGGCCAAGACTCGTCATCGCTATGTTTTTTGTCTCGGCATCTGCATGTAGTGCCATGTACATCCAGCTACCTTGTTCTACTTCTGGTTCTAGCCTCCCGTAGAACCAACCATTCTACATGTACTACATACCAACATGTAGTTACATATATCAGATACCTCCCCACGCAATTAGTCCCAACAGATTCCTCCTGCTTCGTGAGTCATCTTTGTCTATCCATAATTCTGTCTAGTCCTTGAGGTTATACAGATAGCTGCTTATCATCTCTTGAAGCTCTCAAAGACACACATGTTCAACCTCGGGATGGAATGACCAATCAAGCATAGGTACGCTGTACCGACAGGAATCATGCACACAAGACGGCAACATCGGATCAGAATCAGTAGGGAGGCGAGAAGATGTCAGAGAACCGCGGTCATCTATTTCTCAGCGCTGGAGTCGCCGTCGACTTGTTCAGCTCTGCGACATTCTCTTCGTTGCTGATAGTAAAAGTACCTCCAGCTTCCAGTTCATCTCTCCTGATAGTACTGCAGAAGTGGCAGTTTGCACGTCTCCGCCGAGAGTGCAATGAGGTGTCCAGCTCCTCGCTCAAAAGGTCCCTGCTGGACTCATTTGCCGCAACCTCCTTTACCACCGCAGCATTTCCCTCCATCACAGCCCTTCCTGCCACAGCAGTGACATGCAACACCACCATCACCATCAGGAGGCTGCCCCTCCATAACTTCAACAATATCGCCATCTTCAATCTGGTTCTGAGATGTGCCCAAGTCAAAGTCAGCGAAAATCCTCAAAGTAAGAACAATTAAGAAAAAGGGGAAAGCAGACATTCAAAAGAAAAAAGAAAACCTCACCTCCGCAATAGTCCCATTATATAAACGGCACCCATAAATCAAGAACCGAAGCGAGTCAGGTGATCGCTCAACTGAGGCGCAAAAGGCATCCTAGTAAACGCACGAATCAGTCAGTCAGTCAGTCAAATCAAATCCAACTAAACCAAAAACTCCCCCCACCCCCGGTCTTCCACACAATAATGTAATGTAATGAAATGGTACAAGATCAACATACAATAGGCTTCCGAACATCAGTCGTAGGCTTCAGTTTATAAGTTTGCGAAAAGCCTCTTCCGTAGCGGAGGATGATGGTGATGCGGTCTTTTGGCTGGCCGGGCAGGTCGGCATCAGTGTCGGTGGCGGTGGCGGTGGCGGTACTACCATTGTCGCCGTTACTAACAATTCCAGCAGTAGCAGCAGCAGCAGCAGCAGCAGTAGGGTTGTCGTTGTCTTGGTCGGATTGGCAGTAAGGTTGTCCGGGGTAGCGGCCGTTGGCGTTGCCGTCGGCAGCGGTGGAGGAGTCTGGGAAGTCCATTTTTGGATTTGCTTGCTTGGAGATGATAAGAGTCGCTATGGCTCGTCAGGTGGCTCTTGTGGAAGGGAGGTGTGTCGGATGATGTTTTGTCGTTGAGTGGATGGAGAGAGGTTAGAGTGGTCATTGAAGTAGAGGGGAAGCGAGAGGTTTTGTGTTGTAAGTCACGGCGCGTAAATGAGGCTGCTGCAGTGATAGTAGTAGAGTAGAAAGTGAAGTTTGCGTATCTCCAAAGTGAAGTTTTCGTAACTCGAAAGTGAAGTTTACATATACGTATCTCGAAAGTGAGAGTAGAACGCTTGAAGAAGCCTATGAGGTTATTTAGCTCAGACTCCAAGGTTGACGACATTGTGTATATATGTATAATATCATTGCACGAGCGATTTGTAACAAGCCCGCATATACTACATTTCTAATGTACTTTGATATTGAAGTCGAGGTGAATGAGAGAAGTGGTTGTCACGAAAGACGCCAACGATGCGGAGCCGGCAATCAGCCGACGACGGGAGGCAAGACCCGCCCAGAAACGTGCTCAGGACGTCCACTTTCATCTCCAATTCTCCATACTGGTACCTTGACACTTCCCCAGAGGACCTGCGCGCAAGATGCGCATCAGAACTGCCTGACCTTGTTGTCGTCCGTCGGTTTGTGAGTGAGAAGAAGAAGATGATGATGATGATGATGAAGAAGAAGAAGAAGCCGGAGCAAGCGAAGACCTGTCTACAGTGTGATGACTTTGTGCAAGAGGTGGAAATGAACTAGGTACAAATGCCTTAGTCGACTGCCCTGACGTTGCTGTGTCGGTAGGCGGAGGTCTCGTGGACTGGGAGATGAGGACGAGGCCAAGACACGTCGATAGTTATTGTGCATCGGAGAGGCCACGGAAAGCCGTCATTGATGGCATGGCAAAGGATGGCAGATGATGACTGCCAAGGGAAGCAGCGGACATTGTCTTGTACAGGATGTCATATGCATTCGTGGAACAGCGCTAACTCCTACGATACCACATCCAGCAGTTCCATCGTCGACACTACTGCCCTTTTGGGGCTTCGGTGAGGTTCCCCGGAGCAGCATGGCACAACCCCAAGTCTTGGTCCATTCTCGCCAAGCACATCTAGTGGAGACTGAAACATTCCTGAGGCGATATAGCAGCCACGACTGTAATGGCTTTTACCAATTGAGGCGGTTGCGCGCTCGAGTCCTGGATGTGGAGACTGTGGCCAATCTTTATGCTACGCCGGTCAACCCGAGGACTATCTTGTACCCTGGAGATGAAGACTGAGAGCGATGTTTTCGGAATCTGTGCATGTCCAACAGAGAGTGCGACTACTGAGATTGCCTGCAGCATTGCATCCATATGAGGTCTTGCTAAGACATACGGACTGTGATCGGCAGTAATGGCGTGACCAGCTAGCAGAACATTAGCTATTCTTGGCTGCGGAATGCGAGGCTACGTCGATTATGCTAGCCAATACTCCCCCTTGCCAGACATTCTGTTAACATCATGCTCTCTCCCCGTACCAGATGGATGTCTGGCGGCATAGGGCTTCCCACATTAGATGACTGACTCTGCTTCGAAGGATTGGCGGTCATGCACCTAACCACTGACTGAGTAGCGATCACGATCAAAGCGTAGACGACCGGATTAAACGTTACACAGAATGTGAGCCAAGCCAGAGCCGAACGAATGTTGAGAAGGAGGCCTGCTATGCGGTTCTCCCATTCGTGTATAAAGCTGCAGTCCTCAAGAGTATCAGATTCTACACTCAACTTACCATACTCCAGCAAACACCAGCTCGCAATACCTTCACCATCATCAAAGCAAGACTATTCAATCCCTCACTCAGTCCCACCTCGTCACGACGCCAGGTTCGACCGACAATGCTCTCACTCAACTTCCTCATCGTTGCCGCCCAGGCCACCTGCATCATCGCTCAGTCCACGAAGAGTCCAACTTGCACCATCACTTCGACATTCACCCAGTCCACGAAGAGCTCAAGTTGCACCATGACCTCGACATACACACCTTCTGTGTGCTGCCCTCAGATTCCCGCGGAAACAGCGTTTGACTTGATCGAATGCGGTGGCTGTGCTTTTACTACGGAGACGGTGCCACTGAACTGCTTGATGCCTTGCACAGTGTCACCGACTGTCGATTTGGCTTTGACGACGACTATTACGGAGTGTGATCAGACTATCAGCTTGACGGATCCCGTTACGAAGATGTAAAAGAATGAAGGAAAATGACTTGTGATTACATTTCAAAATGTGCTTGCAGGGGGGAAGGGAGTTGGGACGTGTGAAAGGGCTTTGCTCATGATGAAGTATGTGAACTGTCGACAGTGCAATCTGTGGACAATTTTTGCAACATGGCGAAGCGCTGAATCAATGAGAAAGAAGAAGATGCCGAACCTCCTCAAGGTGATATCAAGAGAGATTTGCCAGATTAAACCAATCTTTCTTCTAATCTTCCAGTGAGGTACCTGATCTAGCATGTCTGTTGCAACTGTGCAGCCCTCGAGAGGCCACCGAGAACAAAGAAGAGCAGTGATGATGACCGCATGCCCTGGGGTAGAGGTCGCACAGATGGTTCCCCCAAGAGACTACCTACCGCATGCTGTGCGCAGTGTGCCCTATCCTGCGTACCATATGGATCAAGCAGAAGGTAGACAAGAAATCCCCGTGCACTGACTTCCGCATGTTTGCTTTCTCTCATGGCAAGTGAAGAGATTGACCGGTATACGATGGTCCCTGGGAACAGAAGTCCGCCGAGGAATCCTAGCATGGTACAGAAGGATGGAATCCGTAACTTGTAGTCGGCCACTTGTGCTTTGCTCAGCCCTACAATGAGCCTAGAATTGGTCGAGTCCTGGCACAATGGCGCTAACTTGGCTTGTCTTGAGCATCGGTTGAAGGTAGCCATAGAGTGACACTGCAGCGCCAACGCATTGCTACTCTGAGGCAGCAAAGCATGCATCATCACAGTTCGACTATATGGAATTCCGAAGTTGCATGATTGCTACCTATATTTGATGATGATATCCGGCAGAAGCTCTTCACATGCTCCAAATACTCCGCGCCCTGTACAGCTGCAAAAGAGAAAGCCGAAATTTATGCGCTCTCCCGCAAATTCCTATCGTACCTAATGCTCATGACGGTGCTCTGACGTTGTGTACTCGGCGGATCCGATGCGGAAGATTGTAAGATGGAGTGCTCGTAGAAGTATATATAGAAGTACGTATAAGGAGTAACTTAGGAAGAACTTCTCTCAACTCTCCTGAAGGCTGACGGGATCATCTTATTCTTGACGGTGTACCGTGTTACGTGTACGATACGAGCGGTAAGGTAAATCACATTATTATATGATTATATAATGACTGTCCCGAACGCCTCTCCACGTGACGTGGTTGCCAGCCAGCCTCACACCACGCACGGCGTAGGCACCAAAGTCATCCTGCCCAATTCCGGCTCCATTCACGACTTTCCCGTCGACAAGACCGACTTTCCCACCTTTCCCGAAGAGCGCGCCGGATGGAAGGGCTATGTGGAATGGGAAAAGTATCCCGAGAAGCGAGCCGAGTGCGAACGAATTCTGGCTCAGTACAAGTTCCCATCTCCTCCAGAATTCCAATTGCAGCCCTTGCCCAAGACCAATCCCGTCCTGGAGGGCGTCCGCTGGAAACAATACCATTATGCTTGTGGTCCCACGCTTCGAGACATTCCAGATATCAGCTGGAAGTATGTCCAGGAGGAAAAGAGTGCCGACATGATTCACGTTCTCCAGTTCCCGTACAATGGTGAACCTCCTCGGAAGCGTCTCGTGGAGACGGAAATCACCTCGAACCGTGATTTCTTCGTCCGCAACCACGGAGGCATTCCCGAGATTGAAGAAGATGCATTCGAATTGGACATTGAAGGACTTGTCAAGAACCCGATGAAGCTCACCCTAGCCGACCTCAAGAACGAATCTCTCTTCCCCAAACGCTCGCATGTCGTCAGCTTGCAATGCTCCGGCACCCGACGTATCGAACAAATCAACCAATACCCGGGCGACGGCGACGAACTCATCAACGCACCGTGGGGCGAAGGCGCCATAGGTAACGCACGCTGGGGAGGCGTCTATCTCAAAGACGTCATCGCCCACTGCGGCGGTCTCTCGGATCCCTCTGCAGAAAACGACATCCATCTCGAATTCTTCGGCGCAGACACGTATTTCAAAAAGGGCAAAGTATACAACTACGTCGTCTCGGTCCCCTACCGCAAAGTCAAATTCGAAGAAGTCATGCTCGCCTGGGAAATGAATGGCGTGCCCCTCCCGAAAATCCACGGCTTTCCCTTGCGGACAGTCGTCTTTGGATACATTGGCGCACGAAGTTGCAAATGGTTGTATAAAATCCGCGCCATTCGTGGTCCCAGTCAGGCACCGGTGCAGAAAAAGGAATATTTGTATTATACTCCTCAACTCGGAAAACAGAATGTGCAATATTCGAATGGTTTCTCCATTCAGGATATGCCCGTCTCCAGCGCCATCATGACACCTGTGGACATGGATCAGATTATACATGATGGGACCATCAAACTCACCGGGTGGGCGTATTCGGGTGGTACGGGGGGTCATTGGCCACAGAGAGTGGAGGTGAGTGCTGATGGGGGAAGTGTGTGGTATGAGGTACCATTGTAAGTCTCTCTCTCCCTCCCTCTTTCAACGACGAACCTTTTACTTTCCTTCCCATTGCAAAATCTCTAATTTTGCCAATCACCAAGCTAATCTCTTTTCTCTTTTTTTTTCTCTCTTGCAGTGAGAATCTGAGCAAAAAATACTATTACGGCTGGAGAACGTGGCACATTGAAATGCCCGTCGACGCCGAAGGTTGGCTCGAATTCTGCTGTCGGACATGGGATAATGCAAACAATACCCAACCGACTTATGTCCGAAGTGCATGGTACGTTTCTTTTTTTCTTCCTTTTCTTTCATCCATCTACCCATCCATCCTCAACTCCTCCTCCTCCTCCTCCTCCTCCTACTCTCCTAGGTACAATGTACAATGCACCTCCCGGAACTAACCTTCCGAAACAGGAACTTCGATTTACACGTGACATCTTCCTGTCATCGCGTCAAAATCTACTCCATCAATCGCTCTCACCCCGCAACTGCAAGGCGTTTACAACAATTAGAAGAGGTCGGGGCGTCGATTCTGCCTATTACGCAGCCTTTGCCGTTTGATCTGGAGACGGATGAGCATTATGAAGCAGAGATGGAGGCGAGAGATGGGAGAGATCCGCGGGAGTGATGGGGTCAAAATCTTTCTGATTTTTTTTATACCTGACCTGACCTGACCTGATCTGACCTGACCGACCTGACCTTGCCTTACCTTAGCACACATCAAGTTTTAGTTTCTCATGATGATAATGATGTTTATACGACGATATATGATACGTTTTTCTTGGGCTGGTCGATCGGTCGCGCTGGTGGGGCTAAGGGTTAGTATTCTTTACTACTCATGATGAGTACATCAAGGCATGCTGTTCATGAGCTTGTAGTAGATGGACATGTCACGAGGCCATCATGTCATCAGTGGAGGGAATTGTGAACGTTATGTGTTCGAACGTGTCAACTTGATAGTGCAAAACTCAAGTTCCCGTAATGAAGAAGCTCAATAGACTGCCAGCAGTCAGTCCGCCCACCAGACACAGTCCCATAAAGCCGCCCGCAGCTTCGCGTTCTTCTTCTGCCACCCACTCTCCAGCACCAATCATACAAGTGCTTCCCAGATAGCCATTGGACAGTCCAAACAGGAGCTGTACAACGACCAGATAGAAGAAATCACTCGATATGATAGCGCCTTGGCCACGGATATTGCACAGGTGGTATAGTCCAACAAAGGCCAATCGAGAACATGCGAAAATGAAGACGACTCTGGGCCAGCGAACGAGGGACAAAGCGGGCACCGCTGTGATCAACCTCCCTGCCAAATCGCCAGAGTTCCAGAAGAGAAGTGCTAGAGGGATGAAGCTTGCTGGCTGTAGAATAGGAGGCTGCTCGGAGGGTGGCCGGACAGATACAATGCGCTGCGTGAAGACGGGGTACACCATGGTGATGGCAAAGGTGACAAAGACACCTGCCGCCAGCCAGATGAGTTTCTTCAGCAGATACAGTAGAGGTATCGACTTCCTCTCGGCAGGTTCATCGGCCATATCGTGCGTCGGCAGCTGCCTCTTTGCTGATGGCCTATTATCCCTCGCAGCCAGCACCGAGAATGCCAACAACGTCACCACACTAATGACCGTAGCCGTCACAAAGTATGCCAGCGCCGCCTTCCAATTCACCGGTGGCGGTCCATGTCCACCTTGCTCACTCTCCCCCTCCTTTGGCCTCACGCTCAACACCGACACAATCTGCGCAATACAAGGCAGCACGCCCGCGATAGCCTGCCCCGTCATAATGCCCTGCGTGAACTTGGGCTCTCCATAGCCCGACACAAACGCAAACACTCCATTCTGACAGAACCCGGTCGCGAGCGATGTGAAGAAGATGACGGCCATCAGAAAAGCAAAATAGACCCCCGCACTCGTCTCGATTGCTGTGCTGACCGCCAGTAACGAGAAGACCACCATGTTAATCCCCAGACCTAGTACGATTCTTTTGGCATAATTCGCCCCGCTTTGTAGTCGTGTGAGGATCAGCATGGCGCCCAGGTTTGTGATGGTGGAGACGGAGATTTCGGCGGCTTGGAAGTTGGCGAAGATCCAGTCGTTGTCGCGGAAGCGGTGTTGGAAGTATGGGCCGGCGGCAAGGAACATATTCCAGGCCCAGAGCATGGAGATGCCCAGGAGGAGGAAGATGGAGTATTCGACGTAGAAGCCATTATGATGGTGGTGGTGGTCAGTGGGTTTTGGTTGTAGCGCAGAGGTGCTGTTGACGATGTCGGCCTCATCCTCCTCCTCTTCCCCATCTCCGCCGCTGTTGCTGGGTACGGGTTGGTAGGGCTGTTGGTGTTGGCCCTGCCACACCTTGCGCAGGCGATCCATGATACTGCTGGGCGTGAGAGGTGTGAGCGGGAGAGAGCGGTGGGAGCGGTGGAAGCGGTGGGGGACAGATGAGGTGCGGGTGGGGGAGGGGGAGGTGAGTCGAGAATTAGGACTTCGAGGCTGGGGACGAGACACGCGCGGCTGCCATGTCTTTCAATCTGCGTGTCAGCTGCCTGGCGTTGGTGACCTGAAGTTCCGAATACAGTAGTCTACGATGTCATGCTGTGGAGAGTGCCAGGAGTGGTAACAACTGCAGGTATGTCACCGTATGTGAGTTATCTCAGTAATACTCAGATCCGCTTTAGTAGTAGACTAGCGCTCTAGCGTCTTCCTTTATCTTCCTAGTACGGTTCCTTACGAGCATCTTACTCTTAATAGGTCTAGGGTCCGCTCAGATAATCTTGGCGTGAACCCTATTGTACTTCCATCGCTTCTCATGCCTCCAATTGCATCGTACAGTTCCAGAGACTTTGTATATTGCATTAGGCCCATTATGGGTACTTTGAAATCTGGATCATGGTGGACCAGTTCGGGACTCGGTCAAGCAAGTGGACGAAAATTCATGGCTCATCGACGACAAGCTTCTCTTGCGTCGCCGTCAAGCACATGGATTGTGGGTGTAGCAATGGGCGAATTTCGTGAGATTTCAGGTAAGGCGAACGAAAGAGAATATTGGATATCATTTGATAAACTTTTGTGAACCGTTTCTCTCGACGGAAGCAGGTTGTCTACAACCGACCAACAACGACTGTCCTAATAAGGATCGGACGAGTGCCTAAGGCCTGATTGGCCTCCACTCTCCACTTCACCTGACTCCCTCAAGCGAATCCTAGTACAATCACCGTTTGAAATCCCTTCCTCAGCTTCTTGACCTTCTCCATCTCCTTGGCCCCAAGTCTCGGCAAAACCTCTCCTTCGCTCGATACAGCTTTTACACACACGCCTCTCGGATAGAAGAACCCGAACTCCACTGGAACATTCCAATTCCAGACCTCGTCCCGATCGCGGAAGTAGTATGGCTGCCCTTTATGGGATATCAAGTCGTATTCTTCACGTAAGCTCACAGCATGCGCAGTTTTGAATTCGCCCTTGTGCGTGACGGCGATGCAACAATGCCAGGGAGTCATCGAGAAGTGATCGGGCTGAGTTACCAGCGGAAAGGATGTCTTCTGGAGGCCGATAGAACGGTGGATGGAGAGACTGAGCATATTCGATTTAGCCCAAATATTTTCGGGGGTAAGCTGCTCCAAAGCTCTGAATCTTGGTGGGTGGGGACTTGTAAAGGCAAGCACTTACCGAACGTAGTGGGGAAGGGCTGTTTTGACGACTGCGGCGTAAGCTTTGCCGCGCGTAATGATTTCTGCAGCGACGCGCTTCACGGCTCGTTTATAATCCCTATTGCTTGTCGCTCCAGCCGTAACAGAGCTGTGCCGAAGATCCTTCTCGAGGAACATACTGTACCTGCGCACATATCAGCCAGGGAGCTCAAGAACAGAGTCGGCGCGTCGAGGAGAGAAAGATTGGGGGCGGATACTAACCCGCGATAGGTGAGATTGATGTCTGCATCATTCAAAATGGCATCACGCGCATCGAATTTTGGATCTCCGTACTTCTCCTGAAGCAGCTTGCGCGACATGCTGACGGTCGCGAGGTACTCCTCTTTCGTCATATCTGGCGACTCATACAGACCTAAAAGATTCATCATACGCATGAACTTTAGGCGGTCGAAACCTTTCGCAGTGGCCATTTGTCGGAGCGCACTGCCATAAATATAGACCTCCTCATCCGGAACACCAAATGCATCGTTATAGACCAGCCCGTCCGAGGTGACGGTCACGAAGGCGCCCGGCCGGTAGACATCCTGTATATCCTCGCAGAGACTCTGAAGACGTCCCAGAGCGAGCTCCTCGCCCAGATCCGGCAAGGACCCTAGTACTTTGTCGACCCTATTCACCGATTTCCATGGAAACGCGGGAATGCAAAAGTCTACGGGAAGGCTAGCGTCCACGAATGTGCGAACTTGGGACTCGGCACCTTTGCGGCCGAGCCAGGCATCTCCAGTTGCGTTTGATTCGTTCTGGCTATACCCTTGGATGATGTCCAAGATTTGTTGGACCACATCTGGTGATGCTTGTCTGGATAGATTGTGTTCAGTGACAGGCGTTTCCAGAGATTGACGATCTTGTTCCAAGATCATTGAACTTTGCAGAGATTCGCCCTGGTCAGATGCTTCGCTCGAGGACTCCGAGCTTGGTGGAGTAGGTACTGGTTCCAAGATCATTGAATGTTGTAGAGATCCGCCCTGATCAGACTCTTCGCTCGATGACTCCGAGCTTGGTGAAGTAGGTGCTGATCGCACGAAAGAGATCTCTTGAATCTTGAGCTCCTTCATCCGATCTTCGACAAACTCAACACCGCCAGCTTCCTCGATAGAGTAAACCTGAGTAGTAATCTGCTGATTGAACTTCATTCTGGCGATCACGATCGGCTTTAGAAAAAACAAAAGAAAATGACCCGGGACGTCAGTGTTGTAGAATGGACTGCTGATTCACGGACGACAGCCTGACAGCTGGATATATTTATATATCATCCTGGACGTGGTTGCACCAGTTTCGATGAGTTTCATCACAGTGGTGGCCTCACGCGGCTTTGCCAGAGGTGGGCCATCTGGGAAAAAATAGCACAAATGCTAGTCCCTTAGCAGTGTATGCAAGGCCTACATGTAGAACTTACGGAAAGTGTATGTTTCGCGTAGGCTATGTCCAGACTAAAGCTCAACCTTGTGAATATAGTGAAGAAACTAATGCTGTGTACACACTTCAACGAATCTTCTGCCAGTGTTCGGCCTTTTTCCGCATCGTTCTTCAGAGCCGCAGATAGCCTATAAGGCTTGGGATGGGACATACCTCGGCTTGTTCATACAAAAGCACAAATGACAGCTCTCTGACCAGTATATGCCAGACCTAGTAGATCTGCGAAAGTGTATGTTTCGCTTAGGCTATGCCCAGACTAAGGCTGTACCTTGTGAATAGCCAAAGGATCTCCCGTCTCTTCTGATTATCGTTCTTCAGAGCTGCAGATGGTCTGAAGGACTGAAGACAGGCTATTCTTCGCCTTTGTGCGTAACGTACTTAGATGCTCAAGTACGCTCCCCTAGTGCTCCGAGTCACGCTCCGTAGGTGCGTCGTGCAGAATCCTGCGTAGCTTAGCAAGGCTAGGCTTGCGGCCATGTTTTCTTGTCCGCAATTGTCTCTAGTCTTAGTAGTATACGATAGTCCATAACTTATTCCAAGGGGCTGCTGGAGTTCGCTGGTATCAGTACCTCTCGACTTGTTTTGAGTTGGAACGGCCTCTCTATAGCAGGTCGAAAAAAAGCTAAGCTCTCAGTACAAATCCTCGTGCATAATTCATTACTCAAAGAACTATATCGCAATGCGACGCTTTCGTCCGTATTTGGAGCCTCCAAACTTGAGTTCAAAACAAAACAGCAGAGCTTATTGGTAATTGTGCGGCGAATTCCTAGCCAAAATGGGACGAGCTTTCGGTATATCGTCGCAGTATGTAGTGGGATCGACGATCGCATGCCAAACGTATGTGAAAGCGTAGGTCTTAGTGTATTCTTGGTGAAGTGTGCTGGTAATTGTATCTGCCCGATGTTACTTGCATGTGTTGCTTGCGCAAAACGTGAAGTGCCGTCGGCGAAACGTTAATCCTTCCCGATTGGCCAATCACAACGCACCAATCAGCTGGTTCGGATGCGGACTGTCCTCCGTCAAATCCTGAATTATTGACTACTGTGTTGAAGTTACACAATGTCCACTCTAAACTACATCTAGTAAATTTCATTCGCCCCACTTAGTCTATGGAAGATAAAGTAGTCTGTGCGTGAAGACGATCATCTCTCCCTACTTCACCTACACTTCCTTACACCAACACGCTCTGTACGCACCGTACGAAGTTCATTTATTATGACCTAAACTTACCACGTACAATCTCTACACTATCACTATCGTATTCATCGCACGTGCATTACATTATGGCACCGAAGAGAGCTCGAAAACCCGACCCAGAAGATAGGAGCCGCCAACGCTCCGGCAGCGACGGACGGGTTACGAAAAACCCAAGAATCAAAGCGACTTTTACCCATAGGCCCTCGGGACCACCTACCAACACCACCGGCGCACTTTTTCTCTTATACGCTTGTGTAGATATACGAGAGGTTTCATTTCCAAGCAACCGGCGGCGTGCACACGCTACCTTAAGCCGACAATTAGCTGTGGCTAACCATACCTCGATATCAACTTGTTCAATGCTCGAGAGAAAAAAGAATGAGATCCAAGCTACGAGCTTAGGACCCTTGTTGGCCTGTTGGCACTACCAGGTATAGTCAAAGATGTAATACTCGTGCCTTCCGTGACCAGATACGGGACAAGCAATAATTCCCAGGTTGGTATATATTGGTCCATCTGAGTATACTAAGGATCAAGGGCGGCTACAATCGAGTCGATCAAGCTTCAGCAACGGGAAAATTACTCTTCGGCATTAGTTATGGGCGACAGTTCATCCTCAGAGACTGCGAAAACCGTCCATTCCGAAGACAATGGATGTGCTTCTTCTACACAAGTCAAGACGCCCTTGCGCCGGCAAGCCTGGCTGCAAGTACTCGCTGGCCATCTCATCGTCTTCGACACCTTCGGCTACATCGGCTCCTGGGGACTGTTTCAATCATACTACCAGATCTCCCTGGGCCGCTCACCGTCAGAGATAAGCTGGATCGGGTCCATCCAACTTTTCCTCGTATACTTTGTCGGATCCCTCTCCGGTCGCACGCTGGACGCCGGCTATGTGCGCACTGCACTGGCCCTTGGGTGCAGCCTTCAAGTCGTCGGCATTTTTACCGCAGCGCAGAGTACGCGATATTGGCAGCTGTTTCTTTCCCAAGGCATCTGCGTGGGTCTTGGCAATGGCTTGACATTCACCCCGATGATATCGCTTATTAGCACCTACTACGAGGACAAATTTCGGCCACTCGCAGTCTCATTTGCCGCAGCAGGTGCTGCTACAGGCGGCATGGTGTTCCCAGCCATTGCGAAACGACTGCTAGATCGCATTGGGGTGGCCTGGACAGTCCGTGTCATGGGTTTCGTCTTTCTGGCCAACTCAGCCATTGCTCTTGCCCTCGTTCGACAACGGACTGCAGCGCGGAAGTCAGGTCCATTACTGGAATGGTCCGCATTCACAGAGCTACCGTATCTACTGTTCACCATCGGAGTCTTCCTCGTGCTATGGGGAGTGTACTTCGCATACTACTTTATCACCATCTTCGCAACGGACATCGTCCACATGTCCTCTAGCCAATCTTTCTACCTGATCATGGCGCTCAACGGCATCGGCATTCCTGGCCGCATTCTACCTGCCTATTTGGTCACGGTCGCTCCCTCGGTTTTGCACATCTTCGTTCCTGCCATTCTCGCGTCCGGACTGTCATTATACCTATGGGCATTTGTGAAAAGCTCGAGTGGCCTGGTGATCTGGACTCTCGTGTATGGTTTCTGCGCCAACGCAGTGCAGGCCCTAGCACTTGGAGGTCTTGGGAGCCTAACAGTGGATAAGCGGAAAATGGGCACTCGCACCGGTATGGTGCTGAGTATTGTCAGCTTTGCTTCGCTGACAGGACCTCCGATAGCAAGTGCGTTGATTGACGCGCGAGCTGGCGACTTCTTGTACGCGCAAATTTTTGGGGGAACTACAATGGTCTGTGGGGCCATGGTGCTAGTCGGGGTTATATGGGTGAGGAACCCATAAGCGACACCATTATGGTCCTCGAATTATGTGGACTCAGCCTCGTTCCAGGAGGTGTACTTTACTTGCACCTTCAATGACTCCGAGTCGGATTTGGGATAAGTCGAGAATCTGTGGAAGGCGACTGAGTATCGCAAGTCCAACAGTATACGCATGGCTCGCTTGGTCTCCTCGTACACTAAATGATTCCGACCAGACCAAGCACGGAAAAAAGCTGCATACGCCAGATGGTCGTTTCACGTTCATGGATAGTGAACGAACGAAGGGTGGATGTCGACGTTCAGACTAGGTTGCTCGGATGCACCTTATTGGCACGGAACGACCTCCGGGCCTTCCGAAGCGTAGCGTAGGTTAGGCTAGCGTAGCGTAGTTTGGTCGAAGCGGCCGGAGTGGGGAAGTGGATGCCTATTGACCTAGCTTATACATATAGTCTCTCTTAGCTATAGGAAAATCCTCGAAGGCGTATGTTCTGATGAGCGCGATCTCTAGTCCTCGAGCTACTGAGCCGAATGCGTTACTATTTCAAAAAAAAACTTATGTAGCTAGCAGCTACCTCTACAGGCCTATGTACCTAACCCTATAGGCTACATCCTATCAACTTTAGAAGCAAGAACTAAGACAACCTTAACAAGACAGATCTAGCGCAATCGGCCTAGGTAGGCAGAGAAGAAGAAGAAGAAGAAGAAGAAGAAGGAATTCCTAGGCAATTAGGGAGATAGAGATGCCCTAGAGAGATACCTAGGGAGAGACTTCAAGATAGAGATCAGAGAAATGCTATACGTATTCGCTTGACAAGAGTCAAGTCAATCGCACTTTTCTGAGCGATATAATAGGCTTGAGATACAGCTCAAATCACATACTCGAGCACGAAACCAGCAGCGTGCCACATCAGGTGCTAGAAGCGCTTACGTGTCGGAGACACTGACGTTCCGAGAAGAAGAGGTTCTCCGGTAGATACTCTTCGAGGACTTGGGCAGCACGTCGCTGCTTGGAACCCGCTCTGCTGAAGGCTGAGATATCTGTTCGTAGCGTGAAGTAAATTCAAAGCATACCTTAGCGACACCTCAAACTCGCGCATATGTCCCGAACTATGGTGTCTGTAGCAATCCTGCACCAGCTACAGGCAGGCTGCCACACTGTGGAAGTGCGTACGGGCCTGTGTGTCCAACGTTCATGAACGCGCCTTTCCACGTCTTCACCACGAGGCTGCTGGTGATGGACACATATGCCTTCCTTCTCTTAATCGTATTGTCCCATTGGATCTTTCCCTCCTCATGGACGATGTAATGGCCTCGAAGTCTTACACGGTCTCTGGTAGCGGTGCGAGGTAGTTAGGTCGAGCAGATGTGCGAGTGATGCCGGGTCTATGCATCGCGCGAGGATATAGGATTGTCCACAGAGCAGGCGAGTAGACGTTTGCGTTGTCCATAGATTCGCAGCCACACATGTAGGTTGGTTGAAAAGCGCGAGCGCAGAATAAATAGCCAAGCGGCTAGAAGAACCTCAAAAGAGACTAGCGCCATTGACCCTTGCACGAGGCTGAACTCTACTTTTGTGACATCACGAAAGTGAAGTGAAAACCAACACACACCATACCTAACAAATCTGCTTTTAGACACCATGTCTAGCAGCGGGTAAACACAATACCCTCCCAAATTTCCATCCTGGCGCCTTCAACTCCCCCGAAACCGTCTTCAAAGACAACAATCCCGTCTTCCAAGACTAACCAATCTTTCAAGACAAACCCATCTTCCAAGACACCGAGTACAGAGGCATCAAGTACAACTTATATAAAACACCGCTTCCTCCTACCCTGCATCACTCTCATCATCTTCTTCATCGCTCTCATCATGGTTCGTCACCGCACCAACGTCGACACCACTCCCATTACGCTTCCCGCAGACAGTCTGGATCCCCCTTCTACTTTTTCCGATGGTCTACCCCTTCCCCGTAAGTTCCAGCACCATTCCAAAAAGTCTCACGAGACTCAATTTTGACTGAACGACTTCGCAAGGCATGATCGTTTTCGACCTCGACTATACTCTCTGGCCCTTTTGGGTAGACACGCACGTCTCGCCACCTTTCAAAGGAACACCTTCCGGTCTTATTGTAAGTCAATTATTCATCTATTTGTTTTTTCTTTTCTCAAAAACAAAAAAGAAAGAAACAAGAAACAAGAAAACCAAAACCCCCCCTCTCCTCCTTCCAACTCAACTCACTAACCCCCATCCTCCTCCAGGTCACAGACTCCTACGGCGAAAAATGCGGTTTTTACAACGACGTCTCCTCCATCCTCCACAACATCAAACACCACCAAATCCTCCTCGCAGCAGCAAGTCGCACCAGCGCCCCACGTCTCGCTCGTCGAATGTTGGAATTACTTCACGTGCCAACTCACCACCACCAAGACGCATCAGCATCAGCATCATCATCCACCCCAGCAATCCATCTCTTCGACCACATGGAAATTTACCCAGGAGATAAACGAACACATTTTCGGAAATTGCATCAAGTGACACACGTTCCATATGAGGAAATGTTGTTTTTTGATGATGAGGCGAGGAATAAAAATGTCGAGGAGTTGGGGGTCGTGATGCACTTGGTGCGAGATGGCGTGACGAGGGGAGAGGTGGATCGGGGTGTGCAGGCGTGGAGGAGGAGGAATGGGAGGGGGGAGAAGGAGTGAGAAAGAGGAAGAGGAAGAGGGCGAGGAAGGTACTGAGAAGTAAGTACCTACGGTTGCGAAGAATGGTGGGATGGGACCTGTTGTAGAATAGAGAGATATACTCCACTGACAGCGAGGCACCAAGGACCTTAAAGAATTTTGAAAGAAAAGTAGAAACACGTCATGTTTACATTATGCTACCGAAAAACGGGTATCCTTTTGGTCGTTCATGCTCACTGCAGTAGAACAGAATGTCATCCATGGTCGAATCGTAACTTGAAAAAGCAGAAACAGCAATCTCGTCCTCAAAACATACACCGCAGTGCTAAAGATGCAAACTCCTAAGATGCCAGTTTGCCCGAGTCGTCTTTCGTCAATTTTAATCCGTTTACCATGCAAATCAAAGTCCCCCGAAAGCAAGACTACACGTGTAGTCTGTTGCGCCCACAACGCTACGCTCGCTGAAGCCGATAAAGTGATTCCTGTTCCCTGCCAAAGTGTGTTGTTCGCGGGGTATAAATGCATTAGCACTGGTGTGGCGATTCGTAGCACAGATGCAGTCAAGCTGCATGCGCCAGGGGGAAGAGATTCGGCAAGGGCTATGGCCAGTCCAGCCCCTAAGCAGCGGCAGCATCCTCGTCGTGTACAGAGCCAGTAGTGTCAATGTCGACGTCCACAATCTCTTTTCCGCGTGGATCGACGACAACACGTCGACCACATTGTTCGGCAGTGGCTCCGTCCCGTGCTGCACCAAAGTCAAGAACCTGAGAAATAGTTAGCAGCGATCCATCTGAGAGCACGCGTTCCACTAACCTCAATGTATGTCAGCGAGTTGCGTTGCACAGCTGCAACGCAACGACGCTCATCAAATCTCACCTGCCACACGCCGCTGAGGTCCGTGAGCAAGTCACGAACGCATTCGCCGTTCTTAACGTTCCACATCTTCAACGTGCGGTCGGATCCAGAAATGACTTTCTGCCCATCGTGCTGAAAGCAAGTGATTGCTCCCGTGTGTGCGGAAAGCGTAGCCTTGCAGGCGCCATTTTCAGGATCCCAGATTCGAAGCGTGCTGTCAGCCGCAGCAGACACAAGGCGGTCATCGCTCAGGTCAAGCAGACCAACGAGCGAGGTGTGACCCTCGAGGTTGAAGAGACAGGCACCACTCGCGAGGTCCCAGACTTTGACGAGATTATCCATCGAACCAGAGATGCAGCGGTTCCGAGCATGATCAAGCACCACGCTGTACACTTTCTGCGTGTGCCCTTGCAGGCGGTGGACTAGATCGCCATTCGAGATCTTCCACACGCGAACAGTACAGTCATAAGATCCAGACACCAAAGTATCTCCATGCGCTGCGATGGCGCGTACCGAGTTATGGTGTCCCGACAGCGTTCGAAGAAAGTATGGATTGTCGTGATCGTTCGCTGGCGGTCCAGCATGGAATATTCCTCGTTCGTTCGCCTTGGGAAGCTTCCATACACGGAGTGTTGAGTCGCGCGAGCCGGTGATGATTAATGGCTCCTTGGGGAAGATGATGGGTGTACCGTCCGCTTCCGTACCAATTTGGACAGGCTGCAAGATCACCAAGCAGCGCACAGTGGACGTATGGCCTTGAAACACTTGCAAACACCGACCGCTCTTGATATCCCACACTCTGACACTGCGATCTGTCGAGCCGGACACCAGAATGTCACCATCGTATTGCAATGCCCACACACCACCTTCATGTCCTTCCAGGCGATTGCGTAGTGCGCCCGTCTTGGTGTCGTAGACGTTGATCTTAGTATCGTCACTACCAGTCAAGATCTTGTCACTGTCAAACAAGAGGCAAGTAACCACATGCCGATGGTGCGCCCGGAAGGCAAGGTGCTGCGGCTGAGCTTCTTCATTCATCCAGGCTTTGCGAATCAGGTAGTGGCGCTGGTACAACGACTTGAACAGATGCATGTTACTAAGACTGTCCAAGCCGATGCGCGGCTGCGGTACAGCTTGAGTGGCTGCATGCGCGAACGCGTTGGCGCCTTTCGCAGTTCCGAGGAGCTTCAGCCATTTGCTGTTGGGCGTCGGAGTAGGCTTGGTGATTGACGACGAAGAGTGTATAGGCCGACGCCTGCTCTTCTTCGAGCTCGACGGCTTCATGACCTTCTTCCTCCTGTCACGTGAGGTGACGGTCGAAGACGCTGTCAGTTCATCTTCACTGACTGGGTCTTCTGCAGGCTCAGGAGAAGCTGGTAGCGGCTTGCTCAAGTCCTCCTCATATCCTTGCTCGCCTGGGTGTTGCCATCCCCAGCCTTCGCGAACGGCTCTGGCGATCTCGCCATCCGGCAACGTATAGCCATCACGCTCGAGCAGATCCTTCCACGCCTTCTCGTCGGAATTGATCAGTTTTCTCCAGCGCCTCGACACTTGTGCGGCACGACACATGCTCTGAGCGTCGAGGAACCGAGTGATGTTCAGACCCAGTTCAGCGGGTAGGATGTTGAATGGATCGCATTTGAGGGCAGGATTGACAACAGTAGCCACCATCTGCAATGTTGGCTTGGCACATCGGCGAAGAAATTGATACATCACGTAAGTCTGCATCGACTCTGGCATGGCGTCGAACGCATCGACCATGGTAGGAATGTCCATGATGGTGGGCCCAGCAGGTGCAGACTGCGACGAGCAGGACGGTGTGAATCTATAGCGTTCTTTCCCGGACGAGTGCGTGTACTGTTGAGAATCGAACGACTTGGCGCTATGTGTCTTACTATCATCGTCGAGGTCAAGCCCAGAGACTACACTGGCAGTCTCTTCGTTATGATCACCAAAGGATAGATCGAACGCGTTTTGACGTGAAGCGAGATTGGCTGCGGCCGTGATAGGAGACAGGCTAGGACTGGGCAAACTGGCGTCCTGTTGCGAGTTCGTCATGATACCTGGCAAGTGAGGTCTCCTGCTCTCCTCCGCGCGTGGAGCCGGCATGAGATCGGTATCTGCTATAGGCGGCGTTGCAGTAGCATCAGCTCGTTGTGTTGCCCAATTCGTTGCATCTTGCCCTTTGCGAGCATTCCTCGACGAGTGCTGACCGCCGAGACTCATTTCAGAGTCGTCCTCGTCGACGTCCTCGCCGTCTGCCATCTGTGTATCCTGGCTGTCGTCCTGCAGCTCCTGCACCCGCGAGTGCGAAGGCTTGCTGCCCGCTTTGCCTTTATTGGCTCCCAGACGGCTCGACGCAGCTCTCGGCAAAGCTCCCACAACGTCGGTGTCTGGTGTAACGGGCGAGGGATGAGAGGGATTCCGCGGCTGTTGAGATGGCCTTGATCCGCTCCTCTCATCCAGTGAAGGGAGTTCGGTCGTCTCCGAGTACGTCCGGTGTAGTGATGAGCGCTGCTTCTTTGTCTTTCTCTGCACGCTTGCCAGTTCCGCAGCCTCTGCTATCGACACCGGAGTGGCACTTCGCTTCAGCGAGTTGGAAGGCTTCTTGCTCTGCAGCTGTCGGCTATGCAGGGGTGTCTCATAGTCATCGTGTTTCTCTTCCTGGCGTATGAAGCCCTTGCTTCGCTGTATTCTTGCCTGTAGCGCGCGATGCCTCTGCAATGTCTCGATTGGGTCTTCGGGCTCGTGGAAGGCGGTGGAGCGGCCGTTGACGTCGAAACAAAACTTTTTGATCGAGCTGGGCGTGGGTGAGTATGCGAGGGGGTATTGCTTGGGGTCGCGGTCATGAAGATCTTTCGGGGGTTTCATGATCAGAGGAGGGAGGGAAACGGTGGTGGTGGTGGTCACTGTGGTCACCGTCTGCTGCGTAGCGGGCCCGAACGAAATCTGAGCCATGGTAGAGTGCTCGGGCGGCATGGTAGCTATAATATTGGTATTGTGCTCTCGAGTATCCCCGTGGTTGGCCATACGGTCGTCGGTGGGTGAAGCTGGGGCGGTCGAGAGGATGGCTTCAGGAGGGTATGATGGGCCGCCCTGTTCGTGCAGGCCTAAACCAATGTGTCGTGTTGTCTCCATGTCTCTTTGTCAATTGTGCTCGTGCCCGATGTTTCGAGAGTTCGCGGTTGCCGCTGTCACGCGGACGAGACCGTGGTCGTCGAGGAGGACCGGCGGTTCGCAGCGCACGTGGGACGGAGGGACGGCGTTGGGTTGTGTGGAGGAGGAGGAGGAGGGTTTGTTGTGTGAAGTAGTGCTTCTGACTCGTCACCGTGACCTCCGTGCTCTTTCGTTCCCGTTGCTGTCGACGGCAACAACTCGTGGCATCGGGGTCACGCTCGTTTCGTGGCAAGGGACCGCGGACCAGACACACACGACGCCACCACAGTGGACAATGCCGCTGCTATGAAGTCTCGTGAGAGGCGGTACCAGTGGCCATGAGTCCCCGAGCGAGGCGAACTACATGGAGGTGTGCAGGTGGCTGCTCTCCGATGCTGTTTCGGGGGCACTTTTGGAGGAGAGGACAGGACGATAAGGTAGACAGCAACGGCGTCAGGGCAGGTAACATGACCGGAGTGGATGGTCACCACGCCAGGTGCTTGGCAAGCAGAAGGGTGGCGGGTCGGACTACCTCCTAGACAAGGTAGACCAGAGATCCTTCTGTTAATAAGGCACGCCTCACTTGCCTCCGACCAACACGGGGCCATACCGCCATACACGACGACTTCTAGATGCCTTTAGAAGACATGCCTACCTAATGTAGGTAGGTACAGGTACAGGTAGTTCTTATAGGCAACTTACATGCTGTATGCACGTTATGATCCCTTGCCACCACGCTGCTTTGCATCTACCTTATTGCCTTATAGGTACTTCTATTGCCTATACCGAAATACACATCACCACTGCCCGCGCTCACGAATTACCTACATACCGGACCGCCATCCTGGAAGCTTTAGGTTCTAACCTCCGATCAGAACAGCCAGGTGCATAAAAGTCTCGCTTAGCTGCACGACAATACCGAGACATCCCATAAGCTGATAGAGAGCCTTCTGACCCCGAGGCTCCAGAAGAAGAAGTAAGAGGCGCGGTAGTCAGCGCACCACGGGCAAATCATTCGTCGCCGTGGCTGCATCAACCAGAAAGCTGTTGGTTTTGGTGGCAGGACTCCTTGGACGCCCGTTCTTGACTGGACTACGAACATCCCTGTCCCCGTCCTTTCTGACCAGCCGGAGACCTCGCAGTCGCCGCTCACAAACTAGATGCTGGCACGGGAAAGGGGTGTTTTGTCTTGAGAGAGCTCTCTGGTGTGTGTTTTCCGTACACGAGAGAACATGTTCGGTCTACCTTCTTTGTCATAAGAAATAAATAGAAAAAAGTGTCTTCTCTAGGTGTGGATGATGGATCCCGATTGGAAGATTTAATAACAGAGCTCGTGGCCCAACCATGGTTGATCAGCTTCCGATAAGTTGGCCGTAGTTTTAGCGATCCCATGCGCCGCCTTACCACCTACTAGGTACCTAGCTTAGGAGAATATCTGTTCACGCTCACAACAATACTCCGGCTGGGGAGCAGAGTCTGTGCGAACATTTACCTGGCAGGCTGGCAATAAACAAGTAATGGCGGTGGCCAAGTGCTCTGCTCTGAGCGTCAACTCTTCCATGTCTCTCCATCTATCAACATGCCTTGACGCTTTCTAAACACAGTCTATCGTACCCAGCCATCTAGCAATCACAAGACCTGACACTCTCCAGCATTCCCTTCTCCATAATAGGCCTGGTGGAGATGCATGACTTGGATGTGAAGAGAAATGGCAAAAACCAAATCGCGATGAGGTGCAGCACATTCGATCGTTGCAAAGTCAGGTACCTACCATGTACGCATCGTTAGTACCCAAGGAGAAAGTCCAATACAAAATCTTGCTCTCGAAATTTCTCTGAGCACTGCGGGCGAGGTAGAAGAAGAGGTAGAAGAAGAATCACCAGGTACCTATATACACTAAAGAAATTACAGAACTGAGAAGACCTTCACTTTCCGAGTGTAAAATCAAATCCTTCACACACCCAAGGTAAGCTACCAGGTAGTCTTGCTCCGTCTTCACAGTTGGACATGTTACGAGACTCACGCGCTAGCCAGGTGAAGCTGAGAGGGTGCTGCAGGCAAATAGTAACATTGCGTCCACTCAGGCGCAGTTTATATATTCTTAAGGTAACTATTCACTTCGACTCAGTGCACTCACCAATGTAATCTCACCATCTTTCACCTCCCTCTCGAGCTCGCACTGGCCCCACGAACCACACACTCCCACCTCCAGACATTGCCATCCTCATCCCCAGTATACACTTCTCGCGCACATGGCAATACAGCCGTAATACCCGCCACTCTGCTCGAGGACTCCAAGTATTCTGTGTGCTGCATTCTCTTCACCAATTGCAAATACCAGCTCCCATCGCTGAGTGTCGTCAAGGCCCACACATTTGTCACCCCGTGTGCATGTCCTGTAAATATCAGCTCCCTTTGAAGATACTCATTACCCTGCCCTTCATAGAAAGCACAACACAGAATCTCATCTTCTTCCCGCTCACAAAGCTTCTGTTCAACCAGAAGGTGGCCATTGAGAGTGTAGAGTAGCACATGGGAGCCGCGACAAAGCAGTATGTGCCCAGAGGTATTGCTGATCTTCGCCGCGTGTATTGCATGTCCGCCAGAGGGCAGTAAGACTCGAATGCAAGTGAATTTGTTCAGCCCCCAGAGGAGAGCTTGACCATCCGCAGATATTGAGAGAAGCGTGCTGAAGACTCTGCTTGCTGCAAGAATAGTAACTGCAGTCCTGTGACCAAAAAGATATGTCCTGGGCGCGATCTCGATCAAGTCTTTGCTCTGCGTGAGCTTCCAGATCCCGATCGTACAGTCCTGGCCGCCAGTGATGAGGGTCTTGCTGTCCACGAAAGTGGCTGTCGAGATTGGGCCGACATGAGTGTTCTCGTATAGACCGAGCGCTCGTTTGCTGTGCGACGAAAAGAATCGGATGCTGTTGTCGGCATAACCCCATTGCATATAACGAGTACAGTCAGGTAAGACATTTAACTTGTAAGGTCCAGCGGCCAAGACTCTACCATGATGGGGGGCGAACGTAAACTCCGCGACTTTTTCACCAGTGTGGACATCGGGGTCTGGTAGACGGACGAGCGTTTCTGCCAAGCTGTCTAACTTCGGCTCAGTCTGCTTGTCAGCTTCATGATGCACATGCGGCTTCTGGAAGACTTGATGCGGTGTCTGTCCAAAAGAATGAATGATGCCGATAGTAGCGATATGCTCGACTCTATCATCAATCTTGTCCAGATCAGTGGCTCCAGCGTACGATAGGTGGTTGAAGACATTTGTCGCCTCGATTGCTGCCTCTCCTCTTTGCTTGTAGCCAAAGATCAGGTCAATCCAATCAGGCAGATGCTGGCTGACGTATGGACTCTCGAGTGCCTCGCGGTGTTTCATGATGAAGATATGGGGATCGCCTTTTGCCCACTTGGGCAACTTGACATCGTTCACCAGCTCGTCAGTCACCTGCTTTGTGCCGAAGTCGTACTTGTTGATGTTACTCAGGAATTCAGGCAGATAGAAGAACTCCGGGGTCAGCTCACGAACGTCGCTCATGTTCTCCTTGGAAGCTGACTTCCAGGCTTTCTCGATGGAATCAAACAGTCTGTCGGCATGATCAAAATTACCACCTTGTAACAGGAGGTAGGACTGGACAAATGGCTGTAGTCGAATGAGGTAGGAACTGACGATCATGGCCGACGAGTAGTGTGTTCCATAGTGGAAAGATGGAGCATTTTGGTCGCCCATTTCGGCGAACTGCTTGAATTTGTCCTTGTAGTACACCTCGCGTGCGGGGGTCTGACAGCCCATGGGCTTGGAGAAGTCTCGGAAGGTCTTTGGATTGTCCAGGTCGAGCTCTTCGCTTGTGTAATCTGCCAGGATCCACGGGAACACTGGGTACTGTGTGAGATCGTTGAAGGTCCTGCCAGCCATCGTGTTGACTAGCATCAGGTACTGGAAATTTGACATCTCGCCCCGTTGCCATTTTTTGGTGGCAGCATGGGTTGGCCCCGAGTTGAAGAGGCTGTTGAACTTCGAGCCCAAGTTCTTTGGCGCCTCTTCTGGATTGCGAAGTGTGTCTAGTCGCCATGAGTCTTCGCTGGCCAGTGAAGATGTGCTGTATATGTGCGGAGCTCTGTGAACGACAGCACTGTAGAGATCGTCGCGAACTTTGCTAGTCATACAAGTAATCAGGTAGCTCCTCCCATCGCCGAAGAAGACCTCGATAGCAACGTCTCGTAAGAGAAATCGACGTTTCGAGACACTGAGTACTTCGGCCCAGGTCCAATGGCGCGTCTCTTGGTCACCGACTGCGTGCTTGGTGCGCTGAGCACCTACGTCTTTGCCAGAAATATGTTGCACGTATGGGTCACGCTCGTCCTCGGGTGCCTGTGATACACTTACGATTTCGCCGTCCGATCGTTGGAAGAAGTTGTCCTGCATGTAGAAGCATTTTTGACCAACCACGACCAGTCCTTCGCAAGCCTCCAAGCCGACTATCCGGGATACGTTGTATAATTGCTGTACCATATCCCCCCGCTGCAAGCTGGTCATGACCTTGCGATTCTTGTCCTCGATCAGACCATCCTCGTCCTCTTTCGGGTCATCCACCATCTCAAATCCTCCTTCGAGCATCTGCGACTCAGACACCGAGTCACCTCTTGGACGTGCCGGGCCCGTCTCCGCAAGGAGTTCTACTGGCTCAGAAGTCCCGTCCACGATGGAGGGCAAAGGCTGGCCGGAATTAAGCAAAGCCGGCGACCCAGGTGGTTCAGACTGTGATCTCAGACGTGTATCAATGGAAAGCTGACCATTGGGCGCACGCTGCGACCCTTTCCGCTTAGGCTCAAGTGCTTGTTGGTGCTCAGCAGTTTCTGGTACTAGTCGCATCCTCATGCGGTTGATGGCCTCGGTCTCATCCAGCTGCCATCTGTTGACAGGTGTGGGTTCCAGTCCACTGGGTTGTCTCACGCTCTTCTCCACCTTTGAGAACGCCGTCATGAGCTGGTTCACATATTCTTGGTGATCTTGCTGCGCCCGCTGCAATTTTGCGCGTTCCTGTGCATGAACATTCGCCCGCCAATGGTTCGTGGACACTTCGTAGCGGTTGACGAGATCATCGTTATTAGTTTCTTCGATTTTCCACTGCCTCAGCTTGTCTCTCCGCTTATTGAGTCGGTTCTTGGTCGTCTCCTCCGAGGTACGATTTTCCGCCTCAACGAAATCGTCCCAAGGTTTGCTAAGCGAGTCGTAGAAGACATGGTCAAGCATATCGCGATGATTGTCGATCCACTCCAGAAAGTCCTCGTCGTCCATAGAGACAAGCTTCATGAAGCCAGTTGACAAGTGACGTTGATCGGGACCCATCGTGTTCGTGAGCATGGTAGCAGTCTCCGTAGGCTTCTGCACCAGGACTATGCGCCACAGTTGTGCGGCAGCCACGCGCACTGATTGGACATTTGATACAAGCTTGTGATACAGCAGGTAGCAAATGAGCTTTGTGAACGTCGATTCGTGGTTCTCTGATGAAAATAGTATGGTCTGCCAGTAGGTCATCTTCATCAGAAAGTCGCTGACGTCCTTTTCGCCGGCGTCTTCGTTGAGTTCTGCCAATCGCCACAGCGTAGCTTTGAGAAAGATGACACGAATGGCAGTGGTTGACTGACTACACAGCCTGACGGCTTTCATCTCGGCAACCTCTGGTCGCTGTAGGTGCTCCAATATCTCACCGGTGAAGTCAAGAAGTGGCTGGGCTCCATCAATGAACCAGCCCTCCGACACTGCTTCGGCCATATGCTGAGAGTATCGAGCAAGATTCGTGAGTACTCGCGTCTCAACCAATAAGTCCTGATGCAAACGCAGGTAACTGCCAAGCTGCGAAAGCGCGTGCACCAAGACATATGATTCAAAGTAGGCTTGATGCTCCTTGAATCCCGGAGGCACCTTTAAAAACAGTCCAATACCACTGAATTTGTCCTTGTGACAGACTTGGTCAATGATGTGGGTGATGGCGAGCTCGAGTACGCTCTCGACCAGCGCGTTAGCAACATTGATCTGTATTGGAGCACCAGTTGGAGGCGCCATCGGAGCTTTGAAGTGCGCTGGTGGCACAGCCAAGAGGTCGTTCACGAGAACGAAGGACGACAATCTCCTTGGCTTAGAGACCCGATTGGCAGCTCTGGGAGACGGCGTCCTACTGCTAGAACTGGTCTCGTGTATGTTTAAGCTCCGAACAGAAGGAGGCCGTTCACCAGTAGTGGTTGAATGCGGCCGCATTCTGACCTCCTCGCCCTGGAAGGAGAGAGCTTCAGATTGTAGCTCTGTTTCCGCAGACAACCGATCTGTTCCGGTCAGCAAGGGGAAAAGTACGAACAGTATTTCTTGCAAGTAGCGTGAGCTAATCGCAAACTCTCTGAAAGCACTGCTTCTATCATACAGCTCACCTAGGAACTGTACGATGTGTTTGAGCATCTTGCTCTCTGTCTCGCTCGTGGCATCATCAGCTGTTACTCTTCTCAAACCGGCTTCCAACATCGTAAAGATGACACTCAACATCTCCGGATTGTTGACCTTGAGTGAGTCATCAACGCCGAGAAGTTCCACCAGGTTGAAGGCTGTGAAGTCCCGAGTCAGCCAATCCAGGGACACGTTGCGCCCGAATAAGATGGCGAAAACTAGAAACCACACCGAAGACGACCTCCAGAACAGCTTGAGCCGAAACTTGAGAGTCACGAAGCCCGCATTTTTGTCCGCAAAGGACGTTTTGAAGTCGGGCCCGAGAGTTGCAATCGCTTTGCAGATGATGCTCAGCGTAAGCTCAACGACACGTATGTTGTTCTCGGACAGAAGCCGCACGAGCCACCGGCTGGTGACAGATCTGATGAACCGCCGGATGGTCATTGCTGATTTGTCGTCACCAGTGAGATCTGCTAGTAGCTTCAGAACGAGCACTGCAAGTTCGGAGCGTGGCAAGCCAGACCCGAGTGCTGCTTGCGGTAGTCCACCAGGAGTTGTTGGTCTCGAACTACGAACACTTCTGTTCCATGACCCTACCTTCTGCCGGAGACTGACAGTACTAGCGAAGTTTCGAGCCGGAGCGAGGGGAAGCGCGCGCTCATCATGCAAACCCCAGGCGACGTACATGGCGAGCTCGCGGTACATGCTCTGCGACGAATGTCCGTCGATCAGAGCCCCCAGTGATTGCATCATCAGGTGCGCCGCGTGGGCAGTGATTTCCTCGGATTTGAGGGCCTCGATGAGCTTCTTGATGCACCGCATGCGAATAAGTCGCTTCTGATTGAACGAGCTGTTGTGATTGTTCGTGGTGAAGTCCACAAACTGCTGGTAGTACAATTGCTGAGTGGGAGCATCACATCTGCGCCATGTATCGAAGTCGATCAGGAGAACACGATATGCCATGGGATTGACCAGCATAGATTGCTCAGGCGCGTCTTTGCGATAGCCGGCGAAGCCCAGAACCAGCATCAGCAATGCGTGAGGCAGAGACTGGCGTTCTTCCGTGCTCAGCACCACGGAAGGCCTTCGCATGGATTGAGCAGAGCCGAGCTCAAATCCAAGCTTCTCTCGAATGATCATCGCGAGCACACCAAAACCGTGTCCTTTCTCCATTGCCTCGCTAATGCGCCAGCTATCTTTAACAGCCTCACAAAACATTTCCACCGCATGCAAAAACACCTTCTGGGTAGTCGCGGATTCCAGTAATTGTGTCAAAACTGGCAGCGATCCGGCTAGGCACCAAGTAGCATCGTCGATGCCGCGAGGAACGACTACAACCGGCTCGCCTATCATATAACCAGTGCCGAACGAGCGCGCGAAAGCATCATGTATAGATCCAGCAGCAGTATTGATGGCTACCGCTCGCGTGGTCTGCATGAGCTTCTGATAACGCGGCAGCGTTCTCTGGTCCAGCTCGAAGCTGCTCAACTGGCCTCTTGCTGGTGCATCAAAGTCCAGAACAGCATGTGGGCTGATGCCAAGATAGATTTTGGACTCTGACACAACATCACTGCCTCTTCCCTCCGTAGCTGTGACAATGTCTGACTTGTCCGTCTTCTCTGGATGCAGTAACTCATTATATCGGTTGAGCTCTGAAGAGGCATGATATGTTAATAGTGGACCAAGACAATCCTGCAGATTGCCTGAGTAATGTGGACCCAGCCGGTAATGAACAGCCACGAATTCATCTGTCAGCGGAACCGCATACAGATGCGCATTTCCCAACGACCACCTCGACACGCTCACATTTGGTTTTGGCTCCACAGCAACACCACGAGTAGTGCCAAAGAACGCCTGTACCGTTCTGTGGCGGCGCGTCCCTGTTGTGTCGGACTTATCAGGCTCTTCTGGGACCTCTGGATAAGGCAGTCTTCGCTGCTCAGCGAAGTTTCCATTCACATACAGCATTGCTAAACTCTGGCTCGGATCAGTTGGGTTCTTCCGTTGCACCAAGGCGAGGTGGTACCATCTACTCGGCTCAAAGTGCGTGCTTTTGAACCTCACACTCGGATTAGGCGCTCGGATTGATGTCTGGAGAATCAATTGGCGGCTATCTTTCTCCAGATAGAGCAGCACAAAGCAGGAATGAGCCAAGTCGAAAGCGCCAAAAATGGTGGTATGCGTGCTCGCGTCAAACTCGTCGACGCGTATCCAGGCTGTCAGAGCGAAGCCTTGTGCCGGCGGAAACGTCCAACGCAGGCTGGGAATCTCAATAGCGGCAAAGCCTAGGCGCGAAATGTCAAATTGCACAAATGCAGGCTGCTTTGAGCTTCGTAGAAGGGTCAGGAGATCATCTCGTGTAGCTTCTGAGCTCAGTGCGCTCTTGAATAGATGCTGCACGTCATGGAGGTTCGTGAAGCCAAAACGACCAACAGAGAGAACCAATCTTCGAATGAGCTCGCTAGAGTGCGAGTCACTCTGTGTTCGGATGAGCGTGGACAGTATACCAGTCTGCCACAGCGCCACAGCGTTTCTTGTGCTAATATCACAAATGCCAGTGACGAGTTTCAACAGCGCCGCAGCACAGCGACGAAGGGTCTGTCGACTGCTTTCACTCTCATACAAGGAAGAATCAAGGATGAGCTCTACGGCCGTTGAGCACGCTTGAGCATTTTCCAAACTGGTACGTGGGCCCAGTACGTCATCCAGAGCGGCGATGGTGTCTTTTTCATCACGAATTTGGGTACGCATAAATCCCCATTCGTGACTCCGAAGTGCACAACCAAGAAGGCTGTCATACAATTGTGCAATCCCCGCGCAGTTATCGACGGCCACGAAGGTTCGCTGCGTCACTGCCAAAGAGTCATGAAGAGACTGCCACCCATCGGCGTGATTGGCAAAGTAACGCTCGTTCCCGCTGTGGTGAGCAAGGGCTTCCGTCAGCAGTCGAAGCAGACTTTGCATCAGCTCGGACGCTGCATCATGGACGAGGTTCCCATCTTGCGGTGAGGCCAGCCGAAGATTGACAGCGCGAAGTACCTCGAGTAGTGTTTCGAAGCCGCCGCCATGCCGGAAGGTATCTTTCGATGGAAAGTGAGATGCCAGCTCTAGCCGCAGTTTCCCCGCGATGTCTGACAGGCGCGCGAACTCGTCCTCGATGGATGGTGCATCAGTTGCAGGCTGTACCGCGAGACTGCGTATCAGAGCGGCCGTGTCGGTATCCTGCTCATCGCTATTCAATCCGCGAGTGGCAGATCTCCTCCGACCTGCTGGGTGGCTCACGCGCAAGGCCATTCTCGGCGTCGGAGCTGGGCGAACGCATGAGCATGAGGGCCTTCTGTCTGTGCACTCATCATACTGGCCTCGCGGGCAGCTGGACGCCGTGGTTCATATGCTCAGGCGGATGTTGTTGTTGTTGTGGGTGTGTGGGTGTGTGGGTGTGTGTATCACCGTAAGGGCGGGTCGGTGTGTGTGTGTGTGTGTGGGGATGGATGAGATGGAGAGGATCCTTTCCTTTCTGTGTTCACATCATCCAGATCAAGTGGAAGGGAAGGAAACCAGACCAGGCCCACCCAACATTGTTCAGACTGCCAAGACGCGTTTGGCGTCTAGTCGTCTACCTTACCGTACTGTTGCCTATGCCTGTGCGTGTGTGTTCTATTCTTGGTGGGCAACATCGGCAACCACGACCAGGACCACGACCATTGGGGCAGTCGCAACGCTCGCTTTCAGCTGTGGCGTGTAGCAGAATGGGCAGTCAGAATACTATACAGCAGACCGAGAGCAAGAGCCGACGACGACGCAGTACATAACCTAATGCAGTAATGCAGTACCTCCTACATGTAATGCACGCAGCACAGTCACACTTGTGCACACATGAAACACCTTCTCTCGTGCCCTTCATCATTGGAGGCTGGAGACTCCCGCTGAGTGCGAGCCCGAGGCAGGCATCACCTGCACGCGCTTCACTAACCCGAATGCGGTTCTATCGCGTTGCTCGGGGACCTGATAAGCTCGCAGCTGACGCCACCGATCAAGGCGCCCGCGTGACATCTCCAGAGCTGTACCTATCCTCTCTTCTCTCTTCTCTCCCCAGACCATCTTCCTCCATCCTCCATCCTCCTCTCCCCCCTCCTACTCCTGCACCCATCTCTCTTCCATCAGCATCATCACCGTCTGTAGTCCACCTTCTACAGCACACCAAACATGAAGGGCTTTTTCAGCCTTTCGGCCGCCGCTTTGGCCGCGGCGAGCCCCATGATGGTCATCGACTCCGATGCCGCGCCCTTGATCAGCTCCAGCAACGCAAAGGAGATTCCCGGCAGCTACATGATCAAGTTCAAGAAGCATGTCACCACCAACCTCGCCGCCGAGCACCACGACTGGGTCCAAGACCTCCACTACACCACACAACAGGCCAAGACGGACCTCAGGAAGCGGTCGCAGTCACCCATGGTTGACGACATCTTCCAGGGTCTCAAGCACACATACAACATTGCAGGAAGCCTGCTCGGATACTCTGGTCATTTCGACGACGAGACTATCGAGCAGATCCGCAGACACCCAGATGTGAGTTCCCGCCACCAGGCAGCCATCATGGCGTGCGGAGTCCGAGCTCTGAAACAGCTCCGGTATTGCCACAAAAACGCTTGAAGCTGACCCGTCATGTTCGCACAGGTCGAGCTTGTTGAGAAGGACCAAGAAGTGCACACTCTGGGCGATAAGCCTGAAGAAGTCGAGAAGAACGCCCCATGGGGTCTCGCTCGTATCTCGCACCGAGACAGCTTATCTTTCGGTACCTTCAACAAGTACCTTTATGCCGGTGACGGCGGTGAAGGCGTTGATGTCTATGTTATTGACACGGGGACCAACGTGGACCACGTCGACTTCGAGGGCCGTGCCTCGTGGGGCAAGACCATCCCATCGGGTGATGCTGATGAAGATGGCAATGGACACGGAACTCACTGCTCCGGCACAGTTGCGGGCAAGAAGTATGGCGTTGCCAAGAAGGCTCACGTCAAGGCCGTCAAGGTCCTCCGATCCAACGGTTCTGGTTCCATGTCTGATGTCGTCAAGGGCGTTGAGTACGCCGCTGAGTCGCACTCTGAGCAGGTCTCCATCGCCAAGAAGGGAAAGAGAAAGGGTTTCAAGGGCTCTACTGCCAACATGAGCTTGGGTGGCGGCAAGTCTCCACTTCTTGACCAGGCTGTCAACGCCGCTGTTGATGCCGGCATTCACTTTGCTGTCGCTGCTGGCAACGACAACGCCGATTCATGCAACTACTCTCCAGCCGCAGCTGAGAACGCCGTCACCGTGGGCGCTTCCACTCTTGCGGATGAGCGTGCATATTTCTCAAACTACGGCAAGTGCAACGACATCTTCGCCCCTGGTCTCAACATCCAGTCGACCTGGATCGGCAGCAAGTACGCCATCAACACCATCTCCGGTACATCGATGGCCTCCCCACACATTGCTGGTCTCCTCGCCTACATGCTCTCCCTCCAGCCCGCCAAGGACTCCGCTTACGCTGTTGCCGACATCACACCAAAGAAGCTCAAGTCCAGCCTCATGTCCATTGCCACCGAGGGCGCTCTCACTGATGTCCCCAGCAACACTAAGAACATTTTGGCGTGGAACGGTGGAGGCATTTCCAACTACACGGACATTGTCGAGAAGGGCAGCTACAAGGTCCACCAGACCGAACGCAAAGTGTCAGAGAAGACGACTGACTTCGCGGAGAAGCTCACCGAGCTGGAGCAGAAGCTTGAGACAGACTTCAAGGACCTCTTGCGCGAGCTCAAGAGCTTGTAAAGGCTTCACAATGACAGAGCTTGGTCACGGAAGCCAGCTCTTGTACGATCCGTCGGCACTGCTATATACCAAGCTTCTGGACATAGATGTTTGGCATATAATACTCGCACTGAGATTGCATAGATGATGGGAGGAGACGGTATGTCTGTGTAGGGCCGATTGCCGATGGGTTGATGAACCCCTAGTGCGGCGCAGGTATTGGCCAACATATTGCATGGTGGTGTACTCTCTTATGTCTTGAGTTGCATAACTTGGGAGAATAGCTAGCGGAATACAAGTGACGTAGAGAAACGTGTACCTCGCTGTTCCTGAACCTACCTGGTGCATGTAAGCCAACCAGTCTTCTGATTCTCGACCCTGAGGTGTCTTGTCTCGTAATGATAGCGCGCAGTACGGTAGCGTGACCATAACCAGCTACTGTATCATGAGGGTGGGATTCTAAGATGTTGCTGTGATACATCTGGTTTTCCACCAATTGTGAATGACTCGCGCGACCAGCTGGGGGTCCAATCTGGCGATCTAAAATCCGTCACAACCATTCGATATGCGCGATTATTCCAATCGAGAGGTACAGACTCAGTAACACCTTATTATTCTACGTGGAACAAACCGACTTCTCCAGCATGCCACCACGATGGCCTTGTTCGCGCTTGATCACCTCGTGGACTCGACGCCCGCTGGGCACTGCAAGACAGAGCGTGCAGAGCAAGCACATCCCGCGGCCTCGTAGAACTGCTTCGACATCCACACAAGCCACACATGCAGAAACCAAGGCACCTCCAAGTTGGTTTTCAGGAGCTGTCTTTGGAATTGGCCTCTCTGCCGCCATCTTCGCCGCCTCCTTTACCTTCAGGACTCTCCCAAACAAGATTTCTTATGCGGATCGCCCACAGATGCTAAAAGTCAGTGGAAAAACGATCTCATGATGATTTAATTACGTGCTGGATGCCCGCTCACCATGAGTACAGGCTGCAAAGGAGCTGGCCGAAGCCCTAGGACAAGATGCGGTCAGCTTCGATGAAGACGTGATCGAGCATCATGGCCATTCGGAGTGGTCGACGAGCAACACTGCAGTGCGCCCCGTGGCCGTGGTGTATCCCAAGAGCACGAACGACGTGGTGACAATTGCTCAGATGTGCAACAAGTACAAAGTGCCCATCGTACCTTTCGGCGCCGGGTCCAGCGTGGAAGGCAACTTTTCCTCGCCACATTCAGGCATCTGTGTGGATTTCAGTCTGATGGATCAGGTCATTGCCTTTAGACCCGAAGACATGGACGTCACTGTACAGCCTGGTGTCAATTGGGTCGATCTCAACAACCAAATCGCTGCAAGTGGCCTCTTCTTGCCTCTGGATCCTTCGCCTACTGCGCAGATCGGAGGCATGGTGTCCACCAACTGCTCCGGCACGAACGCGATGCGTTACGGTACGATGAAAGACTGGGTCGTCAATCTCACAGTCGTTCTTGCGGATGGGACCATCATTAAGACCAGACGAAGGCCGAGGAAGACTTCGGCAGGCTATAATCTCACTTCTCTCTTCGTCGGCGCCGAGGGCACGCTGGGGCTGGTGACTGAGGTCACGCTGAAGCTTGCTCCCATTCCGGAAGATACAAGTGTAGCCATTGTGAGCTTTCCCACGATCAAAGAGGCTGCAACAGCGGCATCCAGTATTATCAGGTCTGGTATTCAACTTGCGGCACTCGAACTGATGGACGATCTACAAATGCAAATTGTGAACAGGTTAGTGAAGTGATAGGGCAGAAATGATTCCCATGTACGATGTTTCCCAGAGCTCACGCTCTTCTGTGGCGCTGAGCTCGAAGACAGACATTGTCGAAACAGGATCGCACTTTTAGGTAGAGATATTTGCTGACCCTTCAAACCTGCTGCTGAACTCAGACATGGCAGCGCATCTGTCAAGAAGAGAAGTACGCCCATACCTTATCACCACACACACACACACCCTGCGATGGAGTGATGAGTACTAATGGCAAACAGAGTGGCTGGAGGAACCGACTCTCTTTCTGAAATTTTCCGGTACCACAGATGCCATCAAGAGCGATATCAAGCGAGTCTCGCAACTCATGAAACCACACAACCCGCGAGACTTTGTAAGTACACTCCCAAAAAAACCCACATCAACCTCCTCTCCCAATCATTAATAATAACAACAATCGTCACCCCCCAACAGATCTTCGCCAAAACCCCCCTCGAAAAAACCTCCCTCTGGGCCGCCCGCAAAGAAGCCCTCTTCACCATGCTCAACACCCGGCCCCCAGGAACCGAAATCTGGTCCACAGACGTCGCCGTCCCCCTCTCCCAGCTCGCAAACCTCATTACACTAACCAAACAAGACTGCTCGCAACTAAACCTCTTCGCATCCATTATAGGCCACGTCGGGGACGCGAATTTCCACACAGCGATTCTCTACGATCCGCGCGATGCGGAGCAAACGGCTGCGGTGGGCAAAGTCGTCAAGCAGATGATGCGGCGCGCGTTGGAGATGGAGGGGACGGTAAGTGGGGAACATGCGATTGGGATTGGGAAGAAAGAAGGGTTGGAAGAGGAAGTTGGAGGGGAAGTGGTGGATGTGATGAGGAGGGTGAAGAGGGCGGTGGATGGGAAGGGGATTATGAATCCGGGGAAGGTGTTTGATTTATCGTGAAGAAGCTGTATATATGTAGTACATACCTGAGAGTGAGGTAAGTACTGTATAGTGCCTTTCGAGAGCATGATAGTAGAAGAGGATGCATGCTGCTGGGGCTTGCTTATGGTAGTGAGGCGCTGAGACGGGGTGAGTGCGTTTCAATGGAGATGTGAAAAAAGAACATATGATATCATATTGTATCTATACAATCAGTCTAAATGTGTAAAAATCATGGGGTATCTGCGCTTCCTTTCCTTCTCCTTCATCAAACAGGCTCAATAGTCATGCTGCCAGAACTCGCTCCAACGGGAATGGCAACGCCTCCGTCTGCTTCGGCAAGCGTGAGTTTCAAATTGTTCAATGCTTCCGTCATGCACTGCTCCGTAGGCGAATCTTTACTGCTTGCAGGCCGGCTGCTAATAGGTTCGGTGAGCACGGGAAGTGTCACCTCGTTTGCATTCAGTGTAGTCCTGATGTCTTCGAGCAGCAGATCCATTGGACAGATGTACGTGCGCCCAGCACGAGATGCGAGAACGTGCCCGCACACTCTGCCGTCGTCGTTGCTGATCACCCATGCACCAGAATCACCACCCACTCCGAAGTTGCCTGCGACCGTCCAGCTAGCCGAGTATGTACTCCTGCCATGGATCTTGACCAACTCCATGGTGCTGGAAATGATACCATGAGCAAGCCCGCTAGTACGACCCAGACAGTGTACCTTGGCACAAGCCAAGTCGTCACTGGTTCGCACAGAGCAGGGGAATGAATTTCCTTTGCGATCACCACGACCTTTACAATATCGTTTGCCACCTCTGATCACATTGTATGGCTGTACACGAGGAGGAACAAGTTCAAATAGTGCCCAGTCGATCTCTTGTGGCAGAGACTGGCTGATACTCTTGAAGCCACCTTCGAGAGTTTGGGCGGTTCGCCGCAGGCCAGAAGAAGCATGAATTTGTCCAAGGCGATAGGACAATAGGTGATCTTCATCAATGCCGCAGTCGGCCTCGTCGTCATCGTCTTCTTCGGCGTGCAGATCAAGGTCGATAGCATCGTCGAGTGCTGGTTGAGTGATGGCAATTTCCTCCAGGTCGCCAGGCACAATACCCGGACAGTCCCCCTCGTCGTCGTTCACAGCGAGCGGCATCTCGTCGGAAGAGTGCGCTGATGGCGGACGCACCGTGCTCAAATCGTCTTCATCATCGGAGCCTTCAGAGCTACCCAGGCTGGAGGTTTCCGACTCATCCTCGGCACCACCTTCAGCATCGTCTTCAACATCAGCGTCGTCGTCAGAGTCCTCTTCAGGTTCAAGCATGTGATGGACGCTCATGCCAAACGGTCGACCATCAACGAGCACAACGCCACCAAATGATACCGGTGGCAGATGCTCATCATATCGATAGGCGCCGATTGATGCGCCACACATAGGCTGGACTTGATAATCAGGGTTGGCAGCTTTCTCCACATTCGGGTCGCGCCAAGGTGCGATGCTTCGGTGAGGATTGTTCGCGTCAGAGAGTGCGCGCTCTTTCCTCGACTTTCGGCATCGCTTGATGACCTCCTTTTTCACGCGAATATCATAGATGGTCGGATCGTACTTGAGATGACGTTTGAGACAGTGCTTAACCTTCGAGGTCGATCTGCAGCCGATAATGATGGTTGGTCGCGCTGTCTCTCTTGATTCGCCGTACGGTGCCAGTCGGATGGAGCTAGACTCCGCCAATCCCTTCAGTGCTTTCTCTGCCAGCGTGAGGACTTGGTAGCACATGGTGCTCTGCCAATGATCAAGAATATGCTGAGGCAGGGCCACGTCAAGGAACTCTTCACGATTCGATTTGGCATGACGTCCGGCCTTCGCGTCTTCCTCTTGTGCATTAGCCTCGCGGGCTTTCTGAGCAGCTTTACATGCTCTCCAGCGTGTTTGTATCAACGTCACACGACGCTTAAAGTCGTGCATCGATGGATGTGGCCTCGCGCGTCCACGGGTGGATGTTTGTTCAGTTCGGACAGGAGCATCAAGCACATTGGCGGCTGGCTGCCGACGCGTAGCGTTTGCCGAAGATAGTGTGCTATACCGTTGCGGCGCCACAGCAGACTTGATAGATAGAGATGCCGGCTCGGATACTTGCCTCGCCAATGAACTCACTTCCGATGGACGTCGGATGCCCCTTCGCTTGATCGACCGGGATGGCTGCGCCGGTGACACTGGCTCTGACATCAACTCCGCTGCCGGGATCAGTTCCGTAGACGAGCCAACATCGTCCAACAAACAGCACCTCTTCAAGAATTGGAGCAACAGGCCATACACCCCTTCCGCAGTGAGCCTTGCGGTGTCCGTATCGTCAGAGAGACGCAGGCACGTCTCCACCGCGCGCATGTATGCAGATCCACATTTGGCGCCCAACTTGGGTATCCAGATCTTCTCAATTCGCAGTTTGAAATCAGCTAAAGTGTACTTGGGCTTGTACAAGTCACCAATAGGAGTCCATAATCCAATTTCAAGCAGGATGAGACCAAGTCCATAGATATCATATTTCATGTCGATAGGGAAACCTCGATGGGTACTGCTAGGCTCGTCTAAAGGATGCCTGTACACATTCAACTGGCTTGACAGTGGGACCCCATCAATGTTGCACTTGGAGAAGAGGTCAAATGAGGCCCATAGAGGTTTTCGAAGTTGCTCCACCCAGTCAGTCTCCGACTCATTAGCAGTAGTGGTAAACATGACACTACTACTGTTAATGTTCCCGTGCGCCAGTTCGCGAGCATGCAGAGAATGCAACTGCTCGGTCAGTCGCAAGGCCATGCGAAAGCGGTGTTCCAGTGCTGGTGCTGCCATCTCTGTCGCGGAGCTTTGAGCTTTATTGCCTTTCTGGACCAACTTGAGTAGGCTGAGCGGCGCAAGTAGCTCGCCAGGGCCACCAGCTTGCAACCTATTCTGTGTAGAGTATGGCAGGTCATACACCAGACCGATTCGGGGTTGGTCTCCATCTTCGAAATAGCCAAGTAGACTCAGGTTGGTTTGCGATTCTGCTCGCATAGGCTGGAAACGGGAGGCCAGTGCTTCAAGCCGTTGCAGAGGTGGCGGTACCCCAGTGTGTCGGTAAGTCGCGTCGTAGTTGGCATATTCCACCAGCACTGGAACTTCGGGAGCGACGCTGTTGGCAAGCGCATTCTGTATAGTGGATGAGACGTTCTTGCGAACCAGCAGCGCTACCATGCGAGTTGTAGATGGCACTCCGACAGCCTCATAGGGAGGGGGACCCTCTGCTGGGAGCCTCAAAGCAGACGCCTCGATCCGAGCTGGCAAGCCAGCATAAGGTGAGAGAAAGGGTTTGGAAAAGGAGGGATTCACGAGTGTCGTCTCGGAAGAAGCGAACGACTGTACGCCATAGATGGCCTTACGATCTTCCCTAAGCGCATTGGCCGTACTCTGCTGTGAAACGGTATCGAATCGAGGATGTTCGCCGCGCGCAAGTGCTCGTCGTGATATCGTCAGGTCGTAGAGGATGTCGATCGAAGTCGTCAGATCTTTCAAGAGATCCTCATATCGCGCTTCGTCGAATACTGCCGCTTTCTGGGGGTAAGCCTCGCCTTCCTTGGCCAGTGGTACGCTTGCTGACTTGATCCTCTCTGCCTCCTCAGTGACTTCGTGGATGTTGGTGAGCACGCTTTCGACAGTCTCGGTAAGGCCAGCCTTCGCCACAGACTCGTCGATCTTGGGATCTTTCTCGTCGCCCGTCGAGCCCGCGTCGGTCCACTCCAAGCCCCAGGTAATCAGGCGATCCTTCTGAATGCGATACTTCCGATGCAGAGAGGCGAATTGAGCATGCGCAGTCGACTGCACCTGCAGACTGGCAAGCGCACTCTTCTTCGCGTCCGCGTACAGCCGGGACAATCGTGCTGGTCGTGGTAGTATGGGGTGTGCGGGCCGGTATCCTTCCATGGTCGCTGACGAGTCTCATCAAGAGAGTCGTCGCATCGCCGTCGCAAAGCTGATGCTGGGCAGCGGAAACCAGCGAGAAGTAATGCTAGGTAAGTAGGTAATAATGCTCGCCGCTCTCAATGGTGTCTGTCACCGGCGGTACTCCTGTGGCCCAATTTGGCGTGTGAAGAAACAGACGGCATGTTCTGAGATGCAAATGCCAGGTGGTAGAAGTCAAGTAGAGAGAGTATGCTGGAGCCTTCGGTTGTCCCCCCAGCCCAAACGCTGTTGCCTTGGGACCAGCCACACGACCGATCTGCACGACCGCTACGCCACGCCTCGCCACGCCTCGACTACCCGACTGCCTGAGTTCTAGCTGTGGATCCCCGGTTGACCTCAAGCACTAAATACCAGGCGCTCACCCCTGAATCACTCGGGAACAATGACAACAACCTAGAATATTTCGATACTTCTGCCATCAAGCCGACCACCGTGTATGCCTGGCGAGACTCACAGCAAGAGACAGATCGCGGTGGGAAGGCCATTCGTTCTGCTCATTCATACAATGTCTCCCTAACCTTTGCGCCACGCTGGCTTATACTAAGAACAAATCGGAGACTGCAAAATTGACAGTACTGTATCTAGCTGCCTGTCGCAACTCTCGTTCCTGTCTGATATGTGTACATGTACTGTGGCTAGCGGCCGATTATGTGAAGGGTATCCCAATTACCAACTGGTTTCACATATTTCTTGCTGCCTCCTGGCTGTAGGCAGAGATGCCACGCGAGCCATCTCATCATGCGATATAGGACCCAGGCGCATACGTGAGGCGAAAGGATAGTAGTCACCAATGCCCTAACCAGCCGCTCTCGTGTTCAAGATGAGCGCCACAATCAAGCTGTTGCAGGGAGTTAGTCGTCTTCATGTCCACCGACCAAAGACAGAGAAAACGTAGACATACCCGTAAAGTCCCAGCACTTCGCCGAAGATGAGAATGAGCACCATTCCGACAAAAATCCGTGACTGTTGCATGTACGCGCGTACTCCCTGCCATCCACCGTCAGTTCTCAAGTCCTCAATTGATTATACCACCACGACATACAGAATCGCCCACTATTCCTATCGCATAGCCTGCTGCTAATCCTGTCAAGCCGACTGACAGGCCGCAGGCTAGATGCATACACCCGTTGTATAAGCTGTAATGCTGTCCCGGTGGCGCTTTCATGTTGCCCGCTATTAACACTGCTACCACAAGCGCGTACACGGCGATGATTCCCGACATGACCACTGGGATCAGAGACTGCTATGGTGATCAGCAAGATTGCTCCATCGCCAGATGCTTATAGCTTGTCCTGCAGGCTTCCTCATACCTTCATGATCAGGTCCGGTCTGAAAACACCAACATTCGCAATTCCAATGCCTGATTTGGCCGTTCCATATGCTGCGCCCATGCCTGCCGATGTCTTAGTCTCCACATGAATGCCACAACTATCACGCAATGTCCGTACATCCAAAGATCATGGCAAAAGCGATGCCGCCCATGCCCAGAAACGGCGCGAACTTGGGCGTGTATTCGGACGATGATCCTACGAGGTCCGCCATGGTGAAGCTGCTCGATGAGCTCAGGGATCGTGTTATCGAGCTCGCGGTGAGCAGTATCGGGATTCTGGTGACGGTGACAGTGATGGCGGTGAAAGTGGTGGTGGTGGTGGCTGTAGCAGTGTGACGATGCGCCTGTGGACTACATGTACATGTACTGTGAATGAGCGTCAGGTCAGGTAGGCCCTTGGGCATGCATGACAGAGGCTTGGCACGCTCCCGCGGTTCCACCTCTTCGTTCACAAGCGAGGAGACTCCAGCAATGAAACAAGCTGAAAGACTAGTACTCTGCTATCTGACCGTACACAATATCCATTCACTCACATCTGGTGCACCTCATTGTTCCTGAGGAAAAGGCCCAGCCGCAGACTGGACAGGAGCAAGTCACGCTCGAAGCTTGCCAATCCGCGACTTCGTCCACCGCACCAACCCCCCACCCACCCATCCACACCATCGACGTTCCGTGGTCTCTGCGACAACGAGGTAGGCCCCAGATGGGCCGCTAGCAGCGAAACCACCACCGCCACCACCCATTCTGCCGTCGCCATGTCCTACCAGCCCCCGCAAGGCCGCCACTACGCTCGCAACTCGCCAGCCGACATCAATCCCGCGAGCAGCAATCAACGAGATGCAGCCTTCAGCAATATCTTTGGCAGCGCGCCTCCGGGTGGACGCAGCCAGACCATGACCGGGAGCAGCCCCCTCCCTCCGCAAGATCGAAGCAATACCATGTCGGGGCCTCCGCAGCAGTACATGCCGCGAGCACCACCGGTCAGGCCCGGGCAGCAGCCCAACGGCTACCCGCGACCTCCGGGATCTTCAGACGGCAGCGCGAATGGGCAGCTGCCTTATGGCATGAATGGACAGGCTGCGCAGCAACGACGTCCGCCAGTGCAAAACCTCCCGCAGCCCATCCGCCCCGATCGGGTTCCATACGGTCAGCCGCAACGACTGGATCCGCGCGGTCCCCCTCCCCCGGGCCAGCGCTCGTTCACTGGACGGCCTGGTCTACCAGGCCCCGCGCTCAACACCGACTCGTTTCGCACACAGTCGCTCGCATCAGTGCCGAGGCCTATGTACCAGCCACCGGGTGGTAGCTATCAGGCTGCTCCTGCCCAGGCCTTCCGCCAACAGCCATATATGAATCAGCACCCAGCAAGGACAACAGCGCAAGGGAGAGTCGTGCCGGATAGACCTCAGGACGAGCGGACCATGTCGATGTCATCGTACAGCCGGGATGCGGACTTTTCACAAACGGGGAGTGGGAGGAGAATACCGGCGAGAAGGCGAGAGTCTGGCGGTACAGAAATCAGCGGCTCTACCATCACAAACGGTCATGGCATAGATCCGCGAAATGGATTCCAGGGTAACGGACGACATTCTAGTAGCAGCAGCCATACCACCCAAGGTTCTCGGACCATGTCGATGGCGTCCACAGCAGTATCGCCGAATGAGCCCAATCGGCAGGGAAGCCTGCCACGGTCGGATAGTCAGCGGACTGGCACAATGGTTGCGCAGAAGAGACCATCGCTTGTGTACGGGGCACTTCTGTCGAATGTGGCAGCAGCGTTCCGTGAAAGAGTGCCATTGAGAGATCAGTGGAAGGACGGATTGGAGTACAAGAATGCCTTCACGGGGTTTGAAGCCGTCGAGCTGATCGCGTATGTGATAAGAACATCGGACCGCAACTTGGCTCTTCTTCTGGGCCGCTCCCTGGACGCGCAGAGGTTCTTTCATGAAGTCACATATGCGCACAGGCTTCGAGACTCCCCCAACGAAGTGTATCAGTTCAAAGAGACTATCAACGAGGAGGCACCCGAGGTCAATGGTGTTTTCACACTCCTGACAGAGTGCTACTCGCCAACATGTAACCGGGATAATCTCTGTTACTCGATTGCCTGTCCCCGTCGCTTGGAACAGCAGCAGCGTCTGAACATGAAGATCACGCCTGGTTTGAAGCGAGAGACCTCTCGATCAAGTTTGCACGACGAACCAGACAATGAGCAGAAGCTATGGATCAATACGGTCTCGAAGGAAGTCTCCGACAGTGTTAGTGATCGAGAGAAGAAGCGACAAGAGGTCATTTCCGAGCTGATGTATACCGAACGTGACTTCGTCAAGGACCTGGAGTATCTGCGTGACTTCTGGATCAAGCCCCTCAGGCAACCTGAACATTCACCAATTCCCGAGCACAGGCGCGAGAAATTCATTCGGACAGTATTCTCGAACTGCCAAGAAGTGCATGCTGTTAATGCTCGGATGGCGCAAGCACTGACGCGTCGTCAACAGCAGAATCCCGTGGTAAGGAACGTCGGTGACATTTTCCTGGAGTATGTGCCTCAATTTCATCCTTTCATCCGGTACGGTGCCAATCAGCTATTCGGCAAGTTCGAGTTCGAAAAAGAGAAGGGTCAAAATCCCACGTTCGCACGTTTCACGGAGGTGACCGAACGGCTGAAAGAGTCTCGAAAGCTCGAGCTGAATGGGTATCTGACGAAGCCAACGACGCGTCTGGCCAGGTATCCGCTACTTCTAGACAACGTGCTCAAGAACACAGACGAGAACAATCCTGACATTCGAGACATTCCGAAGGCTATCGAGCAGATCCGGCAGTTCTTGAGCAGAGTCAACGAGGAGTCTGGCAAGGCAGAGAACCACTTCAATCTCATGACACTGAACTCGCAGCTCAAATGGGGCAACATCCCGCACATGGACTTGAAGCTGACCGAGGAGACCCGGCAAATGATCCACAAGGGTAATCTCAAGAAGACACCAACCGCCGAGCAGGCCGACGTCACAGCCTACCTCTTCGATCATGCCGTTCTCATTGTGCGCGTCAAGACTGTCAACAAGAAAGAAGAAATTCGAGTTTACCGCAAGCCCATCCCGCTCGAGCTTCTTCAAATCAAGGAAATGGATTACGTGCTCCCAAAAATGGGCATTGCAAAGCGACCCTCGTCGAGCATGATTCCAGGCATTGCTCGTGTTGGCACGCGGCCTCCTCCAAACGAGCAAGGGTATCCGATAACATTCAAAGGACTTGGCAAGGGCGGCTATGAACTAACCCTTTTCTGTACGAATCAAATGCAACGTGAGAAGTGGATGGAGCACATCATGACCCAGAAAGAAAAGCTGTCGGAACGCCATAAGATCTTCACAATGGCTAAGCTCAATGAAGGATTTTTCAACGCCACCGTTCGAGTCAACTGTTGCAGGCCTATTGACGGCGGGAGGAAACTCGTCATTGGTACCGACTTCGGAGTCTACATTTGCGACCGGAAGCCCAAAGACGCATCGCAGAAGCCCAGGCGAATGCTGGACATCAAGCTGGTGACGCAGTTGGAAGTACTGGAGCAACACCAGATCATCATTGTGCTTGCGGATAAAGCCGTGTACAGCTTTCCATTGGAAGCATTGGAAGATGAAAGCTCTCAGGCACCCTCAAAGCGAGGACGCCGGATCTGCCATGCCAACTACATCAACGCGGGAATGTGCAATGGCCAAACCCTTGTGTGCTGTGTCAAGTCTAGCTCCCTGTCATCTACAGTCAAGGTCTTTGAGCCCATGGACTCGATGACCAAGGGCAAGAAGAAGTCTGGCTTTGCGAAGATGCTCGCCGGAGGCCAGGAAGTGCTCAAGCCCTACAAGGAATTCTATATTCCGATGGAGAGCAACAGCATCCACTTCCTTCGCAGCAAGCTTTGCGTTGGCGGTGCCAAGGGCTTTGAGATTGTCTCGCTGGAAACGCTCGAGACGCAATCTCTTCTGGACCAGGCGGACACGTCTCTCGACTTCGTCGCACGTCGCGAGAACGTCAAGCCCATCTACATTGAACGTAACACTTCCGAGTTCTTGCTGTGCTACAATGATTTCTCGTTCTATGTCAACAAGAACGGATGGCGAGCTCGAGGCGACTGGAAAATTCTCTGGGAAGGCTCACCAAATGCCTTTGCAACATGGGGCGAGAAGTACATTCTTGCTTTCGAACCTGAATTCATCGAGATTCGGCAGAGTGACACAGGCGGCCTGGTGTGTATACAAACGCACAAGAACATCCGATTTCTGCACCAGAGCACGAGAGAGGTAAGATTGCGATGGCACGCATCCTGTTCACGACTCCCACTGACCACAGCATGCAGATCCTGTTCGCCTACGAAGACGAAGTCGGCGACGATGTCATCGCCTCGCTGGATTTCTGGGGCCGACCGCAGTCCCCTTCGGCTCCCATCAAGTAGACGAATGAGCAAGCGGACGAGGTTACGAAGCGCGAGAAGACGAGTTCGCACACGGGCGAAAGGACAGGGCAAGCGCTTGCATCAGAAAGAGACTTTCTTGCACCACACAAACACACACAAGTAAGAATGCAGAGAGGCACTCATTGTGGCGTATTGTTGTTGTTGCTGCTGCTGCTGTTCTTCGAACTCTGTATTACATATATACCCCTGCCTACGACGCGTTGAGCATGGATGTGAAACACTCTCCGCGCTCGGTGTCACGTCACTTCCCACACCAGGTGGCGCAGCGGAAGCGGCCTTTGGGGAGGTGGCTGGGAGGGGGGGTTGGGGACGCGCGGGTTCGCGATGTGGAGAGAAGTTGTATATGTATATGTATATATACATGTATCTCTCTCTGATGCATCTGACTGTGATTGGACGAGGATGAAGATGAAGATGATTTGAAATTAGGGATTGAAATGACAAGTGGTAGTAGGGTGGTGGTGGTAGAGAGGCAGGAGGTATGGACCTCGTGTTTGTAGAGAGAGAAAAGGGGGGAAAGGTCTTGTGTGTGTGTCTCTGTACCTACATGTAGGTGTAAGTGAGTGAGTGAGCGAGTGGGAGCGGGAGCGGGAGCGGGTGTGTGAGTGTGTAAGTGAGTACTGTACATATGCAAGCAACTCTGAATCAGTACCTACCTACCTCACCTGGGTACATGTAGGTATAAACCTGTTATTACAGAGCCCAAAGTTCAGGTACCGTAGGGATTCATATTTCTTTCCCGCCTTTTCTTTCCCATCTACCTCAGGTACATGTAAGGTATGCATCTATCCGTCGTCGTGTTTATCTTTCCCGCTTTTTTGCTGGCTTACCTCAGGTACAGTAGCTCTGTATACATGTAGCTTGCATACCTCCTTATGTACCTTACCTAGCCACCATCTAGGTAAGGTATGGTATGGTATGGTAGGTGTTTCGATTTCGGCGGCTTTTTACTTTTGGCTAGGTAAGGCAAGGATGATTGAAAAGTCCATCCTTGGGCCTTGGCCTTGATGTGGCCAGACATATATTCATCGATTGGCAAAAGCGAAGAAGCTACGGTAAGGTACCTAGGTACATTTTCTTTTCTTTTCTTTTTTTTTCCTCGTTCCGTTTTTCGAGTGTAGATGGTGTAACTGCAGGTGGTGTATTTACTAGGTACCTACATTCTTCTTCGTATTATGTATCTACCTAGGAGTACATGTAAGTGAAGTAACCCGGAAAGGCAACTCGGATGTCAGGGTCGGCGAGCGACTACATAGGTACCTACATCTACCTATACCTACCTGTGAGTTCGCCCAGACTAGTTTTTCATGGCACTACCTAGTACATGTACCTGCCTTACCTACCTAACTTACTCAACTTCCTGAAGTACCTTAGGCACTATATACTTGCAGACCAACGCGCTATTGATCCTTGTACAGGGCATTTTCGCGTGAACTTTATGTCTCTGCTGACTTATCAATAATTAGGTACATAGGTGTCCCGACGTGCTCGTGCTCGTGCTATAATTGTACCTACCTGACCTTCAAACCTCCTACCGGGTAAAAAGGTACCTGAATCAATAATTGCTGACGCGGCCGCGCGCCTCTTTAGAATTATTACATGTATCTGTCCGTCTGTATATAGGTATAGAGAAAAAGAAAAAGAAAAAGAAAACGAGGTCTTCCAAATACATGTACATGTACCTGACAGGACGCGCGCGCGTTCGTAATACGAACTGAACTGTCTTGCCGGCTTTGAGACTATTTGTTTCGGATATTGTACGCGTCGGCAATCCGTTCGTGATAGGTAAGATGGAGGAATCGTGCAGCAGAAGTACTTTGTGGCTGCGAGCTGAAGTCCGGGACGGATAGTAGTAAGAGTAGACCCTTACAAAGCAATTCTTCGAGAGAGAGACCTGCCTTATCTCACCGGCGAAGGATTGAGATAGGTAGGTAATGCTTATGCTCATTCTCAGCTCCCAATATTCCCCAAATTCCACCAGTAAGACGAAGAATGTCAGACAGCGCCACTACCTTATCTCATTGTTGTTATCAGAGCGTGTGCGTGAATAAATTCGGGCGAAGGCTTTCATTAGACCGAAGAAGACGAAATCCCCACTTCAGCACTTCTTATTGCGCTTTTGCCAAGAGTCGCTCCTGAAGGTCCTGAAGGATCCTAGAGGAGGAGGAGGAAGAGGAGGAGCCGAGACTGTTTCTGCAAGCTACTGTAACTCCCTTGGGTAGTATTCCGGAGGTACGTTGGTCAGGTAAGGTACCTTAGGTAAGGTAGCGAAGCGTCGGTACATTGTAGTCTCTACTTCCAACGGGTGTTCTAGCCATGCGTTGAGTAGGTAAGGTCGGTAGTGATTTCAGCGCCTTTGATTCCAACGCCCGTTCGAGAATTCATATAGGAGGTAGATACCTTATCTACTATAAACTGCATCAAGATCCGGGTATACGAGTAGATATATCTGTAGTGAGTTATATTTATTTTCTGTTGAGAATCAACTGCACCTGACGAAGAGTGGTAGCGCTTTGGCATATTCACATGCAAAACATTTTACGGTTTGGAGCTGTTTAGGCGAGTCCCGGATATAGGTAGTAGTGTTTGGCCTTCCGGAGGCCGTGTGCTGTTATCGGTCGGTTCTTACCTGCCTGACCTACATTACCTGTATAAGGTATGTACGCGGGCACGTCGAGTTTGTGTTGATCGTAAGTGACGAATAAAGAAGGACTCCGCCACGCAAGGTGTAGCCAAAGATAAGGTATGTCAAAGTGCATGCATGCATGCAACATCTCGTCAACAACGGCGAAACAAAAAAGCATCGTAAAGAAAATCTGAGACGTGCATATGTAGTTCTAGCGGTAAAATGGCGCCATTGGAACATGGGCTTGCTCCCCGAAGCTGGGTTTGCAGACCTCCGATCCCCAGATCTTTGTGAACCTTCATCATGTTTATCGTCTTTCTCTGCTCGTGGAATGTGTTTCAGAGTCAACCAATCAAAACCAAAACATACTTCCTCCAGTGAGTGATCGCTGACCGGTGCAGGATTGAGGATTGATGTGGTCGAGTGAGCACGATGGCGGGTGTCGTCGAACGCGATCGCCGACGGAGACGTTGGTACAGAAGACGATGCGATTAAACCAGTAGGATTGACATGTGCTGCACGAGGTGAGTCGTGGGAAGCTTCTGCGGCCGAGTAGTGGTCCACCTGCGTTGCGTTCCAGAAGCTGCCCGATGCCCTGCCCTGCCCTGCCCACCCATCGCTCATGGAGGGAGGATTGCTTCCATTGTTCGTCGTGGTGTCGACGGGTGGACATACCAAAAGAGGTCGGCAACAAAGTCGGTCGCGTGTGACAGGTGTTTGTGTCCACGTTTCACGGCTCATGAGACGTCCTCTCGTTCTACGCTGAATCCTCGGGTTGGGTCGAGGTGACCTTTTCGGTGACCTTTACGGTACACTTTCTCATCCTGGGACCACCCACCGCGCACCATCGTCTACGTCATCCTTCACGGTGGAGAGGGACGGGAGTCTGAGGGACATTGCGCAATTGAGTTTGGGTTTTCGGCATCGTCCAGCCATCCGCGTGGCAGTTGTCGACAAGAAGTTAGAAGTTCAGGTGTACCTTACTGTTCCTTGCTGTGGACCAGAACTGTCGGACGTAGAGTGTGACAGATTTATCTGCAGCCGGCGTGAGTACTGTAGTTAAACGAGGATAGTCTGAAGCGTGCCATCTCGTCAACCTGTAACCCCCTCCGTAATGAATGGCATTTGTGGGACTACACTGCAAAGTGCAAAAGGGAAAAGGGAAGGGAGGCCGACAGAACTACCGTTGCTGATCGCAGGCGGGAGTGGGAGAACTAGCAGTAGCGTAGGAGTCGCCGCGTGTACCTCCCGCCAAACCGCCATAGGGGATAGGTTCGACCCTGTCACCCTGGTGTACCACCTCCTACTGGCGGAGGGCGTTGCCCGTTGTGTCGTGTACATGTACCGTAGTATGCAGGCGGGACAATCAATTACATTAGGTAGCGCCTCTCAGCGATTAGGTATCATTTCATGCTAGGAGGCTGGAGCTACAGACTGGAGTCACCGACCTGACCTGACCTGCCTGATCCTCTCCTTCGCCGGCCTGCGACTGGACCGGCGCGCAACGCTGAACGACACTTACTGCGGTCCGCGTGTGCACAGGAGGACTCGTCACGCACCGTCCAGTCGTGGCAGACGACACTATCATCATCCACGCACTGCACTTTGCTCCATGTAGAATGGGCCCCCGAACGAGGGGGAGCCACTGCGCAGTGACCACGGAACCAGCCCCCTGTGAAACCGGCCGATCCCATTCATTCATCATTCTTTGAAAGTTGATGAAACGCGCATACCACCACTCCAAACCGCGCAAATCGTCACCTTATCCCCACCCCTGTTCTCATCATCACCACCACCACCACACCACTGCTGAGCTTCATATTCTCTCCTTGCTCCAGCTCGCTGTCCACACGCTCTTCCACCCTTCTTCTTTCCGATCTGCCTTTTTTCTCCCCCATGGCCTTCTTCTTTTGACGCGCCTCCGCTCTCGCCCGCCTGGCAACCGAGCTTACCTTTCTGCCGGACGTTACACGCGAAGAACTATCTTGGGACAGAGAGGCCACAGGACAGGACTCGGCGACGGCGACGACGACGACGACGATTGGTGGAGGCTCAAGTGCATGAGTAGAACGATTGATTGCACGCTTCTCTGGACTGCCCGGCGCGTCTGCATCCGCATACAGACCTCCACATCCTCATCCTCATCCTCCCACCCAACAGGTACGTCCATGGTTGTCGGCGGCTTGCCTCGAGCTACCACTTTCTTATTGTCTGCATCCTCATCCTCCTCCTCCGTGTTGTGGGCGTCTACGGGTCGGAAACGCGCTCAGCAGGTAGAACTAGCGGAGGTACTGGTGCTCGCCTGATCCCAAAATACATCCATCGTCCCTGCCAGCTAGCCCAAGGTACTTGTACCTACTACCCAAGGTAGCTACAGTACCTGTACCTGAGGGTCCTGAGCCTTCTCCCCTTCTTCCCTGCTCCACCATCGCCCTTCCATCCTTCGTCCTCCATGCAGCCACATTACTCCGGACCGTAGTCGGACTGCGATGATTGCGGCGCATCACTCACTCGCTACAAATATACATGCACCATCCACACCGCACAGACACCGTCTGTCCCCAGCCTTATCGTGCGCGGACATTGACCATACCTTATAGCAGGGGTGTCGACCACCGGACCACCAAGAAGCTTCCCACGCTTCATCCGTTCTCTGAGATAAAAAGTTGGGACCTGCCTTGCCGGCAACAACCACAATTGCACAGCACAGAAGCTGCCAAGCTCCCACTCGCCCAATCCTCTCGATACCTACCCACTCTCGCTACCTTTCCCTCGTCGACTTCACCACCGAGACGCCCGCACGAGGACCATGTTGACCTTCCGGCGTGCCCTTGCGGTCGCTGCTCTCATACTCACCTGCTTCCTGCTTCTACGGAATACCCACGGCCTCCGACAACCTAGCCCGCCCCGAATCAACAATTCGCCCAAACCGACTGGCACTCACGCCGACAATAGAAAGATCGTCGAGGCTGTGCCGGAGCCGGCAAAAGGCGATGCATCGAACACAAAGCCAGTTGCTTCAGCCATACCGGAGAAGTCGTGGAAGGGGGATAGTGCAGGTCGCGTCGCACTTTCGAAAAAGCCGAAGCCACAAATCGCCTTGTCAGAGCTTAAGCTGAAACCGCTGCGACAGCAGCTGGCGTACGCGTTCCCATACGACGCAGAGAGTCGATTCCCGGCATACATTTGGCAAACGTGGAAGGTAACTCCCGCTTCAGGGGAGTTCCACGAGGAGTGGCGACCTGCGGAGGCATCATGGACAGAACTCCATCCCAGCTTTGTGCACGAAGTCATCACGGACTCTGTTGCCGTGCACCTGATTAAGCACTTCTATGCGAGTATCCCGGAAGTCGTGCAGGCCTACGAAGCCCTCCCAGAAGCCGTGCTGAAGGCAGACTTCTTCCGCTACCTCATTCTGCTGGCGAGGGGTGGCATCTACTCCGACATCGATACCACGGCCCTGAAATCTGCTGTCGAGTGGGTCCCGCCTGAGGTGTCGCGAAGCACCTATGGCTTGGTCGTTGGTATTGAAGCAGATCCCGATCGCGAAGACTGGCACGATTGGTACTCGCGTCGCATTCAATTCTGTCAATGGACGATTCAGGCAAAGCCTGGTCACCCCGTTCTCGTTGATGTCGTCGCGACTATCACGGAAGAGGTGCACCGAAGAAAGAAGGCTGGCGAACTACACACCACGATCAGTGGACCGGCCAGTGTGGTCGAGTTCACAGGGCCCGCTCTCTGGACCGATGCCATCTTTAAATTCTTCAACAACCCCGATTATTTCGACATGAGCACGAGTAAAGGCAACATTACGTGGCAACAATTCACCGGCATCACAGCCGCGAAGAAGGTGGGCGATGTTGTTGTATTGCCAATTACATCTTTCTCGCCTGGCGTGGGCCAAATGGGAGCTAAAGATGTCGATGATCCAATGGCATTCGTGCATCACACGTTCGAAGGTATGCCCTCGTCACTCACTCAAACCCTGTAATCTCGGTTGTACTGACTGGTGACATTTAGGCACCTGGAAACCCGAAAGCGAACGTCATATCGGCGAAAAAGAGTGAGAACTACTCCTTACGCTAAGATAGACACCATGGCTAGGATCACCGCGTGATTTTCGCCAAAAGCACAAAGCGATCGATCGCATGCCGAACACCGTGCCGCACGCGCGGTAAACATGCCTGCATTTCACCACAGACCAGCAACACGTGCGAGGAACGTGCATGGACATAGAAAGTCAGAGAGAGTCGGCTTGAGAGCAAGCGCGGCAAGTTGCTGCTTGCACATATACACGGCCACCAGCCCCAGGATTTGCGTGACTGCACCACGAGAACAGGCGCGAGTTTTTCACCTCGGCCACAGGGTATAGAAGAATCACAGGGAATGATGATGAGCATTGCAGGTGTTTTTTTCTCTGCTTGATACATCGCTATTCAAGTGCTGAATGGCGCGCTTTTTGATTTTGCTTTTTTCTGCATCTTTTTGCTTCTTGAAATGGGATGAATGGATGGGATGGGCATAGCGGCGGCGTCTTGCTGCATTTTGGCGGCCTGTTTCTTAGAGATCTTTTGAAGATTGAGAGAGAGGGGGGGGGGAGGGGGGGAGAGAGAGAGACAGAGAGAGAGATGCCAAAAGGCATGGCATGGCCTCTGTCGGACATGCTATTGCATGCAGATCATATAGCAGATCATATCAGAAAGAGAGACACACAGAGAGACATTGAATGCAACAAATCTGTCTCCTCTACGCAAAAACTTCATGAACTACTACTTATTTATTCCACATGGCGCGCATCGTCTCATGTCACAAATACATGTACCTACCTTACCTTGGGGAAGTATCCAAGGAGCGACATTCTATGACATGGCACAGTGGTCAGTCAGTCAGTCAGTCAAGTCACACAAATGCTGATCATGTTACTCTGGAGGTGAAGCAAGCATTATTTACATACCTTATCTAGGTAATTCGCCATCACCTACCTCACAATTCCAAGCACCCATACCTCCACAACGGGAGCAATTCGAGGCCCTCTAGGTGGCCCGCCACAGAAATAGTGTCCACATACGAACCGTCCTGTGATACACATCTTCTCGGGATCAAGTCTCGGGGAAAGAATACTAGGTATATTCGTGCTATATAGATCTGTAGCTTGCGTAAAAGCGTCACACCAAAAGATAGTAGAAAGTAGGTATTGAAGCTGTACAATGTCAGTCACATGGCAAGCTCGAGCTGCTTCCGGTCTCATGTCCAGTCATGCTTCATATCGAATCGCTTACAGGCGACATCGCCTTGCAACTTCATGCGATACGGAAAAGAGAGGTCGTGAATGCCATTCATCATCGGCGTCGGCCAGTGTCACGATACGGTCCCACCAGAGCCAGCAAGATGCCCCCATTGTCGTTGCCAGACCTCAATGTTCTTCTGCAAACTGAGACCCATCTCAAAGGCAGACTGTCCCTCTCCGGATCGATCGCTTGACGGTGTTGCATCGCTCCCCAAAGGTTGTACTGCACCTCCTAACATCAGTCCGCTTATCTCGGTACCTTGTGGACTACCCTCACCACTTGCTGATTGCAGATGTTCCGTATCGGCTTTGTGCCGCTCCACATATGCACTCATGCTCACCAGCGCAGCTTGCATGTTCGTGAACGTGCGCTCTACTGGCTCATTGTCCGCCTTCACACCATTTCCATTCGCAGTCTTCTTGCCTCTACCAAATTTGCCCTTGCCTGTACCTGTAGGGACTTCAGGAGCACCCGGGCTCTGCTTGCTACCATTGTTGTCACCATTGGTCAAGTTCTCGGTCGTTTCGTCACCGCTCCCGGGGGGCTGGTTCAGGGTCTTCTTTCTGCCGTGGGGTGAGGCTGCGGCCTGTTCCAGTTTGGCTTTGGTATATTGGTTGTTGCCCAGTTTCTTCGCTGGCTTCTTGCCTGGTCCCTTTCTGTACGTAGTCTTCTCGGCGGCTGGCGGTGATGGCGGCTGGGACGAAGGGGGCGGAGGGGAAGCTTTGGCATTCAGTGTGGGCTCAGGGTTCGTTTCCTCGGCTTGCTCAGGGTCTGAGAGACGGTCAGCATCAGTCAGATCAGTGCTTGCTCCGAATTCAAGCTCACCATCACCACCACGTCTACTTCTTGCACGTTCTTGTCTTCTCCCTGCAGCTTCGGATCGTGTCCTCTCCTTCTCTTGCTCCCGTTTCTCGAGCAATTCTCTCTTGGCCTTTCCCTTGCCTGTAGTCTGATCTTCAGAGTCCTCGGTATGGGGAGAAATGTTCCTTGCCGCGAGCGGTATCGACTCTGACGATCGGCGTTGGCGCTTGTGGTCCGACTTGCTCCTGTAATCGTATCAGCTCCTGAGTCTGCCGCGATTGCACCTACGCTTTTGTCTCTACTCACTCCTCGCTGCTGTCGTCTCTCGTGCGTTTGCCATTCCTGCGGCCAGTTCCTCCCTTACTTGACACTTCCCGCGTACTCCTCTCGATCGCGATCCTGATTTGTTCCTCCTCTTCGTCATGCTCTTTGCTTCGCATGGTGGCACGTCGCTTGCCGGTAGCTGGATCGACGCTTGCTCTGGATGCGAGACTCTCACGCTCTTTCCGCGCCTTGTCATCAGGCTTGCTGACGGAGTTCTTGCGCGTAGAGGCTTTGGGATGGAGTGGGAGGTAGAGGGAGTAGCTTTGCCTGTCGTCCTCGATCTTAGCAGCTGCTCGTCGAGTGGGAATGTCATGGTAGCGCGCCATGGCTACCTATCAGTGTCGCGGTGTCCAAAGAAGTGTGTTGTCGCAGTAATGAACGTCAAACAATATTGAGTTGCAAGTATTGGAGGTGGAAGCAGTCCGACGGGTCTGTTGCCAGTGACCTTGCAGCTGCAGTTGAAGCTGCCTCCTGCCATCGTCTTCCCGCCATGTGCGCCATTGCCCTTATACAGGGAAATCGCCATTATGGCGTGACGTGATATGGCATGTGGTGAGGGTGAAGGAAAGAACAGACGTACCCTCGTGAATCTGTACCGAGAGCGTGCAGCTTCGGTCGACACCGCTCGCAGAAGTACTTCTCCGGTGTCAAGTTTTCCGCGACAATGCCTACGCAGCCTCCATGCTGCCAGACTGAGCAGCCATCGCACAGGATGAATAGTTCGCCAGCATCTTCCGCCTGCGCGTCTGGAAGGCCCGCGAACGCCTCGCTCAATGGAGGACCAGGATATTCTTGTAGGCCGCATATGCATCGCGTGATCTCATCTTCGTCCATAGCTTCTTCATCGGGATCCTCTACGGCATCCTCTGTCTTACTGGGGTCGTCGTCTTTGTGGGCGACTTGAGATCGCTGGCTTCGCCGCGGCGGCTCACTGATGTCCTCGGAGGACAGTGATCGTGGAGTGGCAGACTTTGCGTTATTCGTTCCTCGCACGTTTCGATCCTGCCGTGTGGAGGATATGGTGGATGATGTCGTAGAAGCTGGTGCCGCTGGCGGTGCTCCCCTCGTGCTCCGCCTTGCCGGCGGCGACGGCGGCATCGTGGTAATTCGACTTATCCAAAATCCGCGAATCTTTCAGAAGTCGTTCCTAGGATGAGTACAATGATAAGGAAAGTCGAGTTCCCGCCCGAAAGCTGCTTGTCAGGAGCAGAATGTCGGTGGGTGGGAAATGTTCGCGTGCAGCAAAGCTCCGAATCTGGCGGTGGATAGCGATTGGGACGGGCAAGAGGGCGAGCTAACAAGTTTGTGACACGCTCTAGGTCCGGCGTGCGAGTCTGCTGCGTGGGCGGATGGGGGGCGGTGGTGGCGGTAGTGGTGGTGGTGGTGGTGTTCAGAGAGAAGAGGCGTGCAGAGAGTAGTAGAGCACGCACCGCGATGGATCGCTCCATCGTTACCCTTCAGAGCAGCACACTAGAGCACAGCGGAGTAGAATCGGCCCTCGGGCCTAGCGGGCCGAAGCGGTCTTTCTGCCTGAAGTAGGCGTTCGCGGTCAGGCATTCACATCAGCGCACACTCGCTGGGAAAGACGGCCAGATCGGAAGAAGGTTGTGGAGCCTCGACGAAAGACGGCGTCCAGTTTGTCCCAGATGGCGCCATGCCATGTTGGGGTCGTTCCGATTCGTCGCGTTGTGGTCGTTGGATGTTGTTTCCATCTCAAAGGCGAGGCAGCGGGAGAAGCGAGGAAATGGAAAGCCGGAAGCTGGAGAAGACTTCGTAGAGGGCCCGCGGCACGAGGTTGGAGGGTGCACAACGGAAGTGCACACTGCCGCCAGTATGACTGCGTGGGGCAAGCATGACTGTGTCGCTTCTCACTCCGTTGTGTCGATGGCAGAAAGGTCAGGTACACATATGTACCTTTAGGTAGGTAACGGTCGTCGGTGCATACGATAATAACAATAATCATCATCATAATAAGCTGTTCCATTACGGGCCGTCCAGTGCTGTTCGGCAGCGGCAAAACAAAGTCAGAGACATTAATCTTCAAAAGTAGAGGTACAGAGCGGCGCCTCCACTTGAACTTACATGGCCCAATACCTCATAGTAATAGTAATAAACAAATGAACAAATACTACCTGGAAGGCTGGCTCACGCACAAGGTCGGACAGCGCTGTGATACTGCTACGGGGCAGAAGCATCCTACTGCTAGGAGAGGTCCATTATCTGACTGCCCTGTGAGTGATCCTCCGGCCTCCCTCCTCCCTGCTCCCTATAATATGCCCCCCGTCTCCGTACAAGATACAGACCAAACACGCTCTGCCCTGCATATCGGCAGAGGAAGTACGCAAAAAGATCCGTCGCAAAACTGGCCGAGGCAACGAGGCGTGTGCATGCTGTGCTTATCAGTACGACAGTGGAGGTACCTACCTCGTTGTGACGCCGAACAAAAAAAAATACAACACCATCATCATCATCATCACAGTACATGACGACTGTCGTCCAACAAGGGGGCATGCTATCACCCTATCTAGGTACATTTCCTATCCAGACTACCCAGATACTGTATCTCATGGTGGGTTTCACCCGGGCGTTTTCAGATATCTCCAGCCGCAATAATGATATTCGGCCAAGCCACTCTGGATCCACCAACCGAAGCTCTCTTTCTCTCTTTCTTTCCATACAGGCGGACAGCAGCTCATGTGTATTATTGTACAATATCATATCTTGCATATAGCTGAATATCTCAATCCTTCTCCGACCTCCTCCTTTGACCCATTTCGACCACCCGATCGCGGACTACCTTATTTTCAGCATGTCAGGACCGCTCGAGAAGCACGAGCAACACCATCATCATGTCTTCGGCCAGGATGCGCAGGAAGAAGTGGCACTCGAAGCATTGGGATACCAACAAGAACTCAAACGAAGCTTTGGTCTGATTTCCATGATTGGCTTCTCGTTTTCCATTGTGACTTCGTGGTCTGCACTATCTGGAGTCTTGATCATTGGCGCAGAGAGCGGCGGTCCCCCCGTGATGATATGGTCTTGGATAGGAATATGCGCGGCATCTCTAGCGGTGGCATACAGTGAGTCGAGTGACTGGTGACTACCTACCTATGATGAAGAAATACGTTCGAATGCAGGCAGCCTTTTGCCTTTTTCGAGACGCACACTGACACATCGAGCGACTACCTGTAGGCATGGCTGAGATGTGCTCAGCTTACCCGGTAGCAGGAGGCCAGTACAGTTGGGTCGCAATGCTTGCACCGAAAAAGGTCGCTCGAGGACTCAGCTACATATGCGGCTGGTTTATGCTGATCGGTCTCCTTGCAATGGGTGCTACGAACAACTTCATCGTTGCCAACTTCATTCTGGGGGTGTCGAACCTCAACCATCCATCGTATGTGATACAGCGCTGGCAGACAGTCTTGGTTGCATACGGCGTTGGTCTTGCGAGTCTCGCATTCAACATTTTAGGGCCAAAGCTGCTCGAAAAGGTCAGCCGAGGGCTTTTGATATGGAATGTGTGCGCGTTCTTCATCATTGTCATCACGATTCTATCAATGAACGATCACAAGCAATCGGCAGCTTTTGTTTTTCGGGACTTCGTCAACGAGACGGGCTTCAGCCGATCGTACACGGCAATCATCGGATTGCTCCAGGCAGCTTTTGGTATGTGCTGCTATGATGCTCCTGCTCATATGGTTGAGGAGATACACAATCCACGAAAAGAGGCACCGCGAGCTATCATCCTGTCCGTCTATCTCGGCTTCATCACTGGTTTCGTCTTCCTGATCGCAGCGTGCTTCTGCATGGCTGGCATAGAGGAAACTGCTCTCTCGTCCACCGGCGTACCCATCATTGAGATATTCTACAACAGTACGGCTTCCCGTGCAGGTGCTTCATGCCTGACCGTACTGCTGATAGTCATTGGCATGGGAGGTTCTAACGCTCTTACTGTGACGGGTGGCAGGGCGGTGTTTGCCTTCGCCAGAGACCGAGGATTGCCGTTCTCCCCAATCTGGGCCAAGGTAGAGAAGAAGTCGCAAATCCCAGTCATGGCCATCTGCTTGACAGTAGCTGTCCAAATGGCACTAAACAGCATATATTTTGGCACAGTGACTGGGTTCAACACCGTTGTATCCATCGCCACTTTGGGCTTCTGTAGGTTGTTCCCGCGACAGGAGAGGGAGAGAAAGAGGCTGAGAGAGCTGTCGTGCATGCCAAGATGGAATGCCGATGCCTACGGGTGCTGATGTGTTGTCACAGATGTTTCGTATGCAATGCCTCTTCTGACTCGCTTGGCAAGTCTTCTGTTTGCAGGCTCGCGAGGACCTGCAGCCACGATCCAAGGAGGGCTGTACACATTGGGCCGGTGGAGTGTACCTATGAACTCGATCGGTTTATTGTACCTGCTCTTCACAAGCATAACATTTAACTTTCCCACGATCAGCCCCGTCGACAGCGAAAATATGTAAGCCTTAGCTGCCTTACCCCCCTTGTGCCGAGACCATGAAACTTGGAATGTCTTGGCGGCCATTTGCTGATGACACCGTGCCTATCCAGGAACTACACTTCAGCTGCAGTCGGAGCCATCATGCTCATCTCCCTCGTCACCTGGATCACGACGGGCAAGAGACAATTCGCGGGGCCGGAGATTGTGCATCCTGCGGTCATTATCGAAGGCAGAGAGCCACATCATGATGCTCTTGACGAAGACCTCATCCATGAAGGCCGATCCATTGCTGTCAGCACCAAAGGTCAGCAGTAGGTACTGTAGCAGTAGCCATGCAGCCTTGCGAGCGTGTCCGATTCGCAGTTGTCAGTGGTCGCCATGCTGATATGCATATCTCCTCTACCACAGCACAGTCCCACGGAAATGCCAACTCCACCAGCAATCCGCAGATGACCGAAAGGGTATGTGTGCAACTTTCATTGGGCTTGGCCAGTATCGAACCAAGGCCTTAGTAGGCTTGGAACGTCGCAACACTCCACAGATCATCCACAGAGTTTGCACCGTCGCAGTGCTTGTAGCACAATGCTTGTCTCGTGATACTGCCTGCAAATGAAGTAGCAGGAGTACGGCGTAGCTCCTGTCACCGCCCGTATCACGCACTCGTGGTATCCCGTCGTATCCTGTAGGAGGTAGCGCGGGCTGATGAGACGAGACGCGATTGTCCGTCGATTACCTAGGTACTGATACATGTACCCTTAGACGCGAAGCAGATCACTTGTCCGGTCTTATCACGTATAAGAATACCTACTAGGAGGTATTAGGTAGAAGAAGGTCGGACCGTGACGGAATCATACTACTACCTCCTACTAGTAGGTAGTAGGTATTCGGTACATACCTAGGTACAGTAGGTACATGTAGTAGTAGATGATCTCCAAATGGAAGTGCGGGCATGGTACATGTATTCACCCAGTCACCAGAATCACCACCCCACGGCCCCTCGCGGCTATCCCACTCTGGGACCTCTGGGCGATGTCTTTCTTTCGGTTGATGAGCACCGGAATACCTACTACAACGTAATGTGATATCAGGATTCAGGTTCTCTTGCACCCTCTGACACCCGCGCTCCACAACCATCGCCATCCCCGTTGCGGCACGGCTTGGCGCAGTAACCAAGCACTTGGCTTGCCTCTTGGTCTGCTGCTCCCAATCACATCCGCCAACGATCGCGTCTCGGAGGGTTGCGCCGGTCAAGGAGGGCCATATCTCATCATCGCACAGGGCAGACCGGCTCAGGGCATCAGACGCGCTTACATAGGCTGACGGCGCCCATGTATTGTGACAGTAAGTACCTATAGTAGTCGGAGGCGTAGCAGTAATAGTGAATATCCCTCTTTTCACCGCCGCCGTCGTCAAATTGGAACATACTAGCACCCCACGGCACATTCGCATGCCGCGTACACCTCCGTCTCCCGCTGCCACAATCGCATCAAATCGGCGTCTTCAGCATGGCCACAACGACTAAGTTTGGGTACAGGCGTTGGGGCTCGAATGGACAGCTTGCGTGCGAATACTGGATCTCAGACGACGGGACTGACGCACCCGCCACGGCATCTAGTTTGAAATTCACGGCGGGAAGCCTGTCGCATCTACACCAGGCCAAATACCACCCTTACAACGTCCGCACTCCCCGCCGCTACGGCCACCAACACCGCCGCCGCAGCAGCAGCACCAACAGCAATAGCAGCAGCAGTAGCAGCAGCAGCAACAGCAGCCGCAGCGGCGACAGGAACAGCCACGGTCGGCGTGGGGACCGTTCCCAGCGTGATCCTTCCCTTCTCCTTCACACAGCCAAATCTGCCGGCGACCCGTCGTCGGCCAAATCCACCCAGAAGAGGCTCTTTTCTCGGCGGCGGCGGCACCACTATCAGCCTTCAATCTCCTCCAAGTCCAGTTCTCCATCCTCCATCTCGAACCCTAGCATGAGTCTCACAACACATGTGAGCATGGCCTCTTCACCTGTTGCAGAGAAACGCAAGTCGGGTTTCTTGAATCGCCTTCACCACCTGGGGCATAACCGACGTCGGAGCAGTGTCAACGAACTCGCGGGCGCAGACGTCACACCGCAACCGCTGTCGCAGCAGCAGTCGCCGCCGGCGACGCGCACATCCACTGCCGCTGCGCGGCCAACTTCTCGGAACACGACACCGACTTTGACGACAACAACAGCAGCAGCAGCAACCGCAATTGCAACAGCAACTACTACGACTACTGCAAATGAACAACCCGGGAACGCTGCAGCGCTGCGACCTGCCACTGTCAATGGAGACGCTGACACCACTCACATTGCGCCGCCGCAAATCATGATCCGGGCGCCCACTGCGCGTCACGATGACTTTGAAGGGGTACATTATCCGGATGGCCTCAACCCGACCCCGCTCAGCCCCAGCGCAAGGAGCAACAAGGGTATCAAATGGGCCGAGGATTGCGACGCAACAGCCCCACGACCCCGGCGCACGAGTTCAGCTGCGACGCATGGCCGACGGTCTTCCATCTATTCCAAAGATGTCGACGGGAACTTTGACAATGTGTTGGGAGTAGAACTGGGTGTGGGCTCCAAGGCTCGAAGGTTATCGGTGGCGCTTCCAGACGATCTGCAGGTGGACGAATGCTCGCTCGAAGAGCACTTCAATTATTTGCAGCGCATGAAGCACAAGGAAATTGGCCAGGGCGGTGCAGCGATTGTGAAGCTCATGCAAAGCAAGACGGCGGGATCGTCGAGCGAGAAAGTGTATGCTGTGAAAGAGTTCCGCCCACGAGATGCTGCAGAGGAGTCTGAATACGAGTACGAGCGCAAGATCAAGTCCGAGTTTGCCATCTCGAAGGCATGCGACCACTCCAACATTGTTAGGACATACCGGTTATGTCATAGTGGCGACCAGTGGTACCATGTTATGGAGTACTGCGAGCTTGGTGACCTGAACGATCTGATTGCCCAAGGGAATTTCCAGAGGCCGGAGGACCGCAATTGCATGTTCAAGCAGCTTGTCCGAGGCGTCGACTACTTGCACAGTCGCGGAATCGCCCATCGCGACCTGAAGTCGGAGAACTTGTTGGTGAACAAGCAGGGCTGTCTCAAGATCGCTGACTTTGGAACTGGCGAAGTCTTTTGTGGACAACATCCCGGAGTTCGGAACTGCAGGAGACAGAGTATTATTGATCCCAATGCACCTACTCGAAAATGTCAACCAGGCTGGGTGGGCAGTGTGCCATACATGGCGCCGGAAATATATCAGCGACTGGGGAAATACGATCCACGCGCCGTGGACGTGTGGGCTGTTGCCATTGTGTACGTGACACTCTGCTTCGGCGGTAACCCTTGGGACTTTGCAGGCCAGGAATGCAAAAACTTCCGGATCTACATGTCTCACTGGGAAGCGTTCTTCGAGAAGTACAAAGACCATGAGATTCGCATCGGGCGCCCGGTCCCCGTCTTCGGACACATTGGCAAATTTGCCGGGCTGGACGATCAGGAGACGAGAGTGATGTTGATGGGCATGCTACATCCCGAGCCCGCGAAGCGGTGGAAGATACAAGATGTGCTCGAATGCAAGCCTGTGGAGGAGGCGCCATGCTGCCAACAAGATGGTTACTCGGACGACATCAAGAAGCGACAAAAGAAATCGCTACATAACCACATTCCGATGAACATGCGAAAGAAAGTGAAGCCCTAGCGAGGCAACTGTCTAGCGGAAATACCGACTACGAGTTTTATTTTTTTGTTTCTACATGGTCCACGCAGCGTTGTAGAAACAACCTAGACATGCGGGCCTTCCCTCTCGCACTTTGGTACATTTCCAGGACGAGAAATACCTGCTTCACCAGAGATCCCATACAGCATCAGGCATGACGTTGCGCATAATGCGCCAGTGTCTTTTCGCACCCTCGACCTGCTCGCTGGCCCACGAGCTCTCCCCCCCAGGTTCGAGCAGATCCCCCACATTCGTATCGCTGCCAACAGAGGAGCTCTGCTTCGGAAACGGCACCTCCCACTCGGGCTTGGGCACCATGTAATGCTTCCGGCTCAAACTGTCAAGAAAGTCGGCAGCTGTAGGCTCTCTAAACGCGATGGGGCCCGCCTTGTTACGGCAGAAGACGACGAAATTGGAAAAGTCCGATGGTTCCTGGCTGTTTTTGCCTTCATCGGCAACCTTCTCTTCGGCATCGCCACCTCGACCTTCTTTTCTTGTTTTACTATCCTCAGCATCAGCGTTGTGTTCTGCAGGTCCATCCCGATATATTTTGCATTGGCCATCGAAGGTGTGATGGATGGTCCGGAGCACCAGGCGCGTTAGAGGCAGCGATAGATCGCCCGCATAATTGATGGCAATGACACCATTCGGCGTCAGTAATGTACGCAAGTCGCGTAGGAAGGCGGTATTGAAGAGCTCTAGCGGTTCAGCGCCGCCAGTGAAGACATCGTGAATGATGTAGTCGAAATGCATCTTCGTTTTCCCCTTCGCTTCTTCTTCTGCCTCATCATCATCATCATCATCACTCTTCTTCGTGCTCCTGTCTTCCGATGTTGCAGATGCTGCTACTGTTGTTGCGCTTGTTGTTGTTATTGTTTCTCCTTCAGTTACCGCTCCCGGTTCTACCACTAGCGTTGGCAAGAATCCTGCCGCCGCCGCCTCCTTGGCTCGAGCTTGCTGCCTCACCCATTTCACCGCGTCCCGGAGAACTGCCGTGTGATTCGTGGGAAGGCCGAAGTACTGCGTGGCAAATCGATGCACCACGGGATCCAGCTCGACAATGGTCGTGGAAATTCCATGCGCCAATAAGGCTTTGGGCGCAGTGCCGATGCCCAGTCCAATGACGAGTGCTTTTTCTTCTTCTGCTGACGTGTCTGCTACTGGTGGTGGTGGTGGCACTTTCTTGTTTTTGGTTGTGGGATCGTCGAGGTCATGACGAAGAAGTAGGCGGACGGATTCGAGGATTTCAAAGACGGCGTAGATGGGCTCGTTGACTTTCCAGCCTTCTTTGCTTGCGCGTTCGGGTGTTAGAAGCCATTCGCCGCCTGTGGGAGATGTTAGCTCAGTTTTCCATGTGATTCCTTGATACTGTGCTTCTATCATCTTGTATGGAGAATATGTGAGCGATGGGGAAACGAAACATACCAAGTAGAGAGTGATCAGCTCGTAGCACACGATAATGGGCCTGCTTGTTCTCAAGTACGGATATGTGGCCAGTGTTGGACCACTGGCGATCCAGAAGAGTCCAGTTAAACTTCCCCAGTGATGCATCTACTTTTTCGACGCTCATGTGCGTGTTGAAATACGTCGTATGTACGAGAGAAGGAAGAGCAAGCATAACATACCTAGGTAGCCAATCTCAGCAGCTGTTCCAGATAGCAGACTGGCCCGCGTGCCAGCTCAATCGACACGTCCCTTGTATACACATGTGGGAATGTTCGGAGAAGAATACAGATACTGACCATGACGGCGCCAACAGCGAGTAACTTGCCCCTAGTGCAAGCTGAAGGTGGACAGGATTGATCTCAAACTTCTCCTTGAAAAGCTCGGGCAACCATTGCACGATACCTGTCCACTTCTCTTCCAGCACAGGATACATTGCAAACGCTAGAACGACACCGATCATAGTGTATGCTGCGGTGGAGCCTACTCGAGCAGCCAAGGAAGTGGTCTGCTTGTAGCGAGCAATAAAGTCGGCGATCACGAAGCCAGTCGGCAGCAGTATAGCATGGCAGCTCAAGAACCCATTCACCAGTGGCCCTGCCACCGGTCCGAGACTACCACTGAATGGGGATAACAGAGTCTGCAGAAGTGGTAGGGAGAATGCCCAGACGGTGAGCGACTCGAGCACGCGTAAGCGCTGCCAGCTGCCACCGATAGCACGCACTGTAAAGCCGAACAACAGCGATACTGAGCACATGGTAGCATGGTTTTGTGCAGAAGGAATGGAGCCATATACAGGGGCCAGAGTCATTTGTGATATTGGCGATGCCGCCGCTGCGAGAGACAGCAAAGCCACGGGATACATATACTCCCACTCCTGGACTGGTGGTGCATCTTTCGCTGACCTTGCTGTCGGTCTCATCTCCGCGACGGCAGCAGCAGACGCATCAGCCTCGCCGCCAGCGGCCGTCGCTGGAGGGTCCCGATGAGAGGGTTTCTTGCGCGTGGGCATGGCGCCCAGGATGATTTGTGTTTTCTGGAGCAGCCGATCGGACAGAAGCCCGTAGTCCAGGATGATCGCGAGCCGCGATGAGTCGAGAAGGGTGTGAATATAGGGAATATAGGTGCGTTTGACAAGGAGATGCTGAGTAGAAGTCGACGGAGAGGCTAATGAGAGGGCGGTGATGAGATTAGGCTGCCGGAACAATTTGCTCTACCTGAAACGCTGCCCTCTTCTGTCCCTGTTGTCCCTGGCACCCTGCTGTCCCTGCTGTCCCAGATTGCGATGATCGAGATGCCACTTTTGTGGTAAAATAGGTATAATTAAATGACGGCGCTGCTCCCGCGCACTCCATGCGAGAGCCACGCCCGACGCAAGATGAACCGCGACGAGAAGAGCAAGAGCGTGTTGTCCGTGGTCCTGTTCCTGCCCTTGGTGCTGGTCTCGCCCGTCGCACCTTCCGACCCATTCGCGCTAGACGTGGTTGCTGTGGCAATTGCCGCCTGCTCGACTGTTGACCATGACGCAATTTCCCAGACAGACCAACGCAGGCTGGCCGCGCTGCTGAAGGAGAAGGGGACACTGTACACGCGGACGGGGAGGGCGTGGCGACAAAATGCGTGGGGAGAAAACATACGGAAAGCGGTCGAGAGCGGTGTTCGACGCACGAGTCGTGTGCTTGCCATCCAGCAGCCCAGAGCAGCCCGCAACACCGCTGCTGAAGGCCGAGAAGCTCCCGCCGGTAGCACGGAGAAGCGATCTCCAACCACAACGGGTGGCAGGATTGAGGACGTCACCTAGGAGAGCACTGGCAGAGCATCATGTCAACGCCGTGGTGCTGCCCGTGGAGGTGCTCGAGATTGAACATCAGACGAGGACGATGAAGACGGGGGGTCGACTGGATGCCAGAGCGAAAGCAGAGGACGTTGCAGTACCGAAGCAGAGAACGGATGCAAGCAAGAAGGTGGCAAGCCGTGGACGACACACATTCTTCGATGATGATGCCGGTCAGGGAGGGAGAGAATGTTCACATACAGGGCCAGTAATTGTGCAACCCAGAAGATCTCCTCGGAAAACAAAACAGAAAGCGAAGCTGGTACCTACAGGACCCCATGACGATAGCGCTTCGGATCACGCTCATGACGATGGAACTATTGAGTGTAAGCTGTCCCCCGTCGAAGAGGCCAGCAAACAGGAAGGACCATATCAGGAGCATTGCGCAGAACTCTTGAGCTTGTCAACACATCCTTTGACCGATTTCGCGACATGGTCAGCAGAGATTTCGGAGCATTTTGCTGTCACGAAGATCGCGGAAGCATCGTTTGGCGAGGTCTATCGTCTGTCATTAATGGAAGACATTTCGGACTTCTGCAGCACAGACGAGTCGGTCTTCAAGGTGATTCCGCTAACTCCAGCTGTGAGTGCTCTACCTGTGGATAAGCGGAAGAGAGCAGCTGCATTGAAAAAGTGCGAAGGTATGACCAGTCCGCACGACGTGGCGACAGAAGTCAAGCTGCTCCAACGTATGACGAGCATACCTGGCTTTACCAACTTTCGAGACATTCGCATCCTCCAAGGGCGACCTCCACCAGCGTTCATCGGAGCTTACAAGGCATGGAACGCATCTCAGAAGGCAAACAAGAAAGAGCTCAGCCACTTCCCCGACCCAGTGAAGAAATCCAGCTACAACGAAGATCAGCTCTGGGCTGTCATCGAGATGCAAGACGCAGGGTCAGATCTCGAGCGCCTGGTCGAAGTGGGCAGCTGTACTTCCGTCTTTGACATATGGGACATATTCTGGCAGACAGTGCTCAGTATAGCCAAAGGCGAAGAAGGGGCCGAATTCGAACATCGAGACCTTCACCTCGGGAACATATGCGTTCGAGCACAGTCTACCTCGCTCGACGAGGCGGGAACCACGATCAACACGAAGCAGAAGCTCGGATTTACGAATCTAGAAACAACCATCATCGACTACACTCTCTCGCGCTGCGTCATGCCCGATACTTCGATTGCTTACACCGACCTCTCCGCCCCTGCTCAAGCAGCACTGTTCGAAGGCGACAGCACCGAAGAATACCAATATGACATCTACAGATACATGCGAGGCGTGTTATACCTCGATGAACCCTTGGCCCCCATTCACGAAATGACACACGACGCTCTCGCCGCCACCGAACGGAGTTGGGAACAATTCCATCCGCAAACCAATCTCGTATGGATCCATCTGGTGCTGTACAAGCTGTTGGAACAAATCGATTGGCCTTCTGCGAAGAAAGTTCCGCAAAAGAAGAGGAAAGCTGCCGAGTTTGCGGTGTGGAAGCGGGAGAATGATCTGGAGCATGTGTTGCTTCAAGTGCAGGACTTGCTTGATCCGAATGCCTGGTGTGGCAGCGGCATCAGGAGTGCGACGGACTTGGTTGCATTTGCCGTGGGAGAAGGTTGGTTAGATGTCGAGGACGTGGTGGGAAGAGAATCGTTCGACGAATCTGCATTGGTCAGTCAATTGGAAGGTCTGGAGATGAAGTAACGTGTGTGTGTCTGAGCATTATGGTTTATGGTGGTGCTTTTTTTGTGTTCCTTCAGAACAGCGTTTGCATGGCGTGGGCGTTGGTATACCTACACCATTTCGTATCGGGTGAACACCCCCTTTCGAGCAGAGCAGAGCCAGAGCAGAGCAGAGGTAGGCCATAATAGGTACGATCCCATAGCGGCAGCCCTTTTCTCCGCTCTTTAGATATCCATGTCGATATCATTTCCACCACCATTGGTCGCTGCGGTGGTACCATTGCCTTCTGTGGCGGCAGCAGCAGCATCATCCTTATTGCCCCAGTAATCATTCATCTCTGCATCCAGCTCTTCTGCCGTCTTTCGTGGTCTGCCGCCGACCAGAGGCCGACCCTCCTCGTCTGTACGCTTGCGTGCTTCGCGTGGCTCACGCGCCGCTCTGCCACCTCTCTCTTCCCTTCTCTCGCCCGGGCGTCTGCCTTCTCCTCGACCACCGCGTGGCGTGCCTCTGCGTCTCACGGGCGACCTCGAGCGCGGCATGTAGCTGTCTACCGGATGTCTTCTCGGACTGTCGCTGCGCGCTCGTCTCCGTCGGCCTTCATCTCTACTACCGTCTCTGCCCGCCTCGATTCTATCGAATATACTGCGGGGTGGGCGCTCGACTCGATCTGCCAGTGCTCGTGGTGGTGGCGGTGGTCCTCCTCGATCCGCGGGCCCGCTGGGCATGATCGTCAGGCGGATGGCCTGGCCGTTGGCGGGACAGCCGTCGTATTTGTCAAAGGCGTCACGCGCGTCACGCTCATCTTCGTACACTACAAATGCTGTGCCGGTCGATCGGTCGGAGCGGTCGTAAAGCAGGCGGACGGAAATGGTGGGACCTACGCGTTCGAAAAGTTCCTGCTTTCCTGTTTAGCACGTTCATATTTCTCTCTTCTCCACGCGTGGAGCTGGTGTTTGCTTACGCGCAGATCTTCCTCGGTCAGCTCGTAGTGAACGTTGTCGATTCGGAGCTTCGTGCCGATTCTGTTTGCTCGTTAGTTCTGCGGTAAAGAAATGATGCCACAGTGAGACGTACGGTGGTGCCCCACGAGGGGCATAGCGGTCGTCGTCGACGGGAACGCGTGGACCACGTCGGTCTGCTTGCGATCAGCTGTGTCCTTTTCTTCGCCACTAGGTTCATCACCACGCGCAGCTGCTCTTACCATAGCGGTCCTCCTCGAAACGGTCATGAACCCACTCGCTTTCATGCGTGTCAGCGTATGGCCTTCGCGATCTGTAGTCGGAGTTGTAGTACGAGTCCAAATTTGTAGGCTCGTCGCGCCGGTACTATGAGGCCGAATGCCCTGGTCAGCTCTGTGGATGGGTGGGATAGATAGGTAGTCGATGATCGCGCTCGTGGGTCGCCGAGTCCGAAGAAGGCTCCGTCGATACGATCGTCATGCAAATTAGGGAGGAGGAGGGAGCACCTGGGGAAGGGAATATCAGACCACAAATACGAAAAATCGCAGCTCCGGCCCTGCTCATCGATTGCTTCGTCTGCCACGTACCTTTCGTACACCATCTCGTGGATACTCTTCTCTCCGTGGCGCTCTGGCGGGTGGTGGGCCTGGACGTCGCTCGCTACGGTCGCTGTCGCCGCGTCCTCGTGACCGGCCTCCTCTGCCTCCGCCGCGCTGTGGTGTCTGTTAGCGAGCTGGAGCAATGACCCGGGCGTTGGTAGGCGGAATCTGGCACTCACTCCGCGCGCAGGGCGTTCGCCGATGATCTCGTCCAAGCTGCGATCCATGCTGATGAATCGAAGGAAGCTTGTGGTGATACCGTCGCGTTGTTGGGGTGTGGTGTTGAACGCGACAGGATGGGCGCAAACAACCAACAATAGTGAAGTTCGTCGGAGCTGAGAAAGGTGGCTGGGCACTACTGGTAGGTCGGCACTGGTGGACTGGACTGGCTTCTGGACTGGCTTCTGGACCAACAACCTTAAACGAACACCAATTCACTCATTGATGAACATACTGCCCTGCCCCCGTTCCCGCCACAAGCATACATGTAAGCATAAGCATGGTCATGGTCATGAACACGGTCTCGGCGCCTACAGGTATTCCTAGCACTTTCTCAAGCCGCACACCAGGCCAGCTCAAGGCGAAGCCATATCTCTGGCCTCATGACGCCTCACTCCATCCGCAGACCACAGCGCTGCTGGTGGTAGACATGCAACGCGACTGTACGGCTACAGAAGCACACATATACGTGAAACGTCACATTCTGACAAGATTGGAAAAAAAGTCTGTGAAGAAGGCGGCTATCTCTCCCATCAAGGCTACGATATCAGTCTGACGCGAGCCATTATACCGGCTATCACAACACTCTTGCACACCTGTCGTCACCTCGAATATCCCATATACCACACGCGAGAAGGCCACAGACCGGACTTATCCGATTTGTCCGCTCGCGAACTCTTCCGCTCCAGGAACAACGCGCTCGGACTGGGCATTGGTGATGCTGGACCTCTCGGACGTCTGTTAGTTCGCGGCGAAGCTGGGCACGACACGCTTCCAGAACTGTATCCTCACGTAGGGGAACCTGTGATTGAGAAACCTGGCAAAGGCGCTTTCACAAACACAGACTTGGAGTTACTACTCCGAGTCAAAGGCATTAAGAATTTGATCATTTGCGGTGTGACTACAGATGTATGCGTTCACACTACGATGAGAGAAGCTAACGATCGCGGATATGATTGTGTCTTGGTGGAAGACGCCTGTGCCGCTAGCACGGAAGAATTGCATACTCTGACAGTGTTGTCGACGAAAGCCGAGGGCGGCGTATTTGGTGCTGTAGCGTCTGTCAAGGATATTATTGCTGGCCTGCAGGCACCTCGTACTGTTCGACATGGTTGCAGCACATCGCTGTAGAGAGCGTTGTAAGTTGCGCAGAGGCACAATGAGTGATGGTTTAAAAAAAATTAAAATTAAAAATTATACATTAAAAGCTTTTATCTAAACCACGACCAAGTACAGCTCAACACTCATTGCAACAGGATCAAAGACACGAACGATCAAACACTCCTCTTCCACACGACGCCTCAAGGTCTCTCATGCCTTGAGCAGTACGTTTCTTCTTCCAGCCCATAACTCCATAACTCCAGAACAACCAAATACCAAAGCTGGGACCATTTCGCGCTGGGGGGCGCAGACAGCTTTGTTCCCCACCGCATCTCACTGCTAAATCTTGTGTAATCCGAATGATGCACTTTCCCGCAGGTAGTGCCACTGCACGTCTGTCGTGCGTTCTAGTCTTCAAGTCCTGGGGGGCGCGGACCTCTACGCAGCCCTCGAATGTGTCCCCCATAGGATCTCACTGGTCAATCCCATGTCTTCCACAGGATGTATTTCCCCACAGATAGTGCCACTGCACTTCTTGTCATGCGTTGTAGTCTTCAACGTCCTCTAGTGGGGGGTAGACGTCTACGCGACCTTGGAAAGGCCACGACTGGCTTGCTCGACCACAGCACCTTGAGCGTCGGCAGTTTCCTGCTCGCGGATTCGTTCCAAATTCGAGGCATACTTGGACCTAGCACGGAGTTTGGCGCCAAACATAAAGACGAGGTAGAAGCACACGACGAGCACGGCGCCAATGGCAGCCAGCATGAACGTGGGCCAGACCGTCTGCCAATCACTTCCCGGGGCGATATTCTCGTACATGGGGACGGTGTACAGAGCTGCAAGTCCAGCGAGGAAGTCACGGCAAAATCCGTTGCCGCCAGTGGCAGATGCAGCAAAGGGTCCATAGGCGGCAACGAGATAGTCGATCGTGTGGAGGTAGATGGCATAGTTGGCAACACCGATCAGGGTGACGGAGAGCAAAGCCGCGATCCAGGGAATGTGGTATGCGGGTCCGAGGGAGCAGAAAGCCCAGCCGAGAAGACCGATGGGCAGTCCGAGGACGGTGACGAGCAGCAGCCACATGCGTTGCTCGGGCACGCTGTTGTTCTTCTCCTTCCTTCCTGGGTTGAGACGGAAGTGGCCTGCTCCAATGGCGTATGAGATCAAATATCCGATCAACAATCCAATGAAAGCGTAGCCGACCTGGGGAGCAGTGAAGTTCCACTTCTGGAGAATGATTCCGAAGGCATCGAGACCGGAGAAGATGAGCGAGTCACTAAATCCGGAGAGCAACGACAGGGCCAGGACGATGGGTTCCGTCAGGAGAAGCCAGTATGGACGCCACATGAGTTTCGCAATGTGTACGTAGTCGAGGCGTTGCCAGAATGTGCCTCTGGCTTCCTGTGGGCCTTGAACCTTGTTCTCTGGGTCTTGGCTGCGAAGCTTTTTCGCTCCAGCATCAAGCCTAAGGTGACAGACAGGTCAGCAAGTATCCTTCCAAGATTGGAACACGTTCTGATGGGGAGTTCAATCTCGGAGCTTGTCGCCGTGATGGGCTCAAGCTCCTCGAGACATGGACACTGTTCCGGCAGGTACTTACAGAAGTTCAAGACGGGTCTCCGGCAGAAAGAGATGGACGGTCTGAGTGAAGAAGCCGATGGCGACAGCAATCCAGATGCAAGTGAGGCCACTATACTTTTCGACCACAGTACCGCCCACAATCGGTGGAATGACAGAACCGACAACCGAACCGAAGCAAGTGAAAGCCACGGCCTGGAACTGGTCTGCTGGGAAGTACATGTCCGCCACCATGCCAAGCGTGACGGAGCCTCCAGCGGAAGAAAGACCACCGAGTGCGCGAGCCACAAAGACAGCAGGCCAACTCGGAGCCAACGCCACAATAATCATGAAGCCATTGACCAAAAGCATAGACGTCTGAATCACCCATTTCCTCCCAAATTCCTCGGAGAATGGCGCCCAGAGCTCACAGCCAAAAGCATACATGACCAAGAAAATCATCTGAGCCAATCGAGCCGTGGCAGCAGTAATGTTGAATTTTTCCGTCAGCTGCGGAGCCGCGCTCATGAAGACAGACGCGTTGTAATTCTGGGAAATTTGCACAAGCAACATTCCTGTGAGCACTGTCCATTTTTTCCATGAGGGCCAGGCTCGTGCTGTAAATTTGTAGCCGCTGAACTCGTTCAGGATGATGGGTGCTTCGTTGTTGTTGGTGTCGTCACCTGGAGAGTCGGGGTCTACGAGCGCGGAGACATCAGTCTTGATCTTGTCGTCGCCATCGGTGGTGTTGGTGGCGGTGACGGCGGGGGTGGTGTTGGGAGCAAAGTCTCTCGCGACGAGAGACTCGATCGCAGGATGCGCAGAGCTGTGAAAGAAAGTGTTAGTCGAGTGCTGTCGATCAGGTCAGGTGAGAGGTGGTGATTGTTCAACGGTGATCGAGTTACTACTGTAAGTGGCAACCACTCCAGTCCCCACTGACCACCAGTGTCGAGCAGCACCGAAAGTCATATTATCAACCACCGGAGATTACATGTAGTGCGGCAGTCGATGTCCTGGAAGGAGCAATGCGAATATAAGGTAGCAACGAAATGTAGAACTCACTCATCGGCTCCCGGTCCTACGACCTTCTCACTAGAGATAGTGCTCATCTCGAAGAAGAATCTCTCTGAATGTTGTTCTTCTTTGTTGTTGAGGTATGTCGACTGATCCTGTGCTATCGCGGATGGCCGGTACCAGTGGGTCGTTGAATATTGGGGGCTACAGTAATTCGAGCGCAAAGCCTTGTTGAGAGAAATGATTCTTCCTTATCAAAACTGGAGCAAGTACTGACTTTGTGTGTAGCCAGATGGCACATATACATATATATTCAGGAATCGGACGGGTGGTCACACGGACAGACGAGACTTGGGGAAAAGTGTAACTTTCAGGTCCACCAGGTGCGAGAGGATGTGACTACTCGACCAAACTTGAGCTGCTGAGAATCGATAGAAGTGGCTATGGGACGGCATTTCCTGTGGTTATGGAAGTGATACATTTTATTGAAAGCTTGTGGTATTGGTCGTATGCGCTTGTGCCGGAAAGCTTATAGGAAAGGTACCTGTCCCGAATGTGACTTGGCGCCATGATCATATGCATTTCGTGGTTCGTGCGTGCACAGTCCGATATCTTTTTCATGGAGGAGGCCGCCTGCACAAGCATTGCTTGCGGCGCATATCTGGTGCATATCTGGCGCACAAAGAATTATGTAGCCGTGCATTGGCTCTGCTGCTGGTTACACCGTTGCATAGCACATATCAGGTTGCACGGATGTGAGGTCCCTGAGTTATAACTTCTGGCCTGTGGAAGTTGGAGCGGAAGTCGTCGGCACGGACAGCTCTCATAAGCAGAAGCTGGCACCTTCTGGTACAACTGTGACTCTACCTCCTACGAAGAGTCGATTATTCATATTGTGGAGTGCATACTTTCAAGCGAAGATTTGCATCATCTTTGAGTTGATCCGTGACCACGTATTCTTACGCGGAGCATCGTGAAGCCGAGACACCGTCTATAGAGACGGACTGGAGAGGCCGTCCGCGTTCAAGATGGCTGTGGTTTGTACGCTGCGGAAACGTCGATAAATCGGGGTGGCCCTTGCCTGGCGCTTGGCTGGCGTAGAAAATATGTCGTCCGACTGAGGAACATCATCTGTCGGCCGCTTAGCTAAGTGCGGGTGGGCACTCAGAGCAGGTACTGGGGTTGCAATAGCTCTCTTCCGCGATGGCGAAGCGGGCGTTGCTGCTGGTGGCATGCTCATGGCCCGTAAAGAGCGCAGTTGCCTCGCTACAGTGGTCGACAGGGTCGTCGGAACGTTGGCGTAGAAGCTGTTGATGTGCCTGAGAGGGTCGAACAGCTCTTGCTGCAGTTTGTCGTACGTTGGACCTTCTTGCACGGGCACAAAGTACGGCTTGTTCGGCACCGGGAAGCTATTCCTATGCGTGCCGCTCGGGGTCGTCACAAAGCCTTCGGCTACGAAATAATTGAGGATAGTCTTGGCCGTGCTGATGGAAATGTCTGCACTCCAGTCAGTGTCCAAGTTCTATGCGGATATGATGCTGCTACTAACCCATGGATTTGGCAAGCTCTTCATTGGTCAATCTGAGGACATGTTGAAGCGCGAAACTCATCGCTCGGCGCTTCTGGGCCAGATCCTTCATTTTAGATTGGAGCTGCTCTTCGTGGCCACTTAGAAGGCATTGGTAGCAGGCGTGATCTTCTGGCATTCGAGGATCTGCAGAACCCGTGAAGCCGTAGCAGTGGAGATGTTGCCAAGTTCCACAAAAGGAGCAATTGATCTTGAGCGATATATTAGCGGTATTTTCAGAAATGGCCGACAGACATGTATGTTGCGCAACTCACCATATCACCTTCTTCCTCTCGGTCACCGCATTGACATAGTAAAATATCACTATCTTTCGAATTTCTTCGCGTGACACCTGCCAAATTCAGAGCTGTTCTTTCGAGCTTCACCTTGTTCAGTCGAAGCTGCCGGGCTATGTCGGGCAAAAGTGTCAGCTGTGCAGACGCGGAGGGCTCCACCACAGGAGCAGGTTGCATCGCTTGGGTCTGAGTGTCTCCTTGGCTTAAGTACTCGGGCCTCATCATGCCCTGCAACGCCTTCTTCATGTTGGGAACGTCACTGGACTGAGTATCGATGTTTGCTGTCAATGTTGGGCCCGCTGGAAAATTTGCTTGCACAGGAGTAGGATCACCTGCTGGCGGTGTCTCATGCTCAACCTGCTGGATAGCCAGTGCTGATGTGGGCGCAGGCGTTGTCGGGTCCACCTCGGTGTCGCCCACTGGGAAGACGGTGGAAATATCATCAGGGAGCACATCTCGCATGTCTGGGATCTCAGCCTCCCTAGTACCGTTCGAGCTGTACTCCAGGATCGAGGGAATGCGAGAAGGCTCTGCAACAGATGAGATTGCACGAAGTGCTGGCTGATTCAAGTGCGAGACTTTGAGTGATGTGCTGCGAGGAGATCAGCAACCAATACAGTCCTCAGGTCCATCTTGATATGTACCTATGGAAGGCAGATTCAAGGTCGTCCAGAAAGCGAGTTTGCTTTTCCCACCCTTCCGTTCGAGCGAAGAGAAGATTCCTTGCGGTGCTGGGCTCGAAGCCTGGTGCCTTGAAATCCTTGATGTTCTCAAGATGAAAAAGCGCCATCGAGACAAAGCGTTTCTCTGCAAGAATCATCAGAGAAGTCGATGAGAACGTGCCTTGTACTTACCAGGCAGTTCCGGAAGTTCATTACAGATTTCAATGATCTGGCGCAACAGGACCTGCAAAGAGCGATTGGTGGCTTCTACAGTGGCACTGGCTTTCCCTGGGCTGTCAATTTCGATGCCTGCATACAAACGACCTCCCCGCCCGTCCGGGTGGTATTTAATGGTGAATGTATAGGTCTCCACGACCTTTTCTCTATCATCAGGATCCGTGTGGACGTAGACCTGGAGAGCCTTCAGTGTGCCCTCCTTCAAGGCGACGAAGACACCCTTTTCTAGCCAGTCGAGGAACACATCGACCCGCTTGCTTCGCTTCCGACAGAGCACTTTCATGATTGTATGCATTACATCTTCGCGACCCGAGATCTTGGGCAGGTTGCCGCTGACATAGGCTTGGTAGGATGGAATGCGGTCACCACCGGACCCGGCCGAGTAGATCTGTTGCTTGAACGCCTTTTCGGCGAACCAGCTCCGCAGATAGGCCAGACTGCTCAGCTATTGCGGTGAATGTCAGCACTCTGAGGACTGGAGGAAACAAGCCGTCTGCATCGGGCCAGCGCAACTCACGCCACCGTGGAGTAAGGTCTGAACGACTTCGAGGCTCTGCTTCTGTGTCATGGCGGTTTTGGTCTTCGTCTGCGCCATGCGGGTTTTCTGTAGCTGCATCGTCGCCATCTTGCGTGTGTGCCTCGGTGGTGATGTTGTCGGCTGAGTGGAGGTACTAGTAGGCAGTCGAAAATTGGAGGCAGAATTCAGTGGGATGAGAATGTCAGTGAGAATGTCAGTGAGAATGGAAGATGATGCGGAGGAGGGAGGCGCGTATGGGGTGCGACTTCCCCAGCAGCAAGGCCGTCGTGTTTCCAAGAATCGAATTCTAGGAAAGCACGGCCGGAAGATAGCATGAGAAGCACTCGAGGCAGGTGCAGAAGACGAGAGTCCCGGGTGAAGTTCCCATAGGTAGCATTAAGGACAGGCAATGTACCTAAGGTAAGGTAAGGTAAGGTAGGTAGGGTGCCTGCATTCTGCACAAACCAATGTGATACTCAGGTACCTGACCTTACAGTACCTTACCTGGTATCTTACCTGGTATCCTAGGTCAGGTACCTAGTATAGCATTCTCAACCCAGAGACACGACCGTTCTTTAGGAGGCACCCTCTCCTGGACCACGTCTCACTCTGGGCCATCATCCTCTGTTCTCACTCTTGAAGCACATGGAGTGCCAGCCGCTTGTGTGTGTCTGCGTTCCATGCTCTTTCGTCTTCTTCATCTCATTCCATCCGTATACCTCGTGTCAAGGCACTGCTCACATCTCCTCCCATCCCCTTCAGCATGCATGATGCCACCGCATTCTCTTGCGACCATGGTCCGTCCGACAGCTGCGTTCCAGTATACGGCCAGTCGCGAAGCCAAAGACTGTCAGGCAGATGGAACATTCCCTATCGACAACAGCCTGGACTCTCACTTCAGCAGTACCCATGGTAATGGAGATAGGAGGGTCTGAAGTAATGGCAGTAATGCCATTGCATGGACGACGACCACAAGAGACGTGCCGACGTCTGCAAGCCTCCTAGGAGGTAGGAGGACCGAGGTAGCGCCTAGCCTGGCCTGGGCGATCAGGGGACCGGATGGCCTGTGCCTTTTTCACCTGACAAGGCTGACGTTGCGACAATCGGCTGCTTCCGCTCGACGACATCCTTCATAGGTATTACCTTATGGATCTCTCGCTCCATCTCTCGCTCTCTCTTAGAAACCGATTGTATCGATCTTCAAGGAGAGCACTGCACGGAGTTTTTGCCATCCGTCTCCACAGAAGGCGAGCCACGTTTCTGTCGGCGACGCGGCCGCTGCCTCGAACGTGCAGGCTCTTCAAAAGTCAAAGATCATTTGAAGGACGTCGTGAAAGAGCAGAGACTGTTACCCAGAGTGTCTGAAAACGACAGAGGGACGCCTCTGACACATGATGGGAGCATTTGGGACCGCTAGAGCCAGAGAAACAAACTAGCTGTGAGGCACTTGTGGAGTAAGCCAGATGGCTAGGCGCTGTCACGCCTGGGTGTATCAGATCAAACACGAGTGTACATACGGGACATATCATACCGCTCAGGCCTGTCTTCCAAAACCGAAGTGTCTGCAGACGTCCCTATAAATTCGAGTTACAGTCGGCACCAGGAATCTTCCAGCGCAATGTCCGTCGAGGAGAGCCCAGGTATAACGCACGCTAGGACTGGTACGCCGCGCAGAGTCTCTGGGACGTAGCCTTGCACCTGAAGGACATGTCCGTCAGAGTGTTCGTTTGAACACCCCAAGGCTGTGTAGGTATTACGCTGTGCGGTGCCCCGCGTGCTTATCTTGGGGAGCTACCATGCGTGGCGCCCGAGCCTCAAGCAGAAAAGACGTTCTCAGCATGTCTCATCGTACGGCTTATCGTAGCTGCGGATTCGGTGTTGGGCGCGCGACGAGCTTTCAACTCAGACCTGATCGACTGTGGCGACGTGACGCGAGAGATGGCGACTGCATTGATTGCTATTGGCAATTCCATGGCGTCGTCGGATTTCCAGCCCTACGACGATACCACTGTTGAGAAGATTCGCGCGGCATCTCAAGCGACGTGGAAACTTCAAGGGTCAACGCGCTGCTTCCATGTCTGTCAGTGATTGTTGAGAGGGCGCATGAAGACTGGTTTTACTTTACTTGTCGCAAGGACGGACAAGTGAAGCTGAAGCAGAACGCGTGGATTGAGCTTGGGCCTCAAACTTTTAACGCCTGCTTTCGTCACCATCGCAACAAGTACTGGCTGTATGACTGTTTCGCACTTTAGAGAAAATTCGGATTTTGAGATCTCGATTTCTTGTTCTGATCAGCCACTGCACAAAATCGCGTCCCCTCGCACAGCACAGCACTCGTCTTCAGACACTTACAGGGCAACATACTGAACTCATCGACAGCGCAGAATTCACCATGGCGAGCGGCGCCAACTCGTCGCCGCCGTCTCTCGACGCAGAGAGCAGCGGTGTCACGACCACCCACCGCCGCGAGAACAGCAAGACAGCGGCTGGCTCGATGAGTAGCGGCGCACAGCGCAAGCCGATACTCAAACTCCACGCGAAGATGAGCGATGACACAGCACTGCGTACTGCGCAACCTCTTTTCCCTCCCACCATCTGGTCTCCAAGCACGGCCTGGGATAGCAAAAGCGCCGGACTGCCGCCAAAGCCCACTTGGGCGAGTCTAGCTTCTCCGGTCGGCGCTGGCAGCACGCCCTTCTCCGGGACTCACAACAACTTGCGTCCATTTCCGGGACTGGGAGTGACGGCTGAAGACGGAGCTGTCTTCGAAGGCAACACCAAGCATCGTCTTGACTTCAAAGCGCCCACTTCGAATATCCGCTTCACGCAGACCAAAGAGTACCACAACCCATCCAATCTAGACGGTGCCGCGCACAATCTAGGGAACCACAACTCGGGCAACTCACGGGCTTTGGTGGTCAAGACAGATCCGCTACCGCAGCACCAGTTCGCCGATGCCCAGCATCCAATTGACGGGGCATATTATGTTCACCCAAGCGGTTTCGCCGACAGTCCACCATTGACTGGCTCGTCGGCACCAACTCCTGCCATTTGCATATCGCCTGCGGTCGACATCCCTGTTTGTCACGCAGGTCAGCTCTCGTCTTCGAGCGCCACACCGACGTCGTTCTTTCTTGAGCATGGTGACAGAGATGCGGTATCGAAGACATCAACGCACGATGTGTGGATGGAGCACCATCATGACCATTCGTTGCGTCGCGCACTGAAAGATCCCAGCGCGCAGTGGGAGCAGGCTTTTGACGGTGCTTTGAACTTACTGGCTGGGCTTAATCCACAACACTACAAGATGGTCACTGGCGTAAATATTCCCCACGCATCTTCACTTTTACAATTTACTGATCAAGTGCAGAGCGTTGTTATCAACATCAAGACCGAATTCTTCGAAAATCTGATCGCCTCGGTTAAAGCGTCCAGATACTCTTGCATGGACAAAGTCAGTGAGCGCATCCAGGAGGTTTACAATAGCCGCAGTCCAACTCAAAAGGTGCTCTTCATGTTCTCTGTTATCGGCGGTAAGAAGTTTTCTGGCCTGGCTGAAATGTCTGGGCCTTGGGACCCGAGTCATTTCCTCAGTGACTGGCACTTGAATCCCGCATGCCCGCCCTGTACAGGGTAAGTGACATTACTTCACCCCTATTGCGTCTTCATGGTGGCTGACATGATACAGTTCCTTTCCAGTGACCTGGATCTACGTCAAGGACGTGTGGTACAATTCCTTCGATCGCATTCGCCAGCCGTCAAATGATCATCCTGTGAGCAACATGTGGAATGGCATGATGTTCACTGAGGAAACTGGACGTGATGTGGTCAGGGGGTTTGTGCAGACCCCAGCGACTGCTAGCATTCTTGGCTATCCCAGAAACTACCTGGAAAACTTTCAGCGTCGCGATGGCAGTGAGTATGGCCAGCCTCGAGGCGCTTCCAGCGCTCGTGGACCACGAGGTGGCTGGCGCGGCGGCTCCAGAGGCGGTAAGAACAATAACGCATGGCGTGGACAAAACGAACAGCTGAACCGAACCGAAGCAGTCCCAGAGCCCCAGGACAACGACGCTACACCCGCTGTGGCCAACCCAGGACGCCTCAAATTCCCTGTCACTGGTGCAGCCCAGCCTGGAGATTTCGACATGGCCTCTCTGAATGAGAATAGCGACATCATCTCGACCAATACGACTAATATGGCCAGAGCACATGCTTCCCTCTCGTCGGCGGGACGTGGTGCTCATAACAACGCCATGGTCCGCAGCTCCCAGCCCGTTGTGCAGCCACCTCCCGATAATTGTGCCAGACACGAAAGTGTGCACCTTGCTCAGCATAGCGATGCTGCTGGCATCCGCAGCGGTGTTACCACTTTCTTGCCGTCTCCTGCTTTCGGTAGTCCGCATGAATTCACCCAATCGCACAGTCGTCCACCTGCTGCACTTCAGCACTCTGTATCGATGAGTGCGCTCAGCACGCAGCCCACCGTTCAGTCCAAAGATGCTCGGGTACTGTTGGCATCTGGTTCGATGAACAGCCTGCCGATCACGCTGAGCGATGCGCCGGAGCACCGTCAGCACTCAGCTCACGGAACTGGCGGCGGCACACACCGGCAGCTACAGCAAAACCTCAATGGTTCATTCCCATTCCGCGAGTTTGGGTACCTCCAGGAACAAGATACGTCTACTCATCACCCCAACGCGCCCACTGCACGAAACACCGCGATGCACTTCGCCATGGGTGCCAATGCAAAGCCGCATCAGCTCATGGCACGCTACCACTCTTTGCAGGCAGCCGGGTACAATCTACAGTATGAGTTGCGACACCCAAATGCACACAGTTTGGATCGCCGTCTCATGGAGGCTCGTTTGGCTCAGAACACAGCTGAAATTCGCGTGGTTGAAATGGAATTGGGTGTCAGCTCGAGCCCGTCTGAGTCTCTGTCGCCAGAGCGATACGATAGCTTCAAGTATGAAGACGGCAGCTCGAACTCGTCCGAGAGTGCTCCAAACCTGTCGTCATTGCCAGCCGACGACGCACGAACGCCCGGATTTTTGTCAACTGTTGGCACTCCCAACCACATCGCTGGTTCTGATCTTGAACCCGGTTTGCACGGAGACTCAGGACCCAGTGGGGATCAGTACGATCGTGACGCACAGTCACACTGGGGTTCGCGACTCAAGAACGTCGATGATTTTCTCTCTTCCCTCCATAATTTCGGCAAGGGCTCAGCTGTCCAGACCCCAAATCAAACCTCCTCCTATATGGTTAACAACAGTGCGGACGGAGGTCAACTCCCGAGGAGCACAAGCAACTATAGCTTTACCGGACCAGCCAAGGTGAACCGCCAAGAGGAGGAGGAGCAGCAAGGTGGAGTCCGCCTTGACACTTGAAAAAGAAAAAACACGTTGTCAGCATCACAAGTTGACGAACCACCACACGCAATGAAGCCTTTTCATTGCTTTGTCCAGACATACATACAAACTCCACTCCAATTTGTGAGAAAAGACGACGACGATAAAGAAGAAGAAACTGCTCAGGTAGAAAGAAAAAGAAAATCCGGACTTTGAGGCATTTGACAACCGAGCTAGCTCTTTTGCAGCTGCTGATTGACTATGCTTGAGGGGAGTAGAATGAACTGGGAACTGGGAACTGGGAACCGGGAACTGGGAAATGGGAACTGGGAAATGGAAAATGGGAAATGGGAACTGGGAACTGTGTACCTTGCGTAAGGTACGCATGATACGCAAACGGGGAGAATGAAGTTCGTGGCAATAGAAAAAACGCGATGGATGTTCTGTTTTAATTGTAATAATAGCAGCAGCCCTGCAGCAGTAACAGCCATGCGAAAGGCCACCTGATAATCAATGCGAGTTTTTCATATAGCAGATTGCTTTGTACTTTGCTCGTATCAGACTCACTGACTAACCAACTGACTAACTAACTAACTACATGTAGGTAGGTAGGTAGGTAGGTAGGTAGGAGTTCACATACCGTGCACTGAAAGAAGGCTCTGTCCGAAGCAACATTACCTCTCTCCTTCGTCTATGTATAAGGTATGTTGAACTACCTGGTAGGTACAAATGGACTACTGAAACTCTCCCAAATGACAAAGTAAAACTCACATATCAGAGCACAACATAACCCAACCTGCCTGTATGTACACTTTCACTATTGTACGTCTCAAAAACAAAAGGTGTGTGTGCCAGTCTGTAAGTAGCGAAGCGCCGCCATTGGATAACGAATGTGATGAGTTTAGGTAAGGTATGGTAGGTAGGTAGGTAGGTAGGTAGGTAGGTAGGTAGGTAGGTAGGTAGGTAATATATTACAAGCTGGTTACCAAATACATATATCTCTTCTAATTCGGGAGGTCCACTATTCATTGCTTTTTTTGAGATGATCGTAAAAGTGCCGGAGAAAAAAGGTCCAGATCCGTATAATGCAAAAAAATAAAATTATATATTAGCGATTGACATGGTATACATGGGTCTTCATCATCACCGCGTTGGCATAAGGGATGGCAAGAAGCAGCCACTGTTAGGCAGCTTGTTGGGCCCGCTGTTGCGTACTGAGCGGACTGCCCATTGAGAGTCCAGCTGGCAAGCCATGTCCGCTTGGTGGGCTACCGAGGCTCGTGGCGGGTGTGGTGCCGTTCATGAGAGATGTTCCTCCGTGGGAAGACGCTAGACTGTTCAGACGATTGTGAGCGAGACTGCCGGATCTGGTACCAGGACCACGGCCGAGAGGCGAATTGAGCTGGCGAGTTTTGCGAATCTCGGTTTCGAGGCGTCGACGTTCTTCCTGTTCCGCCTGTGATGGATGTTAGCATGGCATATCAGACACGATGAGCTTCATCGCCACTCACCCGCAGCAGCCTCAACCCTTCTGCCCTTGACTCGCGCATCATCTTCTTGAACTCCTGTCTCAGCACCATCACGCTCGTGCTCTCTTTGACCACGCCATTCGGACCACCTGGAGACTTGACGCCCATCCATTGCATCTGTGTATCGCTCAGCTGGGCTTCAAGCTGTTCTGCGCGCTCGCGAAGAGAATCAATCAAGTTCTCCAGCTGACCACGTTCCTTCTCTAGTTCGAGTGACTCGCGCGTCATCTCCTGGAATTCGCTCATCATATCCTGCAATTCTTGTTCTAGCAATTTGGTCTTTTCGCCATGTTCGCGTCTCATTTGCGCCATCTCTTGGTCCTTTAGTGCTGCAAGTGCGTCGAGCTCGGCTTCGCTGGCTCCAGCTTCCTTCTGCCGCTCCTTACGCGTCCCATAGGCGCCTTCAAGCTCGGCTTTGGACATTGTGAGCTCAGTCGTGAGTCTAACAAGCTCAGATTCCATGTCTTGCATCTCATTTTGAACATCTTCCAATCGTTGTTTGTGCTCGTCCCTTTCAGCGCCAAGAGAATCTCGCTCTGATAGAATCAAAGCGTGTCGCTCATCGACGGCCCTGCTTCGAGCTTCGGCAGCGTTCACAGCACTGTGCAATTGTTCGAGTTCAGACATGACTACCTGCAGCTCCTGGCGAGCTTGCTGTGCTTGCTGATCTGCAAAGATATGATTCTCGACGGCCTTGGCAAGATCTTGCTGCGTGGCGTCGTATGAGCTGTTGAGAGCCTCATATCGAGTCTGCAACTCCTGAATCTCACGATCCTTTGCCATGTCAGATTTCCCGTTGAGGTCGCGTTGCTGCTGAATTTGACGGCGAAGGATGTCCTGCTGTTCTTTGGAACCGCTCGCGACGTCAAAAAGATGTTGGACGCGAGCACTGAATGCTTGCAGGGAAAAGTCTTCTCTAATGGGCGAGCTTCCACCGCTGACTGCGCTGTTGCGGGTTGCATCTGTGCTGAGACCTGATGTAAGACCAGCCGGCTTTTGCTCAGCGCACACGATATCCCACAAGTCGGCCATGACCGTTTCGTACTCTGCAACCCTTTGAGCGTGCGTGGCAGCAGTGGACTCTGCTTCCCTGGTACCAGATGACGCATGTTTCGCGATCTCCAGCTGCTCGTTATGCTCTTGTAGAAGCTTCTCCAAGGTATACAGGCTATCCTCAAGATACTGCAGCTGGAAATTGTAGCCGTGTCCGGTTACTTCAGGTGGGTCCTCGAGACTCTGAAGCGCCTCCATAACTGAAGATGTCTGAAGAGTGCGGTGCAGCTGGCTGTTGAGGCTCTCCAGCTGCTGCTCTACAGCATTCCGCGTTTCCGAGGCACTGTCTTGCACGCGGGCATAGTGTGTCCTGTTCTTGTCCCGCTCTTGCTGCATGGCTCGCATGTTGTCCTCCAGGAGTGCCAAAGTGTGATCGAGTGCGCCCTCCGCCGTCTCCGATGGCGTCTCATCTAGCTCTGCATCCGGTTCCTGTCCGCGTACTTGGCTTGTTTCAGTGATCACACCACGCAGCTGTGTATTGAGACGTCCCAGCCGAGAGTGCATGTCCGCCATCTCACGTTCATGCTCGCGCCGCTGTTGCTCCGCCTTCTCTCGTAAGCTGTTCAAGGTCTGCTCGTGCTGCATTTGCATTTGCTCTCGCACGCTCGCAAGTTGCCTTTCATGCTCGTCTTGCATTTGCTGGACTGCCGCCTTACCAGTCGAGACGGCGGGTGCCCCTTTCAGAATATCCCTTATGCCGTCAAACTCATCGATACCATCAGGCGCGTGTCCGAGCACTTCGTCATCGTCGTCAAGGTTTCGGTGTCCATTCGCAAGCCAGGTTTCTGAAGGCTTGTTCGCCTGTTCAGCCAGTACCGCCGCAGTGTGTCTGAGAAGTGATCTCTCCACTACGAGTCGCCTGTCCATTAAAGTCCTGATCTGCTCGTTGAGCTCATCCACTTTCTTCAAGCTCTGCGTGAGCTCATCTTCGGCCTGTGACAAGCCTTGTGCGCCCTGACTACCGCTCGTCCTCTTTCGGCTTCCCAGCAAACTATGCCTGTCCTTGTCTGGACTCTGAGGCGTATCAGGCCGCCCGTCTCTCTTTCCTGATGAGTACAGCCTGTTGATGTTTTGCGCCGCATCTCTCATTTTGTTTTCCAGGGCCAGCTTCCTCTCCGCCGCCTCGATACGGGAGTTCAATCGGGCGTGCTCCTTCTTCAACTCATCAATCTGGCCCATTCCCAAAATCTCAAAAGATTGTGTATCCAACAGTGCCGTCTCGTACAGCAAATGGCGACCCACCACATCGTGATCCTCGCCATTCACGTTGGTGTTCAGCTGAATGTGGTGGCCCATGGGTGGATCGTCCAGTCGGAAGCGTATCTCGTCAAAGTGGCTGCCGTTGTGCGTGATACCATTCGTCTTGGCGTGGGTTGCAGCCGACACTGGCAGAGTCGGCGGATCCGGGAAGCTCGCGTCGAAGTCGAAGTCGCCGTAGCCACCGTTGGTACTCTGGCTCAGGTCGTGGACGTGGGTTCCTGCTGGGATAGTAGGCAGCGGCTTGCCGTTCACATATGAGCTCCGTGCTGACGACAGAGGACTGCCATATCCACTGCCGTCGTAGCTCTCGAGCTCCCCCACTGACTGCTGCCCATGCTGATGGCCGCCACCGGTAGTACTCTGCATCGCGTACAATTCACTTCCTGCTACTGCTGCTGCTGCTGCGGCGGCGGCGGCGGCACGCGCTGTCCGTAGACTAGGTTGTTTGCACTGCTAGAGCCGATCTTGAGACTCAGAACGCGTGACCATTGTATTTTGCAGACAGTCCCCGAAAGCCGGTCGGGGTGCTCTAAGTGAGAGTGTGGAATGAGATCAGATGTGGATGTGCGCGTGGAATCACTGAGGTGGTATCCGAGGGGAATGTCAGACGCTCCGGGGGGCCCTGAAGTCTCGGCACCAACTCCTGGCCGCCTATGGGTCCTCGGAGCCTAGGAGGTATGCCACAACTGAGTACGAGTAAGTTAACGTTTATTGCCAATGGAACAAATTCCTCATTCTTCTTCTACCTGACTTCCATATAACTTCCACACAACGATGTTCCACTCTCTGGCACACGTTGTGCAGTCTTCCAACAAGATGTTCGACCACAGGAAGAAAACAGATGGAAATTGACAACGGCATGCCAGTGCCACCAACGGTCCGTATTGTACTGTATGCAGTGTATGTAGTAAGGAGAACTAAAGTTGCCACTACTGGACGGAGGGCCACTTCTCATAGGCCACCCAAGCCTCTGTCGTGCCTAGCTGGTAACGCATCTTCGCCGCTTGTTCATCACACCATATAATTAGTCCAGCTCCGTACTCGCAGGCCCCCCTTTCGCACGTCCAGCTGAGAGGTTACCTGACCCGTCTTTCTTTGGCCAGCGCGCATGTTCAAGTACGCGTGGTACTGCACACTTGAGTACACAACGCAAATTTACCGCCGGCATTGACGACGAGGGAGTGTTGCGAAAAGTCGACGTAAGAAAGAAGAGCGTCTATATCGAATGGGGCGACCCTTGTGTCGATCACATGTCTGAGGTATGTCGGTCATGACTCCAGTCCAGGTTGACTATTACTTTCCAACTGATCGATAGAAGGCAGCAGGCTTGTTATTAGGTACATGAGGGCGTACCTCCGACCTTTTTGAGGAATGGATGATATGGTCATATTCACCAACATTGTACCAAAGTAGCTTATCGCTGCTGAATACCACAAGTTGACCGCTATCCACAGACTCCCCTGGATGCCAGAAAAAGCGGAGCGCCTCTGTACTGCCAAGTCTCCAAAGGTGTTCTGCGTTTTTTCCGAGCCCAGTAGAGAGTACACATGTTGACTTCTCCAGGCGACATAATGGCATGCGTCAGAAACATCACAGTCGTTGATGAGTATCTACCTAGGTATGTCTTGAACTCCGTCAGTATGACTTGCTCCCCCTAGGCTTCAAGATGTAGCAGTCATTCCAATGCGTGCGAGCAGACCGCAAATGTCACAAGGTAGTATTATCTATCCTGAGTGTCACGCCTCATGTGCTCGCAATGCAGGCTGGAGGGTGTTTGATTGAGGCTTCGTGCGACCCCGGCTCTCCCTTAGCTGTCATGATGTACGCAGACCCATGAAGCTGGGGACAATCGGACTTTGATGTCTTGCCAAACCGATATTTGAATATGCTCTAGACTTGACAATCGAGGCTGGGAGATCCGCTGTAGGTCAATCTTGGCATGACACGAACAATCATGACATGTTTGGTTATGGCCACGTTTTTGTCAGAGATGCAAGTTAGTCTCGAAGGCTAGGTGTCAAGGCATGCGTGATTCCACGAGCGCTATGGCATCTAAACATCAGTCTCGCAATCATGTAGCGTAGCTACATCTCCAGCTTCGCTTCGTAAGATATGCTCTGGCGAGAGCAGCGAGTTAACGGCGAAGGCACTAGCAAAGAGAGCACAGTAGCAGTGAGGACCTCGAGTAGCAGTAAGTAGCTCGAGTAGCAGCTGCAGGCAAGTGGAACAAAGAGGAAAGGTAATCAGGTGCGGTTGGGGTACTCGTCTTGCTTGTCGTTGCTGTTCTTTACAACTCCGCTCATGTAGTGCCCGGCTCAAGCTGTCCAATGTTAGTACAGAGCCACCTTGAATACGCAGGATGAGATCAATACGGACCCTCCATGGATTACTCAGTTCAAAGCCCTTCGGAGCTTTCACATTGTCCGTCTGTCCTCGCAGAAACCCAGTGAGCCGCCTGTCTCTGTCCATCACTATAGGCATTCGGTCAGCACGGTGTCCTGTCTTTCACTGTGTTGCCCTTGGGTCTCCAACATACTCTGCGTGTCCCACTGGTCTACCGAGTGCCGTGCTCTCTTTCCGCCGTTCTGCATGTGTCTGATCTTGCTCAATCCCGCGCCTGTCAAGCTGAAGAACTGTCGCCGTTGTCAGTGTCTCGCGCATGGTCTGAGATCGGGTGTGGTTGGTCGCACGCCAATGCAGATTGCGTAGGGCAAAAGAGCCTCGAACGGTACGCCCATGGTGATTGTTGGTGGCCGCGGCGGTCGCTGTTGGTGTCGATAATGGGCAATGGGAGTCGTGCTGTTCCAGGTTGGTGATGCTGAAGTCTGGAAATGGAGAGGCTCGGCTGGCCAGATGTTGTGGCAGCGAAGGCACAATCACCACAAGGCGCCTTTGCTGACGGCGCACACGGTATAGGGTAGATAGTAGCAGTTCCCAGAGCAGGGGCAGTCCACTTCGACCAGCCACGAGTGAATATCAGTGATCAAAGAGGGTGGGAGGCAGTGAGGTCGCGAAGTGAGAAGCAACCCAGTGTCAGTAGTTTCGCGCGCGCGGACAGCTTGACTTCCAAGCCGTAGTAGGGACGGACGGTGGAGACCCCAAAGATCCAAGAACCGCATTTCCACCCACCACCAGCGCCAGATTCCATCGCGACGAAGTCGTCCTTGTCGCATCGAGCTGCAGTGTCCATCGAACCGCAAAACGCCCACTCAAACCACGGCAGTCAGCACTCACGGCGGCTTGTTGTCCGCGGACCCGCATTAGTCAGGTGCACAGCGAAGGGAGTTCCCACGACGACAGTGACAACGCGCTCAGAATACCTCGCCGTCACTGGATCAAGGCTTCAGACCATCTACGAAGCAGAAGACGCGTTATAAAGCTGCGACGACACGTCCCCCGACACGTCCTGGCCTCGGAGACGACCAGGTTACCAGACCGCGGAGCAGCGACCGTCAGAGAAGGACAGCAGCAGGCGTGCTTCATACACAACAACATTACGAGCGGAGACGGCGGAGAGGTCAGTCACATGGGATAGCCCAGGATCCGCCAGACGAGGCAAGGTGGCTACCATCGTTCTGAACCACGCGCACCCCACCCCGAGCAGGGTGCGCGGCCGCGGCGTGAATTACATAGCTCACCTCGCTTCTGAACAGATGGAGCTGGATGAGAATGCCGGTGCGCCGGGAGAAAAGATTGGGGACGAAGAAGAAGAAGAGGACATCGAGATGGATGACGAGGCAGATGCCGAAGGGGAGGTGGAAGAACCAGAACTGGGCTCTGAAGCAGATGCCGATGGCGAGATCGAAGATGAGGATGATGAAGGCGAGTTCGTTGGCGCTGTGAAAACAAGATCAAGTCGAGCAAGATCCAGGCGCACGCCGGAGGACGAAGAGTCAGAAGCCTACGAAGGCAACGCAGACAACGAGTCGGATAGTGCGAGCTCGCCTGCCGAAGGCAGCTGGCAGGCCGTCGAAGATGCCGAAGATGACGACGACGACGACGACAGCAAGCTGCAGAACGTGGATGCCAATCGTTGCGTGTAAGTCTGCTGAAAGCACACCGTGGGATGTGTCGACAAAAGCTAACAGTGATATTAGTTTCTGCAAGCAGACCGAGGAAAATGATCCAAGCGAAGATTTTGAAGAGTATCTGGCTTGTGCTGTGTGCGGTGACAACGGTAAGTGAAGTGATTGTCGAATGAGAAGAATTATTATAAAATTCCGGAGTTCGAGTTGTCGAGGTGGAAGAATCGCGGCAAAGCAACAAATGATATCAATTTGTTCAAGGGTCCGAGCACGCGCTGACTCCCGTTCCTGCAGCCCACCGGCAATGTGCCAGAGATGCAAGCTCACTGGTCGCCGATCAAGGTGTGTATCAATATATGTCTTTGGCTCCACCACCGAGCATATCACCCCCTCAACACATGAGCGATACTGACCATGGATTTTAGAAGCGGCACATTGGCGTTGTCAAGACTGCGTTGCTAATGGCCTCGAAGAAGACTTCAAAGATGTGCCCCAAATGTTGTCCAGCCGTCGACGGTCTTCTGCGCCGAAGATGGCTCGGGACTTATTACCGCAGGCCCGTGGCGGTATTAAGCCTGGATCGCATTCTGTTTTCAATACTCTTATCCTCCCCGATGACGAAATGGATGGCTCACGATCGCTGAGGAAACGCAAAACTCCTTCCGAAGACATCGATGAAACCTCGCGCACTGCCAACCGGAAACGGAGAAAGACGACGCCGCCTGAAGAAGAGCAGCCCGAGTCCGTGCCTGAGATCGTTGTCGAGCCTGCGGAGAGCATCGAAGAAGATGGGAATGAACCACAACAGTCAAGTTCGCCGAAAGCACGTACTAGCCGCCCACAACGACAGAAGAAGGACAGTCTCGGTGCCAGAATCATCCACCGTTCAGACAATCCCAAGAGCGCCATCATTGCCATACCGGTCACTGTTGCGCAATTCGAAACCATTGAAAAGGATGTCATCAAGAAACAGAAACGTCGCGAGCGTGATCGAGCACGCAGAGCCCGCAATAGTCGGCGGACCGTCACCGCTGAACCGGAGGAAGGACCTGGAGCTGCTGCCACTATTCCAGTCGTGCAGACTACCATGTACACGAATCCGTTTTTCCCGTTTCACGACCGGAACACGGACGAGAATCAAGGCAAACCATACGGTGGTATCCTCACCGAGCTCGAAGCGGACACGAAAAGAACATATCCGGAAGAAGCAGACCGATTGGCATTCCAGGCTGCTCGCGAGAAGGCTGATGAGGAGTGGAAACAGAAGATTGCACGGCAGAATGGTGACACGCCTGCACGATCGAAGAAGTCGGCACCCGCTAGCAAAATCAGGTGTATCAATTTCGGGCGGTACGAAATCGACACCTGGCATGCTGCACCGTATCCGGAGGAGTACAGCAGGAACGAGCATCTGTATATCTGCGAATTCTGCCTCAAGTACATGAACTCGGACTACGTCGCCTGGAGGCACAAGCTGAAGTGCTCAGCGCGTCACCCTCCTGGCGACGAGATTTACCGCGACAACATTATCAACCCAGAAACCAAGCAAGAGACCACTCTATCCTTTTTCGAGGTCGATGGCCGACGTAATCCTTTGTACTGCCAGAACCTGTGCTTGCTGGCCAAGCTTTTTCTGGGATCGAAGACCTTGTACTACGACGTCGAACCCTTTCTCTTTTACATCATGACGGAAAACGACGCCCATGGATGCCACTTTGTTGGCTACTTTTCCAAAGAAAAGCGCGGCATGGGCCCTGCTGCTCCCCCAATGGAACCATGGACTTCATTTGATGAGAACGCGCAGACTACGTCTGGAGCCAGTCAGGGACTCGAAGGCACAGCGCAAGATCCCGCATTGCAGAACCCTGGAAACAACGTGTCGTGTATCCTCGTTCTGCCTGTGCACATGCGTCGCGGCTTTGGCAGAGTGCTCATCGAGTTCTCATACTTGCTGACCCAAGTGGAAGGCCGCACGGGATCACCGGAGAAGCCATTGTCAGACATGGGTTTGGTGTCTTACCGATCTTATTGGCGCAACGTCCTCTGCAAACTCCTGCTTCGATACCGCGATCATGAGGACGAGGCTAATGCCAGCAAGCATCTCACCATCGTGCGAATCGCCAAAGAGACTGGCATGACTCCTGACGACATTGTCTCTACACTCGAAGGTCTGCGAGCTCTGGTTCGAGATCCGCTCACTGGCACGTATGCGCTGCGGCTCGATTATGACTACATGAGAGAATACGTCGATAAGCACGAGAAGAAAGCCACGATCAAAATTATTCCGAAGAACCTCTGCTGGACACCATATATCATGGGCCGGCCGACGAATCTCTTTGCTATGGGAGAAGAGACGAATCAGCCAATCCAGACAGTCGCATCTCGGCCAGACGAGACATCCGAGTTGCCCGCGCAGCCTGAAGAAGGCGTTCAACAAACTCTTCAGCTCGACAAGGAAGCCGAAGCCAAGGATGGTGGTACTGCCGATAGGGCCATCGACGTGGCGACGCCCACAACTGAGCTTCCACCCCTTACACTGAACGGCGTTGATGCCTCTCCGAAATCTCGCAAAAAGACACCACCGCCGCTGACGTTGACACCTCAAGCGTCCTTCATTGTGGAGAAATCCAAAGACTCCCCTTCGCGTCGTTCTCCGCGCAAGACGCCTAATGGAAATACGACGACGATGCACATCCGCACGAAATCTCAACAGCTGGGCTCCGGAGAAGCTACACCTAATTCCGAGGACTCGGCCGGCTCAATACCCACTTCCGCAGGATCTATTCCACCTTCCCGATTCGAAGTATTCCCACCGGTTCCCGGCATGCCGCAAACTGCCAAAAGACGTGCCAACCGGCCTTCTGCACGGCGAACCAACTATCGAAATGCTTATGGCACTCCCGCTCGACGGAAGCGACCTGATCACCGGAATGGTGAAAGTCCGTCGCAAGCGAGGAATCGTCGCACCACATCGAGTGGAGGAGGAGGAGGTGGTGGCAAAGCTAGTGCAGCTGGTCCGAGCAGTCTGAGAAGGGGCAGAAGCAAGCTAGGTGACACGGTGACTGTTGCAGAGGCGGATCGCGCGATGGATGAGGGGGAGGAGGAGGAGTGTGATACGGCAGCTAGTAAAGCAGCGGCTGGAGACGACATCGAGGACGACGAAGCTGATGCTCCTGGAGAAGAAATTGACGATGAAGCCGACGCTCCGGGAGAGGAGGAAGAAGAAGAGATTCAGTACGAGTAATGAGCACAACTGCTGCGACTTCTCTTTTTCTTTTTCCCTCCCCTCCTCTCCCTCTCTCTACCTCTTTTTAAGATTCAGCAGCAGGCAGCGCTGCATCATCATTTCTGTTCAGAGCAGAGCAGAACAAAACAGAGTAGTAGCATTAGCAGTAGCATTAGTAGTAGCTCAGTAGCAGTAGTAGAGAGTGTATATATACCCATCCCACAGGGCAGCGCGCTAAGCTTTCTATCACTTTTTCAATGGGAGGTAATAGTGGGTAGTAGTTACGCGCTCGGTACTTCTGCATGTTCGCATTCTTTTCAAACGATAGGCGTATACACATCTACTACCGAGGAGGGTTCGAGAACAACAGATATGTAAGACAAGACGGTTTCGGATTACAAGTCTACAACCCAGCAGCCTGGGCGAAATCACTCCTCCTTTATCATCATCATCTACTGTACCCTTTCTCTACAACCCTAAGTAGTCTACAAGATCGAGGATTGATTATTATTACCTCGGTGGTTGTATTAACTTGTATATTCATCATCACATCCTTGTCCCGCATCTGCATCGGCAGGGACTCCGCCCGCGCGCGCGGGCGGCTCGTATTCGTCGTGAGCCTAATTCACTTGCAGTCTTAAGACTTGGCTTGCACTACTTTCTGCGGCTAACTCTTAGTCTCTTAGTACAGCGGGCGGGAAGGACCTTTTTATCGATTTCTCGCTTCCATCGTCATTTTCTTCTTCTTCTTCTTCTTTACGAAAAGGAGAATGACGAGACAAAGACATGTGATGACGATGATGGATGCGTAAAACACGCTTGATGCGAGGAAAACCATCTCGCCGGTACCTGTTGACGCCTGAGGTTTGAGATGTGCATGTAACATATGCACACACTACACACTACCTTCACATCGTTACACAGAACATACACACCAAACGAACACTGCCTACAACAGTCAAACCGCCTCACTCCAAGTCGATGTATCGGGTAGAGAACATGACATCCCCGCTTCTTTTTTTTCTTCCTTTCTCTCCTCTCCCCCTCTCTCTCCTAGTTATTCAACCTCCTCCAATCCTCATCGATTCAACAACAACACCTCCAATGTAAATACAGTAAGGTACAGGTAGTAATTCAATCCCATCGGCCTTCCCTCCGACAACCAAAACCCTCAGAACTCAGTCTCAGACGACGACAAGATTAAACTTTCCACCACCAAAAAACCCAAAAGCCGCCAAAGAGAATCCCTCTATCATTACACTTTGCCCAAACCCTGCACTATACTAGGAGGTAGTAGACTTGTAGTCTGTGTGTCTGTCTGTGCATATCGGGGACCCCGAGAATCCTACCTGACCTGTACAAGTGTACACTACTATAGTGACCATACTATACCACCACACTTACAGGAGAAGTTTAAATAAGAGAAAAGAGAAACTCTAATATATAGGTTGCTAGCAGCCCAAGCAGCTAGTACAGCATAGCCTAACAAACAGCACAGCCTGTTTGCCTCATATTGGACATTTTTTTAGGATGAATGAATGCTACCTCCTAGTACAAGCGTAAAACTTAATTATAGTAGTGTTTATTTTCTCTTTTTTCTTCCTCTTCTTTGTTCGTACCTCCTAGCTAATTGCATTGCATTGCATTGATGGCGTAAAGTAAAGTAGATAATAAATTAATAATCAGTTTTATTGTTGCTTTTATTGTATATTGTAGTAGAGCAGAGCAGGTCAGGGCAGAGTACCTCCTAGGACAAGGGCGGGTTGTAGTTATGTATAGGTACCTACCTAATATAATATACCTTTTTTCTTTATATGTATACCCTATGTATAGGTAGGTGTGGTTGGTCTTGCTTGGCATTCCAATCCAATCCCAATCCCAATCCAATTCCCCAATCCAGTTATCCAATCCAAGTCTGTTGCGTTTGATCAGATCAGGTTAGGTGCAGGTCAGATGCAGCCTGCAGCCTGCAGTCTCCTCCAGTAATACCTCTTACCTCCTGGGAGAGAGAGAAAGGGAAATAGATATGCGTGCGTGCTACATGTAACCTACCTACCAATCATATCTACCTCCTACCTACCTCTTCTACAGTCAGGCATCTATCATATCATATCATATCATCACCTCTTCAATCCCTGATTAAACAACAATAAAAAAAAACCTCACGCCCGCATCGAAAATCTCAGAGCTACCAAAAAAAAAGAAAGAGAGAAGAAAAACGAAAAAAGCGTAAATCCTCACAGCTCTGTGTTTGGCTTTCAATGTCGCTCCCTCGTATGCACGTCTTGCGCAATTTTTTTTTGGTTTTTTGTGTTTTAGGTGTGGCCATCCATCCGCCCCTCTCTCTCCCCCAACCCCCTCCAAAGAAACTTTAGTTTTTCTGTACTCGCTCTCACTATCTCGTGTCCTCCAAGCGAAAAAGTCTACTTACTGTAGTGTACTTCTACCTCTAAAAGGTAGGGATGTGCGAGTCTGGTGGGTGGTCAACATATCGTCATCACATGACACAATCTTGCTGCCCACTAGTTACCTCCTAGGTAGGTAGACAAGACAATTCTTCTTCAGTGTGGGAGTGGGCACCAAGGCTACATGTACTCTCTCTGTAGTCATCGTCTACCGTCACTATCTAATGTGCGCAAAGTCTTCCCAATATATGCATGCAGAAAGACTGCTCGCCAACCTGTCGTATACAACGTCCTGTGAACCATAATACACGGGACTCGTGCTCTCGTCAATGTCCATGTCAGGTATCCATCCTTCCCAATGTCGCCGTCGCTTTCCCAATGTGCCACTCATAGTAGGATCCATACCTCCAACTCCTCGCTTATATCCACGCAACATGAAAAAATCAAGCCGGTGACCCCGGCAGCACCGTCACCTAGTATGCACTGGGCCGAGCATCTGCATACACATACGGATTTGGCGCGTCAGCTGCCTCAGAACCGTACAGGCTGTTGCTGGGCAAGTATGCCGCGCTGTATGGATTGCCTTGCCCCGAAGAACTGTCGGGAAGCGAACTCCCGGGCATCTGCAGCTGCGGATAGGGGTGCTGGTCCGGACTGGTGTTCCCCGAGTAGGACGCTTGTGCATGCTGTTCATAGGGATATGCACTGGCCGCATACGAGCCGCGAGGGATGGAGCTCGCACTCCCGGGATCACCAAACATCGTCGACGGCTGCTGTGTCGTCGGGACGGTCGAGTACGGATTTTGCTGCTGACCGCCCACGCTGGGTGTCGGTGATGGCAGCGCACTGCTCTGCTGCACTCCCTGCCAGCCCGCAGACTGCATCGACGAGTTGCGACTGGGCATGGCCATGGCGCCCGGGGAGTATTGTGAATAGCTTCCATAGCTTCGCTGGTAATCGTTACCCATCCCATACCGGGTACTGCTGGGGAGTGTGCTGGTGTAATTCGAATTTGGAGTATCCGCTACTGTGGGGTTCTGATACAAAGTGCTGTCGTATGAGCTCGACGATCGTTGTCGCTTTACCGCGGAGTCCTGACTCGATGTACTGTAATGATAATCCTGGACCGGCCCGACTGCGTTCGACGGCACCGTGGGCGACGTGGTATCTGGAGGCGACCCGTTGAACGATCGCTTGACACCCGCGATGCTTCTGTTATCCTTGCGTACCCGCAGCTTCACTCCTTGGTCCGAAAAGGTGCGTGTCAAGTGCGTCGACTCGGACATACTACCGAAGTCTCTTTGAGCAACGACAGGGAAGACTGCGGAGTCAATCACTCCCAGAAACTCCACTTCTTCAGTATCCCTGTGGCTGTCAGCATCAAGTCCGGAGCACCACCACCACTGCCAGTGAGTACTCACTTGTTAGTGTCGAAGAGGCTGAACCTCAGCTTGAACCTGCCCGTCCGCTTCGCAGAAATGTCGCCAAAGACGAAGAAGCCGCCATCCTTGTTGGTCACGTCTTTCAACCGGTGCAGCGACGACACCGTCTGCCCAATAAGCAGCTTGCCAGGAGCTGTTTCCTGCTCTTCTTGGGCAGGGATGAGCGACACCATCATGAATGTGCGGGGGCTGACGAGCCATTGTGCGTTGCTGGGATCGTTGTCATCGTTGTATTTCAACTCGATTATCGGTGGAGGGTCGATAGGTTTGCGATTCTTGGGATTGTTCTCCTGAACGACTTGTGCGCGCTTGGGTTCTTGTCGAATCGACAAGCGTACCTGGTCTCGCGCCATCATGATGTGAAGTTGGCGTGCCGCTACACTGATGAAATGGCGACCAGAAAAAACAAGTCAGAAGTGTCCGTGAAAGTCCGTGGTTCTTGTGAGAAGTTGAACCAAAGGTCCGAAAGTCTTGTAGTTGTCCCAAGGAAGAAGGTTCGTCTTTTTGAAAAGACGGCGGACGTTGCTGCCAGCACTGTGCACAGCTTTCACGCCGGGCAACCCGCTGAACTCTCGACTGGTCAGGTGGGCAATTCGACGACAGCAAGAGACGTGGGTGAGCCCGAAGCTACAGAGCGGTTACACCAGTGACGGTTGTGATAAAGGACGAAAAAATTGGGATAGTCCGGGCTCGCAAAAGTATGCTAGTCCAGAGGTGCGCAGAAGAGATGGCCGTCAGCTGAATGGCAGAGCGCGGGTTCGTGGAGAGGATGAAGGTTTGTGGTTCGAGCCGCTGAACATGCTATTGTACGATTGCGAGATATGGGGCCCTGAGCACTCCGTAGCACTCCGCCAGGCAAGTGGTCTTTGCTTTCTGCCTGCAAAAGGATGGCGCCGTCAGTTGTGCGCAATCACACGCGACACAATAGTCACTTCCCCGTGTCTTGCCGTTGACAGGAGCAGAGCGGGGGAAGGGGGGAGGAGGAGGGAGGAAGCGGTCGCAAGGTCGGCTGGTGGGTTCCTAGATTGTCGTCCGTTGACGCCTTCGACGCCTTGGGAATTGAAATGGCCAGTTGGCTACGGTGCAGTGCTCGCAGTGTAGTGACAGGTGCCCCAGGCTGAGGCGGCGGTTGGCGGGTTGTTGCTGCTGCTGCTCCCGACGCGCGCGCGGAGCAGATGGAACACACCCGTCTCCCCGTAGGTGGGATAGGCGGGCGGGCTTCAAGACGGCTGTGGTGGAAGGCGACTCCGGTCGAAGTGGAATCACGGGTGGGGGAGCGATACTCGATTGGGGGAAGATGCAGATTCAGATTCAGTGCAAGTCTGAGAGGTACCAGACAATGGGATCAGTGGCAGTGCAATGAGACGAGATGCGTCTGGCGGGCGACGATGGATGGAGGGGAGGGGAAGAGACGCCCCACTCTCTCTGCTGCCTTCTGTGAAATTCTGTCGGTATCGCTCGAGTCTTGCGCCAGCCCAGCCCAATGCACTGTACTGTACTAAGGGAGTCTAGCCTGCGGGAGCGAGTGCGTGCGTGTAGGTAGGTAATGTACGGTGATGATGAAGGTGAGGGCAGGGCAGGGCAGGGCAAGGCAGGGAAGGGCAGACGCGATCGATGCGACAACGTCCCTGCACAGCAATAAGGTAACCTGTGTCGAGAGACGAACGCCTGCAGCAACGCCTCTGGTTGGCGGTGCGAGCTGCAGAAGGTTGACAGCTGCCCCGGCTCGCTACCAACCAAGACCGGGCTCACTGGCTCTGCACACTCGAGCTCCACCCTCGAAAAAGGATTGGTGGGTGCAGGAGGGAGGGAGTGTGTGTGTGAGAGAGAGCCCAGCTGTCGGTCGGATCGAGTAGGAGGTAGCCGGGTTTCGGCGTATGCTGTCTTGGTCGCGAGACGCAGAGAGAGAGATGGAGTGAACAAAAGGTCCGCGTCTTCGGTCGCGGCGAGTGGAATTCCCGGCGATTGAATATGGCCTGGCCCACCAACTGGGAACTGTATGGCGTGAGTAGTATGTCCTTCGTAGTGCAGTCGTGATGGAGCAAGCAATGTGAGCACCGCAGTGCTACTATAGGCAGTGGGTATGTAGTAGTCAAGCAAGACAGGACAACGACGAGGTCGGCGCTGATGAAAGGGAATACTCTGTGCCCACCCGCCCTCGCACCCAATGGACTAGGAGGTAACGAATGGAACACACACCGGGCAGTGACGCATAGCTCAATATGGGGGACATCCGCCAGCCAAGCAGTACTGGGCAGCAGCTCTCTCACCAGCAGCACCAGCAGCACCAGCACCAGCACCAGCAGCACCAGCATTGCAATGGATGCGCGTATACACCTGCAGGGGTCGGTGCAGACGAGCGCGCCGGCGCGGCAATAAAAGAAATCCCATCACGGGCGTGCGCGCGCTGAGCGGTGCGATGGAGAGGCGGCGATGTGTGTCTTCGCTTGCATAATCGTCTGGCGTCCAGTGTGCCAGTTCCGCCGGACGACACCAGTGCGGTCTCGTCGCTGCATGCATGCCGGTCACCATTCAGCCTGTGTATCCCTGCGCATGTCGATGGCGAGGGCGAGGGCGAGGGGCGAGGCGCGGAGCAGACAGGCCTCCCAGCACGACCTCCTGGTCTGGTCTAGCACGAACATGGGTTGTTACCGGGCTCACGCCGTAGGGATGTACCGACTACAGTACTTTACCCTTTTGAATCCGCATACGACGACGGGTGCCACCGCCTCGTGACGGCCATTCGGAGCGATATCCTTACGTAGTGAGGCGCTGATCAAACCCCCAATCAGGATGCTAAGGGCACACGTTAACACACTTATCGTTTGCTGATAGGGGGGGTATATCACAATGTGGACCCGCCTGAATGTATGATGATGGTGAGGTCTCTGTGCAGTGTGTGCAGCGCGTCTCTCCTACCTCCTACCTGAGCAGGTTCAGACGGCCAACGCAAGACCAGATCCGTTGATGGCAAACAACAAAAACAAAACACAAGACACATCTGTAGGAGAGCGCCCGAGACGTCGGCCCCTTCACTCGAGTAGGTCTAGTTAGTGACTCGATGGACTAGAGTCCGCTCCGCATAGGCAGAGCAAAATAGCACCCACTCCCACCCATCACGATCACCACCACGCGCAAGCTTCTGCACGGACTGCTCACCGCGCGCTTAAATCCTAGCCGTATCGCACTATGCAATAGGGCACACAGGGCACAAGGCTGCGTGGCGGATGCACGACACGAAGGAAGGAGGGTGAAGCCGAAGAGCTCTCGTTGATCTATCATCTTTTGTGGTGGTGGAGAGAGTCGTAATCGGCAGCAGCAATACATCATCGCGACTTGTGCATTGGTCGACACGTAGATGCATTGTGATCACATGCCAGAACCACAGCAGTCAGAGCGCCCATTGTGCATGCATAAATTAATGATTGCGGGCTTCGTCGCAGGCGAACAGCGCTGCTGTGCCGCATTGGGAGGTAGGAGGTAGGAGGTCTGCCTTTGGAGCTGTCGTCGTCTCGAACACGCGCGTTTCTCACACAGCATTCGCAATGTCGCGTGGCGACCTTGTCGTGTGCAGCAGCAGCACCTTGGGTGGCAACACGGAATCTGCGATGAGCCATTCCCTACTACGTCAACTCGTTCTAGTAGCACGGCATCATAGGAGGTAATACATGTAATGTACCTATCGGCATCTGTCCAGTCCTCCCGTCGTCACCTCGTCACTTGTCGCCCTGTCCATGTTCACTTAGCGCATCTGGTTGGTTATGTACGCCACAACTCTGCACGGAGGCGGATCGGATACGGGACAAGGCCAGAAAACTGAAAACCTGACTCAAGCACCGACATTTCGCCTATTACGACAGCAACGCAGAAAAACATCGTCACATCAATGTCGCCAGCCTTGGGCATAGGAACCACAGACATCATCACATTCGTGCTCGCAGTCTACTCCGGTGGATGGGAATTTCGCGCCAGTGCGTCGGAATTCGAAGCTTACGCAATCGATGGTTAGAGGGTAAATCTGGCCCTACCTTATGCATTGGCCATACTACGGGAGCATCAGAGCGATACACCGGCGATGGGACTAGAGGTACAGTATCGACGGGACGAGTGGGTGTGACTCTACATCGTCTTTTAGTGCTTGATACCAGGTTCACTGGTGGGTGGTGTCGTGCGCACCGGGATCACCTTAGTACTGATCAATTCTGCCGAGAACGCGCTTCCCGTCCTTCCGAATGTGCCTCCGAGAGACAACGACATTGTCCGGCTCGTCTCGAAACCGGTACCTTCTTGCAACCACTTCGTACCGAAGCACATCACCCGAAAGGTGTGGTCTTGGTTCACCTCCCTCACCGAGAAGATGTTCGGAGAAAGCGCTCGATCCACGTCATGCGCCAGAGAGTGCAACTAGGTATGTACATTACATGTACCTAATTGCGAGGAACACACTCAGCGGTCTGCTGGAGTATTTTAAAACTTCTGTTCTCGGGATGCTGTGCGCATATTGGAAGCACATCCCGTGGGTCGCACGGTGGAAAGCAGCGACTGCTCGATCCACTTGTATGCAGCTCCAGTGGCGACCACGCGACCGACCAGGAGTGTTCTATCTGCAACCAGGTTCGAATGGGTGGTCTACCATGGCTCTACGAAGATCTGGAAGCCTCCAAACGCCTTTCCTCACCTCTGCTGTACCTGACAGGCCGACTTCACCTCTGGATTTTGCATTCGAGGAATGGGCTACGAAATCATGTAGACAGATATTCGGAGTCCGCGAACACGTCACATCAGCATATGGATCTCCACAGCACGCGCCAGCAAGGGTCCGTGAAGAGAGTACGTTTGGGAGGTATGTATGGTGTGGTGTAGTGCATCAACATAACAAGTACATTAAGGTAAGGTACATGTAGCTGCTTGATGGGATGCTGACACCGAGGGCGTGTCGGTGTCCGCTGGCGTATACCTCTTACGACCCATATGCCACGTGGGCACCAACAACACCATTACTTACTTTATTCCAAACAGATGGATGCACTCATAGAGTGTGGGCTAGAATCACTGCGCGTAGGTACACCTCCTACAGTATATGACACCCGGTAGTATATATCCGCCTGATTCTTCAGGAAAGAGCTCCGACTCCACACATCCCCCAGCATCCATAGCATGCAGCAGCAGTGTGGTTCCACGACTCCCACGTTGCGCTGCAGTGCACGGCATCCAATTGCAAGCGGAGCGCACCAGAAATCCATTTACGCCTCATGATTCGATCCGCAAGCCCTCAACGATATTATGCGGTCAGGTATGATCATGTCGCCCAAATCAGTCCAGAGTCCAGAGCTTGCTGGCCGACAGTGGCCCGGCCGTACGACGCGGAATCGAGCAGGTGACAGGTCGAGTGTCACTCCACCTGCGCGTGTCATCGGGACTTGCGCTCCTGCTTAACCTGAGGCCCACTCACGACCACGCCTGCCACGCACACCTCCGACGCCCTTGCCTTACCTGACGCTGATTCGTGGACTAGCCCTCCGTTTGCTGCCATCATGCTTGGCTGACAATAACATTGTTTTTCGTCACTTTCGACATCTCGTTGCTGTTACACAACTTAATACATGCTCCCTGCTGCAGCTTGTCTACAGGTACAGGTTGCAGGTACCTATGTGCTCTCCTCACATTCGTTAGCGATGTGCTCGGCACATCTCTAACGCATCTCTAGTTCTCGGTGGCGTTCGGAATCTGGCCCGCCGCAGAGCACCACCCAGAGCACCACCATGTAGCAGCACGTGTCGACAATCTCCTCCTACGCTCCTACCTTACCGCACAACATATTCGAGACATCCACTTAGGAAGAAGAGTTGCAGATAGATCAGCTCGCCGATGCCACTGGGCCACCGAGGATGCCGATGGAACCTGCGACCTGTTCACGAGCTGGGGCATTCATCGAGCAAACAGCGTGGCACCAACTCTATCAACCTTCGCGCTGCAATCTCCTCTTCCACCTTCACCGTCATGGATAGCTACGAGCATTTTACACTGACAGATGATTAGTTTGTGACGGCCAGAGAACTACAATAGGTATCCACCGGGGCATTAGGGTCAGGTATTGCCCCTACCGATGTCGCTCCAACAGCGCAGACGTACATATCAACCTAAACACACTTGCAGACATGGTCTGCGGGCTTGCCTGACCTGTGGCCGTACATGTACGGTATTCCTACGAACGCACAAAACATATCTGCCACACTCATCGGACATGTTAAAACGCAATACCAGGAACAGCCAGAACATCCCGGACCCTGTAATACCGCGCATTCAGACACCAAAAATGGTCAAGGAAGCGGGAGGACGACGTGTGATCACTGGAGTCAGTAACCGAGCCTCTAGCTGTGTCACTGTCCACATGCTTCCCGTCTTTGTATACGTGGCAGGGACTGTTTTCCCTCCATCGTGACCTCCCCCCTCCTCATGTCTACAACACCACCCGGAACTGGGGTCGACGACCGAGACTAACTAGCGACTAGATCTGAGCCCGCGCCAAGATATAACTGCAATTGTCTCACCAGCAGAAAACTAGTTCAGGTCGGCTATTCTTATGAGCTTATCTGCACATCGCTGCGGGGATCAGGGTAATGGAGTGGAGTGTGTGTGCGTGTGGTGCCGGGGACAATGCCTCGTGAATCCCCCGACTCCTTTTTTACGTCTGGAATACGCATGCGAGCTTTTCTCCGAGAGACCACCGCCGTATTTTGGCGCGCAACTGGTAGGTAGTCAAGCACGAAAGAAAGGCTTCGCTAGCTTCCCTCACTTTGATGTATTTCGTACACGAAGCCCCTTGTCGAACCTGGTTGTGTCTGGCTAACATGCCAAAAAAAAACCACGTCCGTATGTCGGGTAGCTGGTGTTTCGAAATAATGTCGGCTTTTGCTCCTGCTGAAGCTGGGAAGTTTTCGCGACCTGAACCGGTTTTAAATATGCCGAGAAACACTAGCGACTTGTTAGTGCCATGATCTGATGACATCTTTCGCAGTAAGGTAGTAACTGTCGTGAAGTAGGTATGTATAGAACAAGAGCTGTATTTTGGATTTGCTAGGAGGAATGTTTCGACAAGAGAAGAAAAAAAAACCTCCTCGTTGGCAGGATGTTGACTAAGCCTTAGCAGCAAATAGCAGATTCGTGTCCTTATAAGAAGAGCCGGCTTGCCGGAGAAGTGCCTTGTGTCAAAGCCTCTTAAATTATTGCCTAAATCGGCCTCGGTAAAAGTAGAGCGAGAATAGTAATTAGCAATATAGGCAGGCAGGTAGGTATGTAGGCATTGTGTATAATAGAGAGCGAAGCTAGAAAAGTAGAGGTAGGGAGGAGGAGGAGGACGAGGCAAAGACTTTGCTCTCTTTCTTTCTTTTTGTTTCTTTCTTTTCTGTTTTTTGTTTTTTGCTTCAACCTACATACTCACTCTAGAGAACGTCGACTCCCTTTTTGTCTTCTCGTTATCTGTTTTTGGCGTGACATGGAAGGTCTTCGTCGTCGTCCTGTGAAAGTTGAGTTGTTCAGCTTTCCCCTATACCGAAGCTTGGAAGCTTCAGGTTAGAAATACCTAGGTGAAGAGAAGCCTAAGAACTCATGCCTGCATTGCTACTACAGCATCATCTTCAGCTCTTCTCCAGCAATCGGATTCTGAGGAGGTGAGGTCAGTATATACCTTAGGCATGGTTGGTGGGTAGATCTTGCACGCCGAATCCATGTCAGCAGAGGCACGCGCGCGTACCGCGCGATAAGATGTATGGATGAGCAGAATTGTGGCACGTGCAGAGAGTAGACGATTTTAGGTTCCATTCCTAAGGTTCCAACCGCGACTTCACCTTGCCAATTCTCCAACGACTTCTTCCTGCTCATAGATCTTTTACATCAACGGGTTCGATGCTCATCCCCGCAATCTCAGGATGGCCGTCTTGGTGGCTTCAATGGCTTCTTCAATCCAGATCGGGAGGCATATGATTCGGATTTCCGTGAGCGGCGCCAAGTGGTTGTCAACATCGGAGATGCTCTCAACGTCCACAACTTCACGGGGTGTGACAGCAGCAAGCGATGTATGCTCTGTTCTCGGCTTTGGCTGCTGTCTGTCTCACTCTGCTTTCCCGATCTACTTCTGGTACTCCCAATCGCCTTTTCCAACACCATCAAGACAAACCGATTTCTATAAGATCGAGGGCGATCTCGTTCCTTGAAGAAGAATCTTTATATCCGCTCAGTCCACACATACCTTTGTCGTAGATCCTGGCTCAAGGTTTGTAACAGCGTATTATCAGCGCTCCCGCACGTCTTACCGGATTCATCCCCAGCAATGATGGCCGCCGCCAGAGGCTCACAAGGTGGGTAGTATGGACATCTTCTTTTCGCGCCGCAGAGGTCAATCCGAGAGGCCCTCGCCACCCGAGACAACAGCGCTGTGCCGGACTCAACCATGTTGTCCCACCTGTTATTCTCTGGCGGCACCGCATACCAAAAGTTACACAGAAGCGATAGAGGATCCACATTGTCCAGTCTTTCCCCCACATCCTGCGCAACATTCAACAAACTACATTACGAAGACCTCAATATCACAGTATACACTAACGTCATGCCCTCCGCTACAGAAAGCGCCTATCACCGCTGCCTTGATTGCAACAAGAAATGGGCGGCCGAGGTCAGCAGCAAAGACCCCGACTTCTTCCCAAGATGCTCCAAAGGCCAAGCGCCTCCTGTTCTCTGGATTGGGTGTGCAGATTCTCGAGTACCCGAGACGACTATACTGAACTGCCAACCCGGTGAAGTCTTCGTCCATCGCAACATCGCCAACATTGTCAACAACACCGATATCAGCTTGCTTTCTATCGTCCAGTTCGCAGTCTTTCACCTCAAAGTCAAACACATTGTCGTCGCAGGCCACACGTCCTGTGGAGGTGTGGGAGCATCTCTTGCCAACGCGAAACTGGATATTTTAGACATTTGGCTGCAGCCGCTCCGGGCTCTAAGGGAGGAGTACCATGATGAATTGGAAGCTATGGAGGAGAAAGAGCGAGCGACATTTTTGGCGAAGAAGAATGTTCAAGCTGGCGTGCAGGCCTTGAAGAGAATCCCTACCGTGATTGACGCCATGAGAGAGAGGGGTCTGGATGTGCATGGTGTCGTCTACAAGCTTGATACGGGCTTGCTAGAGGAAGTGGATGCGGATGAGGATGAGAAGAAGAGTGTCAAGAGAGTCAAGGTTTTTGAGAGGAGGTAAAAAGTTCTCTCGTTTGATCATGGCGATGTTGTTCGGGCGTACGAATTTACGACGGGACTTGATGAATGGATTGCGTTCTCGATGGTTTTTGTTTGTGACGGGACCGCACAGGCTGGCTTGTGTGGAATAAGGGCATATTGCCATTGTTATGAATGCGCAGATATGGCAAATTGCATCGCTAAGGCATAGGTAACTTGCATTACATTAGGTACCTACTGCTTCCCCATATCAATGATGCGTCAGCCTTTCACGTGCCTACCGATCTGCTTGGCGTCACTACATACATACCTGAGGTACCTTACCTGCCAGAAAACATCGATCTTGCAACTCCTGCATTATACAGTCATGATAATCATCATATCTGCGGCCAGCGTAAAGGTACTAGTGAGCAAAGTAGGGCAGCTTACCTATCGGTACCTCTACATTAGGCAGTAAGAGGTAATGTAAGGTACAGCACATATATGGACCCTTGATCACCTGCGTCATAATCGCGGAACATCTTACTCCCGTCGCGCTCGAGAAGGGACGGGACCTACTGAGCAACAACCAGGTACATGTAATCTGGTAGGCAGGAATAATAATACCGACAGCGGGATCTCATCCTCCATCCATCACATCTACCTTACCTTATACCTCTATCCATCTGTTGGCACCACAACACGCGTGCTTCCCCCGAGCAGACATGGCGCTCCATTGACGATCGTCGCACGTGGCCTGGCCTGGCGTAGCTACCTTACCTTGCCGACTAGGTTAAGGTACTTTCTCTCCATCCATCGGCCACACGACTCGACTTTCGCGCGCGCGTTCGCCGGCGTGTGAGGAGAGCTACCTTAGCTCTTCTGCTTCTGCTTCTTCTTCTTCTTGCCTTCCGTCTTCTCTGCTCCTCCTCCTCCTCCTCTTCGGCTTCTTTATCCTTGACGCTTCCGCATACACTGCACTGCGTGCGCAGTCTCCCCCTCCCCACCATGGCGCCGCCCATGTCGCAGTTGCGCAAGTCATCGACTGCGACAGACGCCCACTACAACAATCCGCACCATGCCCACCCGAGCCACAATGGCGCACCTCCACGCACCACGGCCAGCGGCAGAGCAATTCGGACCAACACGACACGACCCGCCAACTACTACGCCCGGCCATTCGGCTCCATGAGCGCCGGTGTTGACAACGACGCGAACATGGCTGACCAGTCCACGCAGCCGACGGGCTTCTTCCCAGCATTGACCTTCTTCACTGACGCCGTCACCGCGCTGCCGAAAGAGGTCATGAAGCACTTTACGCTCATGAAAGAGGTGGAAGCCAAGATATACAACCCCACCGACCAGTTGGGAGACCTGATCGACACTCTCATGTTACAGCCAGTGCCCGCGCGCAAACAGGCCGCGAGTACGGGAGCTCCAGCTGCGACGGCGCCGGGACTGCTCAGCTTGACTGCCAATAACAGCACCACGGACAGTGCAGCTGTGAGTCTGGTCAATGGAGTAGGAGGTCGACACAGCGCGCAGTCTTCCATGGCAGGATCACTGGATGGCACCGATGTACCTGCCGGCGAAGAAGAGCTTCGACGACGACACCAATACCAAGAACTTCGAATGCTGGCTCACGGCATGCTCAGTAACCTAGACGAGAAAATTGTGGTACTCAACGAGGCCAATCGCGTTCTGAGCCTGCAGAACAAGCGCATCGACTCGGTGATGCCCCATGTGGAAGGCGAAATCAGTGAAGAGGCGCGCTTGGGTAGCACGACGCATTGGGCATATAGTGAGAATCGACAGAAGACGAAAGCGGCAGCGGCAGGCGCGAACAGACCTCGAGACGTGGCTGCGACCAATAACCTGGCGGCGGCGGCGGCAGCGATGCATGAAGTCGATATTGCGAATGCGAGAAACGACGCGCAGAGAGAAGCAGCGAGCGCTGGCAGGGGAAAGGGAAAGGGCAAACGAGCGCCAGAGCCCGTAGGCGACTCGGATTTTGACGATACAGTGAAGCCACGAAAAGCTCCCAAGGTCGGCAAAGGAAAAGTAGCGGCTGCCGCCGCGAATGCTACGGGCTTGGGCATTTCGACCAACGGCGAGCCAGCGCCGGTCAAGAGGCGCAAGAACGCAGAAAAGGCACCCGCCATGGAGCGGCAAGCGTCGACGCAAAAGAATGCCAAGGGCAAGGATACGCCACGAAGTACGCCAGCGAACGATCTTACAGTTCCCAAGGCCAAAGTCGCAAAGACGAAGCCTGCTCCCACGAAGGCCAAGAAGACGGCTGTGAATTCCGCGCAGAACAGCCCCATGTTGGCCAGCAGTCCACTGGCTTCCTCTTTTAATCCTGCGTTCATAGAAGCTCCTCCCGGCCCCCGAACGCAAAGCTCACGACTTCGACAGAACAGCATCGCGACGAACTTGCGACACGAGCGATTACAGGACGAAGACAGCGCCGCCAGCCGGCCTGGATCGGCAGGAGGCAAGACGAACGGGAATGGCATGGCCGAAAAGACGAATGGACGGAAAAAGGTCCAGGAGACAACAGAAGAACATGATGACAATACAGGCGACGAGCAAGGCTTGCAGACACGTGTTGCTCGCGAGGTTAGCCAAAAGCTCAAGCGTGAAGATGCTGACAATGTGGATACCGGCAGTGGTACCGAGCGAGGGCGGCCGGCGACGTCGCGCGCTGGTAGTGAGAAGGGCAAGAATGGCGGGCGAGGCTCCAAAGTGGGTACACCCAAGACCGACTCCTTCCCAGCATCTGCGACAGTTGGATCCGCTGCGATTGCACGAATCCGAAGTTCACGACGACCCCGAACAGGAGAGAGTGGAGATGGAGACTCCAGCTCCTCGGAAGCGCAGATGCCAGGGGCAAGCACTTCCAAGCACAGAAGGAACGCTAGTAACAGTCATCTTGTGAAACAGCTTGCGCCATTTAATAAATCGCCGAACCTCGATCGACACCAACTGGACGATGACGACGAGAAAGGGGATGACGAGGAGGAGGACAGCTCTGCACGCGAGGAGAAAGTGGATGAGAATGGCAATGTGGAAGACGAGGCCGACGCCGAAGCCAAACGACATACCCGACGATCGACGACACGAAGGCCCGTCTCACGACGTAATACCATCAACTCTCCGCAACTTCAGAGCTCGCCAGCCCCCATGGAAGAGTCTCGTGAGAGTTCTCCTGCTGCTTCACCCCCTCCAGTTAGCACTAGGCAATCTACAAGATCTTCAGGTCGTAATGACCACACTGCCCGCAGCGAGAATGGCTACTCTGCAGCGCAGCCTCATGCGGATGAGCCTCCTGCATTGGAAGAGGACGTCAGTGAAGATGAAGAAGAAACTCAAGCCGAACCGGAAGAGCCCGAAGAAGATGCAGCAGCCCCCGAAGCCGATAATGAGAATGAGAATGATGACAGCGAACATGATCCTGATGACCCCAACGAGCAGAAGTACTGCTATTGTAATCGTGGTTCATATGGCGAAATGGTGGCTTGCGACAATGATAATTGTCCGAAGGAATGGTTTCATCTGGGATGCACAGGATTGCGAGAAGCTCCCTCTCCGGACGAGAGTTGGTTTTGTCGAGAGTGCCGACCTCGACCTGGGAGGGCTAGAGGCGGGAGGGGTGGCAGAGGTGGCAGAGGCGGTCTACAGTCTTAGGAAGGCTCGTTGCACCTGCGTCGCGAGGAAGAAAATGGGTGGGAGCTGGCGAATCAGATTCGCATTGCGCAGGGCCTTCGCGGGCGGAGAGGACGAGGAGGCTGAAAAAAGACGGCAGGCTGTTCAAAATCGATGCTATTGCTGTCACAGTGTCACCACTAGATATGCGATCTGATAACAACCCTCGTCCCTAATCACTCTAATGCGAGTAATATCGCGTGGAGATTTTTGTGCGGCCCGCGCGGACACTCCCGCCCATGCAAAAATCAGAATTTGTTCGATGTGCGTTCCATCCACTTTCACTCTCTCTCTTTCTCACTCTCTCCATCATCCGCAACAGTCCCGCCTATGTGTACCAATACAGCCCATCGAATGAGTATGTGCATTCCACCTGCAAACTACTCAGCTGTAGGTACATGTAGGTACCTAAGTTGGTCCGAATCTCGATTACTCTTGGTAAGCTCTGCCCTTTTATACATACATGTACCTACATGTACCTGGCTGGATACATACCATGATGAGAGCACTATTTGCTACCCAGCTCACTCAAAATGCTACGGCATGATGCTGTAAACCCATAGAGGCTGTTTCTGATTACATATCCCCTTGTTCGCTACCTATTTTGCTGCGATACCTCATATACATCGCGAGGTGGAGAGGATGGTGAGAAAAGTGGCTAATTTGGATTTTTTGTAGATTCGAGTTTTCCTGCTGTGGAAGGGAGAGTAGAATCTGTATTCGGCCCCTTCATACTGAGGAGGTCCCCCAATTTAAGAACGCTGTGGTTGCATCGACATCTCGACCGGGTATGTACCCCGATTCGCGGTCGTCTTGCTTTGACAATTGTCGTTGGGGCTCTCTTGCCCTCGTTAGAGCTGTACATTCCAGGCCAGCGGTAGTACGTGAGTAATTTGACATTGAGCAAAGACGGGTGCCGAGAGAGCGAGCGAGCGAGCGAGCGAGAAGAGTATGATGCGCTGGATGTCTTTAAATTAACTACAATATCAGCGAATGTGCATCCATTCATGGCATTGCTACTAGGAGGTACTGCCGCCATCATGACAATTTTTTTGATCTTTCGGTGTGGTCGTGCATAAATCTCATTCTTAGGTTATCCCTTCACCTTGTGCCCGCCAAGCAAAGTTTATGCGCGAAGAAGGCATCTTTCCCTTCTGCCGTCGCGATTCCAGTCGATAACATCATGCGCTGCAACTTTGGTGCGGCGACCATACCTCAGACCTGCATCCTCGAATGCGTTTTTCTCATGGACAAGGCCAAAATCATTAGCAGCGACGCGTGAATCCTCCCTCTGGTCTGGTACAAGTATCAGAATCGAAATGCTGCACCTCCACGGTGAAAACAGCACTTGAGCCGTCATTCGAGACGTGCGATCCGTAGTTCGGCACGATGTGTGCCAGTCGAGAGGAGCTACTGATTTAGGTATTCATCTGGTGATGAGGAGGCTTCTCAGACTACTCCGTATTTCTTGCGAAGCAAATTGTCAAGTAACATGACGTGGCTGGCAAGTCACCGCAGCGAAGGCATTCGGATCAGAATCCAGGATGTAATAGCACCTGTTGGGAGTTCCAGTGCACTAGCCAGAGCATCAGTGCTATCCGATACGACTACGCCCATTGACAAAACTCACAAACTTATCGCAATTGCAATTCCAGCCCAAAAAAGTGTCGCCAGATCCGTAACAGAAGCCACAATTCGCTCGCGCATCTCCCGTAGAATTACAAGACCGCCATCTGGTATCAGGCCGATACTGTTGTGTGAGTGCGAACGCGACAGGAGGACTCTGATCTGCCGCCAGAGTCGATGCGACGTAGGCCAGAAAGGCTGCAGAGAGCAGCATGATCTGGCGACGAATACTAATGTAGAGAAGAAGTGCTGATTCCGCGGCCAGGCAGTGGTCAAGTATGTGAATGACCGTCCCTGGAGCTAGCTTTTCATGCTATGCTCCGCATGGGGTGCCCATCTTTCCAGCGCTAGATTCTTGGAAGGAAGCGTAAACAGCTTTTAGCTGTGACAGCACAACACATCACCACTGCAGGATGCTGGACTTCAGGATGATATCGCTACCTCGGCCACTGTATACGCGACACGCTAGTCCTGGTAGAGCCCAAGCCTTTGTGAGATGAGTGCTACGGACACCATGTTCACTCAGACTGAAATCCCTTGAATGATCACGCTAGCCCAATGACCCGTTGGCTCGCAGGCTTTACTCTATAGACATGGATCTCTGCCAGACACGAGGTGTTCAGAATCAAAGCCAATGGGCTTGAGCTTGAAATGGCACCCAGGGCGCCAAGAGCATCCTTAATCCTACGAACAGCTCGCTGCGCCTCTCCGGAGTGGGAGCGGCTGCAACGTGAGGGTACGCTGGTGGAGCCGAATGGTCTCCAACGAATATGCAGCTTTCGCTCCGCGACATGCAAATTCAATCCGCTGGTTTCGTGGCTGCTGACGGTACTCGACAGGTCCACGAGCTTCTATTGAACACCAAGGCCAACCGAGCAGACACGAGATGAATATATTCGAAATTATGCTATGTGTACCACTTGCGGCACACCTCGCAACTACACTGGAGCTCGATTTGAACGACCCGAACTCGATCAAAAATGCCGCCAAGTCAGCCGCGCAAGGAATGATGAAGTGGTACACTGGTGACACGATGGTTGGTGGTATACCAGGCCTTCTGCCAGGCCCGTACTACTGGTGGGAAGCAGGTGCGATGTTTGGAGCCATCATAGATTACTGGTACTACACCGGCGATGACACCTATAACGACAGAACAATGAAGGCAATGCAGTTTCAGATCGGCCCGGACGATAATTACATGGTATGAGAGAGCAATTGGTAGAAAGAGAGTGATGGTGGCACTGACCTTCAGTCCATAGCCTCCAAACCAGAGCAAATCTCTTGGAAATGATGACCAGGTATGTCCATGTCATTGCAGAGCATCGCCTTGCACTGGCATCGACTAATGCTATGGATCACAGGCTTTCTGGGGTATTGCTGCGTTGACAGCGGCAGAGGTAAGTTGCCCGAACATTGGCTCACCGTGAGGAAGGGTCTGGCTTGGGGCGAATCAGTACCTGTTCTGTTCGCGGAACATACGAGTGCTGCTGATCTTGCGCAGGTCAACTTTCCGAACCCTCCAGCCGGACAGCCGCAATGGCTTGCACTTGCACAAGGTGTTTTCAACTCACAAGCTCCGCGCTGGGATACTGCCAGTTGTGCTGGAGGCCTGAAATGGCAGATATCTCCTCTGAACAACGGGTACAACTATAAGAACTCCATCTCCAACGGCTGTTTCTTTAACATGGCAGCACGCTTGGGACTCTACACTGGCAATTCAAGCTACCTCGACTGGGCGGAAAAGACATGGGACTGGGTGGCCGGACCTGTGGGCCTGATCGACAACCAATCCTACGTCTTCGATGGCTCCGACGATACGATCGATTGCACCAAAGTCAGCCATCTACAGTGGTCGTACAACGCGGGCGTATTCCTGTACGGTGCGGCCGTGATGTACAATGCTACTGAAGGCGATACTCGAGCCAAGTGGCAGACCCGTACCCGAGGACTTCTCACAGGAATCGTGTCCATCTTCTTCCAGAATCAGACCATGACAGAGGTTGCGTGTGAGAGTGGCGCCAATTGTAACATTGATCAACAGACGTTCAAAGCATACCTTGCCCGGTGGATGGCAGCTTCGGTCAAAGTCGCGCCATGGACTCATGAAACTATTATGCCTCTTATCAGAGCTTCTGCGTTAGCGGCAGCGAGATCGGTAAGTCTGTCTGGTTCACCTGTGAAAGGGGGAGGAGGAGGATGAGGATGAGATCAATACGAGGACGCAACATGCGACTCGCGTACTCGTTCAGCTAGCTCGTCTGGCACGTAAAAGGAGGACGGGAACATCATGTGCACAATACACTCACTCTCCGCTCGCAGGCGAAGAACCTCACCCTCGAGGCCATGGTACCTGCATCACGACTTGCAGGCATACATCATCACACGCTGACCATACATGTCGTACATAGTGCACAGGAGGCGACGACGGACAAACCTGCGGCACCGACTGGCTGTCAGGAGAATGGGACGGAGCATTCGGTGTAGGGTAAGTAAGTCAAGAAGGAACTTGAAAGTGAACCCACAGCGTTTCGTCAGTCATTTCAGACAAAATGGTCGCTAACATTATGTCCCCCTCATATCTAGACAGCAAATGAGTGCTCTTGAAGTAATTCAGTCGACGATGATTGACACCGTGCCAGGTCCGTTGGGAAATGGCACAGGAGCAACATCTACGGGCGATCCTGGTGCTGGCACGGGAGGGCAATGGGATATCGAGGTTGTTCCCAACGCTATTACCACAGCAGATCGAGTCGGTGCTGGCATTTTGACTGCTACTGTCGTGGGCGGTTTCGTGGGCTGCTTTTATTGGATGCTGATTTAGATGCATAAATGCTCTTTTGTTTTCAAAGAAAATGAAGTTTGCAAAAGGAGCCGGTAGTAAGTATATTGCGGATACAGTCGATGTTGATGTTGATGTTGTTATTTTGTGCCCCTTAGAGACCAAGTAGGTAGGTAATCCACTATTTTCCACAAACCGGTCCGCTATGGTCTCTCCCGGGGCTAAAAATCCGGTGGCCGGATCAAGTACCTCTTTTGACCTCGAAATCCGAGAGCTACATGTTACGGCTGTACATTGGGTTCTCTTGGAAGTTTTTTGGGGAAAAAGAAAGGAAATCCACAAAACAACAACTACCTGAATTTCCTAGATTAGACTTGATGGACCACTGATAACAAGACATCTCAGACGGTATACACTCGAAAGAAAGAAAAAAAAAAGAAAAAAGGAAAAAGAAAAAAGAAAACCATGGCAAGCTCAATCAACCCTCGAAAAACCTACCTCACAATCTACAACCTCACCTTCGCCTCCCTCTGGACCTGGATTTTCCTCTCGACCCTCTCCTCCACCATCCTATCGACTTCTTCTTCTTCTTCCTCCTCCCCCACCATCTTCCAAACCCTCTCACCCCGCACCCGCTGGATCCAAACCCTCTCCCTCCTCGACATCCTCCACTCCCTCACACGCCTGATCCCCGCCCCCCTCTTCAGCACCTTCACGCAAATCGCCACACGAGTAATTCAAGTCTGGCTCATCTGGTATACATATCCCGAAACAACTTCTGAAGCTTCATTTGCGTTTCCGGCGCTGTTGCTGGCGTGGAGTGCAGCGGATGCGATACGATATGTGTTTTTGACGTTGCATTTGTGGGGGAGAGCTCCGCGGGGGTTGGTGTGGGTGCGGTATTCCATGTTTTATGTCTTGTACCCGGTGGGGATTGGCGCGGAGTGGTGGTTGATGTTTCGGGCGGTGAGGCCGGCGGGGGAGGTGAGTTGGGTGTTGGGGTGGGTGTTTTGGTTTTTGTTGGGGTTGTATGGACCTGGTATGTGTATTGTTTTTCTTTCCTTTTCTTTTCTTTTTTTTTTTTTTTTTTCTTTTTTCTTTTTTTTTAATGCGATATTTCTTTTTTCTTGGACCGGGGGGTACTGACTGGTAGAGTAGGGGCGTACATGATGTTTACGTACATGGTGAAGCAGAGGAAGAAGACTTTGTCGAAATTAGAACAGAAATGAGAGAGAGGCGGAGCGGCTCCCTGGACTATTACATGACCATATCTGACTTGATGATTGTTGTTCAGTCTTCGGCAGAGTGAAAGGCTCTACTCATAGTGTTGCGACAGAAGCAGTACAATAGTGGAGCTGTGGGGCGGGAAGTCCTGACTGCAGCTTCATTTGGCATAGCAAGTCTCAAGCAAAACACACGACATACTTGCGCATTATTAGTGGCCAACGAATCTCGAGTCGAGGGATCCGATCGAGATCAAAACATTGATCTTTTTATTTTCCTGTTTGGACAGTAGTACCGACCCCCCTTTTTTCCCCCCTCCAACCCGATAGCACTTGTCGTAGCTTGGCGGAAGAAAGGATATGGTATGCATTTTGATGGGCGCATGATTCGGAAACAGAAGCCGGTCAGCGCTTGTGTAATTGTGGAATCGTCGTCCCGCCCTTGCGAATGGATTCGAAGGAGTCCAGCATGGTATATCGTGCATATCTGACAAGTTCGTCAGACGGGTTGCATGCACCTCGCGTAGATCCGTAAACTTGCTCTGGGCCTCTCATGATGTCTCTCTGTCTCTCTCTCTCTCTCTCTCTTAGTGGCTGCTGGCGTCTAGAGCGGCATAAACAGAACAACTCTCTCGAGGGCACTGTCGCTGTGTGAAATCCCATCATGTTCCCCGGTGATGATAAGAGAAAAGATGATTTTCCACCGGAGCGCAGTCCGGACACCAGCTCGCAAGGTTCGCAAGGCCTCGCGTCGAGCCCATTTCATTCATCCATCCATCAAGCAGGATTGATGAATAAGGTACCTATGATTATTACCACACAGGACCACAGATTGAGCGCGCCTATGTCAACGGTAGTCCACGTCTCCCTTCCCTGCAAAATCACAAATCTCCACAAGCAACGGGCCGACCACGCCTGCCCCGGAGGTTACCCTCCGAAGTGAATTTAATTCATGCTATGTCGAAAAGACAGCAGTAGTAGTGAAGACGACTGTAATTGCGCTGTAGGCATGTTCTCTGTATGAAGGTAGTGTGCATGATTTCGCGACGCGCTCTAGGATATGATCGCGTGCACAGAAGAGACTGCTGCTGCACCAGAGATTTGGGCTGCGCAGACACGTGTCTGCAGAGGGCGAATTTATGCTATGCACACTCCGTGAAGAGTCGCATTGCAGTGTGATCCAAGAGAATGTGGTTGTTGTTGTGAATAGCTGTCTGTACGAGTCATGCGCCCAGATGTGCCGGTATGGAGATCAGTCGCAGGGAGAGAGGGGCGGGTTGTTTGTGCATACAGATTCAGTCGATACCATCGGCGATGCACGAGAACTACTGGAGATCCCGAAGGCTTTCCCGATGGTGAAGCAGAGTCGTTCAGCAGATTTTGGAGCGCTGTCTCCCTCTGCATGGAGAGAAGATACCTCCCAACAATAACAATGTTGCAATGTATGCCGAATTGGCGAGGAAACGGATGGATCGCAATGGCCGCCGCAGCCAGAAACTGGTGCACCAGCCATTACCGCCTGGCTGGACGAAGTGTTGACCTGGCGGAGACAATCACCTAGACCCTGCCATCTTGGCGTTGGCCACAGTGTCTAGCAAGGCATTCATCATTCGGAGCATGCCCCGAGCATTTCTCCTCACTTTCTCGTCCAGATTGCTACTACTACGTGCTGCTAACCTTATATTACAATCCAGGCAGGCTGAGCGCTGCACCTCGCCGTGATTCTGAACCGCCTCGCCTACACACAGCACTGCTGACTACTCCAGAGCACCAGCGGAACCCCACGATGCCACCGAAGGCTCGCCCGAAGAAGAGCAATGTGGCCCAGGGCAGCACGCGACCCTCTCCTGGCCTAGCCACTCCTTCCAATCCGAGCCAGGCAGACCATCTCAGCCGACGTCCGAGCGGTATTGTGAAGAAGACTTCCTCTCATCAGCAAGGCGTGCCCAAGCGACGCGTGCAGGTTCGCCACGCCTGCCTACACTGTCGCACCGACAAGGTCAAAGTATGGTCAGCCCTCTCGTGAAGCCAAATCGCCGCTGATCCCACTCATCTCCAGTGTTCGGGCACTCATCCAGTGTGCTCACGATGCAACGCGCGCAGTCTGGTAAGTACAGTAGCGGCAGCAGTACGAAGAAGAAGCAGAAGAACAAGAAAGCGGGGCGGCAGCTGACCACGTCGTCTTTCGCAGCTCTGCTCGTGGGATGTGCCAGAAGAGGGCATCACCAAGACCCAACACCTCCAGCTCAAGCTCGCGGAACAAGGCGCCCGGCTCGACCGAGTCAACGCGATGGTGCACATACTCCGCCACGGCTCCGACAAGGTAGCCACCGAGGCACTGGCGCGACTCCGCATTGGCGAAAGCCTGGATGAAGTCTTGCAAATCGTTGGCGCAAAGGCCCTGAGCGCGAGCGACCCGGACCAGATGAAGCCCGATCAGATGGAGCAAGTGCTGGGAACGTGGCTGTCGAATGAGCCCGCCTACGATCCGTTGCTGGTCCAGCCGAACCAGTACCCCGACCATCAGGAACGCGCGTCTGCATAGCTGGACATCGATGGAGACGGGACCAGTGAAGAATGGTTTCGACCTGACCATTCCGCACACACCCGTCGCTCGCTTGATCAGAACCACCATATCGACGGTCTCGGGTCTATCAGGCTGGACTTGCTGTTCGCCATGGGCGCCACTTTGGTCGCATGGAGGAGCCTACAAGGAGAGGACTATCCCCGCGCACGACGCCTGCTTCGGAGCCGTCAGTCTGAAAGAGTCTGGAAGTGAGTGCCTTGTCGACCACAACAGGACATGATTTCTGGCAGCGCTGGGCGGAGAGCCAGGCGGACTTCACACACTGCATTTCGCGCCCACCGGACCTAGGTCCCGCGTGTCCGTCCGCGCGCGCTGCGTCGCAGTGGGACGATGGTTTGCCACACGCTCTGTCTACGTTTGCAAGGATGCCATCACTCCGAGTGCCCATGATCCATCTTCCCTCTGGAGGGTGCTGGTTCGGGGAAATCTGGCCAGCATTGGAAGCCATGGGCAGGATCCCGGTCCGCGCCAATCACAGCCCTCTGACGGCAGCGGGCAGCCATCACCACCAGCAGCACCGCGGCCATCGCCCACCGAAGCCGCGCCCACCAGTCGTCGTCGGCACACGCGGGGGTGCAGTGCGGGCAGGAAGATGAAGCGGAGGAGGATATACCTGACTGCACAGGAAGCAGAGCTGGCAAGGACACGAAAAGCAGACTGGACCTTCCATGCGAGCTCGTGCTCTGTCTGGGCTGCGAAGCAAGATCTCACGGTCTGGTGCGGGGCACAGAGTTTCGCTCGGCAAGCGTCATCGCATCGTGGACGACGCGGACGGACGAGAATAAAATAATATTCTGAACAATGCCCCCCCGCTTCCGTCGCCGCCATGCCCATTCTTGCAGCCAGCACCTCGTAGCGCGCACACAGCCCAGCCCAGCCAGCGCGGTCCGGACATGTCCGCCGTGTTCTGCCATATGGCCGGGTGGTGGTGGTATCGGCCATGGTGGCATGGCCATGTCCCATCCCATGGTGATGAATGATGCTCCAGCTGCTGCTCTGTCTGCTGCTACCTCCATGACCGCGGCGCGGCGAGGCGAATGATAATGCTCCGACCGCACCGTTGACTTTTCTTCGCCCAACTTAGCGTGCCAGCCATGTAACGAAGCTCCCAGCTGCACCCAACAGTAGCCGAGCGCGCGCCGTCCCCAAATACCGTGTATTTAGCAGCCAGTGCGGTGCAGGTCTAGATTCTGCCGACTCGGGCAGCCTATGGGTACGAGACGTTGTCGTGCCAAGATGCTGCTGGCAGCCAGGACATTTACGAACAGTAACAATCATCAACTACTGCTCTCGTGACGAAAAAGAGTACATACACGTCACGCAGACGGCCGCCTCGATTTGCCTGGGAGCATTGGACTGCCCGCACAAAGGTTGTGCAAATCGAGCGAGCTCTCGTGGCGGGCGTGACCGCGGACGAACACACACTTGACTCCGCTTCTTTCTGCAAAAGTGCTCCTGCTTCATTCTGCAGCTTACTGGCCACCTCTTGGTCTATCTCGGGCAGTGCATACCCAGGTCGGTGAAGGCGCCATACCATTATGCGAGCCTGCCTGCACACGTGATACTCGCGCTCGCCTGGCATTCATTCCTCGCTGACTCTGCAAAGTCTCGAAGGCAAGCAGAGCAAGCAAGCAATGCAAGTGGATTCTGGTGTACGCCATGGCAGACCCTTCACCTCCTAACCCGCCCATCACTCCGTCCGAGGCTTCCTCGGGCTCCCAATCTCGCTCGAGCACCACCTTGCGCTCAGGCCGTGATGGCAAGACAGCCAAACGGGAGCAGGTGGCAGCTGCATGTCTGGAGTGCCGGAACAAGAAAGTCAAGGTAAGACTGAAGTGCGTCTGGTTGCGCTTTTATGCCGCTTATTTTTTTCCTTCTTCAGTGCGACGCCGTGAGACCATCCTGTGGCCGTTGTACGCAGCGCAAGCTTCAGTGTGGCTACGACGTTGCAGAGCCCGACACCACCAAGCTCGTTGCGGCGAGACGGAGGAACGAGGAGATGCAGGAGCAACTGGAAGGGATGAGGGAGCTGTATGGATACATGGCGGAGAGGACGGAGGAAGAGGCGACGCGCATCCTCCAAATGATTCGCGCTCATCCTGACGACCCCTTTGCAGTGCTACGTGCCATACAAGAGGCCGACCTGTTACTGCTCCGCTCGGCAGGTGCTGCGCGGGGAGGCAGCGACCAGAACGCTCCCCAATGATGCCGGGGGCGACGGGAGCCACGGCCGACGCCTACGCTGCAGCAGTGTGTCGCTGGGACTGACATCTTCCGCTGGCGTTCCCTCTCCTCATCTCCTCGCACAGGCGCAACGAAGGCGAAAAGAGAAAGGCTACCACGCTGTCGGTTGATCCTTCCACATCGAAATAGAGTTCGGAGCACATTTTGGCCTCCCGGGCCCAGCCAGCGCAGCGAGGGAGCGTCCGTCACATTCCACTTCATCGAACCTCTCCCGTGAGGAGCGGACACACATGCCATACGCTCATAGCCTCTTCGATGGCTCTCGTCTCGACTCGACGGTACTATGCGAATCTGATGAGGGGCTCGTCTCGCGCGCCTCTTCTTCTGCCACACAGGGCCGGATGGGTCAACCATGAGAATAGCGATAGCACCACTTTCTGACGCTCCCCTTTCATGATTCCAACCAATTACACTATATGCACATGTGTGCAACTACCCAAATTCTCGGCTGCTTGGGAAAGGGAGGGGGATTCCTTGCAGCAGCAGCAGCTCAGCGACGACGATGATGATGGTATACGGCGTCGACACAGACCTCTCCAGTACTTGCTATGTCATCATCACGGGCGTTGCAGTACTGTGTCGGGGCATGAGAACGTACAAAGGTCACATATATGTGTGTGTGTATCCCCAAGGAGATACACGCCCGGCCACTCTCCTAGCTACACGACTCTATCCACACACTTCATATTTTATTACACATTGTACCGACGTTTTGCCGTTAGAGTTTTGTGAAATGCCGCTTTTTGCCGTTTAGGTATAGAACGGGATACATGTATACCTCATCACACATCTTTTTTTATTTACCTCCCGTCATCGATACCTGCCCTGTATACATTAGGTAGTTCTTGACTTGAACTTTGAAGCACCAGACCTTGCAATACCTTCCTACTACATACCTGCACTTACCTATGACTGTATACGTCATGAAGCTTGACTTTTACATGTGCACGGAGGTTCCTGATATACCTGATTCATGTCTCTCTCATAAGGTATCGATGCTTGACATGCAGAAAAAGAAAAACGGTATTTACAGTTGCCAAGCCCATCAACACCGACGTCGACGACACAAGAGTCTAAAGGTACCTGTATTTCCATTACCAAGTCTCCTGCTTATATCTCCCGTTCTTCTCCATTCCTTGCAAATAACGTTCTGCCTCTTCCTCTGCCTCTGCAGTCGACAGCGACGAACCTCCGCCGCCGCTATATGTGGCAAGAACTTCCACGAGTGCTTGGCGTACACCTTTGGGCATATTACCTGAGGAACCGCAGACGTAGACTTTGCCGTTGCGCTGCACGAGAGCCTCGTAGACGTGTGCGCCATGGGCTCGAATCTGGTCTTGGACATATGCTTTGGGGTGGTGCTTTGGGTCGCGGGAGAAGGCGGTGTGGACTGTGAGACTGTTGGCGTGTGCGAAGGAGTTCCATTCTTCGTGGAAGAAGTAGTCGCTGTGTTCGGCGCGGCAACCGAAGAAGAGAATGTCGCCTTGGAGAGATGTGGAAGTGGGCCGGTGGGCGTTTTCTGCCCAGAGGGCTCTTTCGTGAATCATGGATCGCATCGGTGCTAGTCCTGTGCCCGGCCCGATCATTACTGCGGGGACGTCGAGCTCCGTAGGGTGGACGTCGAGGTATCCTGGCTGGATGCAGACACTGATGCTTTGCTTCTGCTGCAGTGTCGCGATGTACCGTGTGCATACGCCGTACCGTTTGCGGTACTTGATGATGGGGCTGGGCGGTTCGACGATGGCTATCAGAAGTTGCACTCGCGTTCTTCCACAATCGTCAACCTTCTGAGCGCCACCGCTAGCAATGCTGAATTGTCGTCCTCGCATGATTGGAAGTGCAGTCAAAGCATGTTGCCAAGGTATTTTGATGAGTGTAAAGTCTGTCATGGCTTCCAGTATGGTCCTTTTGGGGCGTGTGGTATAGTCCCAAAGCTCATCGATCAATTCTGGATTGGCTAATTCTAACAGTCGTTCTTTTTGATACGCCTCATCCTCAGTGCTGTCACCAGCAAAGTATACCAACCGTGCGAAGAATGATCGTCGAGGGATGGACATGATGTCGAGGACATTCTCCAACAACCATCGCAAGGTCAGCTTCACTTTGGTAAGATCGAGATGACGCAAGGGAGATGGTGTGGTGAGTTGCTTGGCTGCAAGGTCTTGATTCGTGATGAGCGATAATGGCACATCTGCAATATCATGCCAGCGCATGAGCTCCACGAAGGCTTGCACATCTTCCGGAAAGTTTTTCGGATGAACAACTGCAACAGCACCGGGACCGTATGGCAAATGTTCCTGGACCCGCAGGTCTAAGAGCCTAACATCCTGGAAGTGGTCTTCCGCAGTGATTCGATTGTTGGAATCAATGGTGGCCGTGTAGGCATCGCGTATTGGTAGAAGAGCAGACGAAGGCACTGCCTCTTTCGCGCTGTGCGTGAGCTGATCTTTGCACTGGTCGCTCGAGTGTAGACCAGAGCCAGCAGTGTCCCTGACGAGCTTCCATTTGGGCTCGATAAAGACGTCCTCTGCGATTGCTTCTACATTCTCAGGCAGAGGAAAGACGTCACGTAGTTTCTGCTCGAGCAACAGAATCCACTCTCGGAAACCAGCATTATGTCCTTCAGGGTGCTGCTCATTGCCCTCGCCTCTCTCACAAAAGCTTTGCGCGCCGAGCTGAGACAAGCGTCCACACACCAATCTATGTGACACATTATACTGAGCATAGGAGCTATCTCCCAGACCAAAGGACGAGAAACGCAGCTTGCGAAGGATACCCGGCTTCAGGGCACTACTGAGCAGTTTCTTCCAAAAGCCGCGTGCATTCTGCGGCATCTCACCTTGGCCTGTGGTGGAGATGGCAAAGATCACAACCGTCGGCTTGACCAGGTCCCGTAGCTGTACGGAGTCAAGGTCCAAGATGGTGGTGTCGAAGCGCAATCGCTCCGTCGTGCGACCAATCTCTTCTGCAACATCTTGAGCGTTGCCCGTCTCTGACCCATACAGAATCAAAGCGGTTCGATTAGGAAGCCTGCATGCCCGATCAGACTGGTGTGCATCCTACATGTGCGATGGGCAGCGCGAGCATGGTTGCTGCCCCTGCAGTGCGTAAGGGAGGGGGACGAGACATATTGTAATAATATGTGCATGGTGGCAAGTCTCAGGGGCTGCCATACCGTTCATGATGAACCTGCTTGCTCTCGGCGACACCCGCTTCCGCCACCTCCTCCGCGTAGCTGACGCTTTCCATCGATGGCAAACACCTTATTCTTTCAGTGGCGACACAGGCGCAGCAGACTCACGGGAGAGCAGAGCGAACGGGGAGCGGGGCGGCACGTGTATACCGCTATATCGCACACCTAAGCGCTGCTGGAGTGGCACTCATTGACGCGCATATAATAATAATAATAATAACAACGGATGGGTGGCGGCAGTGGAGGCTTCCTATACTGTAGAATGTACTAGTCCAGTAGTTCGCTGCGATAGCAAAATTCACCAAAATTCACGCGACACTCGCGTCTGGTATCAGATGCTAGCCTGAGTAGCCTCTCATTCGATTGGCTCCCGTCGGTTCATCTTGCCGTCTCCGTGCAAACTGGCGAGGGAAGAAGCTAGGGGTCCGAAAGCTTGGCGCCTGCCTTCTAGAATTTGGATCCATCTCCTTTCGCACTTCAGTTCTCCTTCTTCATCGTCAATCACAACACAATCAACCCCCCAAAAACACCCTCCAAATCACCAACAGGCCACGAAGCTAGCCAAAACAACTCTCCGTAAGTTGCGGCGGCGTGCTGCTCAAGGCATGGACGCGATGAGGTGCTCCAACACTAACTCATCACAGCTTGACAATCTGTTTCCACCAGCGGACCAAGGCACTTCGTTTCCTTAACCACTACACGACCTCAGCCAATCCCACACACACACTCAGTTCGATTCGTGTCGTCAACCATCAAACAAAATGTCTGTTGAAGCTGCAACCGCCCAAATGGCAAACACCACCCTTAACGAGCCTACCGGCACTGCGGAAGGCGCCAGTGTCGGAGCTGGCGGCGACAAGCCCATTAACGCATCTCAGAATGAGGCTGTCATTGCTAGCGCCGCTGAGGGCAGAAGACTGTACATCGGAAACCTCGCATACGCGACCACCGAGGGAGAGTTGAAGGAGTTCTTCCAGGACTACCTTGTGTACGTTGCACTTGCCATATCGTATTCTGCTTTTTTAGGAAGTTGCCTGCTAACATATGGCTATGCAGCGAGACCACTTCGATTCCCACCAACCCCCGCACTACTCGCCCAGTCGGATACGCCTTTGTTGACGTGTCCACTCCTACTGAGGCCGAGCGTGCCATCAACGACCTCAACGGAAAGACCATCCTCGATCGCAAGGTCTCTGTTCAGCTTGCCCGCAAGCCAGAGCCAGCCGCCGAGAAGACAGCTACAACTGGAGAGAATGGAGAGGCCGGCGAGGGCCAACAGCGCCGCCGCTCCTCCACTCGAGGACGTGGTCGCGGACGTGGACGTGGTGGTCGTGCCGCCCGTGGAGGCCGCAAGGGCGAGACCAACGGCGAGACCACCGAGTCCGCCACCGATGGTCCTACCAACGTGCCAGCCGCCGTCAACCCACTCACGCAGACCACTAACGAGGCTCTGACTGGACAAGAAGGCGAGGAAGGCACCATCACTATTGATGGCAAGCAGGGCAAGCCTCGCGCACCACGCGAGCCACGCAAGCAGCGCGGACCACCAGAGGATGGCGTCCCAAGCAAGACGAAAATCATGGTCGCTAACCTGCCATACGACCTGCGCGAGGAGAAGGTATGTTCCATTTCCGACATTTTGCTGATTGTTCCTTCCTCATACTGACTGTTCAGAAGCTACTCGAAATCTTCGCCGACTATCAGCCAACTTCCGCGAAAATTGCCCTCCGACCGATCCCCAAGTTCATGGTCCGCAAGCTCCAGGCACGCAACGAGCCTCGCAAGGGTCGTGGCTTTGGTTTTGTGACGCTTGCTAGCACCGAGCTTCAGCAGAAGGCCTGCGACGACATGAACGGCAAGGAGATTGAGGGTCGCGAAATCGCCGTTAAGGTCGCGATTGATAGCCCAGGCAAGGAGGATGAGGATCCGAACGCGCCTATCGGAGAGACTGGTGTGGACGCAGAGCCCTCCACCGCTGAGGGATCCGCCAACGTCAACACTGCCACCGCATAAGGGCCAGAGAAATATGATCGAGCCTGCATTCCGCTCCGTTACACTAAACTTCTCTGCGTCGTCTATGCAGCATTTTGGCTATCTGGTATGGACATTCGCTGCACAGATTCTGCGCGCGCACATTCAGCTGCGTCCGGGACGAATGACAGGTAGTAAGATGGATTACGCTCAATATTGACATCGATATGACATCGGATGCCTATGGAGTTTATGCCCTTCTGAAATTGTACTTCGATGTAGTTTTAGATACGAATAAGCTGGGGCAACCTGGACTGCCTCAACCATGCATCTTCTCTTTGTTGGTGACCTTGTGATGCGTAGCTCGCTAGAATTCTCACGTTTGCTACTGTTTCACATGAAGAAGTAGATTCGCCCATGAATTCATGATAGCCCTCGGCTCTTTGCTCCCCACATTGTTTTAGTGTGGTGCCGAGATCGCATTGACTACTGACGTCTGCTTGCCCCAAACCTCGAGAACACATTCTGCACGGTGTTCAGACAGACACGATGGCGACGAAACTGCGGATATTGGTACCTGTGAAGCGGGTCATTGACTATGCTGTATGAGATTCCTAGCAGTGGGGATGATGCATGGCACAACTCACAAACAACCGCTGATGGGTGTTTACCGCATAGGTCAAACCACGCGTCAACAAAGCGCAAACGGGCGTAGAAACAAACGTCAAGCATTCGATGAATCCCTTCGACGAACTATCCATCGAGGAAGCTGTCCGCATGCGCGAAGCGAAGAAGCCGGTCGAAGACATTCTTGCCTTTTCAGCCGGACCTGCGAAGTCTCAGGATATCCTACGTACTGCGATGGCTATGGGTGCCGACCGAGGCTTGCTTGTGCAAGAGGATAAAATTGAACTGGAACCGCTCGGGGTCGCGAAGTTGTTGAAGAAGGTTGTGGAAGACGAGAAGAGAAATCTGGTGATTTTGGGGAAACAATCTATCGACGACGATGCGAATCAGACTGGGCAGATGCTGGCAGGACTCTTGAATTGGCCTCAAGCTACGCAGGCTAGCAAGGTCGACATTGCCGAGGATGGCAGTGTGCAGGTGACGAGGGAGGTTGACGGTGGTGTGGAGACGCTGAAGGCTAAGCTCCCGATGATTATCACGACGGATTTGAGGTTGAATGAGCCTCGGTATGCCAGTCTGCCCAATATTATGAAGGCGAAGAAGAAGCCTTTGGAGAAGAAGACGCTCAAGGATTATGGAATGGAGGATGGAGGGAAGAGGTTGAAGACTATCAAGGTCGCTGAGCCGCCCGCGCGACAGGGCGGTGGCAAAGTGGAGGATGTCGATGGTATGATCGCGAAGCTCAAGGAACTGGGCGCGCTGTAAAAGGAGGAGACGAGTGAATGAGGGTTCTGTACATAGGTGTCGTAGGTTACCTGTGCTGCAAAGGAAGCCTGAGGTGAGTTCGCTGCCTCATCTGATCGGTAGCTAATCTGCCAAAGTCGCGCAGAGTGACGGTCGCTTGCCTTCGCCACTTCACAATACACGAACGCTTTTTGCATCTTCTTCCTGACCACCAATAGCACCACTATCCGCTACCACGGGTAGTAGAGTTCGACATTCACCGGCAACCGTCTATGCACAAGTGCCGTGCCACTTGTGAAGCACTGACTTCTCTTCACTTCTGCCAAATCTAGGAACCCTCCTAGCAACTACATATTCAGCGACCGCGGCGCAATCACGCAGCTTGCTCAAGCCGCAATCCCGTACCAGCACCCATCTTGCTCCGAAGCTACCAACCTAACGTCCAAAGCCAAAGCCAAAGCCAGCTTGTCACAACCGGATCCCGTTCTTCTTCTTCTTCTTCATTGCACCGGCTTGGGCGCATACACCGCTCGCAACAATTAATCGCATCTCTCGACAGTAACTTCGACTACGCTTCCGCCGCGGAGCAGAACGCACTCCGCCGACGGAATATCGACGGACGCGAAGGCAGCCAGAAATCAACATGGCTGATATTGAGGGATTCACAGACGTCCAGAATGCTGCGTTGGAGGGCGTGGTTGTGGGCGCCCTACTCTTCGTGCAGAATTTTGGACCTGACGGCGATTGGGGCGGGGGTGAGGATGATGACGACGATGGCGGTGATGATTATGATGATGATGAAGAAGAAGGAGGGGAAGAGGAAGAAGAGGAAGAAGAGGAAGAAGAGGAAGATGCAGATGGTGATGGCGAGGGCGAGGAAGAGGACGATGCGGATGGCGAGGGCGAGGGCGAGGAAGAGGATGTAGACGAGGGTGCAGAAGCAAGAAACCACTTTGTGACGACTGACCATACGCAAGGCACAGCCCAGCACGCAGGACCACCACAACAAACAAATTCCCAAGGCTGGGTGAATAATCCAGATGATGATGCAAGCGCCAGCACCCAGATCGGCAGCACGAACGATGACGGTCACGACGACGAACCCGTCGAGTTTGTGCATACCATGTATGTTGTCACGAGCGTCATCAAGGCCAGCGACAGTGGGAAAATCACCGAAGTAGGAGTTGCACCACTTACCTTCAACCACAAAGTCGGACCACTCCATGGTGATCACAACTATCACATCTTTGGAAACGAGTGCGAGGCAGCTCACGAATGTAAAGGCCCTTGCAAAGACGTCACCAGCATATCGGCCATCGCAACAGGAGAGGACTTTGTCTTGACGCTCAATCCGGGTGGCGATTACGTCCGAAGATTCATCCACGGCCGTCGACGATGCATTGCCACCTGCAAGAACGGGTTTCTTGATGACATTGGTTGCCTGAGCGACATGGTCAAGGATTATGTGCCGGAGATGTTGTTGTATGAGCAGACAATTGGGCTTGTCTCCTCTGCCCTACAGAAACCCATCTGCCCCGTGTGTATTGGACCTGCGTTACTGAAGGAGCAACAGGCACTTCAGCAGAGCCTCATGGAAACTTCATTCGTCGACATTGGCGAAGTCATCGAGTATCACAGCAGGCTCTCTGTGCGCAAGGCTGTGCTTCGAGCAAAGATGGGAGGCGGCCATCGCTTCGTGCAGTTCGATGAGCGACAGTGGGGAATGGCCTTTGACGACATGCTCGACGACGAAGACTACAACGACGACGATGAAAATTACTACGAAGGAAATGACGGTGGCCATTTCGAGCACTGGACCGAGGCGCAGGATCCAAATGCCAATCCCATACTCCGACCTGCATCCGATGAAACCATCGCTGCTCTTCCTCGTATCCCACGCAGCAAGCTTACACTCGCGAGCGACGACGAGACATGCTGTGTCGATTGCGAACCTTTCGAGACCAATTCAATCCTCGTGCAACTTCCTTGCGGCCATGCCAATTTCCACGAAGCCTGCATCGTCACCTGGCTGAAGCAATACAACAACTGCCCCATCTGTCGTAAAGAAGTTCCAGAAATCAATGCCCAGCATCAGCAGGAGGAGGACGACCAGAAAGCTGCACCGAACTACCAGGCGAACCTGATACGAATGAGCTTGGCAGAGGCGCTCACTTCGTTTGGATTCGAGGCAGAAATGGATTTTGCTGCTGTGGACCAGGAAATGTTGCCTGTGCTGTACACTCATGCGCGACAAGATCGTGCTGGATGGCGCACTGAGACTTCGATTGCTCGGCTCGAGGCGGAGATTGCGCTGCGGAAGGAAGCTGCTGGTGCTGCTGGACAAGGAGGTAGTCTTGCAAGCGCGACGGATAGCCCTGACATGGAAGATGGTGGCGGCAGTGGTGGAGGAGAAGAAGAAGAAGAAGAAGACTCTGTCATGTCTGACGCGTAGGTAGGTAAGTTGGAACTCATGAACAGTGGTGAGATCCAGTCTCTACCACCTACTCCTCCTAATTTCACAAAACTCACGAAGAATCTTTTTGCTTGGACAAACAAGGGCTGGGGGCTGGGGCCGCTTCGGCGAGAGGAGGACCACGACAGCAAAAGTCCCCTCATCACTCGAGCAATGGCGTTGTCTTTTTATTTTCCTTCTTATTAGCTACGCGAAAAGCAGACCGCCATATCCGTAGCGGAGCCTACTAGTATCGCTCTCGACTCGACTCGACTCGCCTAGTTCAACAATGATGGAGAAGTTGGGTGCGATAGTTAGTAGGTAGCTACTGTACGAGGTCGTAGCGTATGCAAGCGGTTTATTTACCTACCTACCTAGGGTACAATTCCTTCTAGTGTTACATGTATAGATAGGTACCTGTCTCTCTGTTTCCTACCTAGCTGGATGCCCTCTTCCCAGCTGGATGCGCTGCGCTGTTTTCCAACGCTACTAAATTTATCTTGTGGTGTGCGCGGACTGCTACTACTGCTGCTGCTGCTGAGAACTGTTCTTCAGTCCTCTTCGAACAGACGATTTCGCGAGCAAGAAATGGCGAGCGGCGGGAAAGATGGATAGATGGGTCTAGTCAGCCAGAGCAGAGAGCAAAGAGTGCTGAGCACTTCGTGTTTGTATAGCAGCAGCATTCGAGCTGGGCAGGGATGATGAACTCCTTCTTTGGCTAAATTTTCCGGTGTCCTGCTTCACTTCCAAGTCGTGCTCATGCCAAATTTCTCCAGATCTGCCGCCTGCGAGAATCCACCCACATAACCTCTGACATTCTCACACCCGCCATCAACTCTCTTGTCCTCGGCTTTGGGTAGCCATTCCCGAATCTTCTCTAACCGGTTATGGTTACTCGGATGCGTACTCATGAATTGCAATTGTTGTCCTGCTCCTCCACCACCACCACCACCTGCCTTTTTCTCTTCTTCCTCCATTCTCGCCCACAGACCCATGGCAGCCTGGGGCTCATAGCAAGCTTCAGCCATCATTAACAAACCAATATAATCAGCCTCTAGCTCCTGTGCTCGACTTCCGGGAAGTTGGAAAGCAAGCTGCGACAACGAACCCAAAGCGCCAGGATCGATGCCGAAGAACATTCCCACCAGAGGAAGCACCATCAACCACCAGCTTTGCGAAGCTCGCTCCGCAGCGTGATGTGCAACGTTGTGTGCGATTTCATGTCCCAACACCGCAGCCAACCCGTCCTCACCTTGACAAACATCGAGGATGCCTCGGAACACGAAGACTTTGCCGCCGGGAATGACAAAGGCGTTTTTCATGGGGTCGTCGATGACTTGTACTGTCCAATTTTCTCCGTCAAGTCCGCTATGCGGCAAGAGTCTCTGCAAAACACGTTCGACCATGCGGTGTTCTTTACTCCCACTCGACATGAGCTGGTTTCCAAATTGCTGCATGACTTTCTGGTATTCCTCCTGACCCATCTGTTTTTCTCGTTCGGGGGATATGACATTGAAGCGTTTCCGGCCCGATACGGCGACCGTTTCTAGATTGTAGATGTACACGACTGCGACGCCGCCGGAGATGGCGGCGACTTGGTAGTAGAAGGTGGGCTGCGCGGCCCATCGCTTGAAGAGGATGGAGGCGGTTTGGAACTGGCCTTGGTTGAACAAGGGTCGGCGACCATAGCTACGCTTTTGGCCGTATTGCCAGGCATATTGCCAATGTGTATTGCTGGGCTTAGGGCGGGTGCTGTTGGCTGCTGCGTTGCCGAAGGAGTTGCGCTGAGCGTTGCGATAGATGTCGTGCCATCGTATTCGTGCCGTTGGCCGAGAGAAGCTGGATGTGAAGCGTGGTAGAGTCGACAGTATCCTCCGTGTCGCCATTATTGAGTTATACAGAATGACAGCAGTAAAGCTGACCTGGAGCTATCCATGGCCCAAGGCCTTACGTACCGCTTAGGAGGACGACACGGCTATGTACCTGCACACACTCATACACGGCTGCTTACTTCCACATCTGTCCGACTAAGCAAGCCGCAACAGTCACTGCGCCAAACTTTGTCTACCTAGATAAGCTTTTTCTACACTGCCTGGTGGCTCTTGGGTAACACGGGAAGCGGAACTTCATTCGCATCGGACAGCGAGATATCTCGCCACTCTGGGTACTAGTTTCCATTACACCTGGTAGTCTCATAGAGATCGCTCATAGCTATCTTCAAGTAATGGAACCAAGCCACTTCACCAAGCGATAGCTGAGGTACAGAGTTGTGAGTACTGAAGGGTGTTCCGCTTCCCGTGCTGCCTGAGAAACTGGCTGGAACAGAGTACATAATGAGCCATCTTGAAGTTTCGAATCTGCCGGGATAGTATTTGCACTCCCAAGGTATGTCGTAGAAACATGGCGGCTAGATCTGATTCCTCTGATTCGGTGTTGGTACAGTATGCCTGATCTAGCTCTAGCTGCTTCGGCGCTATAAGTCGAGCTGGCCGAGTGAGCGGCCTCACGGTTGGACCATAGTACCAGACGCCGGCCTCTCTCTTACGGTGCATACCACCTAGCCAAGCATGATGCTTTGGATTTCAGCTGGCAGGTCCAGGAGGCTACGTGGTTGATGCAGCTGCACGATCATGGTGAACTTCGTAATAGCCATGGCGCAGGATCTTTTGCAGTAGTCTCGTGTCCCGGAGTGTCTGAGCAGAGTTGTTACCCTTTTCTTCCAATGTTGCAAGCACCAAGCACCGTATCCGCTTCGCGGAGCACGTTGCTCTTGGATGCCGACCAAAAAAAGCGCGTAGGTTCAAGGTTCAAGATTCAAGATTCCATTCAAGCCTTGCCACCATTCGGATTCCGCCACATATCATCCGGCAAATCCATACCCACTCTCCGAGCCGTCAACCTCACACGTTCCTCCTCAGACATATTCATGCCAGGGTTATAGCGTTCCACCAGAGTCGTGTACATGCGTTGAGCAGCCAAATACTGCACATACTGCTCAGCCTCCTCGACGCGCTTCTCGACCGGCTTCTGCGCTTGATGTTGCAATGATGGTGAGTCGGTCTGGGAGTGGTTGGCGAAGTCGGCTCGGATGTGCTTTTGCAGTGGGGATGGATTGGCGAGGATGGATGGAGTTCGTGCGGGCAGCTCTCGTAGGAGGCGGCGATAGAGCGAGCGGGCTTGGGAGTGCACGGGGGCTGACATGATGAAGAGAGGAGGAATCCGATCTGTCTCGCAAGGTATTTCTTTCCTACCTAGGTATACAGCAGATGGTCTGTCTCTGTCGTATAGAGAAGAGATGCGGAGTGTCGGGCATGCTTCACGTGATTCATGGAACATAGTTCTACCGAGACAGACTGAATAAGATAGCCGACGACTCAGAGACAACGTAGCTGGCTTTTGCCCAAGCTCAAGTAAAGGCTACACGAACTGCTTTGCGGCCGTCGAATTCTAGTCGTCTCCAGATCATGGCTACAAAATACGACAGGTCGGCATCATCAAAGGCGGGAGGGCCAGTCGAGTCGAGAACGCTATACAGCTCTATCTGCTACCTCTGCAGCGAACCATTGACACTGGCGCGCGACTTGCAGACACAATCCTGCAGTACCCATATTCATCTCGAACATAGGCGGAAGTGGACGTTCGGGACGGCAAGTTCTTCGGCTTGTGGGCAATCGTATTTGCACTCTTCATTATCATGGCTGACATTGCGTCGCACTGACAGGCCATGTGGTGCGGCAAAGGGAGGAAGCTATGCTACAACATATTGATGCCCAAAGGCTCAGAAGCCGGATCCTTCTCACAGTGTTGCTCGGTGCCAACGGTAGTGGTAAGTATCCGGCAATGTCACGTACAATAACCAGGACAGAGTGGAATTGACACGCTTAATCGAAGGATGCGATGTGAAGAGGAAGACGAAGGCGAATGCAAAGACCATTTGCACGTCCTGCCTCTCACTCCTTTGTTCCGTCGTCGATATCGGTGGTACCACCGCGCGATCCAATTCGCCGTGCGTAAAATTAGTTCAAGTTTCCAGAGTGAGTTTTGACTATCACTTCTCGGTGGTAAGACCATAGTATGATACAGTGCAATGTGCACATGAAGCTGTATACACGTCTTCTTCATTGCACACTTCTCCAGTTGGGACCGTAAGGCTGCCTACCACTTCGCACCCTTGCCCTTTTTCTTTTTGTTGGCGCCGCCTCCGCCACCACCCTGCTTCTGCTTTCCCTGCACGACCTCTCCTCCCGGCGTCGCAGGTCTGCTACTCTCAGTTTCGCTGGCAACAGCACCCTGCGAGAAGAGCGCCTGTCTGGCCTTCGCTTTCTTCCCCTTGGGCCGATACGTACTTCGATCGCGCAAAGGAAGCCATCTCTCAGGATCAGGTTTCTTGTTGGGGTCGTAGTTTTTGGGTAGACGGGACTTGCGAGCTTTCTTGGCTTTCTTGGGTTTCGTGTCCTCCGCGGGTCGTTTCAATGACTTTGGTACTGAAGATGAGGGAGGTTGAGCTACTCCTGAATTTTCAAGAGCGTCGACGTCAATGTTGGCGATGAGGCGAGATATGGGTGTGAGGGAGTCTAGATCTTGTTGTGAGGCTGTTTCGGGTGAGGCCGCTAAGAGACCCGCTGCGGCGTAGCGATCGTTGGGGTCAGTGCTGCGGAGCTCTTCGAAGATCTGCTTTGCCAGGTTCAAGTTCTCGGGATTATCAGTCTCGAGCGAGGCTTTGCCTGCGGCTTTGTAGAGATTAGTGAAGCCGGGCGGTCGCTCCGTGTCTCCTTGCTTGGCTCTCTGCTGGTAGTGCAATGCGGCTTCTGCCAGCGCGCCTCGAGCGCTGGACTTTCGTCCTTGGCTGAGGTACAGGCTCACTTTCGTCGCCACAAGTCCGGGTGCAAACCGTGCGTCGTTCGCCTTTTCATTGTCTTCGAGCTTCTTAGAAAAGCTCTCTATAAGAGAAATTGCAGCGGCAGGATTGCCAACTGACACATAAAGTTGTGTGAGTGTGAGGAGCAGTCCAAGGTCGCTCGGCCTTGTCTCTAAAACAGGCAGAATGTGCTTTAATGCCTCCTTTCCAGTCTGCCCTTTAGCGTGCGCTGCAGCATTTACGACTGAGAGGGAGTTGTAGAACGCATCTGTGCTTGGAGAAGCGTGTTGCTTCAACGTCTCCGCTGTTGATTTAGCAGTACCGGCATACTTTAATGCCTGCAAGTCCGTCGCATACACATTCCTCCGCAGCACTGACGATTGATATTCAAATGAGTAGTTTGGCTTGAACGATTCGAGATCTTTGGTCACCAGCCGTTGGACCAAGTACGGATTTTGTGTCGTGGTCGTTGCAGTGCTGTTCACGTGAGCAATATGCCGCGTTACAGCATCACTTATCGACTGGGTGTCCAGATTCCGGGCCAGCTCTTCTGCCTCCTTCTCCCTTCCTAACCGAGCCAGAACGTACACTTGCTGCACTCTGATGGGTATCAATTCAGCTTGCCGCTCCTCCTCACTTAAATCCTCCAGGCTCGAGCACAGATCGGCAGCTCTCTTGAGCAGCACTTCGCCCTGTCCCAGCTCTCCTCGCGCAATACTCCCACATGCTGCATTATACGCAGTCTCAAATGCTTCTAGATCTTCCCGCGCAGGCTTCTTCTGCTCGACCAGATCTCCCCTCCCAGACCATTCCAGTTGTGCATTTACTGCCCCACTGTTGATGCGCAGATCTGCTTCAGCATCCTCTCCGACGTCTGAAGATAATTGCCGATATAGTTCCGCTGCTCGTGCGAAGTCCTCTTTGCGATACCGCGCCTGGGCCTCGACATGCGCGTGTCCGCGGGACGGTGTCTTTGCTGCGAGTTCAGCTGCTGCCGCGGGATTGCCTGACTTGTATAGTGCATAGGCATACTCCAGAGTCGCTCTTCCCTTCAGCTGCTCGCCACCTGCGTTCAGTGCTGCGATAGCATCGTCGTAGCGGTCCAATTTCAGCAGAGCCACCACTTTCACATGTTGCGCCTCGATGTCGTTCTTGGACAATTTTAGCGCCGCGTTCGCAGCTCGTAGGACCTCGTCATCGTCCCGAATGTGCGTTTGCTTTAGGAGAGAGGCGAGGGAGGAGAGGGACATTTCGAGGCTGAGGATGTCGCTGTCATTGGTGGATCGAAACGATTCTCGGTTTTAGTTGTAAGTTCTAAGACGACGTGGAAGGGTTCGTCTTGGCATTTGAATTCGAGATATGGCCCCACTCTGCCTCCTTCAACCTCATGTCCCCTCATTTGAACTAACATCGACGCACGAGTGTAGCGGTACAACGTCTCGTCCACCGTACCAGAGTAATAGAAATGTCACAGATAATGTAACCAGAACAACTCATACTTATCAGACAGTCATCAAGTGAACTCCATTGCCATTCGGCCGTTGAAGATAGATTCCAAAAAAAACGCAAATTCGTATAACATAACTCAGAAAGATACTAGGCCCTCCGAGTTGAATATCTCCACAGGCGAGAAGGAGACGCCCCCGGAGCACGTAGCAGTTTGCCGCGCTCGCAAAGCGAGGAGAAATCATCGGTATTATGACTGCCTTCTCAGGATCAAGTACCATTGACAGCGCTGCTGCATGCACAACCTATACTTCTCTCGTATGTTGCTATGTGAGGACAGATGGAACTTTGGGACTGTGGAAAGCTCTGTGTTCATTGGAACATTCGCCATCGGTCTAGAGAAGGCCGTCAGGACGATAGATGTAGTGCGACTACAACTTGGAATGGTACTTGAGATTCATATCTTGCGAGCCTGGGCAGTTGGTAATCGCGCTGAACCACACTTGGTCGTGATATTCTTGATAGAAATGCTATATAGAACCCCTCATCGAATCATCACTCCCGGACTACCCATTCTCCCTGGGCGGCCTCATATCTCCACCGTCATTCCAACTGCTCTCTCGACTATGCCCCCTATCATATCCCAATAAGCCAGCCTCATCCTGCCTCTCATCATCATTATCATCAACATCCTCTCTCAACGCTCCAGCCCCACTGCCAATCTTACTAGCATCGCCAGCATTCAACACATGATACAAATCCTTCTTCGTCAACAACCCTTTCAACGACCCCCGGTCCACAAAAATGATATACCTCAATCCCAACTTCTGAAACATCTCATTAGTAAGCTGCAAGCTCGAATTGCTCCGCAACGTAATAGGCGTCTGATCCATCCAAGGTCTCAAGTCCAGAGTGATGGTCGGGTCGGCGAGTGGCTGGTGCGTGAAGAAACATTCCGTACTGTCGGGGAGATTTCGAGAGGTTTGAGAAGTGGCGGATTCAAGGGCGAAGTGAAGTTCAGCGCGCGAGATGTATCCAAGAAGGATAGCGTCATCTTCTCGAGCATCTGACACGACTGGAAACCCGCGAAATCGGTGTTCCTGTAACAGCTCTTGCAAGGTTTCGATGGTATGACCGGTGGCTGGTATGCAGACCAGATCATCGAATCTTGTCATGATTTGTGCGACAGGGACATCTGGAACGGGCGTGTCATCCTTGTTATCCAAGAAAGGATAGCCTTGAAAGTGAATCCAAGATTCGTAGATCCCCTTCTTCCCAAAAGCATCCGCAACCCACTTCGATAGCATGACCGCGATCATGATGGGCAAGACATAAGTCAGAGCGCCTGTGAGTTCGAACATGATGACTACGATAGAGACTGTCATTCTCGTCGCGCCAGCTAAAGCCGAAGCTGCTCCTACGACCGCGTAAGTCCCAGGCGTGACGCAGGGGATATCGGGTTCGCAGGACGCAAATGCAATGAAGTTGGGATGTTCGCCCTGCCAGACTTCGACTATCAGTCCGATGACGCGGCCATAGAGAGCTCCAACGCCCATTGATGGGAGGAGGATTCCGGCTGGGATCTGAAGTCCAAAAGTCATGGTTGCGAGGAGGAAGCCTATGAGTGCCGAGGTGAGGAGGATGAAGATGTTGCCTGTGTTGGCCACGCCAGACTTGCACAAGCCGAGATAGTCATCCTTGATATCTCTGCACTCAGCAAACAGATGTTCGACCAGTTCGCTTGATTGCGCTCGGAGGAAAGTGATGGGAAAACTGATCAGTGCTGTGACAAGTGCCACAACCACCACTTCCACAACCGGCTTCTTGAGGAACGGATTGGTCTTCGATGCCCTCCAAGCTGCAACTCGCATATTCAGCTTGATGAACAGCGCGCCATAAAGTCCTCCAATGATTCCAATCACAGCAAATGGCAGCAACTCAAAAGCGTGCCATCCACTGTGATAGGTGACCTGATAGAGTACCAACTGTCCAGTGCGAAAGGGATCAAAAGCCTGCAGTGTCACAGCCGCAACCATGGCACAGACAAAACTCGCCCACATGGTCTTGTCAGGGAAGTAATAACTCAGTTGCTCCAGACTGAACAGCACCCCTCCAATGGGTGCGCCAAAAGCCACACTGATTCCACTCGCAGCAGCTGCAGAGAGAGTCTCCCTCTTCCTTGCCTCATTCTGATTGATAGGCGGGAAAAGCTTCATGAACAAATTCGCAACACAACACGCCACGTGCACGAGTGGACCTTCTTTTCCCAACCACATCCCACTGGCAACAGCAAGACACAACCCCAGGCTCTTGACAGCCAACGTCCAAGCCCCCAAAAATTTCCGAATCACAAAGCCGCCCAAAACAGTCTTGATCTCCGGGATCCCACTCTGTTTCGCATAAACCGAATACCGATTCACCAAGAAGCTCGCACCACTCGCAAACACCACGCTGAGTACCACAAAGACCATGTACTCTACCACGTACCCTCCCCCTTTATTCTTCTCCCCCACGCCCACCATCCGCGACCAAGCCCTCCAATCCGGACATTGATCATAACTGTCGATGCCCCAACAGCAAAACACCTTGTTCAGATAAAAAGCGCCTCCATGTTCCACGTTTGAGCACATTCCAGTCTTCATATCACCCAACCAATCACTCACGACATCGATCCCCGCGGCGATGCATCCGACCACAACGCCTGTGCAGACAAGGATGATCCATATGTGGGAAGCATCTGCCAGCAGACGCAATTGACCGATCAGGCCTGGGTTGTGGGCAACGAGACGTGCGAGGCGAGTTCGCTCTTTGTTGTACTCGTAGATCCAGTCGATGGCGGTCAAGTTGTCGTAGATTCCGACGCGGCGGGGCGCGGAGGATTCAAAGGGGTACCAGTCTACTGCATCTTTTCCGTTTGCAGTGGGCGGGGCGTTGTGGTGGTCTGATGGAGAAGATGTGGTGGTCGCGGTGATACTTGTACTGCTACTCCACAACCGACTCGCAAAGGACGACGGGGTGGCAGTGGCTTTGAGTTTTCGTTTGAAGGATATTCCACCATCACCACCACCACCGCCGCTACCACCGCCGCCGCCCTGTCCGTTCAGCTGTTGTTCGATCAATGGGTCGGCAGCGAGGAGGTCGTCGTTTCCAAAGTCCCGGCCATCATCGGAGGTGGTGTCATGATCGGCCGGGGATGTGCGACGACTGGATTCGGCTATCGGGTCGCCATATGGGCTCGACGACGAGCTGGACATGGAGTCGGTATTATGGAGTCGCGAGCGTGCACATGGTGGTCTGATGGTGGTTGTATGCAGGAGGTACGACAGAGCTCTCTACGTATGCATGAAGTCGCCGGGAGGTTGCAGCCAAACAAGCTTCGAGTTGAGCCTCACGGGACCAGGGTCCTGCAAGCTTTCGGCCCCGGTCAATATAGTATGTACTGTACCTCCTATGTCGCTGTACTGTAGACGGACAGACACATGATGACAGAACAAAGGACATGAGAATTTGACAATGAATGCTACTGTGAGACGATGCTCATAAATCATGTATCTACGGGTATGCTAGTGCTCGGAGACATTCCAAGTCAGCCTTTTCCGAAGCGGCTGCTGCTTCGAGACGATCCAATTCGACCAGGAACTCGGCCCCCGTAGCGCGCATTTTCATACGTTCATCGTACTGCTGCTGGCCGACTGCTCCTCGTGAGGGGCCTGCGCCGCCTTTGCAGCGCGTAGTATGGTGCCACAAAACGAGGCAATGGAAAAGGGCGCTCCTTATCCTTGGGTGGTGTGGGGGATTTCTGTCCCACGCAGTACGGGCTATGGGTCGAATTCCCAGTCCGAGGAGCTAGTCATGGCTTGCTGACCCGGCTGATGTTCGAAGACCATGTCTATTATTTTCGTGCCCTTCTTGGAGGGGTATCGTCATCAATGACCGCTTCACCCAATACGCTTGTCGGTGTGTGTATAAAGGTTGATTCTACGTCAAGTCTAGCGCATTCGTATATGGCCTGGGCCTTGGCACGCTGTCGCCGTTCGCAGAGCTCTTGTTATTCGATGAGCTCTTGTGATCGACCAGGTCTCTGCGCTTCGTCAGGTGATCGTAGGAAGAGAATCCTATACATTCTCGAATTCAAGCTCATCATCGTCGTCCGCATCACTAGCAGCAGGAGTATCCTGAGCAGGAGTCTTGTCGCCGTTCGGAAGGGCCATTTTCGCACGTTTGGTTTCGCGCTCATCATCCGTAGCATTACTGCTTTCTTGATTCGCGGGGGTGTTAGCGCCATTCGTACTGGTTCCAGCAAGACCGTTGGCAGCACCATTAGCAGTGTTTGGAGTTCCCGCGATGCCCTCCACATCCTCGAATTCATCCTCCTCGTCGTCATCCTCCTCATCTTCTTCCTTTTGTAATTCGGCTTCCTTCTTCTGAGCGAGTTCGAGCTCTTTCCAATAAGCAGCCATCACATCATCATCACCCTTGACAGCCTTCTTCTCTTCTTCCTCTTCATGTGTGAGCACACCAGTGTGGGCCTCGCGTTCAAGACGTTGCCGCTCTTCCTTGGCACCGACAGCAGTGATATCTCCAGAGATGGTAGACTTGGATATCCACTCGGGCAAAGCGTTCTGTCGGGCTTCCTTTTCTTTCCGTGCCCTTGCATCGGCAGCGGCACTTTCACGCTTGACGTCCTCATCATCCTTGAGCTCGACAGCGATCTTCTCGGGTTTGACTTCAAGACCCTTTGTACTCTGGAGGTTGCGATTGGGCACGTCAACAATCTCCGTCCTCGTGCCAGGATGTGAGTCGGCCTTCTCGATGGGCTTCTGCTTGCTCAAGGCCGTCTCAAAGTCGTTCTCCGGCACAGCAGCAGCATCGATCTTCTGCATCAACTCGACCAGCTTCGCAAACTGCTGATTCATCCGTTTCATGCTCTCGTTCTCGTTTGCGCGCTCCTCCTCGTCCACAGGCTCCAGCGCCGCACCGCACTTGGCGCAGAGAAAGTCGCCCGTAGCCATGTCAAGACTGTCCATGGCCTCTAACTCAGTGTAAGCTCTCCCGCATCCCCTGGTAAGACATTTCAAATCCTTCTTCTCTGTCGTCGATGCACCTTGTGACTCGATGTGCTTGCTGAGCTTGTACATGCGAAATTTGATGCTGTCGATGGCTCTGTGGTAGTTGATATAATACCAGTCTCGATGGGTCAAACGCTCTTTGCCCTGCTGTGGAGCGCCGCCATAATAGCCACCCGTGCCATCAGTCCTGCGTTCGGCACGAGACTGCACGCTGATGAGTCCATCTTCCCTCAGTCTTCCGCAGGTCTTACGCAGCGGCTTGACTTGGGTGCCGAGGACGTGAGCCAAGTCCGAGTCTTGCAGGGTCGAATGTAGCATCAGCGCATCGATAATGAGTATGTGCTCTGTGGTGTAGAAGGCGCGCGACACGGTGCGGATCAGCTCTGTTGCAAGGTCGGCCATCCTGTGCCCTCTTTCTCTCTTCCGCTGATTCCCTTAAAGTCTGCGGTGTGTGTGATGGTTGGCGTGGGGTTCTGTAGTCGGCGCGGAAGGCGGAGAGAAACGAGCGGCGTGGAATGAGAAGGGCGAGGGCGAGGACGAAGGTAAGTGCCCAGCAACGGCGCAGTCAAGCGGTGCTGATGAAGGAGGAGCGGGAAGAGAGGGAGGAAGATCACAGAGTCAGGAAGACATCTAGACATCCATCTTATCTCTGGATAGATCCGTCCCCGCGCGTGGCTGCCTGGGATCAGAAAGCTTAATTCATTTTCACATGGCTGCACCTCACTCCACCTTCTACAGTACTTCACAATCCCTTCTGTTTCTGTCTTCTGCCTCCATTCATGACCATTCCCGGACGACCATGGAGCACTCTACCGCCATTCTCGAAGATGCTGGCAAGAAGATTGACAATGCTGCCGCTGAGCAAAAGCCCAAACGTGAAGACCAGTCGGATCATGCATCCTCGTCCAGGACCAACGGCAAGAAGTTTGACAACAGGCGCGACGACCGCAAGCGTAAGGGCAATTGGAACGACAACAGCGTACGCCAAGGAGGAAGAGGCGGCAAGTTCAATGACAATAAGCGACATAAGAAGAGCGATCTGGGACGAGGAGACTACTTGTATGTGACATTCGACGAACATGAGAGAGCCTTGAACTGACGTCTAACACAAGTGCTTCCAACCCAGACAAGCGTCAAAAGAACTTGGAAGCTCAGGAGAAGCGATCACGAGACGGCGTCAAAGGTCAAGGCATTGAGTTCTCCAAGGAAGAGATTGAGGCAGAGAAAGCAGAAGGGCGAAAACCAAAAAGAAAAGTTGCTGTATTGATTGGCTACTCCGGAACAGGGTACAAGGGTATGCAGATATCCGCAAAGGAGAAGACCATCGAGGGCGACCTCTTTCAGGCTTTCATCAGAGCGGGTGCCATCAGCAAGGCGAATGCAGAAGACCCGAAAAAGAGCAGCCTGGTGCGATGTGCTCGCACAGACAAAGGGGTCCATGCTGCAGGAAACATGATCAGTCTGAAGCTGATTGTGGAGGATACAGACATTGTGGAGAAGATCAATGCTGAGCTGAGCCCCCAGATCCGAGTGTGGGGTATTGAGAGGACGATTGGAAGCTTCTCGTGCTACCAGGCCTGCGACAGCCGATGGTACGAGTATCTGATGCCTTCGTATGCTTTCCTGCCTCCGCATCCAAGCAGCTGGTTGGCTAAACATCTTGAAGCTGATGCCGATGAGGTCGGAGATCGGGAAGGGTATGAGTCGCGACAAGAAGAAGTCAAGGGCTTCTGGCAGAGAGTGGACGAGGAAGATATCAAAGCGGTACTAGAGACCATTGATGATGACATCAGATGGGATGTGGTCAAGGCTCTGCAAGGGGAAGATGAAGCCAATGTCAAGACCGACGCCGGCGCCGATGCTGGGCAAGAGGTCAAGGTTGGAAGCACCATCACTGCTGCGACTGGAGCATCGAATGAAAGCACAGAAGAAGCCGTCCTTGTATTGAACGATCCAACCATCAAGCCAGAAGCCACAAACGACGATGCACTAGATGCAACTGCGAAATCAGAACCTCCCCTTCCCACAGACATGCAACCAGAAGGAACCACAGCAGAAGAAGCAGAGGTCATAGCCGCTGCTAATTCTGCCGCAACAATCAAAGCCGACCCTACGCGACCAGCAGACCCCGCACCTGATGTCCCTGTACCAACAGAACCTATGGACCCCGAAATGGAACGCGTCCTTCGCATACGAGCCGCGACCAAACTCCTCCGTGAGACGTACATGAATGCCAAACGGAAATATCGCATTCCACAGAAGCGCATCGAGCGTATTCAGAACGCCTTGAACAAATATATTGGAACCAAAAACTACCACAATTTTACCATTCAAAAGACCTTCAAGGACCCCAGTGTCAAGAGGCACATAAAATCCTTCAAAGCCAACCCTAAACCTATCCTCATTGGCGATGGACCGGATGAAGAAAAGACGGAATGGTTGAGTCTCAAAGTGCACGGCCAAAGCTTCATGATGCATCAAATCCGGAAAATGGTCGGTATGATTACACTTCTCGTGCGGGCGGGAGCAGACTTGAAAACAATGGATGCGTCCTTTACCGAAACACGATTCAGTATTCCCAAAGTGCCTGGTCTAGGCCTCTTGCTCGAGCGACCTGTCTTCGACTCGTATAACAATCTGCAAGCGAGTAAACATGGTCGGGAGAAGCTCGATTTCAGCAAGTTTGAAACGGAATTGGAGGCTTTTAAGGAGCGCGAGATCTATCAACGCATTTTTCGGGAGGAGGAGGAGAAGAATGAGTTTTCGAGATTCTTCAATCACGTGGACAATTTCAAGGAACCGCACTTCTTGTTCGTGACGAGCAAGGGAGTGGATGCGATCAAGGGCATCGAGAGGAAAGGCATCAAGGAGGAAGAAGTGGAAAGTGAGACCGAAATGGGCGGCGCAGAAAATTAGCGCTCCATATATCATTGATACCTAGGTACGATGAAATCGTGCACGAACCATCATTTTTTTCTCGTCCACTATACCGATCTGCAATATTGTACATCGAGAAGCCATCCTCGTTCGCCAACTGTACGGCTATGGTAAGGTCCGTCTGATGACTAGTGAAAAAAGGTACTGTACCTACCTACCTACCGCTCTGCTCTACTTCGTCTGCCCTACTCTGCCTTGCCTTGCCTCGTTCCCCTACAGCCATCGAATCGAATCTTCCAAGCCTTCACTTCCCCTATACTTCTCTTATATATATCAACCCCTATCCTCCAAAAAAAGCATCGCAGCACAAGAAAGAAAAAGGAACAATAGAGCCGGAGTTAGAATTTAGTCAAAGAACTTCCTTAGAGACAGACAGCGACCTCCTCCTCCTCCGCTCTCTCCTCCTCCTCCTCCGCTCTCTCCTAAAAGGTACCGAGCAAAAATAATCCTAGAGGTAGTAGCTAGAGCTACAGTAGCGTGATACCTCCACTATTTCAAGAGACAAATCAACCCTATCGTAGGTAATCTTCTTGTCTCGAAAAGTATCGCAGCGAAGCAATAGAAAGAATGGATAGAAAGAATAAATAGCCGTCGAGTGAGTGGTTGATGAGTACATACAGTTGGAGCTCTTGTGGAGACAAATTAAATCAATAAGCGTACCAAATGTGTAAAGTCCCGCAGCTATCCGAACAAATGATGTGAATTGTATTGTGTATATTATCACTGCAAAAGGGGGGATTCAAAGGCATAGATTAGGAAGAAGAAGAAGAAGAAAAAGAAAAAGAAAAAGGAACCAAAAAGTACAAAAAAACAGACAAAACATTAATATTATCGAGACTTTTGTCTACCCAGGCAAGTTGAAACTCTCCCCCCTCCCCCTCCTCCGCTTCTGTATCTCTTCTATCCATGCCCGCCCCAAAATCTGTCTATACTCTAGAAAAGAAAAAATCTTTCCATCCAATCAAAAAAAGTCCACCAAAAAGGTATGTAACCCTCCTGATATAAATATACAACTGTCCCTCGTAGGTGAAGGGGGTGGAGATAGATATGCTTTGAACTTTTTCTTCTTCTTCTCCTCCCACACCCACATATATCTTTCCCTCGGTTTTGTATATATATATCAATGAAGAGGGACAGCAGCAGCCAGATATTTCTCCCCCGCGCCACCACGCTTTGCTTGATGCGTTATGCTCTCCCTCAAGCAGCAGCACGAGAAGTCGCCTTCGCCTGCAAGTCCCGGTAGGCCTCGAGGGCCATCATGGTCGTCACAGTCATGTACTGCGGGATAGCGGCGTTTGGGGTACTTCCCGGTGGCAGAGCAGTATTGGAAACCGTAAGCTGGACCATTGTCATAGCAGAGCTGAAGGTCAGAATCTTCGGCTCGGAAGAGGTAGAAGAGGAAGAGGTAGACGAAGTGGTGGTGTTAGGAGCGCTGGGTTGGACATAGACGGTCTTCATGACAGTGGGACGGGGAGCGGGAGTTTCAGTCATGGTGACCCTGTGGGGCTCGGTGTAAGGAGGTGGAGCGTATGGGGTGGGGGTTGCAGCGTCGGATTCAGTGCTGGAGGCGTTGGGGATACCGCCGGTGCCGGGCGTGTCTTCGTCGAAGTCGTGGGCGACTTCTAGGTCTTCGACCTTCATGCACTTAAGCCAGATGGAGCGGCCGAAGAGTTTGTCTTGGGACTGGCATTGCCCTTCTGATTGCGAGATATCATCCATTCTGTACAAGACAGGTTAGCATCCGTGACGGAGAACTGGAGACGGAGAGAGAAGAGGTGGTGGTGGGAATGATGCACTTACGCCTGTTCCTTGCCGGTGCAATCCTCCTCGGAGTAAGCGTACAGGCGACACTCCTCCTTCTCGCCAAGCTTTCCCTTCAAATTGTACGAGATCTCAGCCTCGAGGCTGAGGAAACCAGGCTCATTACCTTTGAAGGTAACGCAGTCGTCAGCTTCGATCTCCTTGAGTTTGCTAATTTTGGAACCCTTTTCGCAGTTTGGTGTGCCGTAACGTTGGACCTTCACATGGTGATGGCTGTGAAGACCACGATTCTGGTGTTGATGTTCGGCGAGTGGACCGGCCAGAGCGAAGCCGAAGATGCTCAGAAGGCTCAGCAAGATTAGCTTCATTATGTGAACGGGTACGGTAAATGTTAGATGGAAAGCGAGGGAGAAAGTAAGGTAGATGGTGAGGTCGATGGTGAGGTCGATGGGGAGGTCAATGTGAGATCAATAGTGCTGGAACGAGCAGCGGAAGAGACAAAGAACAAACATGAGATGGCATGAGCAAAGGCGCTACTTATGTGTTTCTTGTGTCGATGACCGAGCAGCACAGGCCGGATAGAAACCTCTTTCGTTGGCCATACCTCCAACTTCTTTCGAGGCATCATTTCGTAATGGTTAGGTGATTGTGGTCAGCATTTGATCAATTGTGTAGTTCATCATTGGCCACGCCAACCAGGAAACATTGGCACGACCAGAGAACATACACTACCTTACCCGGCGAGCAGAGAATTGCAGAAACAACCTACTGTTGATGCAACCGGAACACGCGGAAATTGGTCACCGCTCTCGAAATCTGTTGCATTGCATGCTCATTCAGCTACATCGATGACAACATGTTCACCACGATTGCTGCAAATGGCCGTTTTTGCGCTATCGGTTCGAGTTGAAAGAGTGGCTCGGAGGAGAGCGCAAGCTCTGTCAAGTGAATTGCGGGTCCAATGCCAGCGCGGACAGCCGTCATTGGCATGTCTTCCATGTGGTAAAATGGTAACGCGCAACAAGACCATGCCTTCTTGAGCCAAGGCACACTCTGACCATGCATTCCGATACCTTCCAGGCCTCATAGCGGCATCCGCGCTCATGCGATCCTACGCGTCGTTGACTCGTTCTCGTTCATTTCAGAAACCGGGTGCCGAGGAAATGGAATACGGTGGGTCTGCGCAGCATTGGGGCTCTTTTCTCATCGCTTCGGATACCAAGGATCAGGACTTGATGGCCTCACGATATTCGGCGATGCGATAGTGATATTGCCCCATGTTTGTAGCGGAGGCGAGCTCTGTGAGGGCCACTGTTGTGAGTTCGTGTTCTGTGCGGAGGGAGGTTGCCACTGTGCTGTCGAAGTCGAGCTTTGCGGCCAGCTAGACTGCGTTGCATTGCCGTTTTCCCATGTGCCCTGCGGGGTCTGTTGTCCAGTACGAGAGGTTTGTGCACTCTGCTGACCAATGTTCTGCGCAGACTGTGTAGTAGGTTGCGCAGAGTTGGGGGTCGACTGCGCAAGCGCAGAAGAAGTATTCTGCTGAGTCGGAGACTGCTGGGAATCTGCGCTCATTATTGCTCTCCAACCCGCGGGTGCTTCATATTTACAGTCCAATCTGCCAGTTTTAGAGCAAGGTCCGCAATGAGGCCGTCCTTCGTCGCAGCGCCTCTTGGCTAATCTGCAGTTAGTACAGGCCAGCACAGATCTATGCCTGGATTGTGCAACAAAATGGGTCGCGCTGGGTGGGCTCATCGCTGACCGCTGGGACTGTTGTGGCCAGCGGAGAGGGGGCTTGTTCGTCGGGACCATCTTCATCGTCGTGAACAAGCCTTGCGACGCCGATTGTTTTCGTGCAGGCGTGCTGCTGCTCACACGAAATTGCTGGAAGTTCTTCGGGTGCGGAGGGTTCTTCAATGCAGCTGACGTACCAGAGGGTGGTGTCAAGGCTGTTACTACCATATTCCTGCCCTTGGGCTGATATGGAAGCGGATAAGGAAGTCCATCCGCTGACTGACGCAGGGCTGGGGGCGGAGTCTGCCATGAGGGTAGTTCATATGCAACAGCCGCCGCACCAGGCGTGGACTTTCCGCCGTTCTCATTCGTTGGAGGTGGCGCTTTTGCTGTCTCGCTCTGTCTGAGCAAGTCTGCCAGCGATAGTGGTTGTTCCGAGAGTCGCCCTGGTGGTGCAGTCTCGTCCCGCTTCCGCTTCAGCGGTCTACCTATGTTCGAGGTCGAGGGGCCTGATTGTGCTGGGGGCGGTTTGACCAGCGCTAGAGCCGAGCTCGCAGTCTCCGCCTGAAGCATTGCTGATAAACCACCGGTGTCCTCTTCCTGTGGAGCGATGGGCGTCGCAGCACTCGGCAATCTAATCCATGAGCTTGAAGTTCGCTTGGCCGCTGCTGCTGCTCGGGCCGCCGGTTTTCTCGCGGCGACAGTTTCATGGATCGCGTTGTGCCGGTAAAACACATCACAGCTCTGTCTCGAGGAGCTGAACTTGATGCTGACGCTGCCTTTGCAGTCATATGTCGGCTTTCGCGGTCCTCGCTCGGCGCCGCCGGGGTCCTTGAGATGCTTGAGGATTCGCGTGTAACCATTCGCATGCCGGTCCTTGTTCTGCATGCTGTCCTGACAGATGAAGGAGAAGCGCGCGCCTTCCTCGTCCTTTGCCGTCCAGGCATTGTTGAAGCTGTATCGGAATCCATCGAGGGCTTCGATCGCCGAGATGATCCCTCTCGAAGCCGCCCGTTGCACAACCTGCTTTTGTCTGGCATCTGTCACATTGATGATGGCGCTACATGGCGCGCGAGGATGTTTCTGCCCGGGATCGTGTTCCATCTCATACAGCCCGTTCTTGAACTCGAACGGCAGGTCGTGGTCGCCGCCCTCGGAATAAGGTCCGATCCCCGGCCGCACCAGCGGAATGACGGCGGTCAAGCCCAGCGACATCTCGAGGGTGGTGCACACCGGCATGACACTCTCCGCGGCGGCGTCGAATTCCTGGCGCAGCGCGGCGATCAGCGCTTCTAACGAGTCGTAGGGTCCCGCGCGCGCTGCGTGTCGTGGTCCTACGAACTGGACATGGCCCCCGCCGCCATAGTCGGTCGCGTCGCCAGCACGACTCCCGTACGAGACGCGAGACATGGCGCCCTCGGCCTCTGTCTGTATAGGTGTATGGTATGTATGCGCGCCGCGTGTATGGATGTTGTGTGGGTGCCCGGTCGTTCGGCGCGTGCTGTTGATTACTGCGAATAAGGTGCGGATTAGAAGGGTTTGAGAGGTCCCCTCCCGGGCCTCCCCTGATCTGGCGATCGGACTCGGGTTCGCATGCGGCTCGTCGGAAGACGGCTGCTTCCTTCCCCGCAATCTGCCCGGATGGTGCTGCCTGAATGAACTATAACTTCTACTACAAACTGTCAGTATAGGTATATTCAAAATCTATATCCTTTGGCTTCAATTCGAGACTTACTAGCAGAGCTATATAGTACTGCTCCAAGTTACCGACTTGCTAACACTCGATAAGGTCAATTTATCTACTATAGCTGAACCGCAATAGCACAAATGAATTGTCTCTGTTTATAATATATCCGAGACCTATCAACCGGGAAGAATGCAACGACAATTGTAAGGATACTATCGGAAAATATGGGCGACAGTCTGGAAAGCTGGTGTTGATTCAGAACATCTGTCTCTACTCGATGCCGCCTCCCATCGTTCCATGTCTACCACAAACGCCGACGCTAATCCCAGTTCACAAGAGTTTCCTATCATCGTCACAACGGAGCGGGTTACCCGACTGTCAATCAAGACAAATCAAACCCAGCACCGCTCCTTACCGCTGCGAGCAACCTTTCCCTCAAGACCCCCTCACTTTTGTACATGGGCAACTTCAACAAATTCACGCAAGTGCTCGTTGTCGGATACCGGTTCTCATCCGGCCCAGAATCCCGAATACTGAATCTAGGGTTCAAATGACTGAAGCCCAGCAGCGGGCCTCTCGGCGTAGAAGTCACAAACTTCAGCACTTTTCTCCGATCCGCATCGTCAATGGTACTAAACACCTTCCAGAAGAGCTGAATGGTAGGATGTTCTTGCCCGTCATTGCCGATAACGTATGTGCCTCCATACTGGGTGTTGCGTCTCAGGTCTGCAATGTCGATTCCTGCTCCAGAGCCGCTGATGAGGGTTTGGAGTTCGGATTGATTGAACATGGAAAGCCAGCTGGATTGAATGATGTCGCTGAGACCGCGAAGGAAAGCGCGGGTCTGGCGGTGGGACTGGCCCTTGAGTCGATACGAGGCCACGGCATTAATATATGCTAAACGATTCTGATTGGTGACGGGAATGTTGGATCCGTTGGGCATGAGATCCACTTCGTATACCTCTCTTTCAAGATCTTCAGGCGCAGGCTGAGGCGACTCACGGACATTCTCGTCTGGCCAGATATCAGGCGCCCTTTTGCAATCGTAGATGACTTCGTCCGTGACCGAGAACGTCAAGCCGAGATCTTCGGCATTCTCTGCGTTCTTGACAGCCAGCAAGCCTCTGTATAGTCCCTCATCCAATTCGCGAAGGTCGTTGATGTTGGGACGGTAGTGGTTGTCGTTCGCAGAGCTGCCTGCACCACCTGTGAGGGCCCACTTCTTCAAGAAAAAGCCAGCAAAGCTCACGTCCACTAGTATTCCCTCATATAGACATTTGCCAATAATCCTTCCTAAGAACTCGTATTGCTGGGATAGCATGCTAAACTCCTCCCGCACGACTTCATCTTGGTCTCCTCCACGAAGTCTCAATCTGCAAACTTCAAAAGCCACCGGATTAGGATGGAGCAGATGTTCGTCATTCGCAGTGAAAAATGGGGGCCACTCTTTATTGCACTGTGGGTCCATTGCTTCATTGATGACTGAGGTGAGAAATTCTTTCGTGACGCCTCCTCCATCAATGCCCGCCTCTTTCATGTTCCATTTGTCCACAAATGTAATTTGTATAGGTTCCTTGAGATCGGCACCGATCTTATAAAAGTGCTCAAAAGCGTCGTAGAACAGGTGCCTTCGCCTAATTGTGGCGTGATGCCTATCCAGCATTTCCTGGGGTGACCGACCATTAGCATGAGGCTGGAACATCAAGTTATGTCTCCAAAGATCGGGATCCACGATGCCCTGACGTCGCTTCTCTTGATCAAGATAAACAAACTGTCTAAAGGTCTCGACTCGGGTGTGGAAGGGAATGATGAAAGGCATGTTCTGAAGGATTTCCAGCTTGGGCGCCACAGACTGCAGATAGCGCTGCCTGCTGGCCTTTCTCTGCTGCCGTTGGCGACGTTCTTGGGCGCGAAGCACACTGGCGCGGTCTGTGGCTCTGTTTGCAGTATCTGAATCGGATTCTTCATCAAAGTCGTCGTTGGATTCACCACTCCGATCCTCGTCATCTTGCTCTTGCACCATGTGGCGGCGTTCTTCTTCCTCGACGACACCTCCTATGAAATGCGTCATGTCGAAGCGATCGGTCATCAGCCAGTGATCTTTTGGCAGAAATTTGCGGCGGGAGTCTCGTTCATAAATGGCACGCAGTAATGCCGTAATCAGTCCTCGTAAGTAATCGAAGGTAAGTCCAGGTAGCCCAGCCACAGTCGAAGGCTTGGTATCCTCCACCACAGATGTTTCTGTACTCTTGAAGCGAGAAGGGAAAAGCTGGGGAGGAGGCGCAGCTTTAGTTTCATTGAGCTCAGCAGCATCGTAGTACAAAGCAAACCCCAAGTTCTTGCAAAAGGTTACTAGGTAGGCAACATCCTCGCTCGGTACAGCGCTGTTACGCTTCGTGACAGGACTTTTGCCCATGAACTCCTCGTCATCCATGATCTTCAAATCAAAAGAGAACATCTCTAAGAAGACCAATACTATAGTCCAGTCATCACGTTCTCGGCTAGACGGCTGTGTGTTCTTTAGAAGTGGTACAACTCCCCTCGAATTCATTCGAATTTGATGAAACACATCTCTTTGCTTGGTAGCGTTCCACAGATATCTGGTAGGCGATATGGTGTCCACATGTGCGGGACCAAGATGTAGCCACATCCGGATGTTGTCTCCTTGACGAGGGAAGCAGCGCAACAGAGTCAGGGCATACCCGGCGAGAGTCTGAGCATCACCAGCTCCGGTCTTCGCGCCAACAAGAAGATCACGAATCGAATGTTGATCTAGCAATGAAGCCACCTGTGTGTGGAGGAATGTATTCAGAGGAGCGACACCCGCGGTAGCAAGAAATTCGTCAAAGGAGCGGTTATCGAGATTCACAGGATGTCGTTCAAATTCAATCTCGTCGGCTAGACTTCCGAGCAGCTGAGAAACAGCAGATGTGAAAGCCATACTCCGGGAGTGCTTCGCAAGGTAGATGACGTTGCCCAGGAGCCACAGTCGAGCACGAGTGTTTGTCTCGCGCAAGGTTGCAAGCTGCGCAACAGCCTCGGAAAGGGTATCGACCTGCACAGCATTCGATAGTAGCTCTAGCATTTCCGGGTCTTGGGGATGCTCCAACAGGACGACCAGGCCAGCATAGGCAGCGGTCGATTGGAGTGGCGCCAACAAAGCAGCCTGCAATGGCTCTGTCGGGAGATCCCGCACTGTCGTGAGGACTTCGTAGTACTCGGTCGCCGACTTCACATCAAAGGTGGATTGCCTGGCGGCAAATGCCAATATGCCTAAAATGGTGCGGTGGGAGTCGCTGTTGGGCTGGCTTTTAACGCGCAGGGCCGCTAGGCATGCTCTCCGGAGCATTGCATATGCTGCAGGCCATGGCCCGCCACGACATGGCACAGTCTCACTCGTGGTGATCTGCCTCGTGCCATACCATGCCAGGCGCGTGACATCGCTCGCTTCCCTGCGTGGCGTATAGAACAGCATCAGCCTCCGAAGCTGTTGCAGGGCCTCCTCCTCTGATGTGTACGGGCCCGTCGCTCGCTCCTCCCGCTCATCCCACACTGCTCGCCACAAGTCAAAGGTCCGTCTGCGAGCGCGGTGACCACGCCAAGTTCTCTGGATTCGCGATGAAGCCTGGGCTCGTTCTCGCTGTGCCGCTCGGTGGGCTCGATCCTGCTGTGCTGAAGCTACGGCAGCCTGAGCGCCTCCGCCGGTGCCATTTGCCTGGGCAAAGGGGTTCGTGCCCCGTCCGGACAAGTTGACCTGCGGGCGGCGGCGAGCTGATCCGGTGAAGGTCTGGTACATTGTCGTGGCGCGGAGTGGATGTCGAGGTGGAAGGATGCAGATGTGATGATCATGGCAGCGTGATGGCGAGTCGGTCAACACAAACAGTGACAAAAGACGGCGTCATTGCCACTTGCTCGAACAAGTTGCTGCCAAACAGTGCGAGTGCATGCAGTATCGATGGAAGGTCGTGGATATATTCACTCCCGTCACATCCATGCTTACCTCATCGCTATCTGAGTTACCTCCTACCTAGTTGCTAGGACCTCGTTCGTCAGCAGGAATGCCTGAGGATTTAGAGATATCACATCATATCTCGTCTAATCTTATCTTATCTTATCGGCCGGCCATCACTCGGAACTTCGGAACTTCGGCCAAGCTTTCTGGCACAACCTACCCCTACATCTATCTCGCAATACTCACTCTCCCTTTCACGACATGTATAGAGACCACAGCATCTGTAAAGACCACAATATGTGCACATCCTCCCCCCATCACGGCACCACGATGCCTTGACCTCATGGCGCGAAGCAGCTACATCGAGCTTGGCGTTTGGAAGCAAGCCCCTGAAGCCATGGCTATAGCAAGCTCATCGACCTCCAACCCCCCGACACAGTCCCACGAGGCACAGTCCGAGCAACCCTACTCCGACACTCCTCAGGACCTGAAGACGGGGGCCAAATCGGGGGAAACGTGTCTGTCAATTGCCCAATCCCGAAGTCCTCTCCGCGACGAGATCGCTCATCACCTGGGCGAGTCCTCCTCTTCTGCTCCCTATCGCGTCTACAAGCGCCGCTTCTTCGGCCTGGCCCAATTAGTCCTGCTCAACATCATCGTGAGCTGGGACTGGCTTACGTTTGCTGCTGTTTCAGACACTTCGGCTCAATTCTTCGATGTGAGCCCCACAGCAATCAATTGGCTGTCTACGGGATTCCTATTCGCCTTCGTTGTTGCTGCGCCAGCGACCATCTGGGTGCTCAATCGACATGGACCGAAGACTTCGATCCTGGTCGCAAGTGGACTGGTACTCTTTGGAAACTGGATTCGATATGCCGGTGCCAGATCCGGGCGCAATGGAACCTATGGACTGGTCCTGTTTGGACAGATGCTAATTGGTCTGGCGCAGCCTTTTGTTTTGGCAGCTCCTACACGATACAGTGATATGTGGTTTTCCGACCAGGGAAGAGTGGCTGCGACGGCTGTTGCTTCCTTGGCAAACCCTTTTGGTGGAGCACTGGGACAGTTGATCGGACCTTTCTGGACTAATGGACCTGCTGATATTCCCACCATGGTGCTGTACACATCCATTCTCTCTACCCTCGCCACCCTCCCAGCCATCTTCATCCCCGCCCGACCCCCCGCGCCTCCTTCTGCTGTGGGCGCGGCTCAAAAGCTCGACCTCCAAACGGCCTTTCGAGAACTTCCTCGCAACGGCTCCTTTTTTCTGGTGCTGCTTCCATTCTCCGTTTACGTCGGTTTCTTCAACGCCACATCCAGCTTGATCAACCAAATCTTCGAACCCTATGGCTTTTCCGAGGACGATGCGGGAATTGCCGGGGCGATGCTCATCGTGGTCGGACTCGTTGCATCAGCGATCGTGTCACCACTCATTGATCGCACGAAAGCATACATCCTGACCATTAAAGTACTCGTCCCTTTGATTGCGATCTCGTACACCATCTTGGTATTCATGCCCCAGACGCGTGGCTTAGCCGGTCCATATATTGTCTGCGCGTTACTGGGAGCTACGAGCTTCAGCTTATTACCCACGTCTTTGGAATTGCTGAGCATTGTTACATTTCCGGTCAGCCCGGAGGTGAGCAGTGTTATCGCTTGGACCGGAGGACAGATTTTGGGAGCAGTCTTTATTATCATCATGGATGCACTGCGGGGAGGGTGGAGTGGAGCACCGGAGGATAGCATGATACGCTCACTGATATTTCAGGCACTAGTAGCTTGGATTGCTGTGCCATTCCCGCTGATGTTGGGTGTGTGGAAGTTTAGGAAGATCACGGTGGGAGGCGAGGCCGCGATGCTGGGAGCAGACGGCTAGCCATGCGATGCATGCCGCAGATATGAATTCCTGATCTCTGGAGATACCCATGATCTGAGCACCAGATCTTTCGAAGCCATGTGTTGCGCCTAGATGCAGGAACGTGTGCTCATACTAACTAAGACCGGCTTTGAGAGCAAGAAGTCTTACTCGAGAAACATAATCCAGGAACGCGTGTGTGAGAACAAAGAAATCTTGAACCAGCGTACGAATGGGCTTTGTGCGCGACTTGGACACTGTACGCATCCGGCAAAAGATCATGTCTGGGAGTCGGCTTTGTTCTTCTTCCGAGGGCTCATAATAGGTTCCACCTGCAGTGTAACTATCTCCTCCACATTATACCCTCTGAATTATGACTCCAAAGAGAACACCAAACGACAGCAAGCTCAGACCAGAAGCGCTCACAAGAAGTGTCAGTTTTGGCGAGGAAAGAAACGGCAAGACAAGAGTGACGCGACCTGGCACTTCACCAACTTCCCCAGAAAAGAAAATGTATCCTCTGACAAGCCCGCCTCTGACCAAGAGGAAGATTGTCAAGCGCACTTCCAAAAAGTTGTATCTGGGCGAGGACTCTCCGTCAGCTATGTCGAAACCCAAGCCGGAAACTCAGAAAATTAAGAACTTCGATTCGCCTTCACCAAGAGCACCAGGGGCACCGAAGAAAGCCCAGAAGTTCATCAGCTCCCATCATATCAATATACCGAGGGCATCCTTCCCGGCCGCGATTCCCGATCACTACTCCAGCGACTCTAGTAGTGATAGTGATACTACCGGAACGGAAGAAGACACAAGCAGCGAGAGTAGTAGTGGTAGTGATACTACCGAGACGGACATAGACACAAGCAGCGAGTCTAGTAGTGACAGTGATACTCCTGATGCTATCACTCCTGACGGTGTCACTCCTGATGGTGTCACTCCTGATGCTGTCACTCCTGATGGTGCCACTCCTGATGCTGTCACTCCTGATGCTGTCACTCCTGATGCTGTCACTCCTGATGCTGTCACTCCTGATGCTACCACTCCTGCGAGAGGTAATGTTCGTGGTCTCGCAAAGGGTATCGATGGCAAAAGGAAGAAGAAGAAGGCGAAGAAGAACAAGGCCGCGCAGAAGAAGAGAGGCGTTGTGAAGAAGGGTGTCGTAAGGAGGCAGAAGCTGCCGGATATTCCTCAATCGGAGCTTGCGAAAAGGAGAACAACACGGAGCGTAAAGGGAAAGAAATTCTTTTCATTGCCCTGAGAATATATATATAATCTGGCGACGAGGAAAGAAGTTCAAGCTTGTTGGACTTTTGTTCTATTAGTGTGTCAGTGTGTCTCTCAGGTTATTTAAATATTTGGTAAAAAATCTCTAACAGCGATTACAGAGAAGGGATGGAAGAGTTCCAGATGGGTCTGTTTGTCTGCATCACAACCGGCAATACGTTTGTGCAGATATATTGATCCTGTTGGTGTTACACCCAGAGACTTGGCAAGCCACTGGAATGCTCTCCCAAGACTCCTACTGGCCACATTCAGTTACTGTCAAGTCCAGATTGAGCATCTTGGCGACCGTTTCTGGTACCATATCTCTCCTGAGCGCTGAACTAATGCCTCTTCGCTTAACCACTACTCCAATAAGCTGAACAAAAGTATTTATGAACAAGCTCCCAGTGAAGAAAAAGGCACAAGTGAAAAACTACACCTCACCTCACCTCAATTTTTCTTTTGCCATTAAATCCACAAGTCCAACACTCCTCGCCGTCATCCGCCCAGCATGATGTACAACCCCATCACCACCACCAACTCCCCTGCCCTCTTATCACTTTTCCTCGCTACTACCCTCCTCTCCCTCTTCACCTCTCCCACATCCGCCCAACAATTCTTCCACATCTCCCCCTTCTACGCCCAAGACGGCTCCTGGATCACAGACACGCCCGAGGACATCGACCACAGCCTGACCTTCAACATCTCCCGCCCTGGAGCAGCAGGAACTCAAGGCGGTAACGGAGAAGCAGAGTGTCGTTTTTCATGGTATGTTATCGAATGAATACCTTGGAATAGTAAACGAACGAACAGAAACATCAAAAAGAAAAACGACGCAAATGAAGAGAAAGAGAAGCTAAACCGTGAATTCGTATAAAAAAAATTCAGGACAGGTTCAATCCCTCCATCCTGCTACCAAGCATGCAGTCCAACCTCCCTCTCCACCACAGGCGGAGGCTCCCAATTCTACGCCCGAGTCACACCGGGATATCAAAATATGATAGCGAAAAACATCTCCATTGTAACGTCCCCCTCCTCCCTTTCCCTCCCTCTCCTTTTCCCCCATATCTCTCAACTTACCCCCTTCCTCTTCTTCTTCACAGGACATTCTCCAATCCTACTCTTACCGCAACTTCGTCCTCCAAAACGGCACATTCTCTCTCCAAGAAGAATCTCCCAATGGAGAGAATGCTATTCCGGGATGTTATCGTTGTGAGCAGAGGTATTATCGGGGATATACGACGGAAGAATGTAGTTTGAGAAATGTTTCGGCTGGAGTGGATGTTCCCGTGGAAGCTTTTGGGTATGGGATTTGGCCGGTGGGGAGTGTGGTGGATGTTTGTGGGGAGTGAGAGGTGATGAGATGAGATTGGGGGAGTTGGTGAGAGCAGAGGGGTGGGTTGAGGGGATGGATAGGTGGATGGATGGATTGATTGATTGATTGATTGATTGATTGAGGGATGGACGGATGGATTGATTGATCGAGTGATAGGCAACGAAATTTTTTCCAAAGAGGTAGCTAGCCGTGGGTTGAGCCCTCTCGGATTAAGGTAGCTATCAAGAGTGAAAAGTAGGTTATAACTTACCCGATATTGTCTCTCTCTCTCTCTTTCTCCCTCTCCCTCCTCCCCCCCCCCTCTCTCTCACACACACACAGCTAGCCTATATGCTTCACACATAAGACCAACACCTCCTCTCTCCTTCACAACATTATTTGCTTCACTCCCTAGTAACAAACTCAACCTATTTGCTTACTTCAACTATGAAATGTACTTAATAAGCTCGACCGCCTCCCACTGGCCTTCAATAGGTGGTACCTTCGCAACTCTAACAATATATAAAAACTTACTTTCTCCTAATCCACAGAAAAATAGAATAATTCACCCCAAAGTAGCTACCATTTAGGGGATCCGCAACAAACCTACCATCCCCAATACCCGCGCAGAGTTAGACATATATACAACCCATATCCACCAGAATATACACATCACATCCGCTCCCAACCCATCCTTCCAAGAAGATAAAATACCATCACTCCTCTCCAACCGCCGCTCCCCAACAAGACATTAAAAAAATGCCTTCTTCTACACAATCTCCCACGAACAATACAACCACAACCACCACATCTCCACCTTCTACTACGCCCTCCGACCCGAGCACCACCACTCCCACCAGCCTCGCCAAAACCTCTCCCAAACCTTTCCGCCTCCTCGACCTCCCTTTCGAGCTCGTTTCTCAAATCCTGGAACATTCCATCGAAGGAGTTAGTAGTGAGACTGAACCGATTGAAATTGCTTTTTCTTCTTCGTCTTCGTCTTCTTCGTGTGTTACTACTACAAATACAACGCCTATTATCGAAGAAGGAAAAGGAGAAAAGACAACGAGGGAAGAAAAAGAATCACAATCCATCATTCTTGGCGTTGGCAATGATATTATCGAAATGAAATATCCCCCCCACCACCACCACAACACCAACAACACTAAAGAAGAACCTCCTCATCCCCATCCAGGTATTTTCCAAACCTGTCGAATTCTCCGCTACGAAGGTCCGTCTCCCTCCCCCCTCCAAAAACCCCCAACACTAACCTCTTTCTTCCTTTTTTTTTCTTTCTTTTCCTATATAGCTCTCCACATCCACCTCCGAAAATCCTTCTTCACATTCCCCTGCGCAGGGCCAGGAATTCGAGGGATTCGACTCGATGAAGCAGCAGCAGCGGAAAAAAGGGGTTTGGTGGATGAAGTGTATTTGAAAATGCGAGAGGAGTTACTTGTTGGGAGGAATGGAATGTTGAGCAAAGTGTCTTGTGCGGTGGATTTGAAGAAGGATGTGATTTGGTGAAGGTAATTTTCTAGAGTCGACTTGCGGTTGGAGTTGGGATGGGATTTTGAATTGACTCGGGAGGTAGGCAGATTCGCTTTCCTCTCACTCTGGAGAACACACAGAGAGATCCGAGACTTTTTCTCGTATATATATATATCATCATTCATCGCCACTTCTTTCCACATTTACTACTCCCCCGCCAACACATTCAAGGAGCCGAATACTTATATTCATACTGCAGCTGCGCCTTCTTCAAATGCTCCTTCAACTCCTCCTCCTTGTCCGCAAACCCATCTGCATTCTCCTTCACCCTCTTCAAGTACATCTCATTGGTAATCGAGGGTTCATTGGGGATCGCGATACCCTTTTGTACAGCAGGGCGGGCATTGATTCGTTCCCACCATTTGTACAAGTTGGGGAATTTTTCGAGATTGACGCCGGCGAAGTAGGATACGTTGACCCAGCTGTGTGATTTGATGTTGTATTAGTATATGGGTCATTGTTTAATCGTCAGATCCCCTCATCATGTGAGTGGGAAAGAGGGAGGGAAAAAGAAAAAGAAAAAAAGAGTGTACCTGAAATTCGCAATATCCGCAATCGAGTACTTGTCCCCCACAAGATACTCTCTCCCCTTCAGTCTAATATCCAACACGCCATACAAACGTTCCGTCTCGCCCACATATCGTTGCGTAGGATACGCAATCCGCTCTTTCGCCAAACGATAAAAGTGGTTAGCCTGTCCCTGCATGGGGCCCAAACCACCATGTTGCCAGGCCACCCACTGCTCCACCAACGACAGCTCCGGGTCATTTTTGAACGAGAATTTAAACTCGGGATCAAAGTGTCGTGTCAGATAGGTCAGAATGGCAGCACCTTCCATGATGCCCAGACCGTCCTTGTCGTGGTCGATGAGGACGGGGATGCGGCCGTTGGGGCCTTTGTCGGTGAACCATTGCTCTTTCTGGATGTTTTGCATAATGTTGATGCTTTGGAAGACGTAGTCGGGTTTGCCGTAGGCTGCTTTGAGTTCTTCGAGGAGGATGCTTGCTTTGTGGCCTGCGGTGCGAGATTAGGAATGATGAACGATTTTTCGTGGCATTGTGTCTCTCTGTAGATTGCAAGGGAAGCTCACCATTGGGTGTGCCGAATGTCAGCAACTCGAGGCCGCTTTTGGCAATCAGTCCATTGGGTCGGTCGGACATGGCGTGGAGGTTCTGCTGTGGGATGGTTGTGGTCGAGAAGGAGGACGACGAGAATGTGGTGAGTGCAGGGGAAGTGTTCTTGATCAGATGGTGTGTAGTCTGCTGTAGGCGGAGCAGAGGAGTACGGATCATGAAGGCGAGGAGGAGGATGAAGAGGAGAGGGAGGAGGTTGTGGTAAAGGAGGAGGAGGAGATAAATGTCATCTTGGCCTGCTTCGTTCGACCTGCTACACGGAACAAGTTTCCCCGGCCCGAGGGAGTGGAAGTGAGTGAAGATGGAGTGAATGATGATGTTGTTTGTACAGCAGCAATTCGTCAGCAGAGAGCTTCCCGTCACGTCACCAGCGGAGCAGCTCCCGCACTATTTCTGAATGAGGTTAAGTGAGGTAGACTCAGGTACCTAATTCTCCGGAGCAACATTGAATAAGGATTTCAACAATTCCAATCAAATTACACCTACTCCTCCAAACTCTGCCCCTTCAGCTCCTCCTCCGTCCACTCCCACAATTTCTGCTCCAACCCCTTATCCCTCCCCTTCGCCGACGTCTCCCCCTTCTTCCCGACCGGCATATAAAATGTCCCACTCTCAACCTGTCTCTCACCACTCCCCAACGGCGCCGTAGCCGCCCACTGCTGATTCCACGCACACATATGCGCCGGAATCATAATCGGCCAACTCGTCGCATACATGAAAGCCTTTTGTCCCATACTCAAACCTCCAATTAACCCCGTCGCGCTGACTCCCGGATGCAATGAGACACTCGTGATTTGCGGATAATGCTGCGCAAAAGCGCGCGCGTAAATCATATTGGCGAGTTTGGATTGTGCGTAGCGGATCCAGGGGCCTGCTGCGCTTTGTAAGGGGCGAGGCACAATATCTGCCATGTCGGTTTTTAATTTGGAAAAATCTATACCGCATGCGGGGTGGCCGCGGTGTGCGAGAGAGCTGTCCCAGATGATGCGGACGTCTTTTTTTTCGGTTTGCTCTTCTGCTGCTGCTGCTGGTGCTGCCGTTTGGAGTAAGAGTGGCGTGAGGAGTTTAACAAGAAGCGCATGTCCGACGTGATTGGTTCCAAATTGTAATTCGTATCCATCTTCCGTGAGACCTGGCGGGTGAGCCATAATTCCCGCATTAGCCATGAGAATATCGAGTCGATTCATTTTAGCGAGCAAGTCTTTCGCTGCCACTTTGATCGATGCAAAGGATGCGAGGTCGCATTTGACAAACTCCACAGGCGTATTGGGACTCTTCTCTTTGGCCAGTCTGATCGTCTCGTCCGCCGACGGCTGCGAGCGGCCGGTGAAATAAATGTGTGCGGGATCATGGCTGGCAAAGGACACGACTGTCTCGCGTCCTAGACCTCCAGTGCCGCCTGTGATCAAGATGACTTTTCCGCTGAGACTGGGAATCTCCTTTTCGGGATCAAACACTGGCTTGCGGAGAAGGTCCAACATGATTTCTGATGAGAAAACTAGAAGGGATAATTATTCTTGTGGTGATGCTGATGTCTGATGAGAGAAGTTCAGTTCCAGCTGCTAGGGAAACGCAGTCCACCAGAGAATCAGAAAATCGTCGACCTATCCAGATCTTATCTTGTCTATCTATCTTATTCACCATCATCCTCCCACCTCCTACTCACTAGTCAGACATGTCAGAACAACCTCGGCGAGACCAATCCTCACTTTCGACAGGCATACCAACAGGCCTGTCCCTTACCTTCCATTGGGCAGAAAGACTACCTCCTCCCCTGCGACGCCTGCGTAAGGAGCATTATACTTCCATGACCTAACCGAGCCCTACATCTCTCTCCGGGGGACCTGGTATAGGCCCTATAGGGGTAAAGTCCAGACCGAGGAGTAAGTGAGTACATCGTCGACCTCGTCTACAAGACGCATGTTGTGATTTCTAGGTGTGATTTGTGTACAACTCTTATCACTAGTTTTACTCACCTTATTACTAAGGCAATGGGACCCCACATCCGAGCGCTTCCGCTTCTACTTTGGAGTTTGTGCTTTCGTCTCGTCCGATGTCCGCACGAGATGGATATATGTTTGGTAGAATACAACAACAACAACATTCTGATAAGTCCCTTCACAATGTCCGAGGATAGGTAGTCAATGAATATATATATTCGAGGGGATGAGTCGATTTCTTCTCTTTTTAGCCAAGGGGGTAGGTAAGGTAGTCATTATACACCTCTCTCTCTCTCTCTCTCTCTCTCTCTCTCTCTCTCTCTCTCTCTCTCT